ACTTAAAGTAGCTTTTATCACGGAACTAGTACTTACTTCCTTTACTTCTAATAAAGAAATACGTATAGAGATAGACTCTTCAGACTACGCTATTAGAGCTATACTTAGCTAGCTAGGCGAGAATAGAAGATAGTAACTAGTCGCTTACTATTCGTAGAAACTATTACTAGTAGAACTTAACTATAATATATATAATAAGGAGTTACTAGTAATTATAAACGTAGTACACGAATAGAAAGTCTACCTTAAAGGCACTACTTATAAGGTATAGATCCTAATAAACTATAAGAATCTTATTTACTTTATAACTACTAAGGAACTGAACTAATAGTAAGTTCATTAGTACGAAATACTCTTTACTATTAAGCTTCGAATTTCTTATATTAAAGGAATAGAAAATACTTAAGCTAACGCTCTAAGCCGGAAACTAAAGTACCTTATAAATAAAATCTATAAATCCTACACTATACTACGAAAGGATAGCGATTTATTAGTTATTAATAGCTAATAGCTAGCCGTAATAAGATAGCTAGTTATAGAGAAAATCTGGAAAAGCTACGCTAATAACCTAGTTATAGCTAAATAATGATACTAACTAAGCGAAGAGTTCTCCTTCTCCTTAGAAAGAACTCTCTTATTCTAAGGATAAATCTATATACTTACTAGGGATAGAGTTAAATTCGTTATATACTAGTATAAGCTACCTGCTTATAGATACTAAGGAGTAGCTAAGATACTATCTAAGTTATCTAAGGAATACTACTTCCTAAGTATAAGGAAAGTAGTTAAAAACATAGTAATATTATATAATATATATATCCGGAATAAGGCTATATATTATACTCCGTATAGACTTATAAAGTTACTAATAATACTACCTCGCCTATAGAAATTAATCGCTTTAGATTTCGTAGTCGAGCTACTACTCTTAAAAGACCTAATTATAGGAATTATATACGACTCGATCTATATAATAATAGATAAGTTCATGAAGTACACGTATATAGTACTAGTACTTAGGATATAAGACACGCTTATAATAGCGTAAGTATTCTTTAGAATAATCTTTATAAGCTATAGAATACTAAATAAGATTATCTTAGATAGAGATAAGCTCTTTACCTTAAAGTTTTAGAAAACTCTTATCGTGTTCTTAAGAATAAAATAGAAAATATTAACTATATTCTATCCTTAAACTAATATATAGATAGAACGAATTAACTAGATAATAGAGACTTATCTTCAGTGTTATATAAACTATAAGTAAGATAACTAGGTGTAACTACTCCCACTTACCTAGTTTATATATAATAGCGCGGATTAAGAGACTATTAGAGTATCGCTATTTTATATGAATTATAAGTATAATCTTATAGTATATAATCTACTAATAACTAGTTAAGGAACCGCGTAAGAGGCTATACTATAAGTAGATAAGCTTAAGCAGCTTTATAAAGAATTATTAGCTGATATTCTCTTTATCACGTAGAGATCTGTAATCTACTATAATAGAAAGCGTAGTATAGGACTAACACTTAAGGAAGGGGATAAAGTTTACTTACTTAGAAGGAATATTATAACTAAGCGACTAAGTTATAAATTAAATTATAAGAAGCTAGGACTATTTAGGATTACTAAAGTTAAAGGACTAGTTAATTATTAACTAGCTCTACTAAAGATAATAAATATCTACTTAGTATTCTATATATCTCTCCTTGAACTAGTACTGCTAGGAGCATTACCGGCTCTTATTACTAAAATATAACCGATTAATCCGAACACTAAATATAAAGTAGAAGCTATTCTCGACTATTAGTATTTCTATAGTAAACTAAAATATCTAATTAAATAGAAAGAGTACTTATAATTAGAAAATACTTAGGAACTTAAATCTAACCTCCGCTACCTTAAGCTTCTATAAGGATTCTATTAAAGAAATCCAGGTTTACCTAGAAGGAAGGAGACCTAAGGTTAAGAGCTAAGCCCTTAAAGAAGGATACTAAGTAAGCGTTAGGTTTAAAAGCAGGGAACTAAGAAGTAAGATTATCCTTAATAAGCTTAGAGGGAGGCGTTAGAGAGCGAGTAGAAGCTACGGTTTTTCTTATCTTAAACTAATATATAAGTCGTTTAAGAGTAAACCTCTTAATATACCCTAAGGTATTATAATTATAACGCTTTAAGTAAATATACTTAGAGTATTATTTTGAAATAGATAAATCTAAGAAGTAAGTATAAGAAAAGCTATAGTAGAAAGAATAAAGCTTTACAAGTTATATAGTATACTTAATACGAAGTATAAGCTAGATACTCTATTTTTTCTTTATCTAAGTGATACTTAATTTCTTTATAACACTAGATATAATAGATAAGGAAGATAGTTATTAGTAACTATTAACGTTTCTTAAGGTTATACTTAAGTGTAAGGGACTACACTAAGCTAAAAGAGAGATAGTATTACAGACTCCTTAGCGTTATAGTTTAGTTAGTACCTATATAATAATAAAACTATTAGTAGTACTATAAGGGTATTAGTACTAACGAGGGAGCGGTACTATTAATAAGGTAGTACTAGCTAGGGAATAATATAAGATAAGCGAGTAGTACTACTATATACTTACGCTTTAGTAGTAATAGTTACCTAGATTATAGTAAATAATAGGTTATATAATAGATCCTTAGATCCCTAGATCCCCTTATAGGAAAACAGATCTAAGGATCTAAGGATCTAGTATCCTAAGGGATCTAAGGCGAACGAAGGTTCTATATAAGACTAGTATATTTACTATTAGATAGGAGCTTCGTACTTAACTTTAAATAGTATTCTAATACTTAGTAACTATCTTTTATCTATGTGATATACCTACCTCTTGATTATCAGAGATCAACTATAGCTTTCTATATTTATAGCGAGTAAATACCGGATAGTTACACTTATCTAGCTCTAAGAGGTCGTGTAAGAGACGATTTGATAGAGCTAAAGAGAGACGCGCTATATTTAGTTAAAAATCACGGGATTTATAATTAGATAGTAAGGTGAGTTATTCCTTGATTAAGAATTATCGCTGAGGTTTATTAAAAAGAGGGGTTTTTTAGTGGGGTTTCTAACAAATCTAGATAGCGGCCGCGGATAACTCGCTTGCCGCGGATAACTCGCTTTCCCCTATAATCCCGGAGTCGGGATTTGGGTGCGACTCTAGCGCCCACTATTAATAGAGATTGAATAGGGTGAAAGACGGAGTGATAAGGCTCTTAGTGGGGTAATGCGGGGTAGATCCACAGATCTAGTGGACGGCGTGGCGGATGGGGGCTGGGAACGGAAGCTTGGATCATTTATGGAATATCCGATAGCCGAGAATACGTGACTGAGGAAGTGTTGTGGAGCTTAAAAAGGAGAAGAGGGATCGCAATAGTGGGATTTTGGGTTCTGCGAAGAAGATGAAGCTGAAATTTTGGGAGCTGGTGGAAAAGTATTAAGGTGATGGTTGTTGGAGCTCGCGTTTCGATTGAGCGCCAGCGGTGTGTCATTCGTGTTGAGCGAGAAGCTTACTTCTTTAGGAAGTTCTCCGTGTTTTTGTTTACTTCCTTCATTGCTGAGAAAGTCAGGTTCTTGCTTAAGTTTGAGATTCAAGGATCAGATTCGAGAGACGACAGGCCATCTAGCAGGCTGGGAAACACTGCTGGCCTTAACCTTCCACCCAGAATACCGACTTTAATTGAGCATAATTCTTCCCCTAAAGTACGCGCTGCTATTGAATGAAGGATTTGTACCGCCACCATTTTCATTCTAATCGGAAGCTTAATTGAGTACAAGTATGGCGGTGTTGTGAGCTCTCTCATATGATATGAGGCTCCACAATATCTCTACACCTGCCAAGATAATAGCCTCCGCATCGCTCTTGCGCCTAGAAGCTGGCAAATATCATGTTACCAAACTATATAATGAACAAACTTAACTCTCCAAATTCGAGCTTTATTCTGCTCCATAATTTCCTTATTTATATCAAGGTTGAGCTGAAGAAAGCAAAAATTTGTCGCACGGAATTTAGGTTAGGCACCAAGTTGTGGCTGTAAGTCTGCTTCTGTACAACAAAGTTTTACACCGGATTCTGAGAGGCTAGCATCTCTTTACATTTAATAGACAAGTTGTCTAGTGCTCGAATCCGGAAATAAACACCAATATATATCAACAGCACCGTAGGGGGATCTGTATTCCCTGGAATGCTAGCTCAGAGAGTCTACAAGATATACCCAGAACAATGTTCCGAGTTCTGAAGGCTCTTGTGTTGCAGCAGCCCGAACATGACTTATAAGTTATTTTACGTTTTACGAAATACATATTGAAGGGAAGGTTTCATAAGATCAATAAGGCTGCCATCTGGCTCTATCATCGCAAGATATTTCTTCTGCACAGCTAGTTAGCAGAGAACCTATAAATGGCCATGGTCGTAGATTGTACCAACAAGTTTCTTCAGAGTTGAAACAATTCTGCTTGTCCAGCAGTGTCACCAAAATTCTGCCCAGAGTCTTGACTATAGTTGGAATTAAATTCGAGGCTGCTGTCACAACTGTGTTTGGTACTGCCTTCTCCTATTTGGCTACCATCGACTACCGGCAGAACAAACAAGGCGAGCTGCACCATGTGCTTTCCAAGATGCCGTCGAAACTGAGAAGCATTTTTATAGAGATTCTCGCTCAATTGGTCTTCGTGGGGAGGTCTCTCGGCGAGTGAATTGAGTCTTGCATCGTCGCAGAGCATGCATTCAAACAACGAAATCTTGTCAATAGGCTCTTCACCCAGCAGGACAAGGGCGGCAACTTGAGAGACTGGAAGGGGTTTATCATAATGAGATTTGACATGGTCAGCGAAGGAAGATCTGCTCTTATGAATGGAGTTACAGGTCCCACAGACCCATTCTCTTCTGTGGTGAAAGATTTCGTGCTGCCACCATTCTTGGCAACTGCCAAACATTCTGAGCTCGCATTCTTGAAACGTGCACACGTAGGGCTTCAAATCTCGTAGAACATGTTTACTAGATGTAATTAGGCTAAATCCAAATATGCAGCGTATTATGAAAATTACTTCCAAGCTCTCTTGTTTCTAACCACACTTTCGGTATAGCAATATGGGCATCTGAAAGGGTGACCGTATTCGAAAGGAATACCCTTGAATGCCTCATTAGGCGGAGCTGGCATTTTGAGCTCGTTGGCCTGGCCTCCCATTGTAGCGACCTCTGATATCTGTATCTCGGACGAGCCTTGGTCCCCATAATGGTCCTTTTCATTGAAGGCCTGGGCGGCTACCATGATTGGGGTCGCTCGTTTAGCAGAAGTAAAGGAGCTAGTGAAGGTTTCGCTCTCGTCGCGAGGTGACGGCTCTTCTGAAGTTTCATCCTCAAATCCAGAGAACTTGTCATTGTGCGCTCGTTGATACATCAGATATTGACGCCTCCTTGAATTCGCTGTTCCCAATCTTTCAATCAGCCATTCCCCTGAGCAATTGTTACTGGACTTCAGGCATTGGCTGCGCATGCTGACGCACTTCTCTCTTACGTAGCTAATATCCCAGTAAGGGTCAAGATGGTACCGTGAGACTGCTTTCGAGTAGTCATCGCGAATTGGAGAAGTGCGAATGACCAAAGATACTTTTATCAGATTTCGGTTGGCGTCTTTTATGGCGGCGAAAAGCTCATCCAGCTCTGACGTCTCTGAGCTCTCTTGGTTCTTCTTGAAGACTCCGCAGGTGCCCGCATTGCTCCAAGTACCGACAGACCATGTCTCATTTGGAGCAATAGCATAAACAATGTTCACAGCTGGATACGGTCATATTAGTATGATACACATGAGAGAATGAACGAACGAGTGGGCGGACCTGTCTCAAGAGAATTTCTCAAGTCTCTCAATATCGTCAAGCATCGATCACGAATCTCTGCAGCTCTCTTTGACCGAGTATCAAGGGACATTCTCAAGTGTGTCATTTCTACTGCATCGATATCTGAGGCCCACGATTTGAATGTTGAGTGGCATTCCGAGATCAAGGCGCTCGAGATGTCGCGATTGAACCCTATCACGGTCGCTTGTTCAGGGGTTGAGTTGCCTAGGGCATTGTAGAGATTCTGATAACAGTTTATACAATCGCGGGAAAGGCTTGATATGGGCGAGGTATGATCTGTGCCCCAATGGCCAGCTGTAGCTGACATGCTGTGATTGCCGCCGTGTTTGCGAAGCTACTTTGGCGTTGATGGTGGTGATTTGGACCTCGTTATTCTGTCTTACTAGAGCCCTGCAGACAGACTCGAGAAGAGCCTGAAGTAGTGTTGCAGAAAGAATCTGGGCCAGACATAGATAACGAGCCCAAAGTTTCGTATAGTTTCACTTGACGACGACTTTTCCGTGTGTTTCCAAAGACAACGACGTAAATTCATACAATCAAGTTGATGCGCATCTACTGGTCAGAGATTGGCATCGCTCCTGCATGACAGCTGGGCGGCAACAGCAACGTTGCCATTGGTGGCATTGCTGAGCTGACAAACAAATACCCAGACAAGTGTGCAGAAGGTGGCTGAGAGGTCGTTGTGGACATCAGGATATTTTACGTCTTGTCATCATCGCATTGGATTTTCAAAGCTTGCCTTCGCTATGTCCGACCTCGAGGAGATCCAACTTGTGTTGGAAGGGTTCTCCCTCCTCAGCTCCACCGCCGAGGACTATAAACAAGGCTTCGAGAATCTACCAGATTGGAAACGCTTACGAACTGAGTTCATTGGTTTCGTAAATTCCATTGACATCGAGAAGCAGTTGTACGGCCAAATGCTAGAACGCTTCCTGGATTCTACAGATATGTCACAAGTAGAGGTTCAAGGTTTCGTGACCGGGCAATCAGACCTGGACCACTATGGAAGGCAGCGAGGAAAACTTGCCGACTTGCTGCGGAGTCGACTTGGATCATCATACGCTATATATATGAGCACGACCAGGTCTTTGAATGAGGTCATAATAGAGATGCAAGATATTCTCTCCTCGAAGAATGGCAAGGTGAGCCTGGACTCCAACCTCACGAGCTTTGAACAGCCCGATTGACTATATCTCCGTCAGATCAATTGGGCAGACAATTCTAGCAGACGATGGGAGATACAAATGGAACGCATATGGCTCAACATCAGCAAGACAGGGCGGACGACTCTTACTTCTCTTGGAACTCACTGTTGTAAGCTCCGAGAGCTGCTGGAACCGAACGAATGGCTACAGAATACAAGAGTGACTCGGAGCAACGAACCTTGGGGAAGCGTATTCGAAAGCATCAGACAACACGCAAGTAGCTTGCATTCTGCTCTGCAAAGTTATTGGACATGTGATTGTCCTACACCTCACATAGTCGACCTTCAGCTCAAGCGACGGACGATTGGGGGCTCTTCATCCATTTTTGATCTTAAATTGGAGACGGACTTGGACATCGGTTCGAGGCGCCATATTTCAATTCGGCTTATGGTAAACTCACGTTTGTATCGACCCCTCCATTTTAATGCTCCGTCTTCTCTGGGAAACTTATTTGAGCAACCTCACTTCAAACCGGGTAGAATATGGTGGGAAGACGACGAGAGCCGTGGAACTCTCCCTAAAGTTCATGCCAGAAAGAAACAGCCTACTCCAAAAACAAAAGCTAAGAAAATCCTTCGGTTGAGTGTACCTGAAGCTATTCCTGTTCGAGCGATAGTCAAATCTCCCTCCGGGGATTCGAACCCACCTGACCATGTCGGTAAAAACGTCTATCGCCCCGGAACTAAAAACTTGTGTTCACCGTTGCGCCGTCTCATCACTGACCACCCAGCCTGTCTGGAGGATCTTGCGGGTGGAAAGCAACGCTCCCACGAGCTCATTGTGATCGAAGATCGTTTCGATCTTGCCAACAAGACTCCTTGCGTCAGCCTGGAGACTTTGCTTCGAAATGGACATGCGAAAATTTTGACCAGACACCAGCGTCACGAAATTGCTAGCATTCTTGCCTCTTCTTTGTTACAGCTGCAAACTACCCCATGGCTCACACAGACCTTTGGGAAGCAAGACATCTTGTTCTATAACGAAGACTCGGCAATCCTCTTCGATAAGCCGTTCTTGCGACACCCATTCACTTCAATTGAAAGCCGTCAAGCTATCTCGCCCGCTGGTGGAGATCCACCAACGGCTCGTCTTGCTGCCCGGACTAGTCTCTTCAATCTGGGAATTGTATTGCTTGAAATATGCTATGGTCAGGCTATCGAAGACCAGCCCCTGCGGGAATCGTACCTTGGATCAGAGGGAAACCCACACGAGTATACTGATTTCATGACTGCTCGCGACTGGGCTGAGCATGTCGGCGAGCAGGAGCCAGAATGGGTCAATATAATCAGGTGTTGCTTATCCTGCATGTTTGAGGAAAAAGCCGATTGGAGTAATAAGAGATTCACCGCTGCAGTCTACACAACAGTTGTAGAGCCATTGGAAAATATGGCTGGGAGAATAGCGGCCGAAAGTATTCGCTCTGCGGAGGACCCTATTGGCGCTTCCGTCTCCATTGAAGACGCACTGACGTCCAAGAAACCCTTGCCCATGACCAACCGGCAGACGCGAAAAACGGTAGAAGAAGAGCCCCAAGCGATCGAGAACACTAAACAATTGCAAGCAGGGTACTATGACCGGGGGGAGACAATGCTAGCACTTGAGAACCAGATAAGGAAGAATTTGATGCTTTCTCATGAACCTACAAAGGCTCTGTTTCGGATATCCTGGGATCCACGCGACTTCATGACAACTCAATATGATCCCCACGATGCTTTGGAGCTAGGTTCTGTGATAATAATTAGCGGATCGGCTCTCCAGTGTCAGGCTGTTACAGTCTCGGACTATCTTAAACAAAACTGGGCAACGCATGGTGAGCATGTCCTGCAAGCACTTGAGTCGGTTCTAGCAAGTCCTGAAATCCAGGGTCGAGGTACGAAATTCAATATTTTGGTCAAATGCTTTCTGCACTGTTGGTCTACTAAAGTAAACAAACGTTGACAAAAGTCATAGCTGACATTAACTATGATTGCTCGGTAATCGTGTCGATGACCACTCCTAATGTCGTCGAAGTTCAAGCCACTGGGTCATTGGATGATGTTGTTGCAATTACACAAATTTTTGCTTGGCTTGGAGCTGCAGTCCGGAAGTCAGCGACCCCCAAAGTGCAGTACTCCGAATGTATTCTCACTTCACTTAGTGAAGGCTCTTTTGACATGGACTTCGTGCAAGCCCCGCTTGCAGAGCCTGAAAAGATGTGCTGGTTCTCATTATTTGCCAATCCAGTAATCGCGAAGGGATTCCCAATCCCTCCTCGCACAAGCTGCGATCTCGGCATCGAAATTCCTTTAGAGATGATGGCTTTTCTGATCGGAGCCGAGCATGCTGTGGAACATGGCTGTGGCCTTGTCATCAAAGGATTTTCTAGTGTGCTCATTCCCGTCAAACGTTGCAACAATTCAGTGCAGTGGCACTTAGTCAGTAAACCAAATGGCACAAGGATGAAGTATAGCGACATAAGCGATGCAATGAGACTATCTCTGCGCGAGTTGGACCAAGATTCTCTTGGCCAAACGAGAGCTTTTCTGGGGTGGTGGAGACATTCTGAGTCTTATCTTGGAACACGTAATGTTGTATATGGGGATATTAGTCCCTCAAAGGCTGAGCGAGTTTCCAGAAAAATAAATATGACAGACGTTACTGTCGGTTTCTCAAAAGGAGGAAGCGCCACCACAAAGTTTGCCATCGGAGCGAGGGAGTCGAGGTATGTGTCGCGGGCGGGCCGTTTGGAACCCCTTCTCGATGCGGGCCAAGAGATGCGCGTTTGTCTCTATGATTTTGCCTCTAAGAGATCATGGTTTGCTTCGGGAACGGAAGTTCTTCTCTATCTCGTGCATATCAAACACCAAAAAAGACCGTACGTCATGAACGGTGAGAGAGTAGATCTGGAATTTGCGAATCCAGCAGAAGATGGGTCAGGAGCCTGCAGAACCGCCTTAATGAGTATGGCTTCTGTTCCTATATACGGCAATACAGCAATATCAAGCACCAACTACTATGTGCAGGATCTTGTCAATCAACTCTGGCTCCGCCTAGAAAAGATTGAGGAGCCTAAAGACGAGGCTGGCATATCCATAGACCTGATGGCTAGTCAGAAGTTGACCGGCTATGAACTAATGGATCTCGCCTTCGATAAAGGAGTTTTGAAACAAAGAGAGGTGCGTCTCCAAGATACAAGCGGGAAATGGCTTGACATGATCAAGGCCTGTGACGGAGTTGTGCTATTTGGAAGCCACCTCGGGGATTTGATCAGGCCCGCTACGGAGACTCGTGGTCTCTATCCCGGCTGGTCGAGCCTCCCGGAAGGAAAAGACTACATGGCAATGACGAGTCAAAGTGTGTTTCGTGTCTTTGGAGAAGCCGATGACGAAGGACATCTCAGATTATTCGACTTGAGGCTTCACAAAAGCTCTCTTCTGTTCGAAAGTTGTTCTGGTTCGAGAAGTCACTGTTCTTGCCAACGCACCCTGCAAATAGTGCGAAAAAGAAAGATATCTTGGGGCATGGTGAATCCTCCAGGCAACTGTGGCCTGACAGGATGTGTTATAATCGGTCGAACTCGTGGGATCCACAAGTCGCAAAAACATTCGTCTAATTTTGAGGGACAGCTTTGCTCTTCCCAGAGCTCCAACGAGTGTAATAATGAAAATCTCGTGGACGAGGCTTTGACTACTTCGGCGCCCGAAATGCCAATACCAGAAGATTTTGAAGCGGCCTTGAGAGCTTCGGGTGACATGTACCTGAGTCAGGATGATGATGATGATGTGGACTTAGAATATTCTGAAGAGGTGCCTGTACAGGTGAATACAACACTACGCAGCCGCCAATCAGGATCCTCCTCGACAGTAATTGACGCCAGGCCAATGCCTGTTGTTTGGCCGTTCTCGGATACGAAGAATAAGATCCTGCCTCAAGATTACGGCGAAGATGTTGCACTCCAATCTCAAACATCAGGACCACTACCCTTGGGCATAGATTCGAGAAATCTAAAACAACTTGATATGTCATCGACAGAATTGCCTGGACCATCGACATGCCTTTGCCGTATGAGATCTGACCCATCCGCTGTACATACCTGTCAATGCTTCCGCAAAGTTCGAGAAGAAGACGCGGTAGTGATTGCAAAGGACTCTGGTTGCCATCTTCTTTCAATACCCGACAGCAAGCCTTTCCTTGTCTCTCGACCAGCACGCTTGAATATAGTAGAAGGCCGCACAGAATTGGATCCGACGCTGTCACTAACGTCGGGAAAAAAGCTTCCTTCTCTGTCCGCTGAATATGAATCATCAGAAGCCCATAATGGGAGGTGGACTTCCACCAATCCGAGGAGCCCCCCGAACGTCTCACTGCCACACAGAAAGCTCCTCGACTATGCTTCAAAATCGCCAACTCCAGAGAACCAGGGGCAACCAGTGCGTGGTCAAGGTGTCCAAAGACTCGTGAAGAAGGGGCCTGTGAGTGAGCTTCGGAGCTCATACCTGAGGGAAGAGCCTAGGACAAGTGACCCAGAAGCTCATCCATGGAGAGTGGCACAACGACATGATGCTCAGAAGGACGGGAAGGGAAAGGGGAAGGAGAGTGCCGTATAAAACGCGGACAATTATATACCAATATGGCGTATCAAAATTCACTTGCGGAAAGCGTCTCTGTCATTCTGTGCTGGATGACTAGCATCTGTCGCTTACCCATGTTGATGGCTTTCCACTTCTGCTTAGTCTCAATTTTCCTCTCCACCTAGTTCACCTGCTTATTTCAACACCTTGCCCCACGATCTTGTTTTGCGTCACATCTAAATTGGCAACTATCACTTTATCGTCGAGTTTTGCTATAATCTTTTCCAGGCAGCCAGGCTCTTTCCTTTTGTCTCTAATATCATAAGAAAGACAGTAATTATGATAACGATATTGGTGTAAATAAAAAGGAAGTAGCATCATAATTAACAGAAGCGAGAGTAATACAGTCGCTGTCAATTGCTGTTTGATGAGACAAGATTTCCCACCAAAAGTCACACTTGACACTTGTTTTTAAACTGTTACTAAAGACCTTTTATATCAGCTGTCTATCATCATACACCTTTTGATAACAATTCATCTTAGTTCTCGTATTTAGTTATTCCCTCAACTGCCGAAAGCACTCTTTTCCGGGGTACCTTGGACGACAACTCAGTATTCAAATTCCAGCGTTCTTCGCTAAATTAAATAGGGTTTCGCTACAGGCTATGCACACCCTGTAAAAAATGTGTTTGATACGATACGGCAATTAAGGGGATAGTTTAACTGCTTTTCTCTTAATCGTGACGCGGAAAGGGGCTCGCTAAATTACAGGCCCGTTGTTGACACCTGGGATTTGTATCATGTAATCGGTGTCTTTCATAGCAGGAGACGCTGTGGCAAAAATTTGCTTGGTGCCCATATACCTAACATATAAAGAAAGAAAAAGTAAGTAAAGCATATGTTCGTGACACAGATCAGCGGTAGCACCGCCCCTATGATGACTTCAGCAGTTTTGAACCTACTGCCAACACTTTTCCAGCATTCATTGTATTCAACTAAAAACCGTTTCAAGGAGGAACATTCGAAAACCTAGCCCTTTCTCGTGCTGCATCGTGTGGGATTACTCTGACACCACGACTAGCCTCGATTATATCTCCACTTTCACCATGTACGCAATTATCGAAGACACCAGCAATGTCATCCTGAGTAGCCCTAGCTGCTCCACTGCCACCGGATATGCCGATCACTGTCTGCCTCTTTAATGCCAAAAAGTCTACAAATGGGAAGTCGGAAGTTTGCTGAACTTGGTTCCACGCAGTGAGGGCTAGAACTAAGAGTATCAGGAACAGTATCAAGCCACAGACGATGATGTAAGCTACGACTGTCCACTTCAAGGAATGTCAGCATTCAGCAAACATCACTGACCAATATCAGGTGAAGTTGATACATACCCGAGATATTGTCAGAAGGTCGACCTTTTCAGAATACGAACCAAGTATGTAATTCTCGCTCGGTAAGCCATCCACCTTCTTCGTCACGGATGGAGGGGGGCCGAGAGCTGATGTCATGGGATTGTAGAAATACAATGGAACCATAAAGAGGTTTCTTAAAACCTCCCTAGGGTGTACTTGATACGCAGCAGTCCGGGAAACGTCCAAGATATTTGAAATCCAGCTCGTCAGCTGAAATTCAACGCCTGTCACATCGCAGGCAAAGCTTATGTCCAATGCCTGAAATGGATAGAGAAAGCCGTTAAAAGCAGTGAGAAAATCTGCTGGGGTGATATCTTGTGGCTCGGCTTTCGTCAGATTCTTGACGTCCAGAAGTTCGCCACTCTTCCTGTCTACGGCGACCGTAGCTTCTCTTCGGTACGGAGCGACAATGACGTTCCATGTTGCAGCGGTTCTCCAAGAGCCCTCATACGTGCAGCCGCCATCCGCAGTGACTTTGTCATTGCAGTATTTGAACGCTGGAAAGTTTGGATGTGAGTACGGTGAAGTGGCAACTGTGATTGAGACATACCTGCAAGAATTTTTCTATCCTCGTGCGGAGTCATGCAAATCAGAAAAGCAACGTCGGCGATACCTGTTGTACCATACATCCCGAATAGGGTGCAATCTTTCTCTGACCACTGAACAATCGCTGGGCCATCCCAGAAATCCAGCTGGTAGACTGGTGTGGCACGGGTCATGTAAACCGGGAGGGAAGATCTGTTTTCTGCCAAGTATCTCCATGGTGTTACTGTCTGGAGCCCTCCAGGAATAATATACGACGAGCAGTTTGTCTTTTCCTTACACTCTGGGCTGATGGCTGGCCAATCTTTTGTTATGGTAGTGTCTCTGATCATGTTCAATGCTAGTCCAGAGAGGTATGCTCCGTTAGATAGCTTGAGAGCTGCTTGAGAAGCGTTGTATTTCCCAATGCCTCCAGAGATATCTTCCCAGTTAGTGGGACGGTAGTCTATGCCTGGATTGACCTTGGCTAGATCGTGGTGAGTATTACTTCTTCGATGTGGAACGTAGTACTACTCACTCATGAATATCAGACCTGGGAACTGGATAAAAAGCCAGAACCCCACTCTGGATCATGTCAACTTTGATGCTATATCTTAAGATTGAATCAAAATTCAGTACTTACCGACTAAGCCCCCAGAATCGCGCATTAGTCATCGATGGCCTCCGAACTTGAGTCCCACGTACAGCTCCTGTTTGAGCCCGGCGGTGCCTGTGTCGCCAAATGAAATCCACAGGAAATCTCAAAATCTGCTGGAGCTTCCCCGGCACTCTTCTCCAAATCCTCTGGAAGAGTCTCAAGTCATGGAATATAATTCCGAGCCAGCCAGCTAGACCACTACTTGAGCTCAGAGCCAAGAAATCAGTCAAGTTCTGGCCCCTTCGCATAAAACGCTCACTCCATTGAGCGGATTGCCAAGCTTTGTCTCCTGCTGCAAGCAGAGCATAGTTGTTGAGAAGAGCTAAGACGTTCAAGAGCAAGAACCCGCCGGTGACACCAGATCTAGCCAGAGGACCATTGACGTCTGAAGCTGTGCTGATAATGTATGTGGTGATTGTGTACACCACTATCAAGACGATCGGACCTTTCATTGACCAGCAGAAGCTACTGAATGTCTTCTTCCGAGGTCGAGTTTGTGGTGATGGACTCGATCCTGTTGCTCCACCATTTGCTTGGAGAGGAACGTGGTTTGTTGCATTTCCATTGACGACTGGGGCTGGCGTTGCTTGAGAATTTGGGGTTGGGTGGCTATTGTTGGAAGTTGCGGGCTGTTCCGCCTGAGGGACTTGTGGCACCAAGTTCGTAGATACACGTGAAGCTGCAGTATCTGGTGTTGAAGCTTGATTGTTCGCCGGAGTTCTTTCACCTCCTACCAGTGGTGTTGGTGCCGGTGGTCTACGACTAGATGGTCCTGGCTGTGGCTCTGTCGAGGCTCCAGCAGCCTGGAGATTTTGTGCCTATAAATTGAACTCAAATCTGGCTCCAACAAGAAATAGATCGGACCTTACAGGTGCTTCTACCCTCTCATCCGACATGGGACCAACATCCGTCAGCGGGATAACTTCTGGACGTGGTTGTGCCATTGTTGACATTCCGCTTCTTCAAAAAGCGAAACTTTGGAAGAAAACATCACAAAATATACCTGGCAACTGCTCCCAGGAAACTTAGCAGTGTGATGAGATTGGCGACTATCACGATCAATACCATCCCGCCATCCATCCACAACAACAAATGGTTGCTCAGCTCTCGCTTCGCCGTCCACTCCCCAAACTGTAAGCCCACGCCACGGCTTTGGAGGCTGAGACATTACTTCTTCGGGAAGCTAGGGAAGTGCCGAACCGCTCCCTTCCACGAATGAAGTGGGACCTCATGCTTATCATCTACTAGAAAGGTGGGTGGCTGTATTGTGTAGCACTACATTTATTTGTTTTGTGCTTCAGGTGACCTTGGCAGGAGTTGGAACACGCAACCCCTCGTCCGGGGTATGGGGTCTGGAGGGGGAGGGCCACCACCAAGCAAATGGGAGAATGTCAGGGACTTAATAATATCGAGGATCAGACAAAAGCTCCCAGAAACCGAACAAGCGCTTTTGTCTTAATCTCATTTGAGATCAGTCATGTTCATCAAAATCCTCCTCTTGCTCTTGCTGGAGCCCTTTGTAGCTCTTGGTTCTGTGCCCCGTCTCGCATCCCGTCAAAATTTTGAATGCGGCGTAAAGCCTGTCAAGTGTGGAGATGGTTGGTGCTGCATATTCGGGGAGGTCTGTCAGGCCTCACCTGATGCTGTGTTTGTTTGCGTCGATAGCATTCTTACCAATTCCGACGGGTGAGCATCCATCTCCAGAACAATCATCAAAACAACATCCAAGGGCTCTAAACATTAACAAGGCACTAGTTCAGCTGTCACCAACCCGGCACAGAACCCTGCATCGTTCGACTCTCTTATCAGTGGTATTATCAGCTCTGCAACTCAACCTTTGACATTCACGCAAAATGGAACCACACAAACGATATCGTTCTCGATCTCTGCTCTGAGTACGAGTTCAATCGACGTCTCCGGCTCGAGAGATAGGTCGACCATTACTCCCGCTCCATCGGCATCAGCACGTACTTCGACCATCATTCCGACGACTACCAGTGAATCTTATGGAGAGGCATCTGTCGCAATTATGAAAGGATGGTGGATAGGTCCTATTTTGGGCATTGTTTTGATGTTTGTTCTTTGATTCGGGGAGAGAACTTAGTTTGATAACTGGGAAGAGGCAGGCTAGCAATACCTAGGTAACTAGTAGCTAGATAGTTCTGATTATTTAACTTCTGTATTTGAGCGGAAAATGACAGTACTTATTCAATATGATTTCTTGTCGAAGACCTTTAGCCAACAAGCCTGGAGCATTAGCGAACTGACACGGTGAAGCCCCCCAACTTACAGCGTAGCTTAGCCCTTCCACCCTATTCAGTGCACCTCTCGCTTATTCCGAGGCAGAAACAAACAGTTCGGAGAATCAGGCGAGCCTTTCCATTTCCAAGATATATTGATGCCTTATTCTGGGGAAAAATGGCCATCCTATCAAAAGACAGATACGCTCTATGTCATAGCCTGGTGAAGGGCTGATTATTTTTTGGTACTGTTGGTATCACGTGTCGCTGCCTCGCCGCAGAACCGGCGACGTTTCCTTTGGCATCTTTCTTCGAACCTCAGCGCCGTTCGCCTTCCTCCTTCAGATCAATTCATCTTCTATCACTACACGTATGTTTGGGGGTTTTTCTGGCTAAAGAGAAAAAATTAGAGTTATCCAACTCATTTCAGTGCTCTCGGATGAGCATCAAAAGTGGCTTCTGAGGGCCTGCCAAAACCTTCTTGGATATCAACCATGAGATCACTCACAACGAAGCAAACTCTTACTTTTTCCACAGTCCTCTGCATAGCATTACTTCTACCGACATTCGACTACTCTATCTTTAGATTAAGCCCTTTAGATTACACCCAGCCCGTTGACACTGGTCCAGGTACACACACTCGCCTCAAAGCTGCTAGTCATGAAACAGAACTAAAAGTCCTGCAGTCGTCGGGATAGATCTCGGTCTTAAGTACTCGCGTGTTGGCATCGTTCAAAATGACACGTTTGAAATGATAGCCGATGAGAAAGGCCGAAGCTTAGTGCCGTCGGTTGTCGCTTACACGGAAGATGGCAAGTCTTTGGTTGGTTTCGAAGTGCAGGAGAAGTCTTTGAGTAATCCCAAGAATACGATTTATGATATAAGGTTCATTTAGATGAGTACTATTTCAAATGCAACGCTGATAACCAGGTCTAGGCACCTGATCGGTGGAAACTTTTCGGATCCTGCAGTCCAGAGCAGAATTGCAGCCCTGCATTACGAGGTCGTGCAGAGAGGGTACAGCAATGGTTCGCTCGATATCAAAGCCCAAACCGCAAACGGAGATCAGTTCTTCTCACCAGAAGACATAACCGCCATGATCTTGAGCCGGCTGAAGACCATGGCCGAGACTTACTTGGATACAACGGTCACTTCAGCCGTCGTCGCCGTACCCTCTTACTTCACCGACACGCAAAGAACAGCCACTAGAGAAGCGGCAAAGATAGCTGGATTGGACATCTTTAGTATGATTGACGAGCCAATTGCGGCTGCTTTTGGACATCGGCTTGACCTTTGGGATGGTCTTTGCGACGAACCTGATTTCTACGAGAGTAAAATATGCAATGTTGTCGTGTACGACATCCAGGAGACAGAATGGGATCTCACGCTATTGGAGATCGATCGTGGTGTATTTGAACTCAAGACAACGGTACACAATGATCAGGGGCGAGGGTTGCTTGGATACTTGCCGACCATGATACAGAGTCCGCTTAAATTCCTTGGGATAGACTCTTCCGCACCACTGATTAGTTCAACTGAGGGATTTTTGAAGGCTTTACAACTGCGCAAGCAGGATATTCACAGCATCCTCGTCACTGGTGACCCGAAGCTTATTTCAGAGGCTCAGAGAGTCCTCGAAGGATACTTCACAAACGTAGAAGCAATCACAAACCCCGATTTCTCGAACGATGAAGCTGTCGTCCGCGGAGTTGCACTTCGGGGAGCCGCTTTCAGACTGAGCCAGGAGGAATGGGATGGCTGTTCGATGACCATTGACGTCCTCCACTTGAGTATGGGAATCGAGGCAAGCAACGGAACTTTCCACACCATCATTCGAAATGGCACGGCTATTCCAAACCGCAAGTCCACCATCGTCACGACAACTTTCGACAACCAAGAAAAAGTTGTGGTTAACGTCTGGGAAGGCCAGCGACTGATTTCAAACAAGAACAGGTTACTAGGTACATTAGAGCTTACAGGAATCTCGCCCAGACCAAAAGGATTGCCGAGGATTGAAGTCAGTCTTGAAGTCGACGCGAACAGGATATTGCGCGCTACAGCTAGGGACCTACAAAGCGATAATGAGAACTGGGCGGAATTTATTGTGAAAGCAAGGAAGAGTAATTACACGGAAGAGATTCTCCGGTCCCTTCTCAACGAAGCGGGAAAGTTCCGTGAGGAAGATGAACTTTGGGCTGAGAAACTTTCAAGAATTGATTCAGATAAAAGCGAAGATGGTCGGGAGAACTCTGTAATCCTGGTAGTATGATAGGAGATAGGAGACGTGCAGTTAAGTTTAATAGTTCAGAGCGGAGACAGCTCCGGTTTGCTCAGCACCGTTGGGCGCCAGGATCTAAGACAAGAACGCTGGTCGTTGAACTCTGTTTCCCCTATTCTGCTAGTAGCTTGTAATTGTTGCTGGGGTAGACTATCCCATATCCCACAGTGTACCTTCTGCGTCATTAGAATTTGTGATTTTCCTACAAATAGTCACAATAGACGAAAACGACCTGTCAAAAGCTCACTGTGTGCGCATATCTTCATACTTTCACCCAAGAAAAGCCACAATTCTCCGCGCAATTCTCCGCGCAATTCTCCGTGCCGCTCCTCCACAAATTATTTTCTGCACCCCACGACAACATCATCAGAATCATACTACAGTACTATCCCCCCCCCGGCTTGAATGTTAAATGTGAACTTTTGCGGGTCGGAGGCCTGACTTTCAAGTGCTGAGTGGTCGGAGGCCCTGGATAGAGCCAGAAGCACGAGCCAGAATTAGGTCTATTGTAATAGTAACGGTGCCTTTAGAAGGTTCGAGAGACACTTAAGCCCTACCTAAGGCTAAATCTCTACTGAAGTATTGGATAGACACCCCTAGTAGCTACTCACACGAGGTCCAGTTTTCTACACATTTAACATTCAAGTTGGGGGGGAAATGTAATTGACTTCCGATAGCTACCGGTAGCTACCGGGACAAAACTTTGCTTCAAGACCAGACCGAATTTTCAAGTTTCATACCCTTGTACCGGAGAGATTCCGGTTAATACTGCTATTATACTCTGTCTTATTTCTAGGTGTGAGCTTATTGGTAGGGGACAAAGCGAGGAACTTGGCGGTGTGTTTCTACGGGGATACTTCCCAGGACTTTGAATACATGGGTCCAGTGCTGGATAGTATATGCCTTGTCAAGACTCTCTGGAGACCCTGAGAGGTATTTCGGTATATGATTAAGTGAAGGCTGAGAAAAACGATTCTCAATCGTTCAATAGGATGATCAATAAATTCCCAGCTCGAACATCAAGAACGCTGGGCGAATTGTAAGCTTATCAGTCATAGCATCAGCATGAACGTATCCCAGGGCATCCACCAACCAACCAACATTCCACGAACTCTCGCATGACATACTTCTTTCATCCTTCAGCCCCCACGTCCCTCGTCCATCTATCACGTAGTCAATTGCAACGTCGAGCGGCTCGGGCCGGGCCCCCCCCTTCCCCGGGCCCCCGGCGACGACAATAATCAGACCATTCCACCTTCATGCAAGCAAGGCAAGAAACTCGAGTCATTCAAAGTGGAATGAATGGAACGTGCCCGGGCGTCCACGTCCGCAGCGGCGGCCGCACATCCATCCATCCATCCATCCATCCCTTATCATGAACACCAGCTGGTCTGAGCAGGGCTGTGAAATTTCTGGAAGCGTGGAAGACATCCGGCCCAATTGATATACTACTGAAACCTTGCTTCATGTGAAGCGCAGCCTGGAACCTCCCTCCGGGATTGAGCTCCCGCTTTCCGCGATGAATTTGCGAAATGCAACAAAAGAATATTTTGGAGGCAGTTTGCTGGGTTTCTTCTCTCTTTCCTTGCTTGATGTGTTTGAGGTTGACTTTGCTGGTGAGGCGAGGTGGGCTCGCCTGATTACTTCGCTTCTTGGGACGAAGGTGTTTTGGTGTGGTGTTTTGTTTGTTTTATTTGGCCGTGGGGCTTTTGGCTGCCTTCTTCACTGTGGTTCACTGCGAACATGAAAATACTGCGTGAACAATTTTGCTTCGCACCACGACTGCGAATGCTCGCTGTGATTTCCGTTTTGGAGAATAATGTATTTTTATGAAGCTCTATGCTAAATTTACAACCCTTTCCATATTGCCTCGGTCCAGTTTCGAACCGGTAGGTGTTCTGCAAGGAACAGCTTCTGGTTTTCGCTTAGTTGCTCCGAAGGATTCAGACGCAAGGACGAGAAACAGGGGATGGTCTCGAGACGTGGACACCTAAATCATCGTAACGGATATGTTATCGAATATAGTTAGCTGTTAACTTCTCGCATCTCCAGGCGCCGTCAATGGGGCATCAATGCATAAGAAGTGGCTTCAGGAAGTGGTGAGGTGCGGGAAGATACTTAGTAGTGATAAGTGACACAGCGAAACCTTTTGACTTTAAGATCGCGTTCCTTTCCAGTGGTCTGAACTCAATTCAACATCAGTGGAAGGGAGCTGTAGATATGAAGATACTGACAAAATCGTACTTGAATTGTATGAAGTGTTCTGCTGCATCATAGAATTGTCGGTCCTTTGTACGTTAATTCGGAGTCACTAAATCACCATCCAGCGTTTCAATTGACAGAACCGCTTCACAGCGCTTAGACTTCTGCGCTACAAACCGCTCTCCTAGTCCTACAAGATAGCTCAAATACAGATTCCTAGTCCTCACACTTACGCTGCAAACCCAAGGACCCGTCCTCCGGAACCTCCGGACCAGCCTCCGTAGATGTGCAACAAAATGCCATCCATCCAGTAACAACAATTCGAGGAACGCAGAGACCACGAATGCCACAAGGTCCTCCAGAAGATTCAAACTTTGCACCGACTGTTTTGCCCTGTCTCCGTCATCTGGTGCGACCGCTGCTGTCGTTCCGCGAAAGTCAAAATGTGCAACATAGCGGGAAGACTGTCAGCTGTCTAAGATGTCGAGCTTCTTCTTTTCGAACGACCGCGGCACGGCATAGCATGGCATTATTTCGACCTTCCAAACTAAGTGAAAGACTCAAGGGGCTAACCCAGCTTGGTAGCCAAAACTTTAAAATATTTTCCCCTCTGGAGTCAGTGTTGCTCTAACCGGTAAGAATCATAGTTCACGCCAAGTCAGCACCAGAACGCAAGCTAACCACAACACACGTCGCCTGTTTGCTCACTTTTGTTTAGCGAACACCCACCCGATATATCTGTAACGCTTCCTAACGTTCCAGAGGTTTTCGAGAAGCTGGAAAGGAAAGCGGTGCAAGCACGGCCCACTTTCTACGATGTGCAACAGAGTAGAGCCACAGGGTTACGGCTCGTGACTCGGATGATTTCCCGTTCGAATATTTTCGTTTAGGATGAGAGGCACGAGAGCTCTCTCGGCTGTGCGGTGCATTATGTTGTACGTAGGTGGTAACCATGTGGCGAGGATCGGCACGCCACAAAAACATCGAAATGCAACAAAAGATTATTATTTCTCTGTGCGAGTAAGCTGTGGAGGCGAACTTTGGATGACATGTGTGACGTGGTGAAGTTTGGTTTTGAGATAACTGCAGTGGTGTTTTGGTCGAATAGAGATAGCTGTGAGGCTTTACTCCTCGAGGCATGAAGAACGGCCCTTAACAGTAGCACCAAAGCCAGCAGCGTGAATTCGTGGAGAAATTAATGTCCTCAGAATATTTACAGAACATTGAAACATTTCAATTGACGCTTTTTACATGGGAGGAACTGGCTAGTATAAGGTAAGGTACCTGGGTACAAGTATCCCAGAAGTCTCACGTGATCCTCTCCATGGTAGGTATTCCTACTGCAGGGAACTTCTGAGGTATCCTTTCTTTTGTATTTCACAAGCAAGTTTCAGACATCTAGAATCACAATAGAAGACCTGGATTTCATTTCAATTTCTTAATAAAAAACAGCCCCAAGGTCACCAAACAACCCAACGACATACAAACGCCAAATTTCCTCTATTGATCCATACTATCCATCCATCCACCCAACCCTCAATGTCCTCAAAAAGCTCCAAAACATTCAACTCAACCCCTAAATCCCCAATTTAGGAGCCCGCTCATACGGAACAACCATTCCTCCGTTACCATCTCCCCGCTCATCCTCTTCTCCACCCGGAAAGAAATCACCCATTCCCTCATCCTCATCCAAGACCTCATCCAAACCCAGCTCCATGCTACCCTTCATAAATACCCCAGGGGCCTTCTGAATAAAAGCTGGATCTTCGTGGAGAAGGACTGGGAAGATCAACTCGCTGCTGGAGTCGGCGGGACCGGAACCTTTCTTTTGGCAATTGAAAGAGAAGAGCTTGCCAATCCAGCACTTGATAATGCTGAGGAGGGACATTTTGGTGGTGTTTGGTATTCCTTGAGGAGTTGGGAGGGATTTGAGGGGGAGGAGAGAGCTGGGTTGGGTGGAATGTCAGGATTGTGTGGATTTAGAGTTTGATTGAATAGCCTGAAATACCTTCGTATGGCTCAATTGAGATGTTACAAGACGTTTTGGTGACTCGATACTGTTTTTTTTTTGCTGCAATGAGAAAGACTGGCGACAAGAAGGAACTGGATTGTGGCTGTTGTGATTAATAAAACGTCAAAATGAAGACAAAAGTGACAAATTGGCCTCGAGATTTCATAGACATACCTGTCTGTGATTCAGTAAGGGTATAAACAGACGTGGTTCTGCGTTGTTCGTTTATTTGTTGTTGTGCAAAGATGCGTTGGGGGTTTGATAGAAGGAGCCGTTGTCTGGAAGTAAACAAACGACGCGAGATTTGTGTCAGGACGCTAAGAAAACCCTCACAAACGTGGGAAGTTGCCTGTGATGATGCAATTGGATGACTCAAGCAGGGAAAGAAGAAGCGAGTATTATAGGAAAACAATTTTAAACAAGTCCTTCGAATGGTGGGGTTGATTTGGTTTCAAGGACAGAGAGGACACAGAGGATTTTGAAAAAAAAAGTTTTTTGTTCTGTGTCAGTTGATCTACAACTTTCCAAATCCCTCAATAGAAAGTACAAGTAAGAGGAACAACATAAAACAACATTGCAAGATAGTTCAATATGTTTTGGAGTATAAGGGATGTGTTCAGATAAATACACGACACCAATCCCCACCCCTCCAAGCAATGACCACCGTCCATGAACCTTCTATATCAAGCCAGCCCTTTCTACAGTTTCGTAACATCTCTCCTCAGCCTCTTTTGTAACTTCTTCTTCGCATATCCCCTCAACTGCCGAAAACACACTTTTCTAGGTTACAGTGCTGAAGCCAGGCGCTAAGGCTGCCTAGACGAGCAACGCAGTATTCAAATGTCAGCGTTCTTCGCTTAATAATAGGGTTTCGCTATAGGCTATAAACTCCCTGTAAAAAGTGTGTTTCATACGGCAGTTGAGGGGATAGCCTGTAACTTTCTCTCCTTGACAACCTCTTCTGTATCCACAACAACTATCTTAATATCGCTCCCTGTAATCGAGTAAACATCGGCACTCATAGCCGAGAAACAGAGCTGCAAATGCACATGTCTCGCGGTTATTTCTTTTCCCGGCTCCCAAACTTTCAATTGAGTCCCGTAGTTCAATAGCATAGCAGTGATTGAGTTATTTTCATCTGTAGGTGTTACGGCTAATTCCTTGTAGAGACCATCTGAGACCATGTATATGCCTTTTCAAATATTGACATTGGGCGAAACATCACGAGTACATATCGCACCATCCAAATTCCAGCACGAAATCAAACTCAAATCCATTCTTTAATTTTCCGGTCCGATTTCTCCCACATGTTCATATCATATGACATTAAGCGAAGATGTCTCTTTATCTCCAACCAAATATCGATGCATAACCTATGCAGAATCTTAGCACTTGTCGCGATGCCCATGCTTATCTTGCCAAGAAATACACGGATGCCACTCTTCACGACTGCTCGACATAATCCATCAAATCCATACTAGTGTGCGAATTATCTTTGGGAAATTAAAGAGTGTCTAAGAGTAGTGATGACAGGGACATTACTATGTTTTTTGGGAAAGGGTTTTTCCCATTTAACAACATCTCAGCGATAGTAATCCTAACTGTAGCATATCCATCTTAGGCAGTGAAGTTCTCCTGAAGAACCCAGCTGCATTGACAGATCCAGAACACAGGTTCCAGATCCTCAGTATCACCTATCATGTGGTATCGGCCATTACCAATAGTGCATCTCTGCATACAATTCCTTAGCGAGATCTGCGCCGTGTTCATGTGCGTCGTACTTTCAGTAAGGGAACGACAATCCTGTCTGTGATATCAAAAACTTCTTCTTCATGATATTCACCTGCAAGGTTTCAGCTCCGCCTATATTCTTCACACGAGGAGTTAGTTGGAAATGTTTGAAAGGACGAGAATTAATAGAGTGGAGAAACATCGATATCATTGCGGGCCAATACTTTTTGGTAGTGGCAAGAAGCCAGAGCAGGAGAAAAAAATGTTTTAAGTGACCTTGGAATCAGCTGTTCTGAGCAACATCGATCAAGGTTTCATTGCCAATTGTACAGAATCAAACCTCTCAACTCGGTCATAAGTGTTCACACAGCCTTTGGCTGCAGCGTCAAATCCACCTTCTTCCCAGCCTCGACACCCGCCTCTTTTTCCCCATCCGTCTGTTCAGCCACAACAACCTTCGTAGCATCTTTCTCCGGATCATCAACATCCAAACCCGGCTTCATCTCGGCCGTCACTTCCTCCGCATCATTCCTAATCACTTTAATTGTCGCTGCTGTTTTGTGACAGAAAACTCTCAAACTGACGACCAGTGGTGCGTTCCAAGGCGCATCATCACCTTCTCCGTCTTCGTCGTCTGAATCATCGTCGTGTGCTGGAGCTGGAGGTGGGGGTGGAGCATTAGGTTCTGCGCCGAATCCGCCTAAAGATTCTTCCCCCGGATGGCTGGATTGGTGATGAGTAGGTTCGTCGGCAGCTGGTTTGGATTCGGGTTCTGTGGATGAAGTGGCATCAGATGCTTTAGAACTGTCTTTTGGTTTCATTTCTTCCACTTGTTTCTCAGCGAGTTTGGTGGCTTCGGCTTTCTCCTCTTCCACATTCTTTTCCCCTAGTTTCTTCTCCTCCCCTTTTCCCTCCTCTTTCTTTTCCTCAACTTTCTTCGGCACCACCTTCTCCTCAATCTTCCCCTTCGCATGCGCCAAATCATACGACAGCCCAATGCGAATCAACTTATCTCTTCTTTCCAGCCAATTTTCCTTCACAACATCTTCAATCTTGGGTCTATAAGATCGTCGAAACGCCTCAATCTGTAGCAGTACACGATAAGTGCCCGGCTCGAGATCAACTTCCGCAACAGCAGATCTTTCGCCACTGGAATATCCTCGGACAACGTAATCGCTTTGGCCGGCCATGTGGAGTCGGAAAGCGAGATTGAAAGAGTACTGGCCTGTCAACCCACCGAAATACCGACCATCAAGTTGAGAGAGCACGATGACGGTAGTTGTGGGCTCAGTAAGCACAAATTCGAACTCGGTGTCATTGTAATCGCCTGACCAGGGAACTTGGATCGTAGTCCAATGCTGCGACACGTTCCAATCTTCAGTGAACAGCCTAGCTCTCCAGATCTCGACAAATCGTTCCAGGAAACTCTCATATGGCATCCAGAAAATACCTTCGTTGCCAAATGTGAAATCGAGCTCTTTCAGGGCTTCAGGCGTCCATTCTTTCGAGCCGTCGCTCCATCGACCATTCCACTCAGTGTCACCCCAAGGGTTCTTGACCATGAGGAGACGCTCCCCTTTATACTCCACTGCTCTGAGAACGGAGTATGCATGTCCATCTTGAATACCCTGTCTCCCGCCAGCTCGGTCTTCAGAACTGCTTCCATAATGTCTAGTTCCCGCGCCGAAAAGAAACTCCTTATTGACATTCAAGAACGATTCCGTCCAAAGCTGATCCCGATCCAGAATATCTGCCGAAACAATCTCAGTCGTGATCCCACCCGTAAGATCCTCCACACCTTCACCGGGCCACCCACCAGCAATAGCTTCAAAATCACCATGAGCCTTCGCAAACGCCTTCTCCAGCAACGGCACCCACGTTTCTTGCGGGTGCGCACAACTAGCGAAATGCAACGCATCCGATCCCGTCTGAAAAGTCTTCTTATACAACTTCCTCGACACCTCAGGATCCAGCCTGAAATGCGCCGAATCCCAAACCGCTCGTCGCGAATCATCGCAATCGTCGTAGTCCGGCGCAGAGAGATACAGTTTATCATCAATGATCTCCGAGACCCACTCGCCATCACGATGGAACACAAATCCATAGACACCAACCTTCTCATCTCGCAGCTGAGGCGGACAGATCCGCTCTACGAGATGCGAGAACCGCTCTTCAACACATAGCGATCCCAATGAAGCGATGAACCAGCAATCTCCCTCTGCACCTTGCCTGAGGTCTTTAACATGCACATCCTTCTTAACATGAAACTTCGGCTCCTCAAAAATAGCACCCACCCTCTTCGCACACGCCGGTCCCGACGAAGGAGGCGGTCCGTCCTGCTGCCCTACTTGATCCGGCTGGACGTTTCCCCAGGAGATCTGCTCACCCGCCGAGACAGCCCGTTGCGTGACTTCAAACGTGACGGCAGTGTCCACTGGTGGTGAAAGAGGAGGATCTTTCTTGCCAGATAGCGCTGTGAGGCAGTACTCCATGTCATCGAGGTCGAAGTGCGGATCGCAGTACTTGGTGTTGGTCCGGCGGCATTCTGCGATGATTTGGCGGACTTTGATCTCGCACTCTTTGACGGCGTGGTCATAGGATTCGGTTACGGGACGGCCTGTCACGATGCCTTGGGGCATGTTGTTGCCTACCATTTGGGTGAGTACGTTTTTTGGGAGGACGGTGGGTGCTGTTCTTCGTTAGCGAGTGACTTTGTATATTTGTAAATAGGAGAAATTCACGTTTGGCTATCTTGGATGCATTCTTGCCGATTCTTTTCTCCCAGAACTTATCGATTAATTCCTGGGAAGTCAATTTGGGCAGCGAGGGTATGATAGACATCTTGGGCAAGGGAGTTCCAATGTAAACAACAGAAACTGAGCAACAACCACCGGAAGAGTTGACACCAAATTTCTCGCCTACTGAAAATAAAGTATGAAGTGGAAAAAAAACACTGTGACGAGAGGCAGGGGAATCTAAATCCTTATTCCTTGTGCTAGCTAAGAATAATTTGTTCTGCGTCTCGGTAACACCAAGGAATATCAAGGGGGTTGGGGTTAGTGTGGGGGCCGGAATCAACGTCAGCACTACTGCAGTCACCCCCAGTGAAAGAAGTTCAGCTCAAGCCACAGCACAAAGCATTCGTAGCACCACCCACTAAGTGCCTCGAAAACAAATATTTTGTTGAGCTAAGATCACTACATTATGCATTATTGCACCGTCAGAGATCTTGTAGCCTCATTCTTAGCCACAACCCGAAAGCTCGAATAGGGACAAGCCTCTCGGGAAGTGTGTTTGCTGACATGACTTGCTTTCATGTAGCATCAAATGATACAGATGATTGGTTCTACGAGACCTATTCAATGTGCTTTGTGCATGCCTAGGGCTGACTTCTCAATGTCTTGTTTAGGGAAGTGGTGTTCTCGATGCTCATATCCCGATGTGGTCAGCACTCACCGAGTACTAGACTGTGATTCAACATTTCCAATCACGCTGCTTGTTGAAATTCCGATATGCTGACAGAAACTCGTATGATATTGGTTTCACGGTGCGGCCGGCAGGTCTCGGTGTATCAAATCAGGTACTGAGGCAATGCTGACAATGAGACAGCAAAAAAGCATATAATTGCTAAAACCCACGAATACTACCCAGAGACTGCCCGATTCGCCTACGAACTATCCTCAAATTGTTATCTTCTCACATGGGCGTTTGTCCGAGTAGGGAGCTCCGCTGCCGATGATTCTACGGCTCTTTGCGCCTCCGCCAAATCTACCTGGGCTGCGATAAACTGTCTTTCCGCAAGACGATAACCTTGCTCAGCGTCGAGCAACCGCCGCTCGCTCCTGAGGCTCCGCAACCTGCGACGATCATGCTTCTGCGCAACCACAACATAGACTTCCAGAGGTATATAAACTCCATCTTCAACCTCTTTTGCCATCTCTTCCACGATGCGTTCGACTCTCGCTGGAGTCCATCGATTACCAGGAATGGGAAGAATCGTCAAGTGCTCCAATAACCGTTTCCATGCAAGGACAGAGAGTTCGTCAATTTTGACTCTCACGTCATTCAACCTGGGAGATTACCAATTAGTGATTGCTCATCGTATCATAGAAATAGTTCCGAAAGATGCCTCCAGAAGATGTTGAGATATTTTACAGGAACAACGGCTTTCCAAAACTTACTGGGCAGTATTGAAAACATCCTCATGAACGTATTTCACCTCAGGATGTGCGAGTGCGATTTCATTCAATCCTTTTCCACCACTGGTTTCGTCTTCGTAGTATTTATCAAGTTCTGCGATGCCTTCCATCATCTCCAAGTAGGATGCTTTGCTGGATCCTGGCTTTGAAACATAAATCCGGCCCCTATTCTCTCGACTGGACAAGTTCACATCGATCCACCTATATCTCAATGTAAGCAAACGTCTCCAGAACATTGAGAAATCTCGTTATGATTAGGGAGAGGAAGCAGTTGTCGTTACATACTGTATCCATCCTCCTGGTTTTGCAAGCTTCACCATGTTGTCGAAAGCAACGTCCCATTGACCAGAGACCAGAACTGGACCCAAGAAATTGGCGTGGACCGAATCAAAAGACTCCAGATCTTGATCGGGGAAAGGATTCAGGATGTCGTGCTCTTTGAATTTGGCTTTGGACAGGCAGACGTCAAATGTAGCTTTCGGCCTGCCTGGAAAAATTTCGGGCATAGTATCGTAACCCACAAGGGTATAGCTTTGTTTCTTCGAATCGCCGAGAAGATGATAGAGAAAGACTCCAGTTCCGGTATTCAGCTAAGACTAAGTTAGAGGTGCTCTTTCAAAGACATAATACGAATGTTTATTGTAGTAAGTCACTCACATCTGCGACTTTAGGATCCGTAGGAAGTAGCGGCTCGATCTTGGGATGGATGAGAAAGCCAGTAATCTTCTTGATTAAGGAGTGATGGATGGCAACACCACGGCATGTCAGCTCTTGCAGTGGAACTTTAGAGAGTTATCATACCGTTTTGCCATTTCCTCGCTAGGTGGCAGTGCGTATGCAGACTTCGACCAGTGCCTGTGGGCTGAGCTCGCGGCCGACGACGACGGTTCTGTGTTTTCTTCACTACTTCCCTCAGGGATAGTGAAATCTTCGTTGCCAGCATCTGCTCCGTCTGTCTGGCCAGGGAGGTTGTTTGTGTTTGTCGTGTCTTCGCCATTGGTTTGGGTGGACGAGTCTGCAGTTGCATTGTCGCCACCTGTTGGATCGGACAAGCTTGACTTTCTGGAGGCTATCTTTTTGACGTTCCCAATGATGGTACGAGCACCAGCCATGATGAATTTATCTAACTGGTTCTTTGTATGCAATGTGCTCAAAAGATAATAACCCTTGCGGTGAATATTGAATAATGTGCAGATGTTGATGCTGGAGAATGGTCCGAGACGGAGGGAAAGGAAGTTCAGCTCGACATTCATTCTCACGGCTAATAGCTCTTTCCACTTCGGACTGCCACGATAACTTTATGATACTAACGAAGAAGGCGCGGATGTCTGCCAGGGAACTGCTACTGCATGCCTAAAGTCAGCCAAACCATTTGTGATACTCGAAGAACGAGAGATCGCGTACGCAAACCCGGCATTCGTACCCATATGATACTCTCCTGAGCCTGTTCATGGCTTTTAGAGTCGGTAAGGAAATGTAATAGCAAGATCCGATGAACCCCGGAGACATAGGCACGAGACTAGAATGGTGGTATTATAAACCCATAGAAAGGTCGATGACATGCTTCCTTGAAGGTGATATCTGAATTAAGTTTGCTTAACTTACAGCTCTGGTCCTTTGACATATGGAGCAAGAAATCCTTCTCACCACGATCCACGGATCTTTGCTGGACTTGCTCTTTTGGAGTGGTGCCAATTAGCTCAGCTAGATATTGCCTAGCAGGCTCCTCACGAAGCAAGTCTTTGTCACCCATATTCTGAACAAGATATACTCAATGCTTTCCGAACAACTCCGACAAGCTTAACCTCCTTCCCATAATCTTCTGATCTTCCTCCTCTCCCCTACTCGGTATAAACCCATCTCCCAAATTCGTAATCCCATCATCTCCACCTGCAAGACTTCGTTCCCTAACAGCCTCTTCCCAATGCCCCTTAATAATCTGACAGATCTCCTCCTTCGGCGGCGACTCAGCCTGTATGAATAATCCCAAAACCTTCATATCCTCCTCGTGACTCTGCGCACGCGGTTTGAATCCCAGCATCAAGAACGAATCCGCACCTATCTCCACATGCTGTATCTCTCCCGACTCCACAATCAGATTCTCCAAGCCTTTCCGGTTCAGCACAACGATACAATGCCGACCGCCGCCAGTGACAGGTGAGGGCGTTAGCTGGCAGACGAAGAGCGTGCCTTCGACTCCGGTCTCTTTGTCCCAGGTGCCGGTGGGTTGCATGGTGTAGAGTTGTGCGGAGGGAGCGTAGCAGATTATGTTTTCGAGGGATGGGACATAGCGGCGGAGGACAGAGAAGTTTATTTCTGCTGGCGTGCGCGTTGGGAGTGCTGGAACCTCAACAGCTTCGGTGTCGTAGTCGGATGCTTGAACTGGGGCGGCCTGGTTCTGTCGTCGCGATCTGCGTGGAGTTTTGGGAGGCATTTCGATATGTCGTGAGATGAATTCTCGTCTTGGTAGAAATGGTGGAGCTTGGTTCGGTCAAGTATTGCCTTATCTGGGCGCTGTCAATTTGCTTGCAGGGCGGTGATGTTTCAATTGGTTATTGTTGTTGTAGGTTGATGTTGGGAATGAGGCTGGGAGTTGAACATCAGCCTTGTCGTTTCGCTTGGCTTGGCAGGTTCCGCTATCTTTCGCTCCTACAAACATTTCCAAAATTATTGCTGTAGAACTACTTATGTGTTTCGCATCTTGGATTCATCATACTGCCATGATATTCTCCATGGAATAGTTTGGGTCAATTCGTGCCTTCTGAAAACTTCTTATTGTTGGCTCTTGTAAGTTCTCTCGGCATCCCAGCATGATTGCTTCAATACCACAAGTTGACTCCGAGAGTTGTAACAATGTCCAAGTGGATCACTTCTTAATATATACGGAACGGAATTTCTTGTCTAATGTTCAAGGTATTTCTCATTTTTCCTAGCTCCTAGAAGTACTCATGTCCTTCACATTAATGGTTGTGCGTTTTCTTGGGTTGTCTGTGTTGATGTTCAAGGCCCTGCCTGTCAGGGGGTTTTATAAAAGAGTCACACGCAAAATGACCCTCGAACACAGACACTAAGACATACCGTATACTAAACTGATCACAAGATAAACAATTGGTCAAATAAATTGCAACTATCACTAGACCTGCTCATGAGTACAACCTTACTCGAGTGACTCGAAATAGGTTAGCTTGTGATCGACAGCAGGGATTTGCTTATCCTGCCCAGCTGCCAGACTCCCCCCACTAACTAACTCATCACTTCACAAACCTCTACCCTCAACTCCACAATTCACCGGATAGTTCAGTCTTACATTCTGCGCTCCTCTTCTACACAATGTATGTATAATAGAACTGTCTGTACAAGCAGACATACATTTTGTATCACAATCCCTTACGTCATCGTGCGTGCCAATATGCCAGATTAAGCTCTGGAACAAACTCCAAGCACGTCTCACGATTCTAGCCAGTGGATATTCCCCGGCCCTTACTTCACAATGGCCTCGACACCTCGCACATCCGTTGACAAGGAGCTCCCGGCGCCCGAGTCGACTCCGACCACTTCGAGTCCTCATTCCCTCTCCAAAGCTGTGCAGGCCCGTCGAGCGGAGTACACTCGACCGCAGAAGATTAGGATCAAGATTGGCACATGGAACGTTGCTGCTTGTCCGGGGACAGAGAAGGATTTGAGCGGCTGGTTTGTGGACGGCAAAGGCATTGACAAGAGGTTAGCCGGGTTGAAGATCGCAGATGGGATTACCAAGGATAAGAGCCAGGACCATGTAGAGTCCGTGGGCTCACAGGAGGACCGATGGACGAAGAAGGACAGCTCAATACCCAAGGATGACTATGGCACGATCACGGGTGGAGAAGAAATAGGAATATTTGTACTAGGCCTCCAGGAAGTGGTGGATTTAAACAGTGCAAGAGAATACATTGGGAGGGTATATACGGACCCAGAGCCTACATCGAAATGGAGAAAAGCAATGACAGATGGACTCCCTCCTGGGTACGTACTGATGGCCGAGCAGCAGCTCTCTGGTATGCTACTCTTTGTTTTCGCGTCACCTACGATAGCTCCAACGATTAGTTCTGTCAGCACAGTCAGCGTTGGAACAGGCATAATGGGTTACCTGGGAAATAAAGGAGCTGTAGCGACCAGGATAGTGTTGGGGGAGACAACTCGAATGGTATTTGTCAATTCGCATCTAGCATCGGGTTCAGACCCAGCACACCTAGATCGCAGGTGCTGGGATGTTACGCAGATTTTACAGCGAACTCGTTTCGACCCCATCAGCTGGTCGGGTGTTCTTGATGATAAGCACGAGGGAATTGGAGACGAGGATTTCGCATTCTGGTTCGGAGATCTGAATTTCAGGCTGGACGGCCTTCCAGGTGATGATATACGACGATTGTTGATGCTGCATACGAAAGGCGAATACGACATTGGGCAGAAATCACGAAATAAGATTGATCTGGAACTAGGAGGGAACGGACCAATTGTTATAAAGAGTGTTGAGAGTGATTCTGAGTCAGATGATGACGTGCCGATACCGAAAACAAGCATGTCTTCTACGACCGATGACAGCTCTTCCAGTAGTCTCCCAGACCCAGATGATTTCGTACAGGATCCAAGCCAAGATCCAGCATCGCTACAAGCAACATTGGACTCACTTCTTCCCCACGATCAGCTCAGGCAAGTCAGAAAGAAGAGGAAAGCTTTCCATGATGGCTGGCGGGAAGGGCCGATCACATTCTTGCCAACATATAAGTATGACGTCGGGAGCATGGGGATGTTTGATTCAAGTGAAAAGAGACGAGCCCCCAGTTGGTGTGATAGAATCCTTTATAGGACTCGTAAAGACAAGCTCGAGTACGATGGGAAAACACAGGAAGAAGAACTTGCCAGGATCAAGGACAACGAAATGAAAGCTCGAGGCATAGATCATGCTGCAGATGACGAGGATGTACTGTTCGATTACAACCCAGACGAGGATGGCGCCGAAGAGCCTGCCAGTAATGATTATGATGAATATGACGATGGTGAAGATGGACATGCAGAAACGGTGGTTACGAAAGAGGGATATCTGGACAGCATACACCAGGATGTGTACACCTCACATCAAAGGGTCCTCTCTTCCGACCACAAGCCTCTCGATGCGGTCTTTACTCTCGAATATGATGCAGTGGTGCCCGAATTAAAAGCCAAAGTTCAACAAGAAGTTGCCCGAGAACTGGACCGTGCGGAGAATGAAGGACGCCCAGGAATCACTATTGTAGTGGATCATTCTGCAGATGACCCCCCGAATGTTGATGGCAGCTCAGATCAACGCCCATCAGCAACATCTGTTGATGGCGTAGATTTTGGAGAAGTAGCTTATGAGCAACGGAAAGTACGAAATGTAACCATTGCCAATACTGGGCAAGTCCCAGCCACGTTTTCATTTGTGGACAGGCCTGGTGAACCTGGCGAAGAGGACCGAATTGCCCCATTATGGCTCACGGTCTCTGTTGAAGACTCAACGGACAAAGAGGCAAATCCGCCAAAAACCAAGAAGGGGGAGGTGACTCTCCAGCCTGGGGATACTGTCAATGCTGCGCTAGAGTTCTTCGTTGATGACAACGCACTCGTCAAGAGTCTTAATAAAGGACTCCAGCTGGACGATGTCCTTGTCTTACGAGTCACGGATGGCCGAGATCATTTCATTCCTATCCGTGGTATCTGGTTGCAGTCCTGCTTCGCAAGATCGGTCGATGAACTGATACGGATTCCCGAAGGAGGTGTGCGTGCTCTTCGCCCACCTCGGAAAGGCGGAGCACCCATCAACCGAGGCCAGGAAGTTTGCTGGAGTGCTCCTCGCGAGCTTTTCAAACTTACTGAAGCTATTGAGGCCCTCACGGAACGAGTCATCGCAGACGCAAATATGCTCGATGATGCGCAACCACCTGCAGAGTTTCCCGGCTGGCCTTTCGACAGCAAATCTTGGACTTTGAAGGACAGAGCATCAAGAGAGACATGTAGAGGACCCGTGCTGAATGCTCTAGATTCAGATTCCAACCTTCTCGAATCCTTCTCCCCCGAAACACCCGCGTTCCAAAAACTCGAAATCATGGCCGAAATCCTCCTCATGTTCCTCACCAGCCTAACAGACGGCATCGTCCCCGAACCTCTCTGGACCCAACTCGACCAAGCCATCACAGCCCGCGGCCCCAAACAGCTCACCGACACCGAAGAGATCAAATCCTGGGTCCTCGACGTCCTGTCCGTCTCCCCCAACCACAACATCTCCTTCGTCTTCCTAACAAGCATGCTCTGTCGCGTCGCGGGCGAACTGGCTCCCGTGCCGAAACACAGCTGGAAGGAGACCGTGGCCGGAACGGCGAGGAGTAGTATGGATACGGTGCGTAGATCTCTGTCCTGGAAGGGGAAATCGCCGATTGCGCCTCCTGACCCGTTGGTGTTGCGTCGACAGGCTGTGGAGTGGGCGTATGCGGAGGCGTTTAAAGATGTTATTTTTAGAGGACAGGTTGGGTTGAAGGAGAAGGAGAGGAGGGTTGGGGAGGAGAGGAAGAGGGATATATTGGAGGAGTTCTTGAAGGGTGGGAGGGGGACGTAATGGATGGGATGGGATGGGGGGACGAGGGTATATACACAGGACTATATAATGTGTAGATAGGCAACGATTGGAAAGATGATTCATGATTCATGACACGCCCGGTTTTCCCTATTTTGCTTTGGAAAGTCTTCTGGAGCAGTGTCTGCTCTCAATCAGATATCTTAGTTGAGATGGCAGTAAGCGGACAAAGGAAGCAACTGACATGGTAAGCTTCAACTGTATCTCATACTCTTAGCACCCCAACCAACGAACTAACCGTCGTCATTTCATCTCTATACTGTCATCTCCTCTCCTACCTCCAGAAAGTCTTCTAAAGAAATCCAACACATATACATCTGCTCCGTATCTTCGCTGCCATTTGCAGATCCTCACATCCTCTTGGGGTTGCTAACTTAATCATCAAGAACGAGCCAGAACTGTGACATGCGAAGAGACAGAACATCGAAACATAGTGCTCGTTCGGCCAGCTTAGTCAAGAATGTTAAAATGTTCTCCAAAGAGCTGCGACTCATTTTTATGAAGGTAAGATTACTGCTTGTGTTGACGTTGAGGTCTAGCTTAGATCTTCGGGGTCGAAAATTCTGAAGTGAATTGACGCTATACAGTCAGGCAGTCCTCCTGCTGCGTCAGGACTACAACCACAACACAAGTACACGCTCAACTAACACCCAGCTATTCACTTCCACACCATTCCCTCAAATTTCCCTATCGTGGAACTTGACCATATAAAAGCACCTCCTAGTATGTAGCAGGTAGGTCTCCAACATGGGCAAGAGACAGTGAACAACAAACACCAGGTCCTGTGTCAGCCCCCAACCCCCCACCTCGCTCTACTTCCTTGTTCAATACTCGATCATCAAGGTTGCTTCATCGAAATACCGTGAATCCCGTTGATGTGAATTTGGTAGTCACTTATGCTCAGGTTTGATGTTCACCTGCTGTACCGTTGCCAAACAGGCTTTTCACCCCTGAGTGTCAACTCGCATTAACAGAACATCCTTTGGCCTAATGACATCTCACTTATTCGTCAGATTTTCGCAGCAGAATGTCATATATCAATGTTCTCTAAAGCTCTCACTTGTTTGCATGGTATTGCGATTCTTCAACGAGAGACTGGCGGACACAGGCACAGCGCACCAAGTCCAAACATTTTTAGAGGCGGTACGCTCAGTTTGAATTTCCAGAAGGTCTGAAGTTGGAATTTATACTTGATTGTGAATGTCTATATTCTTGGTAAGCTGCATGCTTCTTTCAATGCTCATTCACAGCCGGTTTCACCGGAATAAAGAATGGAATATTTGGTGGCTACCCAGGCATTGAACAAACACTTCCCCCTGTCAGCCGACCGGCGACCACTGCAGCTTTCCGAAGTCATATATATATATATATACATATTATCTAGACCAAAGAAAGGTACTCAGAGCAGTAAAAATTCACTGCGCCAAAGAGTGGCTGAAGAGGACTTAACTGTCGTTTTGAGGGGTTGATCCTTACCATCCCACTTCACAACCCGAAGAGCTTCTTATCATTTCATATCGGTGGAGCATCGCCAATGTGATGGTGAAGAGAGACAGATACCTAGAATCAGAATCAATACAGGATCGTTTTGCTGTCAAGTCTAAGATCACTGTCAATTGTGAATATCTTGCAGACCATACAGAGTCTTCCAAGTCCCCAAATTAACTGCCTCCGCAATAAGACTGTCCCTAAAGGGACCTGCTCGATCGTGTCCTCGAAATAGATCTCAACCCGGCACATCGTGCACATCTGAATATCACTCCAACCACAACTCTTCACACCTCCCCTCATCCCACGCCTCCCCAAGCATAACACCATGCACATACCCCTCCCCCACCACCTCCCACCTCCCATCTCCCTCCCCCTCCTCACCCTCCTCCCCCCTCTCCCTAAGCACAACCGGCACCCTCCCACCCCTCACCAAAAAAACCCTATCACCAACCTCCGTCCCCCCCGGAACAAGCACCAAGTACCCCTCCTCAGTCCTAACCAACCTCCTCCCCACCGCCAACACCGTCCCACTCAAGAACGCCAACCCCTCCGTATCCGGCATCACAGCCTTAACAATCAACCCTTCGAACCGTTCAAACGGCCAGAATAAGACGGACAAGATAAAAATCTGGTGGATGCGCAGGATGAAAACCGCAAAGTGTGGGACCAGATCCCAGATTTTCCTCCACCGCTCAAAACGCCGCATATCGCGCCGCCAGGCGAGGAAAGACCGTTGATAATCCGCTTTATCTTTCCCTTCCTCGTTTGTGAGATGTCCAGCTAGGATGGTCTGCCAGAATGCATCGAAGTACGTCTCATCTGAGAATGGATACTTCTGTTTAGGATCCTGAAGAGCGAGACTCTCCCAGCTGTTGAGAGTAGAGAGGATGTTCTCTGCGTGTGCGATCTGCATTTTCTGGTGGGTGAATGCTACGTCCCAGGATGTGAGGGCGGTGTCTGAGAGGAGATGCTGGATTTTGATGTTGGCGGGCCAGATGGGAGTGAGGGTGGTGATTTCGGTGATGCTGTAGCCGGAGACGCCGAGGAGGGAATGGTTGGGGGAGAGGCGCATTTCATAGTTTGTTGGTCCGGATGCTTGGAAGGTGGATTTCTCGTAGTAGAGGAGTGAGGGTCGGAGGGGGACGGTATCGTCGTCTGTGTACCATGTTGGTGCCCATGATGGAAGTCTAGGAGGATCGGAGAATGCCCAGCCGGGGATCTGTAATGCTTTGTCCAGAAATGCTGTAGTGGCTGGGGAAGATGATCGTGGAACGCTGAGGATATTCAAGTTTTGCTCTTGGTCGAGGATGCACTTGGCCGCTTTGCTGTATAGTTCAACGATGGAGGTCTCGTAATTCGGTCTGAGTAGAAGTGGATGGCAGTATTTCGAAGGAGGAAAGAGTCCATATAGGCCAAAGATCTTATCTCGAGGATCGGTGGCGCCAAATTTACGGTGTCTGAGGAGTAAGGGAAGGAGAGCCTGCTCTTCGGTACCTAGCTTATGTCGGTTTTCTATAATGAATCGTGCCATAGAGATGGAACGGTCCATTGCAAGTATCATCGACAGCCATGGTAAGTATACCGATCTTGACAGCGATTTCTCTCGCGTTGAAGAAGTCCATCCATTTAACAGTCGAAGTCCCTAATGTGATGGTGGCTTGAGTAGCCATAGCAACTTCTTGAATCATCCAGACACGAGTAAACCAGGGGTTTGATTGAAGTGCGAGAAATGCACGCATGATTGGATTGTCCATGCTTGCGATTTTGTACTTAGTGAGAGCCTTCGGAAGTATGTTGTCCGGGTCGTTCTTCTCGAGGTGGTCTTTGATATTCAGAAGTATCTGAACACAATCGAGACCTCGAATCGTGTTTATATCTCCGCACCCAAGCCAGACGAGAGTACATCTCGAGAGTTGATATATCTGATCCATCTTCGATACTTGATGACTCCTTTCTGAGGAACTTGACTGGTCGATACAGATGGCATCCGCCCATAGATATCGACTTTTGTCTTCCAAGCGGAATCTTTGAAGAGCCTGGACCAGGTTGATCCGGGCATGGAAGATCTTATCCTCATGATAGATGGGCCACGTATCAGCTGCTTCACCCCAGCAGTACGATAGTGCCTCATAGTCTGGTGAAGAGTCGAACAATACACTTTGAAGCTTGAACTGCACGGGATCGCAGATGTCAGACGCAGGTAATAGTTCCAGGACTCTGAATTGTAAATCTTCCCCCCCCGAAACGTCCAAGGGTTCGTACTTGTAGACAGATGAGATACCAAGACGGGCCTGCGGTGGTCGGTCATCAGGAAGATGTGCCGGATCCTCAGCTGGCAAGTCGGGCGTGAAGAATGCTTTGTAGAAACCAAGATTTCCGTTCATAGGAGCCGGTGGGAAACCAGGGATCTTAAAACCGGTAATGTTCTGAAGGTATCTCAGACATGAGAGAATTATGTGTAAGACTGGAGCGAAGCCGAACAAGATGACCATGAAGCAGCCGACGAGCACTAGTCGTATGCCAACATCGAGTGCGGCGATGCATATTTTGAACGGAATTAGTAGGAGTCGAAGGACAAAATCAAATGACTGCTGGACGTATCCATGGTCAGAGGGCATCCTGGGCCAGCAGTCGTAAGAGTGAGAAGGAGAGACGAGAGTCGCAAAGTTCGCTGCTGGACACAAACCTGGCAAGCTGCCTCACCCCTTGGACGACAACTCAGAATTCCCGATGCCCTCGAGGATATAAGAAAGAGACTTGAATGAAAAGTTGTACCATAGTGTTTGTAATGAGCAACAACTCAGATCTCGTCGTTGACTTCAACCTTCTGAATGATCCCCTAGGAAAATCTTTCAGCTGAGCTCAATGTGGCTTGGCTCTTGTGTATCATCAAGCGCCGACAACTGTCACTGCGCTTCTCCTGATACGATTAAAGATCCAAATTCTGCCAAAATTCTCTCTTCACGATCCGAACCGAATACATTCCTATCGGGTCGCAGATCAAGAATGAAGCTTTTCCAAGACAAAAGGTCACTTGAACCTCGGCCTCCACAGCGAGCGACCCAAGTCCTGCCATGATCGCAAACGCGCAACTATCATCCTGCGAATAAACCCAAACCAACCTTCGATCGGACGAAATGGTACACAAATGTCCCGGTGTCAGTCTATAAAGTCAAATAGACATTTCAGAACACGCGTACAAAAATCCAAACACGACTTCCGTGACGTCTCAACACGCCAAGGTACTTCTCCACTGTAACCCCACATGCTACTTATATCACCTCACATCGAGGTCCCCAGCACATGCATCTTGACATCAACTCTCCGAGCTTCAAACAACCTCGTCCCAAGACAGCAGTGAACTACACCTCACGACTATCAATCCAACCCTATCAGACAAACCATCATCCACATGCGCCTCGCACATTCAGTCTCCAGCTAGCCAGCCAGTCTCGCATCCACTCCAATGACCACTTCCTCTCACGTCTCGCTGTCTCATCGACATCCGAATCACGAGTAAAGAGCTAAGCCTTGCTGGTATTATACTGGGATCCTGCAGTACGAGGCTGAGCTATCATACGTCAAGTGGCCAACCATACCCGCACCCGTAGCTAGGCTCGATATCACCCCCAAGTGGGAGGATCATGCTAGTAGTTTGCGGACAATGGAATGGAGAATGGGTGGTACCGGTGCAGGCGCAGCACCAGCATCAGCAGTCGTAGCTCTTGGCGGGGAGCTGAGTGGATGAGAGAGGGGCAGTAGGTAAGTATATATCACGGCGATTGCCCAGCTGAGGATTTCCTTTTCCCCCCTCTGCGTTATTTTGCTATTTGCGGTAAATTGGATTGATCGATTTATTGTCTTCTTTCTGCCTACCTCAAAGGTGTTATTCATAGCATCAAGCCTCTCTATAAAAACTAGCGCAACTTTGCAACTTCACATCTACGACCTTCAACACCACCAAACTTCACAACACTCCTGAACAAGAACAACAGCAATCATGTCTCGTATCAACCTTCCACCCGTCAACCCAGCACTAGGCGTAAACCCCGCCTACTGCGTCAACAAGCAAACAACCCTCGTGATGAAGGAAAAAGTTTGGTAAGCCTCCTCCACCCCTCTCCCCCTCCTTCACTCCACATCAACTCCCTCCTCTCCAAAACCAACCCACTAACCCCCCCTCTCCCCCCACCAGGTCCCTCTCGGGCGACACCTTCCACATAGTCGACGAAAACAACCACGAAGTCGTCCAATGCCGCGGCCAAACCTTCTCCCTCTCGGACCGGAAAGAATTCGCCGACTCCTCCGGCCGCCCGCTCTTCAGTCTCCGCACGCGCCTCCTCTCCCTCCACAAATCCTTCTACGCCGAGTCCCCCTCGGGCGGCGACATCCTCTTCGAGGTAAAAGGCAAGTTCAGCATCGGGAGCAGCAAGATGGTCGCCACGTTTGTGAATGCCAGCACCAAGCAGAACGTCGAGCTGCTGATTAAAGGCGATTGGTTCGATCGCTCGGCGACGATCACTATGGGGAATATTGTGGTCGCGCAGATTGGGAGGAGTTATTTTAATATGAGGGAGATTTTTGGGGGCCAGCAGACGTATTATGTTACGGTTGCGCCTGGGGTAGATTTGGCGTTGCTGGCGGCGGTTTGTGTTTGTTTGGATGAGAGGGAGAATGAGAAGAAGTAGAGAGGTCACGAAAAGGAGGGTGGAGATGAGGTTTAGGGAGAAGCGGAGGGAAAGGGGGGAGTTTTGCGACTTTCTTCTCTTTTGTAGTGGGTGGGAAGGGGACACTGGAGTGATATCAAGGGAACGATGGGGTGGGTATAAGGGTCTTTGCGTTCTATACCCTTTTTCGGATATTTTTGTCCTTATATTACACTGCATGTTTACTTGTTTTAGGTACTCAGAATGAAGTTGCAGTCGAGTATTTATCTCTAGCTCCATGGACAAGCTCTATGACATGTGTTCTAGAACGTTGTGAATTGAAAAGCAAATGGGTATCTTATCTACGCCAGCAACACCGAGCTCTATCCATACTTCCATCTTGTCTCCATATTCTTTTCACCTGCAATATCGACAATAGCCAGCAGTCTTGCAAGCAAATTTGCTCTCTTTCCTACCCTCCCACATCGATACTAATCCTTCAACCCAACACCAAACTCCTCATACAGCTCTCCGATCCTTACACCTCTATTATCAGCAATCATACCCACCAGACCCTGTCCTATGTCTCGGATATCGTTGTAGTCATGTAACAACTTGATATGGTTCTTTACGGTTTCTGCAGCGGGGTATCTGTATGTGTTGGTCAGATGTGTTTTGGGTATGATGTAGATCAAGGAGTGAGAAGGCTCTAGACTGTGGACAAGAGGTGGAAAGAGTCTCAGGATGAGATTCGGGTGGGGATGAGGAAGAAGAAGGGATTTGGGAATGGGGAGATGAGATCTGTAGAAGAGGAAACAGAAAGCATACCTCAACTCCTTGGTAACTTCTTCCAACCTAGCTTTCTTCTTTTTGATCTCAGCTTCCAGCCAAGCATTGCGAGCCTGTATCGAAGCCTATTTCACTATTAGCGCATGTCCTTCGTTTATTCTTGGTAATTCGCTATGCTCTCCTACTGCTCTTCGTGGATCCATAACTTGACATCTTCGACTTACAATCTTCATAGCCTTCAACTCCGCCATCAACACATCCTTGCTCTGTGCTGCATCCGAAACTGTGGAAGACTCTGGTGGAGCTTTCTCCCTCTCCGTATCTTTCGCCTTCGTGATAGGGATGGACAGCGTACCTTCGCGTTTCAAAGGAGACGACGTAGGTTCCGTGGACTGGGACTTGGTGGCAGTGGACATGGCGGGTGCTTTGAAAGGCGATCTAGGTGTTTTTCGTGGCCGAGAGGATTTGTAGGTCATGGTCTGGGGCGGTGACGGGTGATTAGTGACCTTCTCACCTGCCTTGTTGGACTCGGTAGGTGCTTGAATCACACTTGAAGCTTCAGAGTGACTTTTGGCTTGGTCTTTGGCTTTCAATACCGAGTCCGCAACAGTGAGGTCCTCGTCGTCGTCATCACTGTCGGGGATTGATCGAGACCTTATTGTAGTCGTGGCAATGGCCCCTGAAGCAGTTGATTGCGTTCCGATGTCTTTAGCCTCATCTTCCTTGGCTTGCTGGATGACATCGTCTCTAGTCTCGGTTTGTTGATCTGGAAGCGAGTGTTCGCTCATCACAATATCCTCATCCTCTCTAACTACCGAAGAGTCCCGTTCTTTCTGAGCATCAGGAAGTTGGTCCGCTGAACCCGTGTCTTGCACTGTATACTGTTCCGACGAAGATGCAGGTCTAACTGGAACCTGAACAGCTTTCTCCGAAGGAGAATCCTCAGATGGCTGCGAACCAAGGAGTTCTACATCCATAGCCGTAGCCTCATGCAGCGCGACGACTTCACCGACCAAGCCCATATCACCGGCTTGTGTCTCATCTCTCACTTCACCAGGCAAGTCCGTCACAACCTCAGTTCCCTTCCCTGGTTCTTCTCCAAGTGAAGACGTCGTATCCTGGGTCCCGCCTCCAACATCAGACATAACGGCAACCGCATCTGCAAAGTGCGAGTTGATTACCTCTTCTTCTTGAGGCTGAGTCTGCGTCTGGGTTGGCGTGTGGGTAGGTTGTAGGTCCGATGTGGTGAGCTTTGGAAAAATGATCATTGTTTCATCATCGACGAAAGACACTCCACTACTATCTTGGTGTACAGGGTTGGTTCGTAGGGTTCCGGTCTCTGGAATTATCTGCTCATTGGATTGTGAGGGTATATTATCCACTTCCAAAGACTGAGGTGTATTGTCGGTTCCGACACTTCTCTCCTGGCTATGGCCAGCTAGAACACCACCCGTTAAATCAGCATTCTTCGATAGATCTTTCTCATCCGCCTCAGACTCCCGGAGCTTGTTGTCGACGCTGCCTTTGACAGGACTAAGAGCCTCCTCGGTATCAGCTTCACTGTCGGGGATTTCAGATCTGAGAACCTTCTTCTGGTGTCTGCTTTCCTCTTCATCATAAACTTTACCCGTATTCTTCAAGACAGGCAGTTCGATTTTCTCGTTCTTTTCAATCTCGGGGTCTTTCGAAGCTTCTGACGTTTCATCTCCACCTTTCTCTCCTTCTTCGTCTTCCACGCCTACATTCCCACCCTCGTCAACCCCATCAACGTCCCCTTCACTTCCTCCACTTCCTCTCTCAGAGCCTTTCTGGACCCGTCTCTGATTTTGAACCTGATCCTTCCCTACTTCCTCATCCTTCCCCTCATTCTCATCTCTCAGCTCCCCACCCACCCCAGGAGATCCACCAAGCTCCACAGCACGTCCCAAGCTCCCTTCAAACCCCGTACTGTCTCCTTCCGCGCCCTCAACCACCTGATCCTCACTCTCACCCTCACCCTCACCCTCACCCTCAGCCGTCAAAGCTAGACTCGACACCTCCCCAACATCCATCTCCATCTCCATCTCCATCTTCCTCTCCCTCTCAGGCCGCCTATCCTCCTTCCCCTACCCTCTACTCAAGCAGCTCAATCCCAATCCCAACGCTCCAGATCAAGATCAACTCAATCGCGAGCTTGCTATTTTAAACTAGCTCAAAAGATAATCCTGATTATATATCTCTCTCACTCACTTGTGGCTCTGAAAGATGATATCAGAGTGAACTCGATGACGATAGAATAGAGGATGCCCAGATAACAGTGGAGAGGAGATCGAGGAGATGAGGGTTTAGATGTGAGTTGTAAAGAAGGTTGATGAATTGAAAGTCAAGATTAAGAGGTATGTGGATAGGTTGAGGATGTTGCTGATGTTGAGGGAGTCTACTTAGGTAAGATGGGAAGCGAGATGCATCTATGGTGGTATTCCGTTCCGTTTGGGAAGGAACGACCTGAGAAAGGCGGGAAGGAGGGAGGTTCATATCACGTGCTTCGGGGGACGGAACCAGTACAACGCGGTGTACGACTTTTTAAACGGATGTAAAATGGAAGACATGATTATATTGTGTATGTCAACCCGAGACGTAATCATGAGAAGGGGTTTAACTTTTTATTGCTATCTGTTGCGAGTCGAAGAGACCGATATAAAGCCCTGGTAACTGATATCAGACTGCGGGGTGCTAAAGCGGTGCTTTGGGTTCCTAGGTTTTATGTCACGAAGTTGTAGAATATGCCTAGATGTTCTAGAAAGCTTTGGTCGCACATTGATTAAATCGTAAAGACAAATTATAGTCCTTGTCATATCTCTAGGGCATCTGAATTCCACAGGACTTCATCTTGTGTCACAGAAGCATCAGTAAAGAGCGAGGCGAAATGGGAGGAAGAAAGACAAGGCTCTCTATTTCATTTCAAGTGATTTGCGGCCCTAAACGCCTTCTATGCACCCAACAAGTAAGGTCCATTCGCAAACCGTTCCCAGAGACGAATCAAGGCAAGCAGCCAGGTAGGTAGATAACCACCCAGTCAAGTCCGATCAAGAGCATTACAATGCTCTCAACCATGCCATGCCATCAATCCTCTATCCCATCCCAATGATCGCAGCAAAATACCAACCACGAGCCCTTCCAACCCCTCAATAAAACGACTCCACCATCGTATCCTTCAGACTCGTATTGATATTTCCCGGACCCTGCCCCTCCCCTAACCTAAACACACTCTCCACAACACTCAGCTCCGTCGCCGTAGTATCCAGCCCCGTGACAGCAAGCCAATCATTCACAACCATGCCGGCGCCCACGACCGAACTACCACGATTGACACTACCCGCCACAAGGGGAACCTGCAGGAGGGACGACAGCTCGTCTTGGTCCAGGATGGAGGTTTTGGGGTGGACGATGCCGCCTTGGTTGGAGAGAGCCATGTAGGAGCCGACGAGGACGTTGTCTGCGATGGTTTGGCGGAAGACGTCGACGCCGAGGACGTCGGCGATTATTTCTTCGGTTTCGCGCTCGATGTCGGGGTGGACGAGGGCGACGTGGTCGTTGCAGACGATTACGTTGCCGAGGGCGGAGAGGCGCTCTTCTATTCTCTTTGTGGATGTCAGCTTTCTGTTCTTATCCCTCCAAGCATATGTATCAAGTATAAAGAGAAAGACTCCAAGGCTGCAGTACCACCCTCTATCTAGAGGAGGGGCACAGAAGCGGGGCTGTCATACCTGTATCTTGACCTCATCCGGCAAACTATTCCTCAGATGTTGCAATTCCTGATCCGTCGTGGAAGTAGGTACCAATAGACCCTTACGATTACTATCCTCTCAATCAGCACAATTCTCACCCATTACCCCTCTCTCCCACACCCTCATCATATGTCCTCCTCTCTTGCGCACAGTACAGTTTAAGTAACATACCCAGCAGTCAAACGACCAATAATCCTCGTACCCGCAATCGTAACATGGCAGATGGGAATGACATCCTGGAGTTCGGCCTCGAAGACACTGTAGTGGGGGGAATGTCAGCTTCTCTTGATTCTCTTTTCTCTTTGCGCAAATCTCCCTCTTGATCGCAAACCAGCCACAACCACAGCTCCGGACACAAGAAGAGCAGAACACCAAACATACCTATAGAAATTCTCACTCGCTCCCACCGCAACCAGCGCATACGAATTCGTAAGCGTGGAGAAAACACCCACCTCATTCGAGTTCTCGAATTGTGCTCGAACCGCCATCTTTGCTCTGCTCTGCTCTAATATCCTTCTTATCTTCTTTCTTTCTTTCTTTCTTGCTGTCTCTCAATCTCCCAGCAATAAGAACTCTCCCGCGGTATTTCTCCTAAATATGTATAGGAGATATGTAGAAGTGGTTGTGTGTTTGCGACTGGATTTGTCCTGGGATTTGGGATTTGGAGAGAGAGGGATTCTTTTCTGCTTATGATGGAAGGTTGATTTCTATCAGCGGGCGGGCGAAAATCAGGCGCTAGCAGGGGTTTGGAGGTGGCGGTGGTTTGGTTTGGTTTGCGAAGCGTGAACCCCACTAAGGGCCTGGTGAGTCAGGCGTGAAGGCTGAGCTGAGTGATGGTTGCAATGGATTGTGTCCAACTTTTGGACGAGCTCATACTTTGTCACTTTGGAGAGATTCTGATAATTGAATATCCATGATAATTCCCTAGACTGAAGCCTCTCGGACTTCCAAACCCCCAGGTTTTACAATGATTTGGATGTGTTTATTGGTCCAGTCTACAGCCCCGCCTCAGGTTGATTTACAGTGACTCAAAAGCCCAAGCCTCGAGCCCTAGCACACCCTGTAGCCGGGTCCGGAATAGGCCTCGAGTGACTGTATGACTGCACTACACGGCATGGCTCATTCTCGCTCATACTTGGTATTGCCTTGTGACTCCATAACCCTGCTGCCAATACTGTAACACAATGATGTGATTTCGGAAAGACCCGAGGCTGGTAATTATCAATCCTCTACGCAGCATACGTATCTCGAAATATGAAGCCTGGGATCCGGGTGCGAAGGGCTGGGATGGGATTCAGATGGGAATTTGAGGGTTGGATGGATTGACTGCGTGTACCTGCAGTAGCTAGATCCTTCTCTAGACAGAGATTCCTGTGGCGAATATTTGCTGCGATGCCATGCGATTGTGTAGTTGCTGTAGCAGTAGTAGTGCATTTACGTCCCATCGAGAAATCACTTTACTGCGATATCAGAAATTCAAGAACATAAAGATCTTCATTCAATACAAATCCTCAATTCAATTCCATTCTCATTCTCATTCTCATCCTCAAAGGCATGCTTGCCTGCTGGCATGCACTAAATATCAAAAGAGCCTTTCTTCAATCCATCCAGCTCCAGCTCCAAGCACCCTGAAGATGTATATGCAGGCCCATCCATCGCTTCCCAAACTATGCTATCAAGAAGTGCCTCCTCAGTCATATGAAAAAGAAGAAAGAAAAAAAAAAGATAGAAAGAGCGCTCAAGGCCACGCAACGCCGCGCCATGCCAAAACGCCTATTTACAGAGTCCAGGCTCTTCATTCAGGCCAGGCCCTTCAGGCTCAATCAAGTCGATATGTATCCTAGAACTACAAACATTGGAAATATGTATCGTACAGATCGTTGATTTTGGGTTTGATGCTGGTGATGGTGTGAGTTTCTCTGTGGTGAGATGATCTCTTCCATTTCCTAGAGACAAAGGTGCGAAGGGATCGCCAAGCTGATGCTGTGAAGTATCTTGTATGTTATTCTCTCCTCGTTCAACCGTATCGTGTATGGGCTGATCTCTGTCACGGTGGAAACAGAGCCAGGATGCTATCCCGCAAGAAGATCTCAACCATCAAGGTTAGTCTTCTACATTCAATGTCCATCCTTAGGTACCATCTGCACATGTAAGGAACCAATCACTGGTATCCACTCCCACCGTATCCACGATAAGGCTGCTGATGAGGAGGCTGCTGGTGTTGCTGTGGAGGTGGAGGAGGAGGAGGTCTAGCAGCTGGAGGAGCAGGACGCAACTCTCTCGTAGGTCTCCGACTACCAGCGCTACCACGAGAAGACTGATGTGGAGGTGGGCCATAAGGCGAAGAATGTGCTTGCTGATGGCCGAAGACACCCATGCCAGGACCCATACTGCTCATCATGACTGGCAAGCGTTGCGGCTGTTGCTGAGGAGGATGCATGTGAGGGTGGCCGTAGGGATGGAGGGGTGATTGGTAGGGAGGTGGAGGGGGCATGGTGTTGTGGTAGTCGTTTGCGCCGTCGGTGCCGCCTCCGTAGTGAAATGCTAAGTCTGCTAGCTGAGAGAGATTGCCGCCGCCGCTGTTGTATGTTGCGTGTGGTTGAGGTGGAGGAGGAGGGGGAGGTGCTGGGCGTGGCTGTGGTTGGGAGTAAGGAGTAATATAGGTACGGTCTCTGACTGGATCGTAACCTGTCTGGCGGGATGGTGGAGGCATAGGCTGAGGAGTAGGTTGAATAGGAGAGAAGCCAATGTGCTGTGGTGGATATGCACTTGGTGGTGAGTAAACAGATGTGGAAGGACTGGTGAAGTTTGGTGTTTGTGGAGGAGGGGCAGGAGAGTACATTTGTTGCTGGGCAGGTCGGCTGGCTTGGATACGAGCCTCTTCTGCAGCACGTTGCTCTTCTTGTTTTTGGGTCTCAGCTGCTGTATCGACTGCATCAACCAAGTCCTTGGAGATGACTTGAGGAGGCTCGGGAGTAACAGGTGGGGCGGGCCTGCTCTCAAGATCACCAGACTGAGCAAGTAAATTGTGCATTCTCTCCGCGGGGGAGATCTGCTCGAATCCTCTCTTTGCTCGGTACATCCATTCAGAACGAGATGTTCGTTCAATGGTTTTGGTGCCATCCTCATTGTGATGGATGAACATGACAGGGTTGGTGTTCTTCCACTCAGCACCCCAGTCGGTGCGATCTTTGAAGTATGGATCTTCGCACTCATCAATGTCAGGGTTAAGAGAGCCTGGTAGTGGGAGACCAAGTCGGGGATGAATTTTGTGGGTGGAAACAATCTCCTGGTCAAGATCTTCAGGTTGATTCTTGCCAGCGTTGTAGCGGCCCTGTCGCTGCTCATAGTAGAACTTGCCACTGGCTGGATTAGGATCAATGTCTCTCCCAAGCTTCTTGTAGCTGCCATCTGGTTGTCTGGCCATGTGAGTTCTGCGAAGACCAATCTCGTGGGGCTCGAATCTGACTGGGGCATCGCCAATGATTCGGTTGTAAGCTGCAGGCTGATCGCGGCGAACCTTCTTACGTGGAATGCTGACTCCATACTCATCAACCTCCTGTGGAAGAGCGTCACTATCTTCAATGTCCTCGCTGACATTCTGATCGACTTCTCCGGGTGTTGAGCCCTCTCTGGTAGGTGGGCGAGAAGCACCGCGTGAAGGTTCACGAGAAGGTTCACGAGAAGGACCCTCAGATGGTGCAGCTTCATCAGGCTGTTCGTCACCATTCTCTTCGCCCTCAGCACCTTCGGCAGTCTCTTGCTGGGTGTTGAAAAGAGCTTGGCGTCCTCCCTTTTTGGACCGGCCGGTCTCCTTTCTATGGAGGCGCTCCTTTTCAGCAACGCATTCAGCTTGCTTTCTGAGGATTGCAGATCTCTCCTTCTTTGACTTGGCTTGCCACCAATTGGCGGGATGTTGCTCATAGTCATTGTCACCTGAGGCGCTACGGAGGTTGCTGACAGCAACAGGAGGCTGGATAAATGTCAGAAGAGGTCAGACATAGATAGGTAGCAAACTCACATTCATGAACGGTAATCCAGTCCCGTGAACCTTTTTCTGTGGAAGCAAAGAGTCCTTTACGATTCGACCATCCTCCTGTGAAGTGTTAGCGTAGTTCAAGAAGCAAGGTGGGTAGACTTACGCCTTGTGAGAATGGGATATCGCCAAGCTCTCCACCAGCCATACCTTTGGCGTAGACATAAGTGGCATGCTCCATGATAAGATGCTCATACTTCTCCTTAATGTCCTCGACAGATGTCTGTTTCCTATTAGACGGGCCGATGAATGGATTGAGATGACTTACTTGATACTGCTGATTGACCACGTGCACATTATAATCGTAAGTGCGCTTTGCCAAACCTTTTTCACGCGCAATTAGTACATCTGCTTGAGCTCTGTTCTTCTTAAACACCTCTTCAAGCTCCTTGGAAACTTGATCAAATTCCGGAAGGGTCTCGTGGTACAGCGGGTCATTCTGCATCATCTCAATGGACTTGTCGGCGAGAACTGACAGAGCCTGTCGTTGCAATGAAGACAGAAGCTTGAATTGAGCCTTCAAGTCAAGTTTGCGCTTGTGGTAAGCATCGATGCGAGGGTTCTCTGGCTTCTTTCTGCGTCCACCACGACCCCGGCCTCTGCCCCGAGTAGAAGCGACAGCTGGTTTGGCACCACGAGCACCAACTCCGGTCTTGGTCTTTACTCTTCCACGTGAGCCTCGACCTCGAGAGCTGCCTCTAAATCCACGTCCACCGCGACCACGTCCCCGGCCACGGCCACGAGTTGGTTCTTGGACGCCATTGGGAATAACGACATCTTCTTCAGGAGCCGGGACTTCTTCTTCGTCATCTCCGTCAGCGTCAGCATCCGGATCATCCTCATTAGATCCACTGGGGCCATCAACTTGGATATCACGAAGTGGCTGACTTGATGGATCTTGCTCGGGACCGGGAGTAGCCGAATCAGGTTGTGGCTCAAGATCCTCGTCATTTGCTTGAGAAGAATTGCGATTGCTGGAGTTCAGCGAGTTTTGCTCGGCAAGTGGCTCTTCTAGGATTTGATTTGCTGATGAGGAAGAGCTGGGGAGTTCTAGTGCAATTGTCGATGAAGATCGACGTTTCTTGGTTGCAGGTTGGCGGGGCTTAGGCTCAGTGGCTGTAACTGGCTTCTTTGCAACAGATTTGGCCTTTGCAGCTCTTGCTGAAACTTTTGAAGGAGGAGATCTACCAAGAGTAGAAGCTGGAGGGGGAGGAGCAGAACTGATTTCTGATGCCTTGCGCTTCGAGGATCTGGTGCCGTACGAAGTGTTGTCTCCTGCTCCGTCCAGCTGGGGAGGCCCAGTCTCGTGACGAGCTGGCGCCATCTTGATGTCGACAGACGATCAGAGTGCGAGGAATGCAATCAGTAAGTAGAAATTTGTGTAAGTTTGTCCGTGAAAGGAACGAGAGTACTTTGCAATAAATGCAGTCGACGATGAACTGACGAGAGAACTGATGTCGAAGTAGGGACGCGGTAGTTGGAAAAGGTCGCATGGGAGAAGAAGAAACTCCAGGGGTTGAGCGAAAGATTTTTGCGAAGGGCTGCAAAGTCGAGAATAATGGTAATAGTATTAGTGGGCGACGTAGCTATTGTCTCCGAAATCTCGGTTCTTCACAATAGGAAGGGCGGTCGAGGTCGGTGAATTGATTGTGAGAATAGTTGCAGAAAACGCATTGTCCCAGGACGAGACCAAAATCCAAGCGAGTAAGAAAAATGGCGAGCTCTGATTGGTCTAGAGCCCGGCGGCCACGGATCATTAACCCTCCAACGCCTGAGTTGGAAGGGCGATATTGAACAGCAACAAGGCTTCAAGACATGGATTTGAAGATGGTAATACAGCAGAAGACGACAGTAGGAGTAGCACCGTTGATTTGCCAGCCTTCTGGACTTTCGGAGTTGGTGGGGGAGATTAGAAAGGCACTTTGGTCCTCTTACAGTACAGTCGATGTCAGTCGATTCTTGGCACGGAAATGTCCAGAAGCATGATAATCAGCCCGAAAGAACTTCGGATTACCGCCTGCACACCTTCAATACTAGCTCATGTGATGATCAACTAGGTATTTGATATTGATTCTACGATTGATGACTGTGCCGTGCAGTCGTTGGACTCAAGTCGCGAGCTTACATATTCATCTGTAACTCCCAGCCACCTCATTTTGTCAATAGGAAGAGTTTTTCACGAAGAAAGCGAACAGCAGAAATCGGAATATTCAGTTTTCATCCGACTCGGCGCTCTATTTGGGAGATCGCTTTTCATTCAACGTCATTCTGGAAACGTATCAGGATTGCCTAGATCACCGTGTGCGAAGTGGCTGCTAGGAGAACCTCATTATTTTGCACAAAGTCGTGCAGATTTACGAACTTCTACAATATGTCAATGTAACTCTGTCAAGACAGCATGGAAAGTATCAGTCCATTCTAAGAGTTATTACATAGATCTGCTTCCTAACAAGATTGCACTGTGAGGTTCGAGTATTCCAGAGAAGCGGAGCACTTCATCCCGCACCGCAAATCTCGTTGGTGGCAAAGAACGACAGTAAGAAGAGCTCTCAAAACTCCAAATCATCTAGCCTTCAGTTCCAGCTCATATCATAACAATCGATACTTATCTTTTTGACTTCATTCAGCTGATTCGAAGCTGCAAGATAACTATCTCTTCAACTTCGTGATGCATCTCTGGCGTGCAATTCGGAGAGTGGGTCCTCCAATTTCGGACTTCACCTCATTCTTCATGCAACAACATCCCGCAAGATACGAGCTCCAAATTGCTAAGTAATGCTCGAGAATAGAGATCTCGGTATGAGCAGACGTCGGGTACATGTTAATTTGAGTTTCAACAGCATTGCGGACTTGATATATGTCACCCTCCGGTCCAGCTACACAACCTGCTCACTAGATCGTGCCGGATCCAATACTAAGCCCACAAACCTCCCACAGGAATTTCAACGGAGGATCCATATCTGCAAATTTGACTTTATATCTCATTCCGTCTGTCATTCCTCGTACTCCCTTAAATCAGGAAAAGTAAACCACCATCTTTCATCTTCTCATCCCATCTTCCCAAAGTTCCCGACTCTCCTCAAAGCCACAAATCCTTTCCTATATTCTCGAAGATATCTGGTCATGTAGCCTACATACCCATAGAGGAAATTCTCCACTCTTTTCCCCAAACCCAACCTGATGACCGCAATCGAAGGATTCCCAGATTCCAATAATAATGCACAAGTCTAAGGTCCCGAAAACCCAGTCGATTTCCAACAAACTTCCAACAAATCTCCCAGAACTCGTAATCTAATCCAAGCCAACTGAGATGGTGGAGCTGAGATATGTAAACAATCCTCTATAATAACAGCCCTTATCACGCCCTTACCCTCGAATCCGACTCCAAAATTCCCCGTTTCCACATTAATATTCTCCCACAACTTCCGGTTCCTATCCTCGTTGCCAGACCGACCAAATTCTAACATCTCTCCAATCTTTAACCTAATAAGAAAACATTGACCGCCCTGCCTCCCAAGCCTCTCTCCTCTAATTTCACAGCTCCCTCCCACCTCCTCTCGCCTTCTCCCTACCAAAGCTCACACCAAAACCCTTACATGCAACTTTGTTCGGATGATTCTTGCTTTACACTCTGCATCTCCAACCTCTTCATCACGATGAAGAATCCCACATCACACCACATGGGTCAGGCAGGATCAAGGACCCAGGAAGAGTATGCCGAGCATATCGTAAGTTTTTGACTGATACTCACTTCCTTACAGGTTTACTTACAAACTTAGAAACAAACAAATTGAAGCGCTTGCTTCTTGTTGCCATATACATATATATTCTGTACAAGCCATGATATAGAAATACTAGATGCGACGACAGGAGACTTCCCTGAAATCATCCGAGCCGAGCTTCTGGAGCACATCCTCCTTTCTGACTAATTGACAAACCGACGAGCGAGGGCATTAGGAACTGGGTAGAGTAAGTCAGATTTTCCGCTGGTAAGATGGTCGGTCTATGTTTTGGAAAGGGTATGTGATTGAAGAGTACGCAGAAGTTGGAATTCCTGCCTTTACCTTCAAAGCGTGAGCTTGTGAGTGAAAAACAGGAAGAGGAAGGCAATGGTGGCCGAAAGTTGGTAGGTGAAGATGCGCCCACTTTGAACACTTACATTGCCATGTCTAGGTCTCATAATCTTATGTTGCACAATCATGCTCAATATGTCATGAGGAATTCAGATAGAAACGCAACCAGGAAGCACAGAAATGCAGATGAATTCTTGATATTACGGAACTCCCCTTCCTCCCTTTCCTCCCTTTCCTCCCATCCCGTTCCAAGCCTCATCCATCAATCGATCCACCCATCAATTCATCCATCAATTCATCAAGCATTCATTCATTGCATCTCCATGACTTTCCATTTCGTTTCAGAACAGACCAGAAACCAGATCAGATCATGTACCAGTTGCACACTGCATAGTATCCCCATTACTCCATGGGAGGGGGAATATGCAGAATGCCGAGCAGAGCAGAGAAGGGTAGAAAAGAAAACCAAATGATTCAATGCCACGGTTGATAAAAGGGCCAAGGTCAGAGGGTGAGGCCAAGAAGGAAGTGGCAAAGCCGGGCCTTGTACATGATTTGTCTAGCTGTATTGTGCAGACTCAAGAGATAGAATTTCATTGGACCGTGTTAAGATAGCCAGCGCTCGAAGAAATGAAAAGAGACAACGGTGAGCTTTCTCAGCCCTCCATGTCATCATCTGGTTGATCGAAGAGAAAGTTGGCTGCGAGCTCTTCGTTCTTATCACATGCGAAGTACGCTTGAATGGCTTGATCGCGGGGGAATCCGAGAAGACATAACTACAATCAGTCAGTAAGAAAATACACCCCTGCAAAGAAAGACTTACCCGCTCGATAGCAGCACGCTCTTCCTCAGTGACACTGATAGCCTGGGCTCCGGGTGGAAGTGGCGCATCATTGTCACCATCCTCGCTCAAGAGTTGTAAGAATTGCTCCGGATGTTGACCAATCAAAGCAGCTAGTTGTGGGTTGCCGGCACCGACTTGTTGAAGGATAGGCTCAAGCATTTGTGGTTGTTGCTGGACGACTTGGCGAAGTTGCTGGAATTGGGGGTTATTGCGGAGGAAGTCAAGGTTTCCCAAGCCCTCAGCTCCAGCAGCTCCAGCTCCTGCGCCGGCAAACAGGTTCGCAGCTCCTCCCCGGGCTCCAGCTCCAGCACCTCCACGTCCACCTGCGCCAGCTTGGGCTGCGGCCTCAAAGAGGTTTACTGGCTCCTCACCTCCATCGCCTCCTTGGTTGATAGTAGCGGCAGCTGGAGCAGCTTCACCCTGAGCAGCAGGGGGTGCTGGGGCTCTCTGCTCTTGTTGAAGGTTCTCTGGGATGCCCTGGCCAAAAATGTCAACAAAAGTCCTCGAGATTTTCCATGTATATGCTTACATTCAGGAGATACTCAATAGCACGCTCCGAGTTATAGAAAGCCGCACGCATAGCAGCATCTATCTGTGATCTCTCGAAACCCATGCTCTCCATCTCAGCGATTTGCGCAGCACGCTCAGCACCCATGGAAATACCAGAGGTAGCTCCAGATGGTGTTGACGGAATTGCTGCTGGAGCGGCACCTGATCCAGCTGGGGATGGAGTTGCGGGGATCGCGGGAGCAGAGGATGTCGACTGAGCTGGAGCTTGGGGGGCTGCGGGAGTTGAGGCGGCGACTGGGGCAGGTGTTGATGGAGGGGCTTTCGCTGTTGAAGCGGCGCTTGCTGGTGTAGCCTTAGGCTAAATGGATGTTAGACCGACCAAAGAACCTTTTAATGGGCCGTAACATACCTTTGAGACCATGCAGACAATGAAGCCTTTCTCCTCAATGTTATAGGACTCCACGGTGTGAGCATCCTGCAGAATTTTGCCTGCATATTGTCAGCAGGCTGTTGTGCGCCTACATCCTTAAGAAATGTCCAACTAACCTGAGTAGATCAGCTTCTGGTTCGAGGCCTCCCATCCCTTCTCTTTAGCAATTTTCTCCTTTACATCGGAAATCTATGTTCGCCTCGGTCAGCGGGATTCAAGGGTAGGTCGCAAGGCGGCAAGGCCTAGCTGGGTGATATGCGGTCAGATGGAGAGGGCAAAGGGCCGTACCAGCTCCGATGGTTCGGCTTCGATCACGAACTTCTGCTGCTTCAAATCCTAATGCAATAAGCCAGGTTAGCATGTCATGTCTCGACAAGCTGGTGGAGTAACAGCAGGAAGACCACGGCGACATACTTTGAAAGTGAGCTTCATGTTTGCGACAAGACAGTGTGCTGCACTGCAACGAATCTAGGAGTTTGATGTGCGGTTTGTTGATAAATGCGGTATGTGATAGTGTATCCAGGCGTCGAGGTCCAATCTGTTCTCTCTTTTGCTGTCTTCTCAAGGTTGAGGAAGGGAAGAGCAAGAGGGAAGGCGAGAGGATCGATCCAGGTGGAGGCAAGGCGAAGGAAGGCACGGGCCAGGCGGCGGCGGCGCTACTTGGCTTGGTGCTCGCACTAGACGAGGCAGCCTTTGTCCACGACAGCAGCTGTTCTCTCAGCCTTTCGGGATTCACAACCGCCATTCAATTACTTCATCGCCGGCCATGCCATTGTTGTCACCGGCGACATCTATGATGCTACGACGTAGAGGCTGGTACCGTACCAATAATGCTATCAACGACCTCGTGTGGCCAAGCGGTCATCCATCAACTGCGGGGTTGCAAATCTCAGCCTTGCCATGATAATAACCAAAGCTACTTAGCGGCTCGGTGTGCAAAGGCACCGAGGACGACGACAACAGCGAATCACTCTCTCTTCACCATTGGCAGAAAGCCAGAAGGACATCGACAGCGAAATGCAGCTTACCGGAAGGCTTTATATACAATGGTCGGAATGAGCAGAAGACTGAGGTCACCCACCGTTTTGGCGCAGTGCTTCAACAGGTCGCCATTTGTTATCGCAGGTCCAAACATCAGGGAACCAAGTGCTGGCCCACAATGAGGACGCCCTTCGAATTCCTGTCCAGCGTGTCTCTGGTTCAGGCGCATGATGGTGAACCAGTAGGTCATCAGGATCTGGCCAGCCACGGCACTCTTCCATTCATCGTCTTTCCTTATCGTCAATTTCTCACATCAATGTCCAACAGTACAGACAATTAGCTTTCTTGAATTTCTTTGATCGTTAGGCAATAAGGTATATCTGGTTTTAAAACAAACGCCACGCTAACATCATGGTATCCATCATACATGCAACAAGGAAATTCGTGTGGCGTTGTGCCATCGTCTCAGTCAAGAGACCTTCATCTATGCGTCCCGCACTTCTCCAAGCATGCCCAAGCCAGCTGGCTTCTTCCGCGAATTATAGAGCTGCATACTACTCCTTGGTCCTCCGTTCAAGATGAAATCAGGGATCGGCGGCGTTAGGGTCCTCTCTCCTCCCACCTCCTCCAATATCTCCAGCTCTTCCCTCTCTATTGCTAGTCGAATGCTATCCAAGCTTGTGCTGTGCACCAATGGGCTTGGACTCGACGGCAGACTTCCACTCCTCATACGATGAATTGATCGAATACTTTGTCGATCGGATATTACTTGGCCAGCTCCCGGAGCGGCTGTGACTATAGTGCCTGGAGTCGCCGCAGGTGGTGGTGTAGGCGAATCAGTTCGAAATAATGGATGAATGTGCGCTTCACTGCTCACGCTCTCGGTTGGACTTTGGGTTCGTGCTGTTTTGGAGAGGTCCCGCGAACTATTCGCTGGACTGTAGCTTCGACTTCTCTTTCTCCGCTTGGGAGGCTCCAAGTCCAAAGGGAAGCCGGGGCTCGCACTTCTACTCGTTGTGGGGCTGGCTGGAATAGTCTCGAGGAATCGAGGAGGAGTCGGTGAAGCTGACGCGACTGCTTCCCTCGACTGCGAATCCACAGCCGATGTATCCCACGAATCGAATCCGTCCTCAATAGATACAATTGTTTCGCGATGGTTCGACTCGATGGATTGTGGCCTATATGGAGACCTATGGTTGTGCGATATAAGCTTCGTCTTGGAGCTAATGGGTCGTACAACTTGAGAAAACGATGATCGAAACGAGGACATTGTATCAGACCCAGCTCGCGACCGACCGCTTGATGGTGGTGGAGATTCTAGCGAAGGAGTCGTTCGGTGACCCATACTCCTCTGCACGCTCGATGCTCCTGGCCTGGCCGATTCGATCATCTCTGACACGTTCTGTGGCTCTCTTTCTGGATCATAGGTCTGGATTTGTTGTTGGAAGTCCCTCCGTTGAATGATGACCATGCATATAATGAATACTGCTTGCGAGAGCAGAGAGATTGCCCAAACGATGAAGGAAGCGATCACCAGCGCTTTTGTTGAAGAAGTGATAATGCGTTTTGGGAGGTCTTGCCTGGTCCTCATGAGTCCAAGCAATATCGCCGATGATACTGCAGACAGGATTCCAAACACTGCTCCAAATCCAGCTAACAAGTAGGTGTGTTGTCTTCCATGCCCAAAATCCTGGATGTGGGCTCCGTTTCGATATCGAACTTGCCTCCCAAGCAGCAGCAGCAACAGACCAACAGTCACCGCGCTCAAACCTGAAGCGACAATTGCAACCACATTGGTCTTCACCGGTGACGAATTCTGAGACAGAGTGGCCGCAAATATGATGTCAAATGTTAACATAGCAACCCCACTGGATACTGCTAACGCGCCGAGCGCCAGAGGTAAAGCGCGAGTGAATCCCATTGCGACAACGAACGACAATCAGTAGTACTGGATGATGAAAATTAAAGCTCCTGTGGAACAAATCGGAGAGAGATGAGAGGTATATAAAGAGTTGGCGGGTTTCGGAAGGCTGTTGGGGACTCAAACGAATGACGACAAGCAACAATGTCTTGAACTTCGACCAGAACACCACGAAAACTGCAGAGTATTGAATGACGGCCTTTCAAAGGACTTTCCGTTGACTCCCACGACTTCTTCAACTCTTCCCAAGGAGTTCGAAGGTTTCACGAGATGTACCAATCTCACTTCCTAGTTGCTTTAGAGTTGTGTACTCACACAGTTCGTCCCACCAATTCCCAACTTTTGTCAGTTTGTCGGAATAGGGTTCCTTTGTGCACGCCCGGTTAGGGATTACGCACGTCAGAGGATCTGGTTGGATAACGGGTTCCAGAGATGTGAAACACTATCGCTTGAAAACCGTACATGGATTGTGCGGAAAACTGCAGGAAGTAGGTGACCAGTGGACTACTACTACGGATCGCGTGGCAGACAGGCTTTCTGCGTGTCGATTTTCGTCTTGTTGCAGCTGTAGAAGGCCAGAAAATGGGTCGGTGAGAGGTCGCCAGGCCTGCGCTGGGTAGCGTGATAAGTCGGGATCGGAAAGATCGATAGGGTGAATGCAATACGAAAGGGCGGATGATGTACTTTTCAGACGTCGTCCAGCGGGGTTCTTCTTCCTTCTTCGTTTGCTCCTCGTGCTGGGCTTGGATGTGAAGGAATTGTGTTTATTGAAAACCCCCACCAAAGCTTACGCGACTGGAGATCCTGGAAGCTTAACAAAAACAAGCGGGAGGCTGATTTGCTGCAGCCAACTTTCTGATCGGAACCAAAGGCCGGAGAGAAAGGACTGACTGGATCACGAAAGGCAAGCTGGGCCCTTATTGACAAAAAAAAGGACAGTGATGATTTGCACGACGCGAGAAATGCAGTTGGAATCCACGAGGAGAATTTCTGGGGGATCTGAGGGGATGTTGGGGATAAACAACTATCTTTCGTCCGAGTGGATGCTGTGTGGTCGAGCCTCAACGCGTCGCGTGAACTGGGGCGGGCTGAGATGATGATGGCGGGGGTCCCTAGAGCGGGGGATCTTTTGTGCAGCCCTGACTTTCGATATCCCTGTCACCCAGATATCCTGGATGAGCGAAAAAGGTAAAAAGGAAACCTGCAAGCTTGCAAGCTCCGAAAAGCAAACTATACGTTCCGGCTCCGATTGGGAGGAGCTTGCCTTTTTATTTCGAATTGAATTTCCGGCCTGGGAGGAGTGAAAAAGTGGTGAGAGACGTCTGCGGGGTCTGACACTGGCTCTGTATTCGTCGTTGAACCAGTTATTGGTAGGGACTGGTTAGGCAGTGTCGCGAGAATGAGCTCCTTCGGAGAGAAGAATGCTGCCAGCCGTGCCAGTGGAACGCAAGAAGCGGAATCTTGATTGGGTCGGTATGCTGATTTGATTGGTGTGAGGTATTGATGAGCACTTTGCACAGTTGAGAGTGGCTCCCGCGAGTACTGAGTTGACAGGTTGGTAGTTGTCGCGCCGTCTATTTTGGGTAGATGAGCTTTTCTGAATGAAGTGAAGGCGAGGGGCTTTAGGCCAGCCGCGGGGTCGTTGACAGGTGCGAAACGAACGAGACCGTTGAAAGTATAAACTCTTTTCCAACGCCTGCAGCCAGGGCAAATGGGTAGGATTCTGAAGTTGAATTGTGAGGACGACGAGCGAAGAAGTGAAGGGACAAGACGGAAGAGGGGAGCAAGAGAGAAGAAAAGGCCGGAGCCATGAGGGCAGATTTGTTTATATCTTAGGACCTCACATATGAGTGGTCTGTTCGCATTTGTTATGATGGATCTCTGGTGGGTGTGTGGGTGTGTGGGTGTGGGTGTGGGTGGGTTGGTGAGCACTGAACAGTCTGGACGAGCTCCTCGCCCAAGCTCCAGCACCTCCACAGCATGCATCCTCCCTGCGCAAAGTCCGTCTAGGCTCTGGCTCGCTGAGCCGTTCGTGCAGCTGCGGCGCCTGCGCACACTGACTTCCGCCAAACTGGCTGTGCACTACGCAACACTCCAGATGGGGTTTGGCTTTCTCAGCGCAAATTTTACAAGTCCAGTATACTAGTACAGTAGTGGAAAGCCTGAAAGGCCTGGCTACTGCTGCAGGTGAGAAAAGCAACTGAGAAGTGAGAACTGACAAGTGCTGGGATGCGATGGTGGGGAGGAATCATGGTAGATGCCGTGGTGTCTGTGCCTCCAGGGATCAAGCCCTGGGACGATCTTGTTTCCCATCCTTACAGAGGTACGCCATACACAGAACCTGCCGCCCTCTGTCTCTGTCTGATACTGGGCTTCACTGGACTCGCTGACGAAATGACATCGAAGGATGCGATTGGAGGTCACGTTTTGAAACGCCGGCCGTCTTTCCCAAGCAGTACACCCTCCCCATTCCTTATTCCTATTTTTTTGCTTTTACCTGTCAGGAATTCATTACGATGATATGGGAACGATCATTGAAAAGCACTGACAGGATATGCCTGCGACCTGAGAGAGATGGAGCGGGAGTCCGCGTGCCCACTTCAACGTGCGAGCAGCAAAACAAAACAACAACCAAAACAAAACAAAACAGTACAGCAACACGATGAAGTCCACTGAGCAAAACATACCCATCAAAGACCATCGAACCCTTTGAAACAAAAGCGCTCGAAAGGATCAGAGTTGAACGCCTCAAATCCCCGGTGTCTTGAACTTTAATCGAAGGAGGGATCTGATCCCATCTCACTTACAGCTTGTCTCACCCCATTTTGACTTTTACCTATTTCTCTATTTGTTCTAGGACTTGCTCTGTTGTCATCCGGAAGAGAAGGCAGCTGCAAAGCCCTGCAGGAAATCTGTGTGTTTGAGTCTGGCTCTTGTCGTTCCTGAACCTACCGAAGTGAAATTGACGCAGGTACGGAGACAGCAAGTGGGGTTGGTCAGTGGTTTGAGAGTTTTGGGAGGGTTTGCGGAAGAGAAATGGAGAACCTCATTTCGATTAAGCTGCCGCCAGCCTGCAACAAGGAAGACTCTTGTCTTACTCGAGAAATTGACCAGAACACGAGAGAAGGTTCCAAAGCTCGTCCTGACCCGAATACCCTGTCGCTCCCACTACTCTCACGCATCGTGGAGTCAAAAGTTGTGGGAAATGGTGGAGTTTGTGGACCCCGGAGAATGGTTGTGATGTCTACACGATGGGTCTCTGTTGACATTCGGAGAATTTATTAGTTGTTTGTTTTGATTGGAATCCAATCAAAACAATCCAATCAAAACAATCAATCAAAACAATCGTCATCTACCCGTTCCATCGAACCCGATCGATTGATTGCGAAAAAGTCTCGGCATGCAAGGAACCAATGCAAACAATATTCCCAGGTGTTCGCATCATTGCCTTGTACAACAAGTCCGAAAGAGGACATGTAAGGGAGGTTGAAAAGTTGCATTGCATTGCATTTCTCTATCGAAGGTTGTTGTAAGTTTATTGGTTGATTGATTCACACTCTGTGAAACCTGAGCGCCCAGGCTACAACTCTTGAACTCTCTACAGGACGAAATAAAATGTTCTCAGCCTTGGGGATTATTTTAGTGGGGTCAATTTGACTTGAAGCCAGCCAGTAGTTACCACTGTCTCGATTCAGCTGGTTCCCTCCAAAGTACCGAGTGTTCGATGAGATTTCGATCCCGATGTCACCTCAGATCGCATCCACGATATTTCAAACGGAGCGCAAATCTCAACGCCTCGCCGAGCAACCGGTATTAGCAAATGGTACCTAGGTTCCACACCGATGGATTTTGATTTGATCCGAAACCTTGAAGTTGTCTAGGCAACTTTCCTGCTCGCTGAGGTAAAATCTCAAATCTTAGGGCTCAGGTACCGAAGTACTCCACACTGCAGCATCTTCGGTGATTACCTCCCCCATCTTTCGCAGTTGGAGACCCATAGTCAGAACAGGATTTCAAGCTTCAATTGTGGAAAATTTCCTCGCGAAAGGAAATCTCGGAAGGGCAAATCCTGGCATGACGTCGTTGCGCTTGTTCATCCTCCAGTCGGCTCTGCTATTGCCAGCTGAAGAAACTGCACTATCCCTCCCTCTGCATCTTCGTGGATGTTGCCTTTCCAGGATTCAACGGCACCGAATTAGCAATTCATACAGAGAACATGTATGTATGCCTGCGTACCTGCTTCAGGCTTCCAGGCTGTCAGTTATTGTCATCTCATCTCTGATGAAAGCCATCATCAAATCATACCAATCCATCCATGCCAGAAGCCTTACCAGAACAATCCCAAGCCCCGATGCTCGGCACAGACTGGCACTTAACCGGAGAATTATGTTACAGGGCACACATGACGCACGCACGCACGATCACCAGGCTTTCGGCTTCAGGTTTCCCTGAAGGATCGGAGAATCGGTGCCGTTTGCAGCGTGCCAGCGAGCCAATTATCACGTAGATGGTATCATAACAAACTGGGGTGCGCTGCTCAAATATCCATATGGATGGCACTGTAGCTTGCCATGTACTCCGTAAGTAAGCAAGCACACATCACCACACAGACGGCGAGCTTTGGAGTCGTCTGATCTCTAAGGTGAGCAGAAGCGTTTGGTAAAAATTTGTTTTTCGCTATTTCTGCACTGCACTGCAATGTACCCCAGATATCAAGGATGAAACAGCCTGTTCGTCTGAAAATCCCTCGACGAGAAACAAAAACTTGTTTGTCGGGCTTCACTGGCTTTCTCGGCGGTGTTTCGAAGCTGCTGGCAGCGAACGGCGCACAGCAAGGCTGGGCGTGGGTGAGCGCAGGGTCTGTGTGAAGTCGTGGCAGGCTTCATCTCAGCACTATGGACAATTTTTTTTGACGAGATTTGGAATAACTCGGGGTTCTCAAAGTCCAAGAAGTCGTCGTCATCGTTCAAGTCTTGGACCAACATTTCGGTTGATTGACAGACGATAGAGTTCAGAGCTATGGTTTCATGGGTCGGACATTGCAAAGCTAGCGGAGGGGGAGAATTCAGCGCCGACGAAGTGGACGTTGATGAAATAAGTGGCATGTAAGTGCGGCTCGGGCTTCGGTAGGCTAAGGAGGACGGGCGGGCGGGTGAGAGGGAGTCTGTGAGAGGCATAAAGGTAAGAAACTCAATTGACTCGGAGAAGAGAGTCTGTGTTCTCGCTGCCGTCAACGACTGGTTCCCGCTCACTATTTTCGACCGACGGGCGGAAGCCAGCGGTTAGATGGTACTTTTAGTGCGGATGGCCCTGAGTCAGTACACTCGCGCTTCGCTGTGCGACTCGACACAAAAGAATTGGATTGGCTCTGGAGACGACACCAAGAACGACATATCAATTCTCGAAACAACCATCGCTCTTTGACAGCAGAGATGGCCAATCTCAGAGCGCAAAATGTCACTCCTAGCATACAGTTGGATCTCCCAGCAATATTTTATGTCGATCCTACAATCCAGACTCGTGGGTCTGTTCATGATATGGGCAATACACGACCTCAACTGAATCTCCAGTCCTTCACACCACAGAAACATACGTTTCTAGTGCGCAGGAAAACCAACACCATTTCTAGCTTCAAGATCCGAGGACCCTGCATGCAGGAAGGGAAGGAAACTTTCTCTTCCCCAAGTTCTGGACCCTTTATTGCGCTGCTATTCTTTACCATGCAGTGGTGCCCGTCCACAAGTCTAAGAATATTCCGATGCGTTGCCTCCCCGCCCTTGGATATTCTAGACATGCAAGCACTTAAGCCAATTGTGTATGCAATTAAGTGGCTGCTGTGGCAAGGGGGGCTTAAGTGCTTACATGTCTAGACAATCGAGATCTGATCTCATTCGAGCTTGCGACGCTTGGATCGTTGGAGTTCGCGACGGTTGAGAGATGTTGGTCGCGGCTGTGGCAACTGGCTTAAGTGCTTGCATGATCAGACTCTTAAGATCCAGGCTCGTTCGAGCTTGCGGCGCTTGGATCATTGGGAGTTCGCGACTGTTGAGAGACGTTGGTCGCGGGTGTGGCAACTGGCTTAAGTGCTTGCATGACTAGACTGTGAGGATGCGAACTCCTCCCTCCTTGCAGCGCTTGGATCGTTGGGAAGTCGATGATTCCGAGAGACTTTGGTGTCAATTGTGCGTGCGTCTTACCATGTGGCCGCCTGGGCGCGTGGTTCGGGACGGGGGAGGTGAAATGATGGGGGAGATGGAGAAGTGGATGGCATGAACTATTGGTGCCAAAGATGCAGACGCTCTGTATATACGGCGAGGGAGATGGCGAGCGGGCCGCTCCTTAGTTCTCGTGATGTATTCGGACGGGGAGTGGTTGAGTAGTTCGATTGGACTCGTCTTTTGATGATTGCACAACTTCATTCCTGTCAGAGTCGCGACTCCTGGTAGGACGGACCATGAAGACGAGGCTGTACTCTCAAAGTTGTGAAGTGCGGGTGTTTCGGTATTGGGAGATTGGTAGGCTTTCGCAACTTGGTAATCTTCTCTCCGTGATCTTCCAGTAAAGTTTCGCTTGCAGATTTGTTGACTGTTTCTTTCGTCCTCGATGGTTTTCAAGCTCTCAACAAGTCCAGCCTCGTTTTCGTTTTCCTAACCTTGTATGATGTCAAAATCTCAGTTGTCAGATTGCAAGAAACTTCTCAGTTCGAACACTGACCATCAAATAGTGAGCTTCGGCTCCCACCCACGAGTCATTTACGGCTGCCTGTTATGTTGTATCGCAGGGTCCTTCACAAGGTCCTGCTATGCAGTGAGGTAGCATGCAGTGAGGTAGTATTGACAGCATTGAGGTCGCGTAGCTCGCGTGGCATTTTGATCTGAACTGGGTTTTTCTCCAATGTTACCGCAGTGTCGGGTCCAAGATCTTTCCGACAGGGGACAGCCGATGCTATCGCACTCTATTCAACTATCCGTAGATGGATCCTCTCCAGGACATGGATTCTTGACGATCCAAGTAATTCTCCTTTCCTGGCAGAAGGAGGAGCTCTCTGCAGATTACGGAACATAGGGATTTAATCGGTAAGATCCGCCAATATTCCACTTCTTGGACCCGCCTTTATCGTAGAATTTGTATATTCCGCTCACGTTTTCACAGAGAACGAGGAGCGTTCGCTTCTACTTCTGGACTTCAACCCTCGTTATTTTTAATCCCTTCACATTTGACATTTCGCATTCCAGTATGTGCTTCGGATTCGTTCATCCTTGCGAGAAACAGTGCGATGGTCCAGGAGCACTCTTGGAAATGCCAAGTTCGTCCTGGATCAAACAGACACACACCATCTTGGCAAGTCCAGAGCCTTTCGGTCCAGAGCCTATCAAAGCAAGACACAGATCAGTACGGACGTAAACCTCACTGCTTCAACCAACGGCCCGTTCCCGATGGGGGTCCCTACGATGATGGAGCACCGATCGCTCGCAACTAAAAGCCTCGCAATGAAGCCTTGCTTCGCAGCAGATATTGGCCGATTTCTTCATTCTAGGCATTGCTAGGCCGACGGCGAGCGTCACTAAGCCGGCCGAGATACCTTCAAGACACAAAATGGGGTAAATTCACCTCACTACTCTGCGAGTTTGCCAACGCCACATTATAAAAGGGGCTTAACCATGAATGTCTCAGAAGAAGGATCCCTGATCGCTCAGGCCTCCAAAGAAAGCTTTGCTTCCTAGCAAATATTCGTGGATGCCCTCGTTATAGACCGGGCAGCCTGGCTATTCTAGGAAAAGCAAACGGATCTCAGGGGCAGGACTACCTCGTGTCAAGGCTGTTCACCACAAACCATATGGCATGGTCATCTATATGAGGGTATCTTCCGTGATATAAGTCCCAGTTCCTGGGGTGGCCGGTGCCGATGCTACGCTACATCCCAGAATCCAAGGATCCAAGAAATAAGGCCTCAATTGCATTGCTGTCAAAGCCCGGGCCGTTCCGGGATGGACCCTTGGCACTGTGGCAGCCACGAGGCCCGAACAGGGCATCGATCGCTAAGAGGTCGATCCTCGCAACCCTCGCAACCAAAGCTTTCTTCGTAGTAAACATTCGCAATGAGGATCATATCGCTCTCCACTTCCATAATATTGGTACCGAATCCGTCAACATCGATTTTGTGCAAAGGCCAAAATGGACAGGCCATTTCTTAGAAAATGGCCGTTTTTCAGCTTGCAAAGTGTGCAGAAGTCTCAGAAAACCCCTCGTTCCAGTCCCTCGGGACCAATCACGCCTGGGCGCTCTTGTACATTTCTCACGGGTAAGGCGTTCTTGTACAACGTTTGGCCTTAGGGGTCCTGCCCAGGGTGAGCCAGGGGCCCTGATCGTTGCCGATACTATGGAACCAGGACTGCCGCGCTACGCTATTCGCTAGGTCGATACGATGCTTCAACGTGAATAGCTGTCATAATTTACCTCGCTCCTTTTCGTCTGTATGTGTTTCTTGCCTTCTTACTGGCTTCTGCAACGCGGGCAGTTCAATATTGTGATATTGAATCTTCTGCATTGCAGGGAACTTTATCCAATTTATGTCATTCGTGTCTGCACATGTCGACTTCTACTGTATGTCTCAGGCAGGCCGCCATCTTTCTTCAGACCCCGAACCACATTCCCGAGATTCTTCGAGCGCTTATACACATTCCTCCCTTTGCAGATTTTTCACAAAGGCGTTTCTAGAAGCCTCATAAAATCGTCAGTCGTATATCAACCATTCACAACCCACATTTTCCACCAGATGGCGATCCTATTCGCTCCAACGTTCACATCCCAAGCCCTACAACCCCAGAAATGCACTATCGATCCTCATCCGAGCCGCCTTCACTTGAAAGGTAATGTCACTGCGCATCTAAACTATGACAGACCCACATATTACAATGCTATGTCGCCTACGCACTATCCCTCACATTCCAGCCCAAGCACCTCTTCTACTATGTCATTGAAAGATGCTACCTTCCTAACTTGTTGCTGATAGGCGAACAGGAGTCCATTCCATTGCGGGTCGTCGCCTTCACCGAAAAGCAAGACAACAAAAGTGTATCTTGCATCGAGTTCGTTTTCGTGAACTACTGCTTTGTCAATGTAATGTGGGAGGCGGCTAGATGGTCCCTGATCAATCAAGCCATCCGACAGGAGGAAGTAAGACAATACCAAATGGGATCTCTACGAGTATTTGACGGCTGCATTGTTGATGTTCGCCCCATTGCCTGGGACGTATATGTACAGGGTCATCTCCTCCTCCGAGCCGACTTTATTTTCCGCAAAGCACCTCATCTATTTCGCAGTGCAGTATCCCTACCAGACCCTCAAATAGCGGGCCGGTGCGGACGATCATATCTGCTTGATATAGATTCCACGTGGTTTCAAGGATAGATATACTGTGCTTCCTCTTTGCATTGCATTCAGGACCACTCATACCCTTCGGGCATCTAATCCGAAACGACAATGTCTGCAATGGCACCCACACTGCCACGCGCTCAGCAGCTCATGTCACCATGTGCATCGCCATCACTTTCAGACTCGTTCAAAGCAGCACCAAAAGCTCCAACAGTGTCTCCAGACTTCTACCTTTTCTCCAAACTCCCGCTTGAGATCCGATTGAAGATATACACGCTCTCGCTTCCGGATCCACGGTTAATCCCGCTTGTTTACATTCCACCGAGTATAGCATACGAGCAGGAACCTCAACAGTACCAGTACTATCACCAGTACCAACATCAATACCAACACCCCAATTCAAATCAACAACAAAACGATCTTCAAACCCTCCCACGAGCCACATATTCCCCTTCACCCTCCCCAGAACTCCTTCCACGCCTCACACACAGCCAAATCCTCACTCCTACGACTCCTCTCATCACGCCGCCAACCCTCCTACACACAAACCAGGAATCTCGCACACTGGTCCGAAAACTTTACACGCCATGTCTGCCCCTCCGCGGCCTTGCATGTTCCGCAAAACAGACACTCTATCGTCCTTCACACGACATCCTGTACTTCCCCTCCTTACCGCAATCCCCTCCATCACCACACTCAGCTTCAACCTCAACTTCAACCTCAACCTCAGCCTCGACCTCGACCTCAGTCTCAGGTTTACCTTCACCCACAACACCAACTTCATTCTCACCATCACTAAACAGCTTTAATCTTAATCTCAATCCCAACACCACACCAAAAACCAATTCCAACCCATACCTAACCCCCAACCCCCTCAGCCCCACCACCAGCCTCTACACACTCAACCCCAACCTCCACGCCTCATTCACCAACTTCACCACCATCCACAGCCTCGCCACCCCCATGTCACTCATGTTCATCCGGCGGCTCGCCGTGAGCGAAGATGTCTTCCTGGAAGTCGAGAAGGCGAGGTGGATGAGAGAGAGGCAGTTACAGCTTCAGGGCTGTGCTGCTCCATCGTTTCGCCACACCATTACCACTACCTCCACCAATGATTCGCCGGCTTCCAATGCCAGCTCGAAGATACAGACTCGCAGTGGTGGTGCGAAACGCGGGAGCGAGACTGCGGGTTTGGTAGACGCATGCACGAGACGGAAGATCGCAAAAGTCACTGGAGCTAGGAAAGAAACGAGCCAACCAAACACAAAACCAACCGCAGAGCCGAAACCAAAACCAAAAACAGGCGTCGATGCCATCACGCTCGATAATCTCTCTGAGTTCTGGGATGCAGTGAGGCGGAAATTCTGGGGTGTGGAGGAGGTGTGGATTCTGGGCGAGGGGATGGAGAGTAGAGTTTTGGAAGTGGAGATTGATGGGTGTGATCAAAAGAGAAGGAGATTTTCACAAAGGGATGGTTATGGAGGCGGTAATGGTACGGGTAATGGTGGTTTTAATGTTAATAGGGAGATCATGACGCGGGAGAGGAGGATGAGTTTTAGAGGGAAGATTGGGAGGACTGTGAGTAGATTGGAGGAGGAGACTGGGTGGGTGGCACCAACGTGGAGGTACCTGGGCTCAGAAGAGGATGAAGACGAAGAGGAAGAAGACTTCTCGAGTCCGAGGGTTGAGGTCGTCCAGGAAAAGGATGGTCTTGATTGCCAACAATTTGTGCGTACATCGCAGCAGGTCTCAGGGGGCAACGACAAAGTCGTACAGAAACATGATTGCTGGGCTTGGCTAGAAGCGAGGAGGAAAGTCTGTTAATAATGAATTGTAATGTAATGCCTAGCGCTATTGCTACAACATATCCTACGCTTCTCGCTCGCTGTGATACTGTGATTTCTCCAGCGCCTTAATGACCAATTTGGCATTGAAACAATACAGTTTCTTTCTCAGGCTCCTGAGAAGTTATAGTGGATTTGGTCCTTACGCTTAATTTTGTGCCGTTTCGTCCCTTGTCCAGAGGATTTCGAGTTCGTATTCGATCGCGATGGAAGTGCTTGGTTCCTACCATTCGCACGTAGCGATGCAGCCCTTTCTATACTTTCCGCAATAGTAGGATATGCAGTCTCATATTTATCTGTTGGAGACGGCTGTTCTGTGGATGCAGGCGGATATTCACTGACGTCCGAATCGATATGTGATTGACGGTCTTTGCTTGGAGCTGCAAGGAAATCGCGTAAAGCATCTTTTTGGCCTGAAGGCTGCTGCGGCTCTGGCAAAGAATCGGCCTTGTCAGCTTGACGGCTCTGCTTGCTCTCAGTATGCGACTCATCGTTTCCAGGCTCCGATTCGGGAGTGGCCAAGGTTTCGTCGATTGACCTCTGCTGTCTCTCCAGAAGATCATGGATACTCCTGTGGAGTGGTCAGTCCTGCTACGAAGCGATTATATTGTCTGAGAAGCAGCTCACATTGCCGAGTAATGATCGATAGCCTCTTGCCATCCAAACTCATCCTTGTAAACGACCTCACGACCAACATCCGACTTGACCAAAGGGTATCCGATGACTTGCTTGTCCGTCGAAGGTAACCGCTTCTTGAGAGTAACGAGGAAGCAACTATACCTGCCGTCAATCACCCTGAAGTACCAGAATGGTACCCTCTCCTCCAGGGCATCTAGCCAGAGCTTGATCCGCATCGATTTACATGTCTGTTGTATCAAGCCGTTCTGGTCTGTCATTTCACTTGTGTCGTCTTCGAGCTGTCGATTCCTAATCGCTTGGGCCATCCGAAGAGCTGGCCCTCTTGCTTTGCTCACCAGCCGATCTCTTTGTAGGAGAACAGCATTTCTTGTCGGGTCATAGAAGATATAAAATCCGCCTAGATCAGCTTTAAGGGCACTATCGCCTGGATCAACTCCAAAGGCACTGTCAATATAGTGATGAAGTTTATCGAATGTGGTATGTGCTGTCACAAGGATGCGACTCCAATTTCTGTTTTCATCCCCGCACATTTCCACGTCCAGTAGAAAGCTGCTCCCACATGTGCATTCCACTTTTTGGCTTTGTAGGTTATGTTCGATCCACAAATCTTTGCATTGATCGCCTACCAATGATCAGGATATGCAATAATTTAAACTGCAGGAAGCGACAGATGAAGCCACAGATCAACGACTTACTGCACAATTTCAGGGGATAGCAAGTCTCGCAGAGTCGGGACTTCATTGAAAGATTCGCGGTCGTGTGGGCATCCTGGAGTGTCGATGAGCAGGGACTCTTGCAGACCTCACATAACAGTTGGCTCCCGTGAGCCACCAATGCATGTTCCATGATGTGAAATCAATGATATGGCCGGGTAGTATTGTGATACAAGTAATCTGGCTGCAAAGAACGATTGTGGTAGCGAACGTCGGAATTGGAAGCGACAGTGGGTATCTATTTGGAGATGTAGAGATGCTGATAATATGTTGGTGGATATTGTTGAAGAACGGTTTGTACATCATCACAGAGAGCTGATCTCAATCCCGCTACCGTAAGCTCCTGCCATCTTGGATAGCATTTTAGGAGAGTAGGAAGGCTCGTTTCGTGCTACCAAATGCAGGAAGCGTCGACTGGTCATCCAGGGAAGTGCGCGGATATCCAGTGTTGGCACTATTCGGAACAATCACATAAGATAAGCCGTAACCATCTTTCGATAGCCATATGTTGATCCAGGTTGTCAAGCGAGTCCATTCTTCATGGCTTCGTCCGAAGAGTACGAAACACCACTTTCCTCGCTTTCATCTTCGGTGATCTCGACTATCCTTTCAGGCCACAAGAATTCCTTTGAAGCAGCCAAAATCTCATCGGAGTTCTCTGTCTTCCGCACTATCAATATCTTGGTCGCTTGCTGGGCAAAGAAAGGTCGGTCCCGAGAGTCTGCAACACGACCACAAAGGAACATCTGCCACAGAAGCAGATCTTGAAAAGTGGCCAAAAGAACATTGAGGTCCGGGCAGGCTTCTAGGGCTAACTTGATACGATTTGCTAACATAGTGTTTACCCCGAGTTCCTTTGGTAATTCTCTTAGGATGGTGTAGATGTATATCAGAGAGGCCCAACCAAATGTCCGGAAAATGGGATGCTGTGGATTTTCTGGATCTTCGACGTACCACAAACCATGGACCAGTCTTTCCAGAGCTTCCACACGGTCTGTGAACTGTATATCGGTGGGCCTTAGTGTATCGAGCATCTCGGTACCTGCATGTATGCCTTCAAGTCGTTCCGAAACATTGCGGAGACCCCAGAGAACAGTTCCGGCAAGATCGGACAGGGAAGAGCCGGTAAAGTTATACAATCTGTTCCCAAATGTTTTGGTATACGAGCCAGTTGCGGCACTCGGTCTCCCAAAGATCGATTCGAGACCCGACAAGTCCAATGCAGGTTCGATCAGAGGCTTGCTATCTAGCGAAATACATGCTACTAGATCGGACCTATCTTTGTCAGACAGATTCTTGGAAACACATCGGATTGAACGAACAGATAGATATGCCTCCTTGTTTGGGGAGATATTCTCGGAGAATGAGGTCCGCCAAGAGCGGAGACTATGGTGAGCAGACCGTTGATATGGGTCAAGGCCGTTTCTGGGCGCCCCTCGAGTGACTATTTGATCAGCAAACATCGATATGCGGGCCAAGTATCCCATACTTCCTGCTGAGAGAACAGAGCAACACAATTTATAGTCCCTTCATCATGCGCGCCCTGGCGTATCCTCTCGTTGAGTAATCGAATAGCCTCACCTCGGTGGTAGAAAAAGTTTCTAGGAAGGTCGACTTGCTGAAGATATGCCGCATGGGAAGAGGTCGAAGAGATGAGCGCATTGAAGAAAGCTGGGTCCCTCACTGCCAACGGATACCATTCCCAACGTGGACCAACACATGTAACTGTGCGTTCGACAATCACAGTCACATCTGCAGGGTGTCAGCCATGTGTATACTCTGGGTCGCAGGGTACTTGCAGTGATGTATCAAGAAGCGCAGAGAAGCGTCCTCCAACTCCGACCTGGCCGTGTAGGGAGCAACAGCTTTGGGAGGAGGGTTTCGAATGAGGCGGCCGTCGATTGGCTCAAGGTCTTGCTTGAACAATCTGATCCTCCTGCGCTTCTTGGGCTGCTGTTGCTGTTGCTGACATGCCGACTTCTTTATTGCCGCGCAATCACCCACATCTTTGGTCATGGTTAGTGGTGGTCATAGATACTCAATAGCACAGTGGATGAATATCCGTGGACCCTCGATTCTCATCCTATCAGCGGGGTAAAGCCATCAAGCTCGGATTTTGGAGAGGGTTGCAGCTGAACCCTTGCCTTGACTGTCCAACCAAGACGCTGCTGGAGTTCCTGATAGAGGGGCAATTGCGCCGCATCCGCACGGGAACGGTAGAAAAGGAACGAGCAAACCCCGAGTGAGTGCATGGTGGAGTGATATACTGAGGAATATTCTGCTGGGAACCTACCACATCGTCCTTTGTAGGTTTCAAACTTTAGAAGATGAGGTTGTTGAATTAAGGTAAATGGTATGCCGAAGTATTCGCAGATCACGCAGCAAAGTAAGTACGTTTCAGACCAACTGGAAGGTCCTCGCTAAAGACCCGTTCTACAAACTCCACAATCTAGGCACACAAGCTGACCAACTCTTTTGGTAGTATAACAGGTTCTTCAAATGCCGTGATCGTCTCATTATGCCAATTATCCTCCGCAACCCCAGTCGCAACAATGACCGCCTCTTCTCCAGCCGCTTTACCAACAACCTTGCCCTCAACAACATAGCTTGACTCCCCTCTCAACAGATACGCCTTTCCCTGCTGCAACGCAATGACACTGCCATCCTTGTTCCGAACCTCCTGCTTAATCGTCCCCAGATCCAGCTCCAGCGGCGAAGGATTCACCACAATAAGGGTATTCCTGTATCCACCATCCTCAACCTCCGTCTTCGAAATCGTAGTCTTCGGCCCATGCATGCCCTTCAACGGACAATTCTTGTTATAATCAATCTGTGCTGACATGCCCATCATAGCCTTGACAGTGCCCTTCCCATTCTTCAATTGTAGGAGCAGATTCTCGTCTCTTAGGATGGCGTGGACGAATGCTTTGAAGGCGGCTTTGTCGGTGATCTTGATGAGTTGCGCGGGGATGTTGACGTCTGTTCCTGATGAGCTGGTCTTGATCACTGGGAGGTCAAGTTTCCCAAATGCACCGCTGGGCCCGACGAGGTCGACTGTCATGGGTGAGATCGTGGAGCTGACTGGGCCGGTGTTTGTTACGCGGGACTCGATTTCCATGATGAAGGTGCTGGTCTTGTTAGAGATGTGTGATAACTTCAACGACAGGAAATGATCTTACTCTGGAGTCGCATCGGTGATCTTGATGAGAGTTACCTCCAGCTTGGAGTTGTTGACAATATATTGAGTGATGGCGTTCATTCTTGGGAGACGTGGAAGAAATGGCAAAGTAGGTCAAAGGTTTCAAATGCTATTCAACTTGAACTTGGTCAAGATGAGTATGTCGAGACTTCGGACACTTGAACAAGACTTCTTTGACAGTGTATTTATACAGAAATGAAATTAATAGCAGAGTGAATATGATTGAATGCTCTTGAATGTCATTGATGCAGATATACATAGGCAGCTGTCTCAACTCCAAATATTTCCAGCTTTGGAAGCTATGCATGACGCGTTTCGGTGCCGAGGTCTATCACGTTCACTCGAACCTGCACTGGTTGTTTCGTTCCTGAGCTACCCAGCTTGGGCAAAGTCTACAAGCTGTAGCTTGAACATTTAAGCTCTTCGGTGTTTCTAGTTCGATGCGGGGACGATCCCATGCCCCGCGATCAGCACTATTGAGCTCGTCCAAGCGAGCGTTACGTTGTCTTTTGTATGCGATACCATTTTGCTGTGCCTCTGAGAAATCAATGTGGCTGAAAGAAATGCGTAGTTGTATACGTGGGCATTGTACCGAGGTTGCAAATAGTTGACACTGCCATCAGAGCTTCGTTTGGGATTAGTCTTGCGAGCTTGGGATGTTTCATAGCTAGGGAAGGTATTGAAACGACTTCTTAGTCTCATATGCCTCGGCATAGGAATATCAAGTGAAGAAAAGATAGAGTGAGCATAAGTGAGACCTGCGCCGCAAGAGCCACGCGATAGGACCGACTAGTCAGGACCGGTATAGGCTGTTGAACACTGTACTGCAGATGTTCCGGGCTTTATGTGGATCGACCTCACACAAACGTATGGCCATGGCGCGACAGTTCGTCATGACGACTCTCGGAAGTGAAAGTGCTCAATTTTAGTAGCTCAAGTGGTTGCTGACTGCTTGTACAATAGCCCCTCTACCTCCTTGATCTAAATCATCCAACGTCTTCATTTCCTCCTTGGAAAGTTCAAAGTCGTACACGTTGGCATTCTCGACGATCCGGGATGGCGTATCGCTCTTTGGCAATGGAACCCAATTCTTCTGCAAGCAATATCGGATCAGTACATGACTGACTGTCTTGTTATGTGCCTTGGCAATCGAGGTGAGGGTTGGGTCGTTGGCTTTCTGGTTGCGGACGAGTGGGCAGTACGCTTCGACAACGATACCATTCTTGTGGCAGAAATCGACAATTTCTCGCTGTTGGGAGAATGGATGTAGCTGAGAGACAGTCAGATTCCTCCTATTAACCAAAGCGTAAGGAACATACCTCGATTTGGTTGACATGTGGAGGATACACTTTCGCAAAGCTCTTCAGCTCTTCGATCTGCCCGATACCCCAATTGCTGACACCTATGCTCTTTGTCTTGCCATTCTCCAACAGCTTTTCGAGAGCAAGGTACATCTCCTTCCTGTTCTTCGAGCCCCCGCTGGCAGTGTGTATCAAGAATAGGTCCACATATCCATCCTTGCCGTCGATTTTGTCAACACTCTCCACCAACTTCTCGTAGGTCTTGTCGACACTCCCAGCAGCAGTCATGATCTTGGTAGTAATGAAAACATCTGATCGGGGGAGCCCTGATTGGCGAACAGCTTCGCCTACTTCTTTCTCGTTGGCATAGAATCTGTCAGACTGGTGAGCTGAAGTTCGTGGCTTGGGATGGGCAGTATCATCTTACTGTGCCGAATCGATGTGCCTGTATCCGGCTTTAAGGGCTGTCAAGCAGGAAGTGATGCATTGCTTGCTGGTGGATTGGTAGACCCCAAATCCAAGGCGGGGAATCTTCACGGAGGAATTGGGGAGGGCGAGGAGGTCGGTAAGGGTTATTTTGGTAGCCATGATGCCTTTCGAGTCTCTGTCAAGAATTTGAGAAGAATTGTGTATCCCTAGGCAGGAGGAAATGTTCTCGAAGATGCATAGCGACTACCAAATGCCCAATAGGCTACCCTTTGCCGCGCAACCGTTGAAATCAAGTCATGATGTAACGGAGTTGGCCGATTTCCATTGGTACATCTACTGCTATCCTATGCGCTTAGCGGGAGCGGGGGTAACCTTATCGCTGCACACGATTACTAAGACAAGCACACTTTATTTTGGCGACACTTCTTCCCTTTTCTCTTTGTCTCGAGCCCGGACAGAAGCGTTGACTCGCAGCTTCGCGAGGGCGGCTTATCTATTGTTCCACCCTTACAGTGCGCTTCAGCTTCAAGCCTCGAATTCCTTCACGAGCATACCAATTGGAATCGTCAAATATGGCATCATGGATACTCTGGGCACCCTCCCCGATGTTGGCGTTGGGGGCGAGAATCGTGAGATCAATACTCGGAGGCGAGATATCCTCATCTATCGACCCAGATTAACCGCGCCGCGCTTCGATATGATGTGAGACTAAACCCGGGTACCTTGCTCCTGCTGCATTCAGTTGGAATCATTCTTGGGACCGAATCAAAGAAGTGGGATAGCACCCATCTGAATGGCAGCTAACGATTCAAACCATGCATTTTGCTGCGCCCGTCTGACTGCAGCCATGCAGGTAATGTGGGAAGCGCTTCGGCGGCAAACCATTCTCGATCTTGTTTCTATGCAATCAAAACCGAGCTTATGCATGCAGAGCGATGATTAAGCCCACGAGGCTGAAGAATAAGATATATTTGGGGTCGAAAAGACGAAAGGCTGCAGCTCGCTTGGATGATTGTCGGACTGAACAACTCCATTGGGAAAATTCTCTTACTTGGAGGAGGGAGAGAGAGAGCAAAACTGATCTCCAAATAGCCTTGAGTTACTGCTCCATTTCTCTGCACAATCATTTGTGGAGATTATGACCCTGCTTCAATGATGCAAGCTGGGTCTCACCGTTCCCAAGATCTCCAATTGCATGCCCCCAATATTTTCAGTGAACACCATCGTGAAGATCAATGTGGAGTTGGTAAGAGGCTCTTGATATGGTGTTTTGCTATAAGAGTAGCAGTCTGCTACTCCAGTTTCTCGTTTCTGTCTCAACTCTCAAGTCAATCTTCCAACCTCAAATTCAACTGCCATTCTAGTTACCTGGAGAGCGAAATACTTGTTACACTGAATCAAGACACAGAGCACGATGTCTACAACCGACTTAAATGTACACTTGGTAAGAAGTCTTCCCTTGGTTATTTCGGCCACTAGCTAACTTCATAAGGGCGTTTGGACCAACTGGGCCAAAGGTTCTTCCGAAGGACGAACTCTCACTCTCACATCTCAGAATGGAACCATCCTCATCGCAGCTCTTGCTCTCTTTGTCTCTATTGCTGCAGCTCAGTTCTGGGGCATGCTCTCCTTCTTCGTCCACCAATTGAGAACGAGTCGGAAGCCTCAGTACGGCATACATTTCCAACAACAAACGACCCTCCGAAACCATGGCTCACCTCTCGCTACCGTCTGGCAGTTGGTGAAAATTTCTTGGGCATGGCGCTCGCAATCTGTTGGCAGCTTCAAAAAATCCATTGGTCTTGTCATGCTCGGCTTGGTTTACCTGATGATGTTTGGCGCTGCCTCCCTCTTTTCTTCAAGAGTTGCCACCGCCAGCGATGAAGTTCTTGTTCGAAGTCCAAACTGTGGAATTTGGTTGGTCTTCCTCATTCCACACCATTCTCAAACTTGGAATATACTGACAGCGTGACCAGGATCTTGAGCCCAGATATGTCTAGCGATTTTGATCAGGTAAGTTCAGAATCTAGATCGACTCTCTTGTCACAATTCATTCCTGAGTCGTATTGTGTTCCTGAAATACGACTCTCCTGCAATTACAAGCGAAAGAATCGCTAATAATTTTTAAGGCCACAGACTTCAACGTACATCAAAGAGTGGTAGGTTTTACCCCTCCTCGCCCTGCTTGAGACTCGAATTGGAGGTTATCCTAATGTTCTCTGGAGTTCCAACACCCAAAACAAGACATGCACTAACTCGATCATCAGAATGCCGATTTGAGTAAATCATATGTTCGTGATTGCCTCAGTGGTTATCAGTCTTCACCAGAATGCAACATCTTCAAACAACGAGCTATTCCGTACCTATCCATGAATAACGCAACCTGTCCCTTCTCACCCGAAATGTGCCTTGGCTCTCCAAACACAGCTCTGAGCTTTGACAGTACGCTGCTCGACTCGAACCATGATTTCGGCATAAATTCTTTGCCTAAGGATAGAGGTACGTTCATTCTCATCTGTTCCATCGACTAGATGACTCTTTCCACCGTGGGTGGGGCATATTACAGAACCAGCTCAATACAGTGCCGATATCAAAGTGTATAGCTAACGTCAAAACTGTTCCTAGTCTCATACCGAAAGGTAGCCACATGTTCGCCTGTAACTACCGACGGTTACCTTGAAAGTGGAGAGTCTGAATTGAAAGGGAGAGGATACAATTACACAGCTGCTCATTATGGTACCAACAACATGATGGATTCGAGCCGAGATATGTATGGTGGTGTGGACAACGCAACATATGTTCACACCGACTATAAAGCACTGGAGCTAGGGTACGACGTTCAGTCAGGAGCACCACTCTATTCGGTTTTGTGAGTAATTAGGCACCATTTCAAAGAAGTTTCTAATTGTCTCATCTAGTGTTGCATCTGCGCCTCCAACCTCGCCTCATTTGGGCTTTACCCCAATCGAAGCTCTGAATGCTCCAAATAGTACCGTCTCACTCGTTTTCGCATCTTTCGATGGGTACAGTGTGGCACCGAGCGATGACCTTTGGCTTCCATCCCACCAAAAGTCCGAGGTATCGGTATACGACCCGGGCTTTGCACCACGGAACGTCACAATCTACAAACCAGACAAATCGGTCAATGTACTTGGATGCACTGAACAACATCAATTTTGTAACCCTAATCGCCCAGCGGACTCTGAGTCAAGATGTACTCCTCTGATGGACTGGGGGACTCTTGGGCTGCTCTTTGATAATTACACCTCCGAAATCTTGGATACAAACCATCAGATAGAAGCACTCACCATAATCATGTATGCTGCTCTTGCTGCCGAACTGCGAGTGAGTACCTCCCTTCCCGGCAGTATGTCGTCCCGGAGCGAATGCTGACTGCTTCCAGAACACGGTCCCATACTTCCATGCACCTCTTCTAGCAAGCGATTACACTTCTGGGTTCATGTCTAGTGCCATGCCCCCCAATCAATGGCAACTCGAAACTGAGAACTGGTTCTCAACCGGGATGAACATAATCCAACGCTACGTCGCCGAAACCGCCACAGGAGCTCCAGGTAAATACGCAAAATACACAACCAATTCCCAAGCCAACGCTACCGAACTCCAATGGTTCTGCGCAAACTACATCATGCGCGACTCAGCCTACCAATCCTTCTCCATCCTCGCACTAAGCCTCATCGCTGGCTTCGGCGGCCTCGCCATCTTCGCAAGTCTCTGGCTCGAAACAACCATCGGCTGGATCCAAACCAAGCTCAACCGCGGCACCTTCCACAAGATGTGCTGGAAGCTCGATTCAGCTCTCCAGCTCCAGCGCATGGCGTACGAAGAAGCCGGTATGGGCAATTGGGTCAGATGCGCTGACGATATCCCGCTCACGGAGAAGGGAAATCAGATTTCGCTGCCGGCCGAGTGGGATGAGTGGCATCCTACTGTTGCCGGGAGACCAGTGCCGCATACGCCGATGTTTGATGATGGGAGGGCTGTGATGATGCAGAAGCAGAGCACGATGGTTACGGTGTCGTCGGAGACTACGCTGGCGCCAACGGTAGAGAGACGTCCTACTTTGCTCAGGCTGTCGTCGGACGAGGAGACTAGCCGAGAGGTCGAGGAAGCGGATGTCATTAGTCCTGTCACCCCGCCTATGTCGCCTACAATTCCAGCGGCGAATCCAACTCCTAGTCCGCTGAGCAAGGAGGTGGTCGTTGTGGCTGTTCAGGAGCAGAGGGATGGATCCTCGTAGATGGGCACGCCTTTTGTTGATGAGTTATGACTTGACGAATGATTTGGAATTTTGTTGCGGTAGGGGATCTATTCCTAGAGGGGTAATTAATGGACGTCTTGATATTAATGAAACTTATTTTCACTTCCACAGTGCATTCAATTACCCTCTCAGGAATCAAGATGTTATAAGTTAGGGAATCGGGCTTCCGGAAAGCCATCAACACCAATGAAGTGAGGAGATATTGTCCATGGGGGAAAATAATGCTTCTCTGTCCCTATACTATAGCCGGGCCACACATTCTAATACACAACAACAATTTGGCTGTGCTGTTCATATCTAGCTTCCAGGTTCGATCTAGCTTACTTGATGCTCTGAATTTATCGTCGTTTGTGAAACACTTCTTTAGAATATCCCTATTAATTTCTGGTACATTGGCTAGTATATGGACCTATAGTATCAGAACGAGTAGATAAGAACCGTATGCGTATCAGCTGGTACCAGTTGAAATGTACGTAGCATGGATTGTGACTTTCAGAGTTGCTCAATGTTTTCTTGCACTTTATATTGACCTCCACTATTCAAAAGAGTTACAATCTTGTTTTGGAAGGACATTAGCAACTGGTCTAAAAAGCACTTTAGAGCATTCGAGTTTGAGCAATCACACGTGGCGTGTTTTTCCACGAGAATTTCGGAAATGCGCTAGTCTCGCTTCGTGCCCTAGGCCGAAATCCATTGTTGACGTTGATGTTCACTCTCACTCTCGCGCTTCAATTGCCTCTGCGCGTTTGGTATAAATTTTCTACTTCAACTGAGTATTCAGAGCCAGTTTTAGCACTGCTGAGCAATCCGTCTATTTTGTTATTGCAGCGACATGGACCTCCCTTCATCACCTCCAGTCTCCCCAGAGGAGGATGGATCTCTTCTACCTACCCAACCCCAGCAGCCTAACAACACGTTCAGCAACGACCTTTCCGCGATGCCTGGTGAAGAACACTTCGCAGTCAATGACTCACTACCCTCGAAGAACACTGCTGGTGACAATGTAAGGCCTCAAGGCTCGAGTTTACCAAGTTCAGTCGCTCATGCTGCGACACCTTTGGAAGGTGACCTTGCCAGAAACAATCCACCAACAAACCCTACAACCAGAAATCACCTCAAAGGATACAATCTGTCTGAAGAGCATGAAAGCTGCCGTCGAAGTTTCGAGTATCAGCTGAGTGCGTTGAACACGCGTCTCCAAGATGCGATTCAAGTCGGCATGAAAACTGATCTTGATCTGATCCGTGCAAATGCATTTTACACCTATAACGTCCGACAGCTGAAAGATACACACCAGAAGGAAATGGAGGCATTGAGAAAGAAAATGATGGCGGAACACGAGAAGGAGGTCCAGAGGTCGCAGAAGCTGATCGAGGAACCTAAGCAGTCACGATCGGCCCACGAAAGGCTACAGGTGGAGAACAGGGCATTGAAGAAGAAGGCTGCTGATACAAAGGCCTCTAAGGAACCACTAGCCAAGGAGAATCAGGAGTTGAAAGCAACTCTCGCCAACCTCAATGCGGAGCATGAGCAAGTTAAAAAAGCTCTCGGAAAAGCCAAGGCTCGCATACAGCAGAATACCAAGGATACCTGTGCTGTCTCTCTCCAACATGAACGAAGCTTGGAAGAGTACAAGCTGGTGGAAGCCGACCTCTTGGAATCGAGATCCGACGTTAAAGCACTACAAAGGCAGGTTGAAGACATGAAATCCCAGAAAGCAGAATTTGCAAACCTCGCCCAAAGTCTAGAGCTGAAAATTGCAGCACTGGAGAAAGATCAAGCAAACGAAAAACCGCTGGTTGATGTCGGAACCGCTATCCGCATGCGACATATGGTACTTCAGTCGATTGTTGTTGAGCCCGTTAGCCGCAGGGAGAAGAAATTAGTCCAAGCTGGCAACATAGCTGCTCATGAGGAAAACATTGAAGCAGATCTAGCAGTATTCACGGCAGGCACGGATTTGGGAGAATATGAGAAGAAATACTTCCAAATGTTACATGGTATGAGTCCCAATGGTTATAGAATCATGGCGAGCCACATAGCCAGATTCTCGGGTGTAAGAGATCAACTCTGTTCTGTGCCGCCAAGCGGAGGTATCACTTGAACCGTGGAGGAGATGTGTCGTGTTTGGCAAGACATCGACCAGTTGACCGCCAAGTTCGACGAGGGAATGTTTGGTGATGATGAGATTCCCCAATTCGCATCTGATGTAGCCAGCTTCGAGAGGTCAACAGAAGGGATTCTAGCATACGAGAAGGAGGAACATTGGCCATTAGGGAAGCCGGTAATTACATTCCATAAGCTTGAAACCTGAAATTTTACTAACGTGACTCAGCGGGATCAACTTCCACACGACGACGATTGTTGGTGTGGGCGATGTCCTTGTAAGAAACCACCCGCCACAGCTGACTCTGGAAACGGACCCTCAAATACACCAGTTCAGAATGTCGAGGCCATCAACCAAATCAGACAACAAAATATGGGGGTGTCGAATACCACAAGCCCAGTCACTCAGGTCGATTATACGCCAAATTGGGATACGAATGTTGAGGATGACTGGGGCTCGCCCTCTGTTGTGAAGACTAAAGATTTTGGAGGAGGATGGGAATCGCCGGCACCAACTTCCCACGTTCAAACTCAATATGTATCCCATACAAGTGTTTTGGGTTTGCCAGTACCGAATTATCATCCTGTGCAGGCTACATCAGCTTTCACTACCAATGAATTGGCCTCCATATCACAAAGCAACAGGGACTGGTTTCAAGCTCCAACTTCTGTAAATGGAGCAAAATGGAGTGTACAGAAGCCAGTACTTGGTAGTACGGGTGCTGGTGGTAGCAATATCCATACATCTGTCGCTGTTGGGGGATGGGCAACTTCTACCGCACCATTAGAGGCAACTGCCATGTTTCAAAATGATTGGTAACAATAAGTAGAACAAGACAGATGTTAGAGTTAAGTACAGAAATATTGTGCAGGAGGAGTACGAGCTGAGGAGACCTGTTCGACCGTTGAGTGGCCAGAACGGAGGGATATCATTGCGTAGGCAGCAGCAGAAGCTTCATTTTCACTTAATCAACGAAAAAGATCGATGGAGAGATAATGTTCGATCTGCATCAAACCTTGTGTCCACGTGCTGCACGCCTTCCGCCAAGCTAGATCTTTTCGCGACATCGAAAGTAAACAAACAACCCCACCACCTTATCAAGATCTCACACCTACCTTGATCTGACTTCACGACGTCTCAGCAATCACAACAACCACATAACGCGTCACGATGGAAACCCCAAGCTCTCCAGCAAGCTTCAATGATACATTGTCACAAGGTAAAAGCCTCTAAGCCTATCTCTCATGCATTTCCGGAGTCGAGCTGACAACATCAATTAGATGAAACGGCGCCCTCACCTGCAAATGACGAGAAGAAACCTGGATTTGAATCCGCGCTCGTAAACTCTCTGCAACGGCAAGTCGCAAAGTTGCGTAATGATCTCAAGACGTCGAATACTCAGCTCTCTTTGGTGCGCCAGCAGAAGACGAAGGCCACTGATCAGGTAGGTCGCATAGACCCTGTACCTTTCTATCTCCTTTCTTGCCGATTGAACTTCTCTACAATGATTAAAAGCTCTGACACACAGTCATTTCCTGAATTGCTAATCTCATCTCCTACAGCTCAAAGCCATCGACCAAAGATACGAGAAGAAGATCAAGAACCTCGAAAAAGAAGCGGCCGAGCAAAAGAGGAACGCCGAGCAGAACCTGCAACTCGCAAAGAAGATTCAAGACTGGAACGATGAACAAAGCAAACAATGCTCAGCTCTAATGCAAAAGAACGAGAAGTGCATAAGCGACAAGTTTGAGTTGCAGCTGCAGATCGAGGCGATGGACTGCATGCTGAACAATATTACTCCCGATATGGTTCGGAAGTCAACGTATAAGACGCATCCGCTGAGTTGGTATACGGTGAGTTTGTTTTCTAATACTGCAGGATGCTGAGGATGAAGGAAAGCTGATCTTTTACAGGACTGTATGGCGGTATGGAGAGTCAACCTTGCCAAGGTCGAAGGAAAATGCAAGGCACTTGAAGCCGCGTTGGAGAATGAGAAGAAGACGCATAACAAGGAGTTGAGTAGTTTGATCCTCAAGGGCGAAATAGAGCGCCAGAACGTGGTTGGGAATGTTTTGATTGGTCTCTTCAAGGTATCCGGACGTAAGTTATGTTCCCAAACATATATGTGCCTGTGCAACAGTTCTACACAATTCCACAATCATACATATCCAAGTCTTCCAGGAGCTGGTACTGATACAAAAACCTAGTGAATGATGAAGAAACCGTAAATCGGATCGCTAAAGCCCATGGACCTGGCACCGAAAGTACGGAGGTCCGGCAGAAGATGATCAAATTGTTGGAAGACATCTTGGCTGAAGCATCAAGAGATTCGAAGTCTGGCTCTGATCCCATGGCTATGTACGCAGCTCTGAGCAAGGAGGTCAAGGGTTTACCGGTGGTAGAAAAGATGGCCCCTTACGCAACTCCAACACATCGACTTCTGGTGGGAGGGAAGACTGCGAGCCAGCCGATGACAAGCCCTAACGTTAATGACAATGCACCAAGTACGACCAAGGATATTCCAAAGCCAGCTGATAACACAGTCAAAACGATAACAATCAAGAAGACAGCATTGGCTCCCAGGGATACTTCCACGACACCAACACCCGAGGTTTCTAGACCTGCAACAAGACGTCCTCCAATAGCTACAAAAAGTAGCCTTCGAGAAGAGCTACCAAGCGCAGATTCTCAAAGATCTCATAACATACCTCTCAAGGATTCTAGTCGACCCAAGACAATTGCAGGCAAGGCTAAGAGTGCTGTTTCGTGGGCAGTAAAGTCTACACTAAATACTCTGCGGGATGACAACAAAGAGGAAATCAAGAATGCTCTCACAGATCCCCGTAAGTACCTATCATATATCCTCCATATGTCAAGCTCGCGAGCTACGAGTACATGTTGTTTCCAACAGAACGACACCATGCTGAGCGTGATCTTAGGAGATGCCCAAATCCAGAGACTCCTCGACCAGTACAAAAAGTGCGCCGCAGCACTAAAAGCTTCAATTAGCGATACTACAGAACTCGACAAACAGCTACGGCAGTTCCAAGAAGTCCACTGCACCAACTTCCCCAGCAAGTGTACCCACATGCCCTGGGATACCGTTGATATCATCCATACTCCCTGCCCCAGACGTGATTGCATCAATCGCGTCACGGAGGCCACACAGCAGGAACAGATAGTCGAACAGCTACAGGAGTACATCAACGTCATTGCACCAATGGCAACCATAGGCTCGGCAGTACGCATTCAGTTCCTTGAGGAGGCACGCGCTGCGCTCGAGGGTGACGAGCCGAATGAATGTATAATCCTGGAAGGCATCCTTGCTGCTCGTGGTGCGAATGGGGAGGTTGATAACAACTTATTTGCTGGCTCGGATACCCTTGATGAGCATCCATTGTTTCAAATCTTCGAGAAGATCTATGAGGCGCAGTCGAGAGAGGATTGGGAAGATCTGCCGGAGCTGCTGAAGAGGACTATTGATTGTCAGGCTACGATTCGGTTTGCGAAGAATCTTCCCGCTACAACTGAGATGATGGTTCTGCTTCAGGGACATGATGAATTATGTGAGCGATTGGTAGGGAGGTTTAAGAAGTGGGTTGATGGGAAGACGGAGATGTTTGAGGCGAATGTGAATCATTGGTTCTTGCTGGATAGGCTGGAGTGGTTGACGGATGAGATTCTTATGTTTGAGGAGGAGAAGAGCGTTGATAGATTCCTGGAGTATATCGTGTGTATTCTGCTGCCTGGATAAAGGTATCAGAAAAGCTAATTTGGAGCAGGACAAGGATGGAAATAACCCGAAAGTTCGAGTCAAGAGATGGGCCGAAGCTGAAGAGGACTTTCATTCTCCTGATTTCGGGTTCATCGCCACGGTCGAAGTAGGAACGTTACCTGCTGATCGGAGCTCGTCGTAGAGCAAATGTCGAGAATATTAAAAAGCAGTTTGAGGCCGCTAAAGATTTGGACGAGGAGGTTGGTGGTGCGGCGGGGAAGCTTTGATTGGTTTTGATGTTAGTGGTACAAGGAATTTTAGGCTGTAAGGCATTATAACAGAGTGTTTTGTATGTCACGAATGCGATTGAGGACTTTGTTGGTTGTCGTTGGTAGCACTGTATATATATGTCATGATTCGATGCTTTTGTTTACTTACTGCGGGGGATGTATGGATAGGGGCTCGCCAAAATACGCCAAGAGAGGATCGATACAAGTTTCTGTCCCACGCAACAACATCAACCCTACCTTGCGTACAGAAAGTGAAAATTTCTCCTTGGATGGTATAACTAATATGCAGAAGCTAGAGCTGGATTCCAGGAATCCTCCAGTCTCCCCATAATGTCAAGAATGAGCCTACAATACCCTGAAGTCATTGCCTGCATGATTAAAACGTCTGCAATCATCCAGCCTTGCCATTCTTTCACATGGAGCCTCGATCAACATCATCTTTTCAACAGTCTTATAAAGTGTCTTTGGGGCCTTTACTCATATTGAAAATTGACGCGTAGGCTTTCAGTTCTGAGACGTGGAAAGATTGGCATTGCCAGGAATCTTTCAGTCTGTACAATGCCTACTTTTAGGGAGCACGGATAGTTTGCATATCAAAGGTCCCGTAAGATTTATACGACCTAGTCTGTTACATGCATAACTACTTGGCTCATTACCCAACACTGCTTCGCTGAAATCTGGTCAGCTTCTAGAGGCGTGTGATGAAGCAAGAGCGTCGTATTTTTTCGATGTCAATTGATGGATTTGCTGCACTCCTAAAGTGCAATGACAATGGTAGAAAGAAAGGTGCTTAAAATCTACAGTAGGACAGGAGGTCAGTCGAGGTGGCCGAAAGGTCCACGTGGAAGCTAGCTACTTGGTCAACTTCGGCTCGCTTGCCTTGTTGACTGCTCAAAACTTCAGTACGGTCAACCACGCGCTCTGATTTTTGTACTGTACCTGTTCAACCATTCGCAACGGAGCTCTGATTCTCAATTTTGCATCTCAGCTCTTGCACCTCCTACTCCTCCTCACCTTCCACAGCCCACATAACCGTTCCGGCAAAAACCTGAAAGGACGCAAGGTGAGCATTTGATATCGTGGCAAGTCGCCAATGACCAGAAATAAACGTGTATACGAGACTCTTACTCTCCATACCTACGCGTCAACCATGAATTCAGCTTTCAAAACCTCATAAGCATCTCGAGACCTTGCTGACTATGAAACATAGCGATGCCATCTACCACCAAAGATGAGGCCACCAAGCCAAAACAAGCCACAGCCAAAGACCGAATCGACGGATTGCATCAAAGCATGAAGAACGTCAGATCAGCACTGCGGACATTGGACGGACAACTCAAGGGAATGGGAAACGTGATCGACAAGGAGGTTTTCGAGAGGGATGATGCTATAATTGCGAACGTGAATCTCAATAACGAGAACGATGCATTGTACGCACAAATGGAGGAAGATAGGAGGGTATATATGAAGCATCATGACTCGTTGAAGGAGGATCAAGCTGAGCTTCAAAGCGACAAGAGACGTCTTGACTTGGAGAATGAAGCGCTAAAGGTGAAGGTCAAATCCCTTGAGGGGAACAAGACGGCGCGAGAGGAGTTCCAGAAACAGGTCAAGGAGAAGAACGTCAAGATTGAGACTCTAGAAGGAAAGCTCAAGGTAGCTACGACGGAGCTTGAGCATCTAAAGGGTGTGGAGCGGAAGTTCATCCTCGAGCTGGATAAGAATGCGGAGAAGGATCAAACCATTAAACAGCTAAAGGAGGATGCTAAAGTCCATAAGTTAAAGCTTGAAGACATGCGAGAGCTTAAGGAACAGCTTCATGAAAAGACACAGGAGCACGGGGGTTTTCTCAGCTGGGCTAACGCGCTTTGTGCCAGGATGACCGAACTTCGTACTTCAAACGCAGCTTTGGAGAGCAGCAAGAAGGAGGCATTAAGCAAGGCTGAGAAACACGCTGAGCTCGAGAAGGAAGTTCTCTGGTTACGAGCAGAACTGACTGACCTTAAGGGAAAGGCGAATTGTCAACAGATCCAACAGAAGGCAGTAATTGAGGAGAATGAATCACTCAAATTGAAGATTCAAGAGCTCGAGGAGGCCAGCCGTCATGGTGCAACTCCCGAGCAAGTCAACCATCTCACAGAGAAAGCTCAAGACCTTGAGAAGGATAGAAAGCTCAAGGAGCCTCTGACAATGCTGGGCTCATCGATCCGTATGGCCTACATGCGCTTCGAAGCAGGCGGCACAAACGACCACGCCATCATGCCGCAGATTGTCGACGCCATAGCCTACAGCAAGAATCCTCAAGTCGACGCAGCTCTCTACCAAACCGGCACACTGTCCGTCGAAGCTGATGGCCATCTGTTCAAGGAAATCTACTCATCACCAGCGTTTGTCCAACTCGATTACGCAGCCATGCCGAAGTATTGTGAGATGCTGGAGAACCTGGACATCGTTGCTGATTGGCTTCCCGAAACCCACCGCTCGAGAGACATGCCGGAGTGGGCGAGGAGAAAGCAAGTTATTGAGGAACTGAAGGGGATGTGGAATGAGGCTATTATGAAGGATGTTATGGAGTTTGAGGGACGGGAGGATGTGGGTAAGCTTGTTGATGAACTGGTCGAGCTGTCGGATCGTTTGGGGGAAGCTAAAACAGCTTCGGATGAATTTTGGGAAGGATGTTGACAGCATCCTCTCAATTGAAAGCAGTCACAGAGCCTGTAGAGAGGAGTACGGATCCTGAGTAAGTGCATGATATGATGCTTCTGAGCTTCACATTTGAGAGCAGGACTAATAACACCACCGAGTTAGACATGCAAACGCAAAAGAATTCGGTATCCAGAATTGCAAATACTATGATAGAGATATCGAGATGTAAAAAGTACAAAAACGATGGCAGAAGACTGTACAGGATGCTAGAAGTGGACACTTTCTGCAGCTTTGTTCTTGAGTTATAAGGACATGTGCACCTTGCACTGCTTTACAGATAGGAAATATGTCTGAGGATTTGCTTTACCATGCTGAAAAAGGCATATGTGCTTTTGTTTCCAAAGCACTTTCAGGAAGACAGGTTGCCTACAAGCTCTGGCTTCCTATTCCCAGCAAACACAAATGTAGCTTTAGAGAATGAAGAGCACAGAATACAAAACAGTTTCCACTCATTAACTCGCCAAGTCTGGATACTGAAAGTGACAGTGAATCAAAAAGCCGTTGTGATGCAGAAACAAAAAGAATGTCGGAACCAATTTCTAGAAGTTTCAATGCATTTACGATCAGGCCACCAGGCGACCAACACCACCACGGCAGCCTCCACTTCCATTTCCATTCCCCACTGCACCTTCACATCCCCCACCACACCACCCAAACCACCAATTGCACGCCGCTCTGCAGGTTACCCACGTCAAGGCAGCACAGCACTTCCTTACTTACCATCAACCCATTGATATTTCTTTGCGACCTGATTACAAGTGCAAACACTTCATACAGTATACCAACATCCTCTCGGACCACGAGAGAGCAGGAAACTCGGATTGGATCGCGATTGCAGAGACAAACAGACAGACGATGGATCACAACCATCCACTGCACGGAGGTTGCTCCTGCGGCAGGAACAGATACACGATTCGCATTCCGCAGGACGCAACGGAGAGGCCACAGGTTTTCTTTGATAGTGGACATGGACATCGTATGTTCCCTTCTTCTTTTCCTCACATCCCCTCACTCTCTTCACAACAATGCAACCATTCCACCTCTCTCAATCCCCTCAAAACCAGCTTGTACCTCCCTCAGCTAGCTAACCAACGTCTCCACCTCCAGGCCGATTCCAAGCAACCCCCCTCTCCGCCTGGCTCCGCGTCCCCCTCTCCTGGTACGAATCCACCACCTACGCCTTCATGGACGACGAATCCCACGCCTCCATCCGCCGCACGTATACCTCCCCTTCCGAACGGAGCAGCAAGCGCCACTTCTGCGGCTTCTGCGGCACGCCGCTGGCGTACTGGAGTGAGGAGACGCCCGTTGAGGCGAGCTATATCTCGTTGACGCTGGGGAGTTTGGCGGGTAAGGATTTGAGGGATCTGGAGGATTTGGGGGTTTTGCCGCGCGAGGCGGTGGAGGATGCGGTGGGTGAGAGGGAGGTTATTGAGGAGAGTGCTGCTGGGAGGGGAGGAAGAGGTGTGTTGAGTGAGAGGGAGAGAGGTGAGAGTGGGCTTGGAAGTGGAGTTGGGGAGGAGGGATTGCCGTGGTTTGAGACGATGGTTAAGGGTAGTAAGTTGGGGAATGTGCAGAGGAGTTGGGGGAAGAGGAGGAGTCAGAATGGGAGATTTAAGGTGGAGTGGGAAATTGTGGAGTGGACTGAGGAGGAGGAGAGTGCTGGTGAGGGGACCAAGTCTCCGGCGAAGAGGAAATTGGGGGATGTGGATGGCAATGGTGATCAGGGTGATGTGATGGAGCATTGAGGGATATTAATGGGGATGGAATTTGCTTTGGAGTCTTGGGGTGAATGGACGGGACGGATGGTAGGCGGTTGAATTGGGGTATGATATTACGAAGGGATGACACCGGGAGGTAATAAATGATGGAGAACTCTCGATAAAGTTATCAGACGGCCAATTAATGGTCAGGATTCGATATGGCTATGGCTATGGCTTGCTATGACTTCTCTCAAGAGAGCAGGTATTTTCTGATACAAATGGAGCAGCGCAGAAAAAAGCATTTAAGTGGCGTTGACAGCTAGGAAGCAACATACAATGTACCAACAGAAGCAGAAACAAGAAGTCTTTTCTAAATATGCCGCACTTCTAACATCCTACTCCATTCCAATAAACAACATCCAACATTGACATCCAATCCAAGCCAGCCCAAGGAAGTTCAACATGCAAGACATCCGAGACCATCCGATTTTCAACCCACAAAGTCCCCCAGGTAAGACCACCCCATCCCCATTTCCAGCCTCACGACCAAGACGCCTCTCCACGTGAGGGCCTCAAGGTCAAGAACTTCAACCATGATTTTTCCGAGTGGCTGTCACTTGAACTCTCGTCAACGCAAATGCCCGATGTAATCCCGGCGGCGGCGGCTTCACAGGCTCGCAGGCCCGTATTCCGGGCACAGTAACGCAATGTTCAGGCTGCCCCTCACTACGAGTATTCGCTCGTCTCCCCATTCAACCTGCACCACAGCAAACAACCCCGCCATTGCCCAGCGCCAAACAGTGGGGCGTAGAAATTCGGAACATCACGAACATGGCCATGCCCCTCTTCGAGCAATTGATCACTCACTGCCCATTGAGCCGGTCTATGCGGTCCGAAACGTGGGTGAACGGACAGCGCGGCTTGGGTTTCCCATAGATTCGATCGATTCGATTGCACGGCCTTTTACTGTTCTGGTATTGGGCATACTGCTGCGGCAGAGACCTATTCTATTAGCTACCTGGATATAGTACTTTCCAGATCCATACCTTACGACGGACGGATACAGTACACGAGAGGATAGGACAGATCAGGACATGACATCCCACTAACGTCACGGTCTCCATTTGTAGGTATATCTAGGGCACTTTCCCTTCCTTCTGTACTTCTTCTTTTCTTCTCTTCTCTTCCATTTCCCCCTCCTCTCTTCATTCATTCTCTTTACTTACTTGCCAGTCTACCTGCCAAGTATACCCAAGTCGAGTTTATCCGGAATAACATAACACAAACACAACACAGCTGACAGGAGAAAAATCACTTGCTTGATTGCTTTATTTATTGCCCAATATGACGCTAGCTCTTCCAAAAGACTTTCTCTGGGGTTTTGCTACCGCTGCGTAAGTGCTCCATCCTCCGTATACTAATGCTTGAACTCTGGTTCTTGTCCCCTTCCAAGAGTCAGACTTCCCCCTCTGCTTCGGCCAAACTGACACTCCCCAGCTACCAAATTGAAGGAGCCCCCGAAGCAGACGGCCGAGGCCCCTCAATCTGGGACACATTCTGCGCCATCCCCGGCAAAATCGCCGACGGCTCCTCAGGCGCCGTAGCCTGCGACAGCTACAACCGCACCGCTGAAGACATCGCCCTTCTCAAAGAAACTGGCGCCAAAGCTTACCGCTTCTCCATCGCCTGGTCACGAATCATCCCCTTGGGAGGCCGCAACGACCCCGTCAACCAGGCCGGTATCGCCTTCTACAAGAAATTCGTGGATGATCTCCTTGCTGAGGGGATCACCCCTTTCGTGACCCTCTTCCATTGGGATCTGCCTGATGCGTTGGATAAGCGATATGGAGGGCTTCTGAACAAGGAGGAGTTTGTGGCGGATTTCGCCAACTATGCGAGAGTTTTGTTTGAGGGCATTCCGAAGGTTAAGCATTGGATTACGTTCAATGAGCCGTGGTGTAGTTCGATCTTGGGATATAACACTGGATTGTTTGCGCCAGGACATACAAGTGATAGGACGAAATCGCCGGTGGGTGATAGTAGTAGGGAGTGTTGGATTGTGGGACACAATTTCTTGATTGCTCATGGAACAGCGGTCAAGATTTACAGAGAGGAATTCAAGCCAAAGAATGGTGGTGAGATTGGTATCACTTTGAATGGTTGGTCTTCCCCAATCCCTCCTGAAATCCAAACCCTCGGTTATACTTACTCACAATCTTCCAGGTGACGCCGTCTACCCCTGGGATCCCACCGACCCCCTCGACGTCGAAGCCGCCGAACGCAAACTCGAATTCAGCATCTCCTGGTTCGCCGACCCCATCTACCACGGCCACTACCCCGCCTCAATGGTCAAACAACTCGGGGACCGCCTACCCACATTCACACCCTCGGAAATCGCCCTCGTCCAAGGCTCCAACGACTTCTACGGCATGAACCACTACACCGCCAACTACATCAAGCACAAGACCACCATCCCCGAAGCAGACGACTTCCTCGGCAACCTCGAAACCCTCTTCGAATCCAAAACAGGCGAGAACATCGGCCCCGAAACTCAATCCTTCTGGCTCCGGCCCAACCCACAAGGCTTCCGCGATCTGCTCGTCTGGCTGTCCAAGCGGTACGGTAATCCCAAGATCTACTGCACGGAGAACGGCACCTCGCTCAAAGGCGAGAATGACTTACCTCTGGAGAAGATCTTGGACGATGAGTTCCGCGCCGAGTACTTTAGGGGGTATATCGATGCGCTTGCTAAGGCAGTGACGCTTGATGGTGTGAATGTTAGGGGGTACCTCGCGTGGAGTCTGATGGATAACTTTGAGTGGGCGGAGGGGTATGAGACGAGGTTTGGGGTTACGTTTGTGGATTATGAGGGCGGGCAGAAGAGGTATTTGAAGAAGAGTGCGAAGGTTGTGGGGCCGCTTTTTGAGAAGTTGATTGAGAAGGAGTAGAGGGGGAAGGAAGGGAATGGTATGGGATGGGATGAGGAAGGGGGAAAAGAAGGGGGACAAAAGATTGGGGAGAAGGAGGTGGTGCATTGCATTGCATGAGAAGGGGGAAATATGCATAGATTGATATGAGTAGATGAGATGAGATGATTGTGATGATGATGATTGGGAGGTGGGAAAAATGATTAAACTGTTATCCTTTTCTCTTTGCGAAGTTTACTTGTTTCCTCGTTTCCTCAAATCCTCGCTTGGGTCGGTCCTTGTTTACTTCCATGTTTGTTTGAAAAGATCTGGTCTATAGATTCGTCTGCCAAGTATAGTCTTAAATGGTCTTCAGATGGAAGGCTGTGCGCATCTATCTATCTATGCAAATCTACACAATCGTACACATGCCTCTGCTTTCACCCTAGGTAAGGCTCTATACACATCCGCCCTGCTTTTCCGATCCGATCCAAGCCAAGCCGAGAGCACTATTTTCTCTAGCTGAACGAAATCAATAATCAATAATCAATCGTCTCCAAAACCGTAACCTTCTCGCCCCCCGCATAATGACTATGCCTATTCTTCTTCTTCTGGCCCCTCCTCCTCTGATGACCATTCTCCTTCGCCGAATCGACCCTCACCTCCCCCTCCCCCTCCCTTTCCTCATCACTATCCATCGTCGCGAGGATCTTCCTCGCCGCCGCCGCCCCCTGAATAGCCGCCTTCTTCTGCCTCGTAATCTCCGCCGCCGCGTCCATCTCCTCCTTCTCCTTGGCCAGCATCTGATTCTCGTACTCCTCGTACTCGGCCTCAATAGCCGCTACATCCTCGAGTTTCTCGTCTGCTAGGCGCTCGAAGGTGTTGAGGTCGATGGCGCGCTTTTTAGGCCCGACCATCGCTTTGGTGACGCGGTCCGGGTGTGCGCGCTCTTCTTTGTTGAATTTGAGCTTGATCTGTCGGCGGTTGCGGTGTGGGAAGAGCTTGGCGATCATCTCGAAGTCGGTGCCGAACTGGGCGAGCCCTTCGTAGAAGCGGATTGTCGCCGCGTGGTCCCAGAGCATAGATTTCTCGCGCTTCATGTACGTCCCCGAGGTGATGACGCGGGTGAAGTCGTCTTCGATTACTTCTTCCATGTCGATGGCGTTGGCGCGCGCGCGGGCTTGTCTGTCGATTTGGAGGGAGGCTTCGTCGACTACAAGTTCGCCGTTGACGAGGCGGATTTGAGGACCTCCGCCTGCGCCTGCGGCGACTTCAGGGGTGGGCTCGCGGTCTTCTGATGGTGTTGGTGCTGGAGCTCCGGATCCGGATCCAGATGCTATTGCGGCGCCGTCAGGAGGTCCATCGCCGACGAGGCCATCGATTTCGGGGTTGTTCATGATCATCTTCTTCTTTATGTTCAACTTCTTGTTCGCTTCGACTCGATCTTTGATCTCCTTGTGTCTACTGAATTTCTTGCCAATACGCAAGTCTCTGCAGAGATCCGTCATGGTAAGTGTAGACTGGTCGATTTCTTCATCAGAAGCACCTTCTGGAGTTGCAGCACGTTCCTTTCTGCCTCTGGTTCCATCCTTCTTTTTGTCCTTCCTCTTGCCTGCAACTCGACGCGGCCGGTTCAAGTGCATCCCAAGAGTAGTTCGAGCATCTTCTCCGTCTCCGGGGGGTTGAACCTTTTTCCGCTTGGTGTATTTTCTCTTTGGCTTATCCTTGCCCTTCTCAGCAGAACTCTCAGTAGCGGAAGCAGGTTCATCGACTTGTATAGCACCAGATGTACCATCAGGATTCAGAGCCCCAATTGGAACAATCTCAGAAGCTTGATTTACTTCTCCTGGCCGCAAAGATATATCTCCAGATCCAATACCAATCCCTCCACCTCCAGCTCGTCCCATGTTAGAGGACTCGGCCGGCCCTTCATCTGCTAGACGTACGATATTCTGTGGAGAAGGATATCTGTGCCGTGGCGGCTCCGGAGACCTTTCTGGGCTGGGGGATGCTGGATGCTCTTCTTCTGTAGTCCGTATTGGAGCTTCAGGTATCAAGGTTTCGGGTGGTTGTTCGTTGGCCCCGGGTATGGCCGCAGGAGGAGTAGGTACTGAAGCAGAAGCGCTGGTTTCCGAAGGGGTGCTGGCGGGTTCCAGCGACGTGGATTGTACAGGCTGGGATACTGCACTTGGTCCATGCTGTCTTCTGGACTCTGGAGATTTTGTAGGTGCTTGCGAGGCCGTTACATCAACTGCTTTTTGCTTCTGCTTTGGAGGGATTATCCTCGGCCGAGCTGCTGGTTTGGAGATTGGCTGGGTCTGGGAGGCAGGCGTGGATATCGACGGAGGTTGTGCTGTGGAAGCCACTTGGGCTGGACTTGGTTCAGGCTGAGGAGTATTCTCTTGATTTGAAATGTCGATGATTGGAGCTTCGATTGTAGCTGCAGGAACGTTTGGCCTCTCAGAGGCTGTAGAAACCCGTTTCGGCGGTGGTGGAGCGATCACATCTCCCCTCTCCTTCCTCTTCAAATCCGGTCGAGCAGTGCTGCCTCCATCTTGAGTCACTGACGCAACTGCCTGCTCTTGATCTTCCTGGCTCGGTATTTGTCGTCGGTTTGGTTCAGCATGTGGCACATCGCTTTCGACAGTAGATTCCGGGACATTGGCCTTTTCTGGTACGGTAGTGACACTTTCTTGTGAGGGTTGTGGTGCAGGAGTCTGAGATGATCGCTCGACGCTGGGGCGCGAGGAAGGCGGCGCTGAACCTTGCGGTTTTCGGACAACCTTCTTCGGCGCAAAAACTTTTCCTCTTCCTTTCAACATGATTACTAACTAGCAGTTCGCATCGAGAATGTAGTTGTCGTTGTCTGAAGACTTTCGATGAGGGACGATTGTGTTATCGAAGATTGAATGGCGGGGAGATTCTGATATTCGTCTCCACTAGTATTCACTAGCGTACACCTATATCAGAAACAGACTAGCGTCTTGGCCGTATGGATCCAAGGACTTCACAGACCGTTTTCTTCAACCTCGACAACTCCATGTCCTCCATCCTCCTCGCCACTCCTCGATCTCACAACAACACCGCGACAGGCTGCAATCGCCGCAGCAGGTCTTCACTCGACATCTCCGGTCTCTTATTCTCATGTGCCAACCGGCCCGCCTTGTCTGATGCCGATTTCAACTCCCCTTGCCCCGTCTCACCCATCCTTCATCAAGATGGAGGATAGGAAGAGATCCGCTGGCGAGGATCTCGCTCCACCTACAAAGAGACAGGCTGTCAATGGCAAAGCCTCAGCAGATGCCGATATGCCATGGGCTGCCGATCTAGAGGTATGTGCCTGTCGTCATGGCTTCACCTCCCCTTTCCATCAGCCACGGCCTTGTCCGATTCAATCAGCCTCACCTGTACCGGATTTCAGATCCTCTCGCATCTTATGTACTGAGGTGTACGATCTATCTGGCTGGTGCTAATGCGCAGCTTGCTGTCCACAGCACGTTGCATAGCTTGCAGACCTACTCTTGTCCTACAGCATCGTACAACACCCACATCCTATACCTCCTATATATACGTTTCTTCCTCGCGATCTGAAAGTTATGGCAAGGTGGGGATCATGCTGACTCGTGGCGCCATACAGGAATATCAAAAAGATGCGATTTACCGTCGAATGCTTGAGTACAAGCGCGAGGCGGCCACATTCCAATCACAAGTAAAGGAACTTCAAAAGCGGGCTACTGATCATGATGACCATCTTCGTGTTGCAGATCAGTGGTGGTCTCAGGTATTTTATTTCGAGCACGTGCTCAGGCGCATATACTGATGGGTCAATAGTTATTAGATGAGGTTACGCTTTTGGCGCAAGATTTAGTTCCTGAAGTTGATAATGATGGTCAGTAATTGTCCCCATTTTCAATCTATGTGCTGACGAGAATAGCTTCCTTCCCCACAGCATTGAATTTCAAGGGCAGTGAGGATTTCCAAAGCCACCTTGCATCAAAGGCCAGAGATATTAAATCTAAACTTCAAATCATATTCACAAGACTAGCCAGTGCTCGAGGAGAGCAGTCCCCAGACATTGAAGAATTGCAGGGCAAGCTCACCAAACTTCTGGCTTCACAACGGGAATACGTGGTTAAACTCGATCGCCTTCGTACAGAGAGAGATCAGTTGGAGGAACGTCTAGAGAGCGCATCCCTCCGTTGCATTAAAGCCGAAAAGAAGTATGACCGAGCACGCAGCTCTGCTGTTGCCAAGTTAGAACAACAGGCCATAAACGGATCAGGAAATAGTGCTGGTAGCGGTATTGGCAACGTTGAGAATGGTGATACTGAAATGACCAATGGAATATCAGAAGTCAACGAAGCCTCACAAACAGCATACAAGGAAGCCTCCGCCATTGTCGAGAAACAAAAGGAGCAGCTGGAAGCCATTGCCGCAGAGAACAAGACGCTCACCGAACAACTTACCTTGGCCACAACTCGATTCTCCAACCTAACTGAAGACGACTATGCACGGACCGATCTGTTTAAGCAATTCCGGGCCCAGCATGAAGATGTGATTCGACGTATAAATCATCTGGAGGCCACCAACATCCAGCTCCGGGAGGATGCCGAGAAACACCAGGCTGAGCGAACTGCTTTCCGGACACAAGTTGAAGGAGAATCGGAGATCACCACTTGTGAACTTGAAAGCCAACTTCAAAGGGTTGAGACTGACTTGACAAGAATTCGAGCCACCAGAGATGAGCTCCTTGCCGACCAATCTATTCGAAAGGCCAGTCAGGATAGTGATCGCCCGTCTAATACCCATTTCAAGGACCTCGTGGCAGGACGAGATGAACGAATTACCGCTCTGGAGTGTGAAATCGAACGTCTCAAGGCTTCTATCAACGAGCAATCCTGCGAGTTGACTCCACGCCCTGAAATCGACTCTCTCGATCTTGAACAATTACGCAGAAAGTACGAAACGCTGGAGCGCCAATTTGACGCAATCAACAAGGAGTTACCAGCCATGCAGAATGCGTATACAAAGGTACAGGCTCTTTCAACAAAAAAGGTTATCGATCTGTCCATCCTGGAGGAAAAGATTCAAATCGTCAATGCGGAGAAGGCCAAGGCTGATCAAAAGTACTTCGCTGCTCGGAAAGACATGGACACTCGCATTTTGGAAGTTAGAGCACTCAAGGGACAAAATGCGAAGAGTTCTGAGATAATTTCTCAATTGAAGGATGTCGAGACCGCCAACCGTACCCTGCTCAGTAATCTTGAAAAGCAGTTGAGCGACATGAAGCAATCAAATACTTCAGTCATGGCAGAAAACAAGAAGATGGAGTCGACAAGCAGAGATGCAACCAGCAAGGCGGAAACTTTAACGAAGCAAGTCACAGAGCTTACCAACTTATTGAAAGCAAAGGATGCAAACAACTTGAACACCAAGGAGCGAATTCGAGCTGCCGAGGTGGATCTGGAAAAGCTTCAAGTCAAGTACGATCATGTCCAAAAGGAGAGAGATCAATGGAAGGCCAAGAGCTTGGGCAAGCAATCTGGCGAAGAGGAGATGCTTAGAGTATGTTTTCCCCATCATTATGTGCGAGCATTGCTAATCAAATATAGACACTCGCTCTTTGCACGATTTGTCGGAAGGATTTCAAGAACACGGCTATCAGGTCATGTGGTCACACATTTTGCAATAATTGTGTTGAAGATCGCCTAGCTAACCGGATGAGAAAATGTCCCAATTGCTCAAAAGCTTTTGACAAGTCGGACGTTATGGCAATCCATTTGTGATTGATTTTACGGCATCTGGTCATATGGAGATTTGGTTAAGTGGTGCTGCGTCAAGCTTTTAATAGACCTATAAGGTCGGTCGGTGTATGATTGCATAGAGAAGGATAGGGCTGGCTTGGCTTGAAGCTTTCTGCATAGCTTTGAGGAGACGATCTCTTCACTCTGTACACCACATTTTCATTTTCACGTCCCCACACCTTTTGAGGTATTGCATGGCCCAGTTGATTCTGGGTACAGTATTTGTACGCTAGATATACCACGAGGACATCAAGTCAATCAAGCCATGAAATTTTCGTACTGACTATCTTCTTGACGTTGAGCCAAACCCTGTACTCGAGTGCCTTGCCGATGAACTTGAACCAGAGCTACTTCGTGCTGGAGGTGAGGGACTGTTGTATCCCCCGCCACTGTCCCCTCCGAACCACGAATTTCCTCTTGGTGCTTGCTGTTGTCTGTTCCCTCTACTTCCAGCCATGTATCCTCCTGCCGCACCAGCAGCTGCACCGGACCAAAATCCAGGTCTCCAACCTTCCTGCTGAGTCGAGTATCTCTTTCCAGGATATGGAGGAGGAGGATCATATGGATCACCACCTCCACCAGGTCCGCCACCCCATCCTCCACCTCCCCATCCGCCTCCCCAACCCCTCCTAGGCTGTCTGGGCAGTCCATCAGCTGGAAGAGCCTGCCACGCCGAGTAGATGATCCAAAAAAGCACCCCAAGAAATACAAGTGTAAACAGCGTTCTCCCCCACGCACTCCCTTCCTCCCCATCTGAGCTACCTTTACTACCCCATCCTCCACTCTTCCCATACTTCTCCTCCCCCTTCTCCGTCAACACCAGTCTATACTCAACTCCACAGCTCCCCTTCAACACATACGGATCATCCCTATTCGCATATCCTTCACAAATCACCTCGGTACTCCCCAGCTTGAAATCGGACGGCATGTCCGCCACACAGCTCCACTCAATATCCTCCTCATTGTAAGAAGCTCCCTGGTTTGTACAGCGCATGAGATCCACATTGTGGTGTTTGCAGGCTGGACCGACGCATTTGAGCTGTGGGATGGCGGAGACACGACGGTGGGAGGTGAGGGCTTTGGAGCGGAGAGTGAGAGTTTTGACGGAGGAGAGGAGGATGGCGTCTTTGGGTTTCTTTGCGCAGAGTGACGGGGTCGAGAGGGTAAGAAGAGCGAGGAGGATGGGGTGGACGAGGTGCATATTGCTGGGTTGGTTGATGGTTGAGCTCTGAGCAATGAGTCGTGTCGAGTCCAGGAGATATTATATCAAGTACTTGCAATATGCAGAGTATGCGGGGTATGTCTGCGCAAGGCTCGACTCTTAAGGGTGGGCAGTAAGGACAGATTGCTTGATTGTTGACGCCTCGTCGTCACTGGTGCCTTTGCTATCGTGGTAGCTGGATTCTGGTCGAGGCTTCAATGTAAGCCGGGCGAATGATTGACAATAGAGCTGTTGTACGCGTGTCCTGGGCCGAGTCTCGATTAGAACTTGGTGATTGTCGACTTGGATTGCAGACAGTCACAAGCTGTGATGTTGTGAGTTGCAATGGAGCAAATCGTCATCGTAGCCTTGCTTCTAGGAGTACACCGCCTTGCAGGGGTAGCTATTCTGCCCATGCACCTATCAACATCAGTCCTCCCCTCTCACACTGTAAACATCTCCTTCCATATCCTTCAATATGCGGCAACGTGTAACTTTCCTCCAAGACCCGGCCGACTCGATTGATCCAAGCAAGCTTGAAATTACATCAACATCTATCTCCACACCCGAATTGACAGCTGCGAGAGAAGAGCGAATCACATTCGGCTTTGATGAATTACCCCAGGAATTATACAAGGTGTTGAAGGCTAGCCATGAGTTGCATATACGATGGGTTACGGAGAACGTTTTCGAGACGAGAGCTCCTCTTGTGGCGAGGCTGAGTCCGGGACTACATCTTTTCTACACACCATTAAGGAATGAGGGGTCATCGTATGTTGAGACCTCGCACTGGAAGAGCGGTGCTGATTGTCCAGGGAATTTTTATGTCCGCTCTTAAAGAAGGTGTTTGGTGATTTGGATTGTATATCCCCCGAGGTAAGCGAGTACTTTCAAGTAAACAAAAGGCCATTATTGATTAGACCGCCAGAAATCGTTCACCACCCTCCCCCGCGACCGCTTCTCACACTCCTCCGCCTCCCAATTCTACTCTCCCCTAGCCAGTCTCCTCGACTTCACAACTTACCTCTCCCACAAACTTTGTCCCTCAGACTCTGGCTCTACACCCTTAGACGCAGCTTGCCTCTCGCGAGTACAAGCTCTTCACTCAGCCTCAACCCTCGAAATAGACTTCGACACAATCTCCCACGCCCTAACACTAACCGCCTTCTTCCCTCCCAGCACTCAATCCCTCGCCCTCTCCAAACCGCCCTCCTCCTCCTCAATCAAAGACTCCCGCATGGAAATCGGCATCTTCTCTGTCGAGAAGCCAAAAGAAGTAGAAGAGCTCTCCCTCGGCGGCTTCCTCACCGTCGTAGGCGAACACTCCAAACCCTCACCAACACTATTTTCCTTCCCAGCTCGCCACCACCCGCTACCTCTCTCACAGACCTTCACGTCTGGATTCGTGCATCCCACCGGTTTACATCCTACTCTGGAGGTGAATATCACGAGTAGTGAACCACCGCTGGATGATAGAGCGTGTTCGCTACACGCGCATCTCACACTGCCGAGAGCGGTGTTCGTGGATAAATACCAATTATCCGACCCCTTATTCATGGCGTCTAAGAATCTCGCAAAGTTACACTATATCACCTCACCAGTTGATCTCGAAGCTCCGGCTTATACTTTAACAAGCTGGGGATCGTCTGTTCTGCTGGAACTCGCACCTCCTTCATCGCAATACAAATCGGACTCCGAACCCCTAACAGCGCAACACCACCAACAATGGACATCCCTCATCCCCCTCCACCTCCGCTACCTCCCCCCTTCACAAAACACCTCGGGCCTCACACCCCTCGACATCCCATACCCCATTCTTTTCTGGGCGTGCACAGCTGACGAGGGGTCGAAATTCCCGATTAATCCTTTTGATCGCGTGAATCTTGGGTATGATGGGTTGTTTGGGCCGAGGACGTTGTTTTATCATTTGAGTCCGAGTGCGGCTGTGTGGGGAGGGAAAGGGGGGGATGCCAAGTTGGTTAATAGCTTGGATGTGCCCGTGTTGGATCTGGATAGGAGTCGGTTTGTGGAGGTTGGTACGGCGATTGGTGTGTTGTTGGGGTTTGGGTGGGTGTGTTGGTGTTTGCTTGGGGTGTGGAGGGGGAGTGGGTATCAAGCAGAAGGGAATAGTCAAAGGAACAGTGGTGGATTGAAGGAGGAGGATAAGAAGAGGAAGTGAGACACGGGAAAACTTAGGCTGGAACGATTGGATATATCATGACAGCTAGTCAGTCTGGAGCTCTATATGTATGCAGAGAGCATGATGTTGCATGCATGCTGAGAACTTGGATGTAGGGAAGGAAAAGAAAGAGATGGCACCATGACCACCCCCTGTCGTACATAAATATTCGAAAGACATCTGAACGAACATAAAAGGTCTCTTTTGTTAAGATGTCGAAGTTTAAAGAAAAAGTTGCGCCCAACTAAATCCTCACCGAAATTCAAATTTAAAGCCTAAACAAATGATGATGAACTAACTGACCGTCGAGAAATCGCAGTTCCCATGACCATCCCCATCACCCACACCCTCGCTTCCCCCTTTCCCTCCAGAATCACAACAAGCGAACAAACAAACAAACAAACAAACAAGCAAACAAACAAACACAGGAACACAGGAACAAACGCGCATTCCGAATGAAAATCCGAAAAAGCCATCAGGTACACCATGAAAAACTTATCTTAGCCTACTCAAACCAAACCAAAAACATTTGAACAAAACAGGATTCCTCTATTACTGTCTATAAAGTACTAGTTAACTTATGTATGTATGCATGCGCAAATCTCATCTCATCTCATCTCATCTCATCTCATCTCATCTCAAGTACCAAGTACCTTTACCGGTCCACCTGCCTGCGTCGCGGCTTCCGCGCGAAGAGAATGGGGGCATGGATGGATGGGGACCTATAATACATTCATTTATTCAGCGCCAGAACGCCTGCCTGCCTGCCTACCTGCCTGCCATGGTTCTTTCTCCATTTTAAGTTAAGGTATGATTGATCCAGAACCTGGTCCATACGACTTGGTCCAGACCCATACCCAGATCCAGATCCAATGCCATATCAACTCTTGCTGAATTGATGATGGCGTTCATATCTCAATTCATCTTACTTTTCACACGCCTCTCACTTCTGTACACCTATAGCTTTCCATTTGTACAAACAGACCCAGTTTCCGTGATAGCGAATCTCAATTCAGTTCGCTCCAGTTCGGTTTCACGACGAACTCCCCCCACCATTCCCACCATGCGGTCCCTTCCCCCCATCAAGCAAGAGTTTCGGCTTAATAAACCCCTCATCGAGCTGCCTAAACCACGCGGCATGATCCTCCGCCGTCCCATGCAACAACTGACTAATCGCCCCACTAGCAGTAATACTCGGCGCCTCATGCGCCACACTCCCGCTCGTCGGGTACGGCTCGTGCTCTCCTCTCTGAGCCGCATTCGTCGGCGGCGGTGATGATCGTTTCCTCTCTGTGCGTTTCGCAGCTGGTGGGAGATCCGACGTATCGCTATCGATGTCTAGATCTGAGTCTTCCGCTGAATTGGGGTGTAATAACTCCTCCGTGTCTTCTGGTCTTCGAGATGCGGAGTTCTTCCTACTGAGGCCCTTGGGGCCATTGACTGGGCTGGAGTTTCCAGATACATAAGTCCCGCGCTCGTACTGTCTGTTGCGAGCGTTCAGACCATCTAATGGGACGGAGCCGTTGCGGCGGGCAGGCACGTTGCCGAACGCGGAGCCGCTGTTGTGTTTATAATATGAGCCGTTGGGAACGGCTTCTATGTCGAATTCATCGTCGGAGTCTATCTCTTCGACGACGCCGATTTTGATGCCGAGGATTTCGAGCATTCGGGCTGTTGTCCCGCCGAATATAATGACGGTGAGGACTACGACGACGAGGACTGTGGCTTTGAGTGCCCAGGCGTTTGTTCCTTTCAGGCCGGCTGCGAGTGCGACACCGACTGCTCCGCGGAGCCCAGCCCAGAAGAGCATGGCTTGGTAGCTGTAGGGGAGCTCGTCCGCGACGTCCTTGCCTCGGCGCTTTGCTCGGTACCGGATGAACCAGTTGATGAGTCTGGAGAGTGGGAAGACTGCTGTCCATCTTGCGGCGCAGATTCCCATGACCGTGACAATGATCAAGAGGGGTTTGAATTCTAGCTTGCTCTCTGTGAAGAGTGATAGTCCGAGGTAGATGAAGATGAAATTCTCTGATAATTGGGCCAGGACTTGAAATAGGTATTTGGTGGTGAGTTGGGTTCGGCGGGACATGTTGTAATATGCGTAATGTTTGAGGGTGATTCCGCAGAACAAGAGTGTGACGATTCCTAATGAAATTAATAAAATCCAGGTTCCGAGAATAGGGTAACATACCAGACATGTGCAAGCCATTGGAAAAGAAATAGCTAGCGTAGGCAATCAATACAATCAAACAACTTTCAATCTTAGGGAATCTTCTGACGTAGGTATATTTCAAAACCAACGCCGTTCCAATTCCCACACAGACTCCAATAAGCAAACTTCCAAAGAAGACAGCCAAGAAGATTCCAATACCTTCCAAGAAACTAAACAACCCTAGAACCTGAGTTGCTTCGTCTTTCTTGTATCGTTGTGCAGTCTCAAACAGAACGATAGCCACAGCATCGTTGAGAATGGATTCTCCAAAAATGATTGTATACAACTTCGGATCGACCTTGTAGGTATTGAAAATGGCGAGAATTGTGACAGGGTCCGTAGCCGACAATGTTGCTCCAACAGAAATAGCATCGACAAAGGTCATCTCCAGCCCATCGATGGGTATCCGTGTGTAGATGTAGAGAATCAGCCCGAGCACAATGGCGGATATGAATGTTCCAGCAAACGCAAATGTCAGGATCGTTCCAATGTTTCGAAAGAAATTCGCCTGATGTAGTTCGTAGCCGGATGCTAGAATAATTGGTGGTAGGAGCAGATTGAAGAATATCTGGTAATTGAAACTGACAAGGTCCTGGATAGAGGTTCCGGAGCTCAGTCTGAGGATCAATCCCACCGTCATACCTGGACTATTAGCTTGGTCCAGAGAGTAGAAGCAGTTTGCGTACCGGCAAAGATTGATATGACCGTTTCATGTACTGCTTCCACCTTCTTCTGTTGTAGCATGTAACTCGTGAATAGAGCCGCGATCAGCAGCATAATCATAATGAAGAGTGCCCATGACGAGAATATCTCCATCTGGGAGGAATCCGGCGCTGCATCTGTCAGTCTGCTATCCTCCCAACTGGTATACTTCTATTCCCTACCTTCTTCCGAATCATCTTCTTCCGCTCTCTCTGCAAAATCCAATTAGCATCCATCCTGCCATCCAATATCCACGCGCAACCTACTCAGTATCGTATAGGCCAACGTGCCCACTACCGCTGACATCTTGACCATCTTGTCGTTCGAAGAGCGCAGGCGTGCGCGCAGAGGAGGGGATGTCGTGTCGAGTCGTGGCTCAGCGACGAGCAGCGTGAGGAGAAGGGAGGACACATGTAACTGTTCGCGATAATGTGATCGATAGGAAAAGAGAGTGTGCAAACGGCAGAAAGGAGGGCCTCAAGGTTCTAGATGACGAGGCGTTGGGGGACTAACGAAGTAAGTGCTAGAGTCGGGGCGGGCTTGGACTAGCGGCCAGGTATAAGTATTGTAGCAAGAAACGGACCTTGCGGCTCTGCTCGCTCTGTGATGGGATGGGATGGGGATGATCTCTCGGATATGGCGATGCGATACGGGTGATGTGAGGTGGGTGCTCCAGTTTAATCGGCTCGGGACGTCGTGACTTGGTGATGTACTTATAAGCTGATGGCGGAGATGTGGGATGGAATGTCACTTGGTGTTGGTGCTGTAGGTATGTGGAAGAATGGAAGACTGGGGTTGGACCTGTTGGACGTGAGATGGAACCCGGGATATCTGGCTCTCCAGCTTTGGGTCTGAGAGGGCAGGCCGATGCCAATACAGTACACTAGCAAGGCTACTGTACAGCGGGCAGTCGGGAGGAAAATGCCTGGTGTAAGAAAATGGAGGATGACAACAGTCCAGGTGACAGAATGCTGGAAGGGACAAGAGAGCAACAGTTCGCCCATAGAAGAGGTATAAGTAAGTTAGAAATGGGTAAGAAAAGTCCAAGAAATTATGTGATCTATGCTCGGTGCACCATGGATACAGTAGAAGCAACCCGGTCTATGCAGTAAATATTTCATTCCTTTCTTTCGCCCGGATCTTCACAGTACGATCTAGTAGTATCTACCCTTCTAGTCGCGCTATCAGATCCACCGTTTCTTCAGCGATCCCCGCCAAGACCAAGATGACCCCCATTCCCCATACTTATAATTCGGGGAAAGGTGTGGTGTGTGGTGTGTGTGTGGTGTGTGTGTGGTGTGTGTGCTTGTGTATGATGCCGTTGTACCTTGCAATCCCAAGATGCGCGCCGGGCTGAGGCAGGGCAGCAGGGCAGCAGGGCAGCAGGCCAACAGGGCAGCGTACTTATATCCGGGCATCAGGATCAAGGCACAAGGGTCCAGTTGTTCCTGAACAACCTCGAATCAAGCCAGTTTCGAGTCGCGGGGCGGGGCAGGGCCAGCATGACATGACCAGAACCTACCTATTACCTATTCCCATCCTACTCAGCTCAGCTCCTCTCAGCTCTTCTCCGACTTCGCGCATTCTCAGAACGACGCAGCCATCTTCTGACCTGAAAGGGGGCATTTCCTTCTGTCATCAGCGAGCCATCTGACTGCGGATTATTTTCCCGACCACAGCTCTCTGTGCACCTCATCGTGCAGCATCGAATCACGACCCGCCAGCTATGCGCAGCATCGACCCTCGCGTGATTATGAACGACTCGTGAACTCTAAGCAGCAGCCGCTGTTTAAACTTTGGGATACTCCTAGGATACGGCCAAACATCTATCAGAGCAATCTGCGACAGCTTTGAAGCTATTCCCGCTCTTGAATTCCAGCCTACCGACCTTCTCCCCGAACCCGCCATTGCGCCGTCCGAGTCCTGCAGCCCACTTTCTACCTATCCGATCTACAGAAGGGACAAAAGAGCTTTTGATATTAGGTTTGGACAGGAACACGCTGGAATAAGTGTGCTTGCAGACGCTGGTCACTGTTCAACATGGCCGCAGATCTGCCAGACCAGCAGAAAGGTCAGCTAACAATATCCCCCACGCTATCCGGAGAGACTCAGCGAGATGATACAGTGGAACCCATGGGAAAGCCCCTCCATGAAGAATCCCCTCTACTATCCCCATCCGGAGACGACGAGTCCTCGGAAGGACTGATCGATCGCGAATCCATACTACAAGAAGACCCCGTCGATGACTGGCAGGAAACGAAGGGTTTATGGTACATGATACTCTTGACTATCAGTATCGGAGGGCTACAACTAGCTTGGGCAGTGGAATTGTCAAATGGGACGCCATATCTACTAGCATTGGGGTTGAGTAAATCACTGGTGGCCGTGGTATGGATAGCAGGACCTCTATCAGGGGCACTTGTGCAACCCTATGTTGGGATGCTCAGCGACAATTGCAGGTCATCATGGGGAAAGCGTACACCGTTTATGGTTTTTGGGGGTCTTGCTACAATAATAGCCCTCCTAGCACTTGCTTGGGTAAGAGAGCTTGTTGGTGGGTTTCTAGGACTCTTTGGCGCAAGCCGAGAATCGGAAGGTGTTAAGATCACGATCGTTGTGCTCGCGGTTGGCTTTGTGTACATTCTAGACTTTTCCATTAACACTGGTAAGAATATTTTCCGACGTTGTACGACCTCAGCTGATATCTTGCAGTTCAAGCTGGAATTAGAGCTTTTATTCTGGACTGTTGTCCAAGTCATCAACAAGGTAAGATAAAATCTGGGAGATTTATATCAGAGCTAATTCAGTTAGAAACTGCAAATTCCATGGCAAGCCGAGTCGTGGGTGTCGGTAACATTATCGGCTATGTAGCCGGATATGTTGATTTACCAAAGTACATGCCATTCTTCGGAAACACCCAATTCAAGATCCTATGCGTGATAGCTTCAATATCACTCGCGAGTACACTTGCCATCAGTGTTCTTACTATCAGAGAACGTGATCCACGTCTCGAAGTCGCTCGACCTAAAGGCAAAGGCGGCTTAATACATTTCTTCACCACAGTCTTCAAATCTATTCGACGACTTCCACCTCTGACCAGACAAGTATGCGAAGTACAATTCTTCGCCTGGATTGGTTTCTTCCCTCAACTATTCTACTCCTCTTCCTACGTTGGTGACATCTACGTCCAGCCCTTCCTCGAAGCCAACCCCAACATGACCCCGGAGGAAATCGACCAACTCTACGAAAAAGCCACCCGAGTAGGCACGTTCGCCCTCCTCGTCTACGCCATCACCTCCCTAGCAACCAACGTCCTCCTCCCCTTCTTCATCGCGCCCTCCTACGACGCCGCGCTGGAATCCTCCTCCAGCAGCACAAAATCCTACACCACCCGCTTCACCCGCTTCCTCGACGGCCTCGTCATTCCCTGGCTCACCCTCCGCCGCGCCTGGCTCATCTCCCACCTCATCTTCGCAACCTGCATGTTCAGCACTCTGATCGTCCGCTCCATCACCGCCGCCACAATCCTCATCGGCGTCGTCGGCATCTCCTGGGCTCTGACACTCTGGGCTCCATTCGCTATAATCTCCGCCGAAGTCAGCAAGCGCGATGCCCTGCGCCGGTCACGCGATGCAGCGCAGGCGCATAACCACCATTCTCTCGACACTGATCACGATGCAGACCCGGAATCCAATTCACCAGAAAATAAGAAGCCGGAAGAAGACCAAGCTGGCGTCATCCTCGGAATCCACAACATGGCCATCGCATCCCCTCAAATCCTCGCCACCATCGCATCATCCATCATCTTCAAATTCCTCCAGAAACCACGCGGTACACCCGGCGATAGGAGTATCTCCGTCGTATTGGCTGCGGGAGGGCTGAGTACTCTTGTAGCGGCGTATTTGACTAGTAGGATTAAAGACGAGGTTGAGTTGCCGGGTGAGCTTGTGGGGGGGCAGACAAGGGAGCAGAGGAGGAGTATGAGTCAGGAGAGGGGCCTGATTAGGAGTCGGAGTTATACTGGGTTGGAGTATTGAGGGGGTATGGGGGTGAGGTGTGGTGTGGTGCCGGGATGAGGGGATGGAAAGGAGGATGGAGAGGAGGATGGAGAGGAGGGGGGAAAGGAGGTGGAGGGTGTGTATGTGTAGGTATTGTGGCGGAGTGCGGCGGAATAGAATGTACGATTTCGCTCGCTGCTTGCTTGCCTCCTTCTTTTGGGGAATCACTGGAGTTTCACAATAGGACTGATTGGCTTGGAGTGAAATGGCGCGCATCGGGAATTGAATTCGAAGTTGAGCTTGAAATGAAATCACAGTTCGCATGGAACGGATTGGAGAATGGCGGATTGGGGATGAAGAGAAAAGGATGGTGCTTGAATAAATAGACATACATGTATGTAATACCCCCCTACCTTGGATAGGTAGGAACGTAGGAAAGGAAGGAAGGAAACAAGGCCTGCAAGCTAGCCTAGCTACCTAGCAGATAGGCAGACCGATAGGCAGAATAGAATTGGGCGGCTTTTCATCTTATTTTCTCATAAGACCATTTCCTTCCCTTCTTCTGTCACCCTGATTTCCCGTGGACCTCAAATGCGCAGTTCGAAATGAGCCGGATACAGGTCTGGATATGGATTTGGAGAACTTGACTGAGGTACCTACGAAAGAATTGCCTGTGTATGGTATGCATGTAGTGCGTCTCGGGGAATTTTCTGTTCATATCTCTTCATTCTACATACGAACTTGGGACCTAGAAACGAGAAACCAGAAACTGGCGATCAAATGTCACGAGACAGCAAAATTGCAAAAGCACAATACCATTTATATATACTATCACCACCCGGAATGAGAATGAGAATGACTACCCAACAACCCAACTCACTAAATCAAACCACCATTCGAACCAACTGGAGATAAAAAAAAAACAACCCGGAGAAAAAGAAGTCGTGGATATCTATTGCAATACTTCGACGGCCTTAAACAAGCTCAACGTACTTTAGCGGGAACTACATATTAGGCGCATGTATATGCCTGCAGGAGCTTGTAGGTTTGTGCTTGGAAGTAATGGCTAGATAGCCAAGAGTTCTTCTGAGCCAGAGAGTTGGGCACGGGATCTGAGGAGAGGGTCTTTGGGACTGTGGTGGTTGGTGTATTGAGTAGGGAGGGTATTGGAAGGCAGGGAGGGGAGGCTCGGAGGGTGCCTCGGCTCGGCTACTGTATGGCATTCTTAGGGAGGAGGCAGGGAGGATGATCATAACACCCACCATGAAATCCACATGCAGAGCCAGAAAACCGGTTGTATTAGATACACGTTGAAGGAGAGGGTAAGATTTTCACTGCCAAAGCTGATAATCATCCCGTTGCCGACTGGTTTACAACAAGTCAGAAGTTCACAGGGCTTTGAGGAGTTCTTGTCTTGAGAGGAGGTTTTACGTCAACTTTTCGCCTCAATCTCGCTCTTTCGGCTTAGCGATCATCAATCAGTATCACTCACTTACCTACCTACCGACCTACCTACCTGCCCACTCAAGCACGTCTTCATTAAATCCTTCTTTTAACAACTTACTTGAAACCCATCTATCTATCAATCTATTACAAAATATGGTATCCTCCACACCCCAAAAAGGCGAAGGAGAAACAGAAGATATACCCCTCCCGAATAAAACATACACCATCCCCAGCACAGGACATACATATGTATACATCTATCATCCAGCCCAGCATATCAATATCGAGGGAACGAGTAACAAGAAGCACCCGACTCTCCTCTGGCTACATGGATTCCCTAGTACTTCAGCCGGTGAGTATTGACCTCCAACGTCCAGCATATTTTTTTTATTTTGTTTCTGTTTGAAAGGAATGAGAGGGGAGGGAGGCGGGTGTTGGGAGAGAGCAAAGCAAGACTAACCACCCCCCTCACAGAATGGCGCAACCAAGTCCCCTATTTCCTCAATCTCGGCTACGGCATCCTGGCTCCAGACTTACTGGGTTATGGCGGGAGTTCAAAACCGCTGGATGTTGATGCGTATGTGGGGAAGGCGATGGCTGCTGAAATTGTGGCTATTTTGGAGAATGAGGGCGTGTATGAGGAGGGAGGGGGAGAGGTAGTGGGGATTGGGCATGATGTACGTTTACCTTTTCTCTCATTTCATCTTCTCATCACATTCCCCCTTCCCTTCCCTTCCCTTCCCTTCCATTCCAAGCACAAGCACAAGCACAAGAAAAAGAACATTCATAACCTAACTATCTGACTCCACCCCTTCCACCCGACAGTGGGGAACCTATCTCCTCTCCCGCCTCGCAACGTTCTACCCAGAGCGGTTCTCCGCACTTGTCTTCATGAGTGTGGGATTCCACCGGCCGGGGGTGAAAGGTAATATTCATGCTGTTAACGAGAAGACGAAGAGGAGGTTGGGGTATGAACAGGCTGGGTATCAGGTTTGGTTTGCTAGTGAGGAGGCGGGGAGGGTGCTTGGGGAGAATGTATGTTGTTTTCTTTTTCTTTCTGCATATTCGTTATATTTCGTCGTTTTTAAAGGAGGAGATCCAGCTTGGTGATACTGTCGAAGTCTCATATATGAGTTGCGACTTTTAATCTCCCACAATATTTCTATCCGCTTATGCCCACACCTTTTCATCTCCTCACATTCTCGTTTCAACACATACGTTTACAAGCTCCCCATCTAACGCATCAAAGTGGGAGACCTTCTTCAACCTCATCTACCCCACCAACCCCCAAACCTGGACCACCTCCTTCGCCCCCCTCGGATCCCTCAAACGCTTCCTCCTCACCAACACCCACTCCTCAACCTCCCACATCCTCGCCCCCTGGATCTCACCCCAAGCAAAAGACCACCATCATAAAAACTTCACCGTGGAACCCGGCTCCATCTCTGGATACGAAGCCCCACTAATGTGGTATAAACGCGGGATTCAAAGCACCGGGTGGGAGGACGAGAAGAGAGCGTTGGACGTGGGAGAGATAAGAAGGGATTTAAGAGATTTGGGTGGAGGAAAGGGGAGGGTGTTGATGGTGGGGGGATTGAGAGATACGGTTTGTAGTGCTGAGACGGCGAGGATGGTGATGAGGGGGGTTGTGGATGAGGGGAAGCTGAGGTGTGTTGATGTTGATGCGGGGCATTGGATTATGCTTGAGCGACCGGGGAAGACGAATGAGATTTTGAGGAGGTTTTTGGAGGGTGAGATGGGAGGTGGGGTAGGTAGTAGATTGTAATTGAGCTCTGGAGAAGTTCGAGGAGAAGGGGAAGATACGGGTGAAGTGGGATGGAGTGCCAATTTTCTTTGAATGAAACAGCTTCTAGATATTAACGTGTTTCTCATATAGTTCTGATTATATGATTGAAGTATTGCCTCAAGAGAGTTCTGCTTGCAAAGCGAATATCAACACTGGATAGTAGATTGCTGGAGGCTGAGCCACAGGTGTTTTGCTTGCGGATTCTCTTTTTCCTCAAAATGCAAAGTCTTGAGTTCGCATCGAAACATCGATAGCCAACAAGTACTACGAGTATAAGCATACCTTATGATGGAAGGAAACAAGACACATTTGAGGAGACATCATCGGAATTGAGCGTGCAGTCCTGGAACAGAAGACGATCGTTAAGCGAGACTTAGTCAGCGAAATCAACAAATGCGAAACTCAGATACAACAAGTAAATCTGATTGCTGCATAGCTATCAAGCTGTACCTTTCCCTAAGCATTTAACAGTTTTTCAATTACCCATCGTATGCTTATACACATTGCAAGTGGTACAACGAATAAGCTGAGTAGAGGAATGGAGTTGTGAGGATCTGACATGATGGTGGACAATACTCGAAACAACCGCGGATCAGCCCCTAAATTCCATAAATCAGTAACAGATACAGAACAATATTGGAGATGACCTACCGGTTAGCTTTTATTCCTCTCATTCATCTTCCAAGCCAACCGAACAGCACTGTTCTTCAGATTCCTAAGTTTAATAACACTGAAGAAAATCTCCTCATCAAGCTGAAACGACTTCCTAACTTCCACTTTATCCTTATCCTCCAGTCTCTGCCACTCCTTAAGAACACGAATCGTAGTCGACTGTGTAGCCTTGATGATCTCATTAGCTTCTCTTCCTTCCGGCATCTTGGCACCCATCATCGTGAAATGGTGATTGACGGCCTTGATACAGTTCGGCGGGACGTAGACGTCCTGAGCGAGGAGCGCATGGTTTGAAATATAGACGTTGTTCCAAGACATCTTGGATGAATCTCCTTGGTTTAGAGACTCTTCAGTGAGGTAGCCTAATGTTATGAGTGCAGCGTCGGCTTTCCAGTTTCCCTCGTGTGCTGCGACGTTTCTTTTCTCGATTGAGACTGGATCCGCGGAATAGTCGTCAAGGTACCCTTCCTTATTCCGTTCTAAGCAACCGATGCGGATGTCGACGCCAACTTGGACCAGTGGTTTCTTGAGGGATTTCTCTCGCTCCAATGCTCGGATCGTTCTCGCCTTGGTCTTCATGTTACGCTTCAGTTCCAAGACTTCAGCTTTCAAAGTGTCGATCTTGGGTTGACGTTGACAAGTTTCTGGATCCTGCTCAACCCATTAGAAGTTGAGACCACAAATAAATGTAGTATCTCACAGTCTGTATAGCTTTCTCATTTCCCTGTTTCCTGTTCTCTGCTGCTTCAAGTTCCTCGATCTTCAGACGCAATCCCATCATGTCACCTTCCAAACTTGCGACTGTTTCCTTCAACAGACGCTCACTTTCGAGAAGTTTGGCGTATCTCTTCGCAAAATTTTCATTTTCGATCTGTTCGGCCAGAGCTGCGTGGAGAGTCTCGAGGTGTTTGATAGAAGAGGGGTGAGGTGGCGCTGCCTCAATGGATAGGACGACTTCAGATGGCATTGATAGACTAGTCTCAGTCTCTTGCGCAGTCTCGGTCTCGGTGGCGGTTTCCATGATCTCGTCGATCTTGCTTCAACAATGGCAGCTTTGGTATGATCTGATGAGATATGGTGGAATAGAGTGTTGGTGAGAGATGGGGTAGAGCTCTGTTTAGGTTGTGGTGGAAAAACACGCGAGACGAGAGCTAGGGCCGATATTGAGAGCATTCTTCGATCGGCTACTCTTTTCGTAGCCTCGTCTCGCTGTGAAACAAGCGTACACAACCATCCTGTGTTGATATCCTTTACAATTTTCAAGTCCTTGAAGGGACTTACCCTTGGCGAAAATTACCAACTTGAATGTCCCTAAGTCAGTCGTAACGTGTTGAAGCTCATCGAACGTAGAATACTATATATACACTTGAAAAGCCTCCTGGAATCTTCCTTGCGTTTTCATTCCCTTTTCGCGGATTTGATTTGAACTTTTTGTTTTGGTTTCCATTAAGCGAGGAGCCCCACCTGACCATGCTACGACCATGTCAAGCCCTGCATGCTTCCTGCTTCTAAAGTACGTACCTTGTTATCAAAGGAAGTACTAGGTGAAAGCAGTAGCTTCAAAATATAATTCTCGAAACAGCAATATATACGTGAGTCCTAGTCTAGATAACTATACAGATCCATAAGTATGATTCACACACTTTGTGTCCGTAAACTTCCTTCGTATGAATCACCACGGCCAGAAGAACTTTGAGAACAAATAAAGCCGTTGGTCTGTTTACGAAACATCGACACACTCGGAAATCATTCTAGCACGGGTTCCCGAACACTTCGATTTAAATCTTTCGTTACGGAGCAGATACGCCAAGTATTCACCCCCCTGCTGTTCGGCTCTGACAGTAAGGAAACCACAGCAGCCATGGAGGCGTACTCCAAAGATCTTGTTGTGTTGAATGGTTTGGCGAGTTCAAGAAAACTCGCAACTGAGAGTGGTCAGCATGATACAGCAGCTGTACTAGACGCTCACATCATGAAGCTGGAGAAGGAAATGAATGATGCTATGACTGAGACGAGAAACGCCATTCCTCCGAGCCAAGATGGAACTCCTTGGTGGGTTGGGAAGTCGGAATACCCAGACCTCACCTGCTGGTGGATCGAGACGGCTGCTATGCATCGACTCAACGAAAGAGCAGAACACCGGAAAGAAGCATCCTTGAACGCTTTGGTGAAAAAGATTGACAAGAACTACGACGACATGGAAAAGAAAATTCATGACCAGCCGGATGATGAGTTAAATCAGATGTCGGACGCTATAGTGGAATACATGAAACGTGAGACTGCACCTAACGCTGTCGAACAGCTCAGCAGCTATCTTGCTGATCTCCGACCTGACGAGAGAATCAATCTGCGTATTGTTAAAGAGCTCGATTTACTGTCGAGATGGAAAGATAATCAAGCTACGGATGACGTTGGTATCGGCAGCATCGATACTAAGACTCTGTATCCCTCACAAAGAGAACTACTAGTCGAGGACGCTCTTCGTGCCTTAAGGGATTACCGACAAGCACTCATCGCATACGGCTCTGAATGCGAAAACAAAGCCGTGTTTGACCTGGTATCTACAGCATTGCATAGAGATGAAAATCTCCCTATGTGGGTTCCAGCCGTGCCAGATTACAAAAATGGCTCGAAAGATTCGTGTTCTTGTGGCGATGAGTGTATCATCGCTTCACTACCTCCCTTGCCATCTCCACCTGACATGCCAGACCTGTCGATTGAAGATGAAAAATTGATCGAACGCCTCAAGCAGTTTGATGCCGAAGTCCGGGATTGGTCGACATACCTCCAACAAGAACTCAGAAGTTATCGGCACTACCTTTCCACAGGAGGTCAAGTCAACCAAGATGTGTTGAAAGCCACGAGAGACATCATAGCTCTAGCCAAGGGTAAGAGTAAGACAGACCCGCAAGTTATTGAGGTGTTCTCCAGTCAAGGCTGTACAGGATCATGTCAAGAGACTGCCATCGAGGAAGGGGATCCGGATATTGACGATAGAGAGCTGAAGGTACGCAAGTTTAATGAGGAGAGATTTCGGGCTTTGCCTGGAGATCTTCAAGTCTTTAACGAGACGGTTTCTAAGAACATTCATCGATTAGAAGTCGATCGTCGGCTTTTTGGAACAGCACAGATGCTGGTCGAGATGGCGGGGGAGAGTTCAGAAGGGAAGGTAGATGGAAGTGAAAATGTCACTGAGGTATTGGAAGGATTAGTTACAGCTAAGGAAGAGCCCGAAGCCGAAGTTCGTGACACTCTACCTGGAAAAACACCTACGGCCACGACAATCTCACTCAATCTGGCCGAACAGGCAAAGGAGATTGAAGAAGCCACTTTGGACTTGACAGGTGAAGTACATAGTGACCTGGTAGTGGCGAGTGAGAAGATTACTACACTGATAAAACAGAGTGCCGAAGCCGGAAAAATAGTACAAGACGACCCAAAGATTCTAGACGAGGCAGATAAACTCGTCAAGCTGGCCAAGGAAGAAATCGCTAATCCACCAAAAGACTTGACCCCAGAAGCCGAGCCACTGAAAAAGGAGAAGCGGAGGAAGACTGTGCGATTTGCACAAAAGTTGGTGGAGATACTTGGAGAGATGAAGCCATCATCTTCAAAAAAGAAGTGAATGGACTGGGCGAGCGTTTTGTTTGTTTGACATCCTGTACTTAGTATTCTAGTAACTTGAAGCGTGAATCATAAGCATCTCGTCAATATTCTTTGATCTTCTTGAATCTTCTCCAGCCACTTACTGCTTTATTCATCAAGCGCACTTCGAAGGCTCGAAACTAAACACGAACAGCAGCCCCATCAACGCCAAGAGTCCTTCTAGCTCCGCAAAATGTCAGAATCCATATCTCAGCTCGAACAGGATATTCCTACCCTCACATCCCAGTTCAAAACCCTCGAATTCGCATTCTCCTCTAACGTACAATCAAGCACCATTTCTCATCCTTCCGGGCCACGGTGGCTCAGCCTTTCGCCCTACAAACGAGCAAGTACTTTCTTCGAACAGTGGGCTGAAGATACAGAGGATCTCATGCCCGCTCCACCCACGAAGTCCGAGCAAGTCACAACAGACGATGATATCATGAGCGAAAGTCAAATCAGCCACTTGAACTTGGATGCATCTGCTGAGGAGGAGAAGACAGATGAGATTTTGGATATCCTAGATCATGCGAGATGCAGGACACTTGGGGCATTGAGATGCTATAATTTCAACTTGGAAATTGGCACATTGGTCACAGGCGAAAAAGTTGACGAGCAAGTGGGAAAATCACTTGAGAGACTTTTGGAGTCATCTGCAGGGATAAGGCAGGAGCTCACAGACTCACAGAATATGAATTCGCTAGGAATTGAGGACGAAGGAGATCTGAGTGATGAAGAGCGTCTTGTAGGGATAGTGGAGTGGTACATGAAGCAACTTCAGTATCATGGCGCCAAGCCTACGCAAGATGTCGTCGACATGGCGGCGAGAATCTTACATTGGGCCATGGAACATGGAACTACAAATGTTGAAGAAAAACAACGAAAAGTTCAGACGAGGAGTCATTGGTGGGGTTGGACTTGAGTTTTCACTTCAAAAATGAAAAGCGTAGCGTTGAGATATCTCCCCGACAAACTTTCTACACCAAAATTGCCACTTAGTATTCACAATCTTGGATTTGTTTGTGAATCATCGCTTCAAAACCTCCTTCACATCTGTCCACGGGTTTACGGTGTAAGTCTTGCCTACTCCTTGGAACACAGTACTTTCACACACAGTAACAGTCTCCTACAAGTTTCCCAGAGGTCCTTGAGAAGACAAAGACAGAGCTGTCAATCCGAGAGATAACAATGCCTCAACATCTCTGCGAAAGTGACAGCCCAGCCACGTGGAGCCACGATCCACTCTCCAACAACTCAGCATTCTATAGTGTGCTCGAAATGTACCGCTACACTCGACATACTGAGAAACTTCTGGTCAGCAAGGAAGCTTTCAAAGCAGCACAGCTAATACTGGACATAGAAGAAGACGTAAAGAAAAGTTATGGAGATGAGACAGAACATTCAGATGCCGAGCGCGAGACTTTGGCTGGAATGGTTGCGTATGCTTTGGACCATTATCGAACTAAAATTCGGCTTTTTGGTTGGGCTATTGATTCCAGAGTCTTGCGACATGCTCAAACACTGGTTGAAGAAGGTCGAGAATCCGATGAGATTGAGAAGATACAGCGTCAAGAACTTCTTGTTTGTAGGTCGAGTTTCTGGGCCGCGCGTGATGCTGTGATAGCACACCTCGGCTCCTATTTAGCGAAGCTTAGAAGACACAACGAAATTTGGCTGGAATTGGAAAATCCGGTAGATAAGCACGTGCTAGCTGCGGTTATGGCAATCTACAAGTGGGCAGATGGAGATCATGAGAAGGTCGCGACTGACAGGTTTTTGAGGAGCGAAAATTTAAGGAACTGGGGCTATGCTGGATACACTGCCAAGATAGCAAGTATCTACTACTGGGCTTTGAGAAAGACAAATGAGGATGTTGATGGAGAGGTTCTGGCGGCTGTGAATGAGGTACTGGAAATGGCTCAGGGTATTGGGCAGACAGAGGAATAGCAATGTAGAAATGTAAAACTCATAGAATAACGGGTGACCGATAGACCGTGCCACAAATATGTCCAATGGAGTTTTCTGAGCTTTCATTCATCTCATGCCTTGCATTATCCCAGAAAGCAACCAGCTCGCACAGGCCAATCCTCTCATTCGGGTCGTGCTTAAGACAATCTTGTACGGCGTGCCTCCAATGTGCTGGGATGTCCTCTGATGATTTCCAGTCTTCTACCACTTCGTCCGTGCTCATTACGTCTTTGAAAGTGTTCATTTCCGGTTGGCGCAGTAACATCCACATAGTTCGGCCCAGACTAAATACTTCAGCCAGCTCCAGAGCTCTCGGACATTGCTTGCTCCATACTAAAAATACGTTCCATACGTTCCAACCATTGTCACCAGGTGTAGTCATGGGCATATTACGGCGCTCCGGTCCAGTGTATTTCGTGTATCGAAGGGCAGGAGTCAGACCATCTGCTGGTATTTCTTCTACGTCCAATGTGCTATCGATCTCTGGGGCTGCAGTGGCAACGGGGGCATCGCTTTGCTCCCAATCTATAAGCATAATATTGTAATCTGCATCGAGCAAGAAATTCCCCGGCTTAATATCCATGTGGTAGGTATGGACAACAAAGTGAGTATGCGCAATTGCTGCAGCCATCTGATAACACCATTGAGCCTTGTATGACAGTGATATTCGCTCGTTGGACTCGTTATTCTTCTCGATATGACCAGCAAGGCTGCCATTGGGGAAGAATGGATAGAGACTGCCACACACAAATGGCGTGTCGTCGCCAGGTTTGCAAATAGTGATTAGAGTCTGCGCAGGGGGCATAATGTTGGGATGGCATGGCATGTTGCTGACCAGCTCCACTGATCGATAGTAGATTTTCACTTCCTCCCCAATGTGCCCACTTTCGTAGCTGTTCAAAAAGGTCCTGAAGTCGATTCCTTTGAACACAAACTGAGACTGGGGGTCTGAAGGGGCATACACAAGAGTAGTACAGCCTCTTCCGCCGAGCTGATCCAATCTGATTAGACTTTTGAAATCCACCGTGTCCATCGGTTGCTTGACGGAAAGATGGCCAGGTGGTAAAAGAAGGTCAACGTAGTCATTGAATAGGTTCTCATGACAAATACTCCACGATATCTGTGGGGAAAAATCTGTCGATCCGATATCAATAACATCAATGACAACGTCTGGATCTCGCACTGCGGATTTGCCGCTACATTCCGCCCAGACTGAAACAATCGCCGACCATATTGCCATGCGCATGGAGAGTCGGTTCGGGAATGTAGCGCTTGTGCTGTCGACCGTGAGGTCATGATAGCAGTTCACAATACGTGTTGTCAGAGACTGCAATCGCTGGGTATGGTCTAGCGCAAATCGAAAGATCAATGTTTTCTGATGCCCAAAGGCCTGAGCATACACAGCTGTCTCAAGGTCATTCCCCCAGATCCACTCACCCATTACACCGAGTGCTTTCAATGCATCTTGTTCCCCGCTGAAGTCACCACACGATTCAGAAATATGGGGCTGAACAGAGTGTGGCTCTCGCTCAGCGTCTTGAACGGATAGCATAGTCATTCATGCACTTAAAAATGGGCATATCAGCTTCCAAAGTTACCCCGGACAATACCGAGGAGTACCTCTGAGCTTATTCAGCTGCTCCGTACTATAGTTGAATATATCCAGACTTAGATCTGCTTTTGCGTTCGATTCAAGGGTCTTCGGCTGAAGGTTGTGTTGTACCTCGACCGCGGCGACGTGTGGTGCGAGGAGTCGAGGCTCGATGACTGACCGGTTTCTCTCGCATTTCGTACTCTGGCAGGGCAATGTTGATTGCTGAGGGAATTCGTAGTTGTTGTAAAGGCTCGCGCTTGGTTGAGCTTTTAATTACGGCTAACCAGATAGGGGATGATGTTGGTCTTGCATATCAGGCAACCACGGCGAGAATTTCGACGGGGTCAATAGCACTCTGGAGGAGGATGGAGTCACAGAACAGCAAGGGAAGAAGGTTGAGATATTTCTGGGTAATGATGTACATGATATGTCGACTTGATCATTGCATAGTAATTAACTCCCGGTAGCATCGTTGAAATGGTCCCAGTGTTTACATTCGGGTGGTGTTCGCTAAAAGTGAACTAGCGGGGATAGACTACAACTTGCTTCGCCAAGGTAAAAGCAAGCTTCACTGAATCAATTCTATATAATCCTAATACAATTACTGGGGAGACATGGATCATATGTTACTCGATTTTAGAAAAACGAAAGTGGTTGAATCCAGCGATGACTGGAAGCATCGCCGGTTCGTGATTGTCTGTACCTCACGCTCACAGTACGGCACGGGAGTATCAGTCACTCGACCGAATACTATGATGGTTTGCAATAACGGCCACCCCAGCGCTGCCCAGGAATTTTTGTATAAAAGCTTAGAGACTTTGCGTGGACCTGCATTCTTCTCCACCATCAACATCCTTCACCTACTTACAAAGTTACACTTCAGTCCCAACACAACTCCAAATAGACCAGCCACCTAGTTCTTATACATCAAAAGTAGGTCCAACATGGCCTGGATGCCTCCTCAAAGAAGTTCCTTCATTCCCCAAAACCATTTCGTGCCACCTTTCCTGCCAGCTCCGCACTTTGGGCCAGCTGTCTTACCACCTATGGCTATGTCCCCCATGGATATGCCTTACATGGTAAATCCTCCACCGATACCCTTCAGGCAAAGTCCTGTCCTCCCACTCCCACCATTTCACCCATATTCAAGATTCAACACTGGATTTATCTCTCCGACCCAGCCATCTCTTCCTTTTGGTCAAAATCTATACAGCTGGTCACAACAACGCCCAGTCCGCAGCGTCAACAATGCTACAGCTTCTGCCTCACAGTCTCCTTTTTGGAGGCCGATCCGCGTCCGCATCGCAGACAACCTCTTCCGCAACAACACAGACAGCCTCACCCGAGCAGGTCTCACCGCCCTCATCGAAGGATATAACAGCCAAGTAGATCCCCGAGATGTCGTCAAGATTGAGCATCCCACCGAAGCGGACAATAATATCGAGGCTGCGATTATGCGCATTGATGTTCTCCAGAGAGCTCTGAAAGATGCCTCAAAGTTGGAAGATGATCTAGACGACGCATTATGGGACGCAGAAGATAGCCTGTTAAAAGAGCAATGCCTTTCGAAGATCGAAACGGCAACGACCTTGCTGATCGGTGCCCAGAAACTGTCAGACATGTTGCAGGAGTGGCTCATGGCAGAGTTACAAGGACCACAAAAGGTGCATGACTCCACGGAAGTGTTTGGTGAGATCGGGCAGAGGGCCAAAGAGATCGAGGAATCCTGGGTTGGAAGGAGCAGGAAGATATTTTCTCAGGTCTCGCAGATGTGGGGGGAGGATTTGTCAGAGGAAGGGGCAATGGCACAACTGAAGCACACTGATGGTGACTCCAGGGCAGATCAAGAGCAGGGCTGAGACGATGCGCTTTCTTTAGCTGGGATGATCGCTTTACCCAGCCTTGTCATCTGCCAGACAGTCATGCTAGATACTCTCGATATCATAGGATCCGGGGAGATCCGCAGGCGTATCCCGGGCTGTGTCCTGTAACATGGGTGCGTGATGACTTGTCAGAACTTTGTTGCCTGGAGTGGTGAGAGGGAAGCGATGGGAGAGGTCAACAAGATGAGGCGATGCACTTGGCGAATCGTCACGTGGCTATGCGGTCGGATGGAACGGCAGAGCCCTTAAAGGGCTTAGCTTGGCTTTGATGTCTTTAGCGAGCTGAGCTTTGGTGACCATAGTAAGAAGCACCTGAAGTCTTCAAAAGCACAGACAGAGATGCCGGATATTGTCTTCGTTGAGGCTGAAAGCTCCAAGAGCAAGGTTAACGACAAGGGTAAAGCTGTAGACTGCGAGGAGTAGCGGGAATGGGGTTCTGTAGATAGCAAAGCGTCGAGCTAGCCTTTCTAGTCAACTGTTAAACTAGTCCTCGATGAGCAATCCTTTCGGACAGGAAGTTCCCACTGGTAAAGTGATAGGATGCGTGACATGAATATATCTGATTTGAGAAGAGAAAGTCCGATTCCGAGGAAATGCTACGAGTTGACTCATGGAAGCTTATTGCTGGTCGTGAGGGTATGAATTAAGTTTGGAACTACAGGACTGTAATTTCAGCCATACTATGTTCTCGAGATTTCTGGCCTTCACCTACCCTCAAACCAATGAGAGATCAGCTTCAGTCGTGAGAGAACAGGAAAATTGATGCATCAGATTAACGCAGACATGATTCATGACTCGACATTCTCGGCAGAGAGGACGAGCTTTTGGAGAGGAGCACGGCTATTGTGTGTGATGCCCTGATTCCGTCGAAGCAAGAAATACTGGACCGCCTTTAAGAGTCAGTACTTCCGAATTAGCAAATGAATATGAGTTCAAGACGTAGGAAGAGAGCAACCCGTCACTTGTAAAATCTGAAAGCCCTGTTTCCGATTCCAAAAACGCGATTTTGTCCCAGAACATGAACCTCCACGAAAATAATTTTCATAGACATGATCAGCTCGACATGGTCATTGGCATCAGCAGAAAGAGTACGCGACCTCCAAAAGCATATTTCGATACTTTGATGGCAGAGTATTACGAAAGAGCAGATAGATATGTCAAGTTCTACTTGCTGCACGTGCATCGTCATGGAGATCCGGTTGTGTGTTGCAACCCGCGAGAAGAACATGTAGTCATCATTGGATCTTCCAACACAGACTTCGAAAACTCTCGCTTCAATGGCATCGAAGACCTGCGGAAATTATTGACGGAAGCCCGTCCAGGACAAAAGACCGTTCTCGTATGCAGCCAAACCGACGGACTTTGTACGAACATGATTGGACTTGCAGGCTTTCTCAAACCCTTCCTTGATACTGGTGCTAGCCTCGAACTGTTGATCTGGTAGTCGAACACAAAGTATGACTCGTATGATGTCGGAGCGCTGGTCTCTGCATTCTACGACAAAGCTGCCGGCAAACCCATTGACTCGTACTATGAAGCTTTTCTTGTCACTATGGCAAAAGTCGGCGGACACAAAGTCTCTATGGCAAAGGCATCACTGGCAAATCGGTACGAAGAAGGCCTTGGTTCTCGAAACAAAGAACCCATCCATATCACCAACAGAAAGACCGGGCGCCAAGAAGTAATGCTTGACATGACCGTGAAGAGACTAGCCACTATCCAAGAAATTCCTATTATCACTACATTGGAAGGAAAATTTCGATCTCCAATTGGATTCGAGGAATTTGATACTCTTGAGAAGCTGGTCAGCCATCTCGTCGATGCAGTCTTCGCAGGTTCTAACAACAATCGGAAATGTGTGTTGTGTAATGAAAGCTTCGGCAGCATCAAACCGGGCGGCATTCCTCGCAGCAAAGTCAAAGGCCACATCTCGCGGCACATCTTCGAAAGAATCTACTGCACAGAGTCCGAGTGTAGCTACTGGTCAAAAACGGAGGGTGAAATGGCATCTCATGCAAAGCGTGTTCACAAGACTGCGGAAGAAAAGATGAACGCCAAGAAGCATAAGTGTGACAAGTGCGGAGAGATTTTCAGGACACAAGATCACCTCAAGAGACACATTCGCAACAGCCACGACGCTGAAGCTATCACCTGCGACAAGTGCGGCTCCACTCTCAAGAACAAGGACGGATTACAAGATCACTTAAGCAGAACTTGTCCAGGTTTACCAAGAGTCATGACTGAGTGCCCAATCTGCAACATTAAAGTCTGGGCAAAAAAGCTTTCGGTTCATATTCGAACTGCTCATACTAGATCAGATCAAGTCACTAAGTTTGGATCAATCATGGGTATTGATGATTAAGCCGAATATTAAATGAAGATCGTCTGGGGAAAAAGCTTACGCACTGGAATTGTCGTCTCAATCCTAGCTACGACATGTTAATTCTTAGGGAGAGCTGATGAGAGAGAACCCCGACTTGTCACTATGATATTGCTTATTTACGATAGCAAAATTTCCTTCTGGTACTCATTCTTCACCGAGAAGTTCATAATTGCTAAGAAGCCGATGTAGAATAGCTCATTCCTTCGGGGATACCATCAGTCATCAATCAATCTGTCATCAACAAATGAAACCACACTGGAAATGTGAGACACAACGTAATTCATAGGTAGCTTGCAGCTTCTTCCTATTGAATTCTCCGACACAGGTATTTCTCAGTTCCGGTAAAGGAGGTTTTTGGTTTTGTAGTGGCCAGATGGTCGCTGACCTGCAAGTCCATCTCTACATCTGTTGCCCGCATCACTGCATCTTTAAAGAACAGTCTCGAATAGCACAAGAAAATCTTTGGTATTCTACGGTAGAAAATTGTATACTTCTGAACACCGAGAGATTTCGTGTTACCTCCATTCACGAGGTGAGATGTCGCTTCTGCGTTTTGTCCCCAGCAGAGCGAGCGGCGCTAGGTGAGGGCAGGACTTGGAAATTGGAACTTGAGACTTGAATCCCATGCGTGCCACTGTGTGCAAAGCAGAGAGAAGAGTTCTTAGATTGGCCTCAAAACTTTTCGATGGCTGCTTGAATTATTCTATGTCTCAGCCTTGGGGAGTTGGTGGAAAGATAAGTGAGTGCATTGGTGCAGCTTACCCCTCATTTTGGCCCCCAAAGTGCGGGGCAAAAGTCAGACCTGCTCTTACTGTAACCGGTCCAAACCCAGCCTAAAGGTTCCAGTTTGTACTACTTACTAGTAGTCACATAAGCAGAAATGCGACAACGAACAATCTGGGGCTTGTGGTTTAGTGGTATAATGTTGGTATCCCAATGCCTGTGACCATCTGAACGACACGCTGACCTCCCCTCCGACTCCCTTAGCAATTCGCTCGAAGCAATTCCAGCGCAACACTCAGTAGAGTGGGAGTGGTGTATGTTCCTTCTGTCCTCAAGTTTCCCATGTGACTCTGTACTGACATCCTCTAGCCGGGGGTACGTGAAATTCTGTCCTGCGAGCCACAAACATTCATCTAACCGAACTTCAGTTCGATTCCCCGCGAGTCCAATCGCGAATGTTAAACTCATTCAATCTTCCCAATTTTTTTGGCGCTTTCTTCTTGGGAGAGGAACTGGTGTGTGTGGCCGAGTGTCAGATCAGGAGAGGGAGGAATCTGGGCATTCTGTCATACTGCTTGCCCACAAGTGCAGAATTCTGTGGTATTCCGACCATGTGAAAGCTCACGTCGAGAGAGATTCTTTAGAGCGCTTGGGATTGGGTTTTTTTGGCCTATGTATATGTCCAGATTCTCAAACTTCTCAGATCAATTCAGAGCTTTCTCGTACATCTTGCGAGAGCTTCAAATCCAACTTCAAGGCCGAGAAATTTCCCTGCGAAGTTCCGGTGGCCGACTTTGTTGTACCACACAGCCATCATCAAGGGCCGTCAACACTCGCAGAATTCCAATTATTTCCGAGGTGAACAAATGCCAAACAGAACTATGAATTACAACCACACTGTCATGTTTACGAGAGCATCAATCTTTATTCAATATAATGCCTGTGGCTACAAGAATTGTCAAGTGTTATCACTAAGTGCTTTCGAAAGCGCTGCGACCAGTCACTGACCCAAAATCGCGAGACTTTTGCCAAGCGAATAGCTCTTCCATACAGAGCAGTAAAGTACATGACAGCCTCAATATGTAAAGAGAACGGGTAGCATCAGCATTTATCGTTGACAAACTTGTCTTTGGATGGACTGCGGACACGTGACTTGGCAATAGGTCTAGAAGACGTTCGTGCCTGTGAAGATGTGTGAAAGCCCAGGCCAAAAGGCATTTAATTTCTTCAATGACCTTCTCTAAATAGATACGGGTTATAATTCAGTAAAGCCAAAACTCCCATCCAAATCCCCAGGGTATCAAGAAACGCCGTTCCCCTCCCTCTTCAAGGCAATTCAACAGGCCCATGTGTATCACTCCTCAATTCAACAGGATGCCTTCCACTCTCATTCCTCGCAAATCCTTGACTCTTTTGACTTCCCTCCATCTCGCTGATTGCCGTCTGTGTACTCATACGATTTGATTTATACCTTGGAAACTTCCCATCTCCAGCACTCGGCGGACTCAAAGGCGGACTGTTAGGCGGACTACCCCATTCCAACCTCTTGTTCGCCTCCGCAGCTTCCTGCAATTGCGCCTTGACAACCAATCTCGCCACGAGTGTAGCCAAAGCATCCTTCAATGTCTTCCGAACAAACCGAGTCATCAAAAAATTGCATTTCACTAAACCGGTCAGCAAAGAAAACCAGCCAGGGAAGAAAACCTACTTTCAACATCCTCCCTCAAATACAACCCACTAATCGGTGCCCCAATCCCAATCTCTGCCGGCATAACAGGCTCTCCAGGCATATTTCCTCCCAAAGTCCATTTCTCCTTGATATCCAGTCCCATTGGCGCATACACATGATTCTGCAATCCATTCGCCAAATCATGAAAACACGCCTTGAATGACACCTTTCCCTTGTATCCCGGCAGGTAGCTAATCGTATCCGTGATCTGGTACCACGTACAGTGATACTCCTCGGGTGTCGCTTCAGGAGGAGGATTGATTCGATGTCTTTCGGTGTGCGCGGGGTTCAAGTCTATCATCTCGAGATGGTCGTGCAGGGTTTCGAGGACGGTCTCGCGCGACACTCCTGCCGGGAGCGGCGTTATCGTCGTAAATAGCGTTTTCGTCATCGTGTTTGATGTTGTGCGATGGGGGTATGTGACCCGGATCCTTGGGGCTGGAGGACGTTTTGTTGTAAAAATTCTGGGCGATGTGATCTGACGTGAGAGATCAGCTTGATGCGGGCTGTCGGACCCTTGGCGGCGGGGTGATGGTTTTGTCAGATTGGGTTCAGCCAAGTCGATTTCAGACTGTTGAGAATATTCGTTTTACGGCTTAAGTTAAGCTGAAGGGATTCTCTCGATATTTATCATTTAGTCTCTTGTTCTTTGTTCTATGTTCATTGATCTTCCCATGCGCTTTATCAAAGATGACGATGATGCCAAGCGCCAACTCAACAAGCCGGAAGACAAGGTCTTATCAAGTGGCAACTTTCTGGGCTGTGTTCTGATTCAAATGCGCCACAGCCCAGCGGTAATCTTCGTCAGTCTAATCCCTTGGAAAGCATATTCAGTACTGATAATCGCCTGGTACAACAATAATTGTTGCTTCTCCGTAGATAAATGGACCATAATAACATCATCTCTTGTCGGGCGAGTCGGGGTCTCCAGATAGGGCTGCCAGATCGCCTCATACACCACAGTACACCCGGAGAGGGTCGATGAGGTACCGAAAGGAAGGAGACGAGGCCTGGAAGTGTCTTGGACTAGGCATTGAAGCCTGTGGCGAATTTTGTGGAGATTCCCTGGCTACTTACCCTTGTTATATTCCTTGTACCAGGAATTATGGATAGATTCATGCTATCTCCATGTTGGATGATCAGAATTTTCAGACTGCGACGCCAAATGATCAAAAACTTACAAGTAGAGTTTCTCGGGTTCAGACGTCCCGCTCGCCTCCTCGACGCAAAATAAATGGTTGATGAGCCGAGACTGCGAAATACCGGACTGAATTTTCCTTGCTTCTCGAGATACTGGATCCAACTGGCGGTCTGTTGGGGTTGATCTCAAGATCTGCAGAGGGCTTGTTGACTGTCGTCTGTCAGTTGGCGAGAATGTTAGCGAGATGCTCAGGGGCGTGGCTTCCTGTTTAGGATACTCAGCTGCTCAAGATTTTTGAAGAGGAAAGAACGATGGCGTTGAATATTTCGCAAATGCTTCTTGGGTTTGTTTTTTACACATTCAACGAAGATTAGATAAATCTGTATTTAATTGGGCAAGTCTTGGAGTGCGTACTACCTGTAGACGCTCGTCTGTTCTTTTGCCCTGGGATTAGACTCGAACCTCTCTAGCGAAATTGCCCCATCCCTTCGTTGAGATAAATACATGGGGGCAGTGTCAACACTTCGAAGGTTTACGAAAAGTATTTCATCAATCCATATGGAATTTCTAGCTTGCTGATGAGTGTCACACAGGAGAGGCTTCATGTGACTTTTGAGATTAGGATATGGCCATTTGGCTATATTCTGGTGGGTTTGAGGCACCCAATATTTACAGGTCCTGATTTGTCAAGTTTGTGCCCTGCCTGGGCTCGAATATATGGGCTCTGTGTCACCTCTTGCCTTCGCTTCATTGCCCTTTCGTTCACTGTATTTGCGATCTGTAACTCCCAATTATAGATGGAGCAAGCGCGCCCACAAGTGAAGCTCATGCCTTGGATAGTTACCACAGATAGCCCTCCGCCCATTTTGATGAAGTATCCCATAATTTGTCAGAAATTTTATCGACTAGTCCTGTCTCATCCCGTTTGATGGGTTTACTGTGCTGGATCTAACCATTTCATTAATGAGATAGATAGTAGTCCTCTAGCCTCTAGGATGGAGTCTTTTCCAGATCATGAACTTCGCGCACTCTGCATCTAAGATTGGCAACCAGGATAGAAAGGATTTGATCATTCCACGAGTCCCTGTACATTATAGCATTTTTCTGGAGTGACTGATTCGAGAGTGATTGGGCAACTGGAGTGATTGACAGCCAATCATGCCCTCAATGGTAATTCGTTCAGCTGAGTCAGCCAGAGCTCCCGTAAATTTTTTGCTTCGCTGTCAGCTCTTTGACTTCATATATTGTGCCCTGTTTGAAGCGCGACACAACCGACAAACGTTGACGAAAAGAGCTTCGCCACGCGATACCTGCTGGATAGGACGGACCTCCCAGTGGTAACGATGCACCAAGTTGGAACGGAAGCTGAGTTCCATCCCAGTATCTGCATGGGAGCTATCAGACACCGAAAGCTTGACATGCCACAATGTTTCTTCAGATTGGGAGACTTTACGTATAGGCTCAAACACCGCATGCCAATAGATCAGCGACTGTCCAAGTAGTGCTTGTGACTTACGCTGCCTGACTGCGTTGATTTCAAATTTCGCGATGGTTTCTCCGCCTGAGCAGCCCTCTTCAGCTTCTCTACGTCGTGGATACCTGGCATAGTTCTAAAACGTGATTTTAGAAAGCATTTCAGCGCTTGTCCTTCATCTCTTCCATTTGTCCTTCCTTTGGCGCTCAATACCGAGATTATTCCGAGAGATGTTCTGTTCAGTCCTGCACAGGCGCTTAAAATATCCCGAAGTGGAATTGAAGTTTGCCCCTCTCCGAGTGCAAGGCAAGTATGCCGAAAGAACCTCAAGCTCAACACAGCTTCTGTCTACCCCGCACCATGATCCCAAACCCATCTACGGATGCTCGGCCTTTTTCCAAGTTTGAACTACAGAAGTGGGTTCGAGATAGTGGATATGCCAGCGTTCTGCTGCAACATGAGCCCTTGTGTCGCTCAATACGGAATCATATCCGCGCAGACAGATCTCTGTGAGTTCATTTGCAACACTCTCAAGGAGAGATCTGAAAAATCCAGAACACGACGTCAACATATCTGACTCGCAGTCATGCATAACACGGCACGAACACGCCACTTCACCGGTACTCACTTCTCATCCGCAATTCCGGGTCGGCCAGACGGCGAACCTTCCCCTTTCCTTCGAGATTAAGAGGTCAAATTCAAATACTTGCGGGTCTGGCCTCTCTACCTCTGCGTCTGTGGCTTCAATCTAGTCATTTAGACTTATTCCCGGATGGCGGGGTAGTTCGCGGGTGGTGCTAACTTGACGATCTGAAGGCGGCTCTGCCAATTAGAGCTTGGTTGCAACCCCAGATTCCCTGTGGATACTAGCAGCGACCCCTCATCGTGCAGCTCCTACATCACACTTGCATTATCAGACAGCTTCGGCCGTGGGAGCACCAATGAGATATACTTCCTTGATATCTCCTCGGCTTCGTTCCGCGCCTGGTCCCTGGGTCCCGATGGAATATTTTAAAGCTGCCATTCCCCCTTGTTCTGACAGATATCCAGCATTGTGTTCTTGAATTCCAAATTACCCTCATTGTAGACAGAAAGCGAACACAGTAACAATGGGATCTGTTCAACCAGTCGAAGAACTTGACGCTTTGCTCGTCGGAGCAGGTTTCGGTTCATTTACCATGCTGAATAAGTAAGATACTCTGCCATTGCAAGTCTGTTCTTGACTGACCATCTAGACTCCGTAAGCAAGGCCTCAAAGTCAAGATCTACGAGAAAGGCTCGGCATCCGGCGGTATCTGGTACTGGAATTGCTATCCCGGAGCTCGCGTCGACAGCGATACACCCATCTATCAGCTTTTCGACGAAGAATTGTGGAAGGACTTTACATTCAAGGAGCGATATGCTGGCTGGAAAGAGCTCCGAAGATATTTCAATCATGTTGAGAAGGTATGGGAAGTCAACAAGGATACCGAGTTCAACAAGCACGTGGACAGCGCTCGATTCGACGAGAGCACTAACCGCTGGCATGTCGAATGCTCTGATGGTACTGAGGTGTCATGCAGATGGTTCATTCCTTGCATTGGATTTGCCTCAAAGAAATACACACCTCCCGTCAAGAACCTCGGCGACTTCAAGGGCCAGGTCTACCACACCGCAGTCTGGCCACAACACGATGTTGGCATGAAAGGCAAGAGAGTCGGTATCATCGGTACTGGCGCATCTGGTATTCAAGTCGCTCAAGAAGTTGGACCCAAAGTCGACCACCTCACATGCTTCATCCGCACACCCAACTTCTGTCTCCCCATGCGCCAGCACCAACTCGACGCACAGGATGAGAAGAGCAAGAAAGAGAGCGGCTACTACGAGAAGCAATTCGAAGCCACTCGCGGCACATTCGCCGGTTTCACATACGACTTCCTCGAGAAGAACACCTTCGACGACAGCCCAGAGGAGCGAGAGAAGCAGTATGAAGACCTCTGGGAGCAAGGCGGCTTCCGTTTCTGGCTCAATACATACAAAGACATGCTGTTCGAGCAGAAAGCCAACGACGAAGCGTACAAATTCTGGTACAAGAAAACCCGCGAGAGGATCCCCGATCCCAAGAAAGCAGAGATCCTCGCACCAACTAAACCACCACATCCATGGGGAACCAAGCGTCCTTCTCTGGAACAGAATTACTACGAAGTCATGAGCCAAGACAACGTCAAGCTCGTGGACGTTAACAAATCCCCCATCATAGAGGTCACAGAAACCGGTCTCAAGCACAAGGACGGCTTCGAGAAACTCGATATCCTGGTCCTCGCCACAGGCTTCGACTCCGTCACTGGCTCTCTGGCTCAACTCGACATCCGCGGCACGACAGGAGGTACGATCGCAGATCACTGGAAAGACGGAACCAGGACCAGCATGGGTATCGCAATACCCACGTTCCCCAATATGTTCTTCTTGTACGGTCCTCAAGCACCTACGGCGTTCAGTAATGGACCAAGCTGTACGCAATTCCAGGCCGAGTTTGTAGAGAAAGCTATTAAGCTTGCTACTGAGAAGGGGATCACTAGATTGGAGAGTACGCCTGAGACGGAGGAGGATTGGTGTAAGCGTATGCAGGAGAAATGGGATGAAACGCTCTTCCCGCTTGCGAAGTCTTGGTACCAGGGTGCGAATATTCCTGGGAGGAAGGTTGAGCCTTTGAATTGTAAGTTTCCCTCTTTTGCTCTGTTGCAGATGAGATGAAAAGATCATACGCTGACTTGAGCTAGGGGCTGGTGGTATGCCGGAGTATCGCGAGAGTTTGGATAAGAGTCTTCAGAATAACCTTCAAGGGTGGAAATACTCGACTGCGAAGGCGTAGGGTAGATTTTAGATTCTAGAATTAGCTTTTTGTAATGTATGCTTGCTTGAATATGCCTGTTCGTGCCAGATCGTGTATATCAGAAACTTTTGTTGCTTGCTGTGTAGTAGTCGACAGTCATGGTGAGTTACTGAAAACAGACAAGCGCATGCAGAAAAAGCAAGTGAAACTTAGATTGGAGCATGATCTTATGCTCGGAATCTACGCCTGAAACCCTGGGACTTGTAAATTGAGAAGTGCCAAGTGAGCACCGTGTAAATGTTTGAACCGCATAGCCAATGGGCTTCCAATTAAGGTACGCTCATTAGATGTGTGGCTTTCTCCAAATACAATACTGGGAGAATTACCGTCAAAGAATAAACAGATTCAAGCGAGAGGCCGGATAGCGACGCAAAAAGACCATTCAAAATCCATCAAATTCCCCTAAGCTGGCACCGACAGTATGAAGACAATAGTAGAAAAAGACGTTGAGCATAGAGGAAATGTTTAATCGAATAGAAAGTTTAATCCAATAGCATTCGCTGGAAAACACCTGCAATAAGAAAACTGTAGTAAAATGTCCAATTCTGTCGTAAAATCATGCGTCATTATTCGTAAAACTACCTTCCAGCATCTCTTTCTCCCCATTCAACCCACCGTCTAATCACCTCATCAACACTCTTGACTCCATCTCGACTAGCATCTACCTCAAACCATTCCCTATGTTCCCTTCCACAAGCCTTACACTTCCCATCTCCCAGGACTCTCTGTGCATTCAACTCAATATGTATTAACCGTTCCACTTTGTGTGCATTGGGAACCTTCCTAGGTGTTCTAGGAAGTTGATCTAGGTTTGTATTGGAGAGAGTTGTGGCTTGATACGGATAGTATCGAATAAGGGAGAGATTGTAGCCACATTGCTTAGTCCACTGGTTTAGACGGCGGTATACGTTTTGAGCGCGACCAATCTTCAATAGTATGGTCTTCTTATTTGCAGAACCAGGAAGGGTCGTGGAAAAGGCATTGAGAGCATCTGATGTCCTGCGTTGTCCTGGTATCGGTCGAGATGGTGGCGCAAGAAGATTGGATGCTAATTCTGCAGGTGGTGTGGTAGGAAGTGACTCTGGCGTCAACCAAAACATATATATGTACCCCTCATTGTCCAGCTTCGAGACTGGTTTTGCCAGCTCTGCTAAAAGTTGTGACGTGATTTGGGGGGATGCTGACTTCGGTATGAGAGATAGAAACTCTCCTGTTCTGGAAGAGGGGTCGCGATGTATCGAAGGTCGGTGACTCGTTGGGTGCATACTCGAGGATACTTTCAAAACCTTGGGTGGTATTGGTGCTGTTGTCCGTCTTCCAGGTCTGTGAGTCGCAGGTCGAGGTGCTCTTTTAGCATCGTCTGCAATCCCAATACAGCAAAAGAGACCCAAGTTACTGGCAGGTTGTGGCCGTGGCTTTGTTCGCTCCGGTCGTGAACTTTCAATCTTTGGTTTCTCATTCTCAGATTTCGGGACTGGCTTTCGACGTTTCTCTTGTTTCCGTTCCGCCACTTCCAACAATCCCAACCTGTCAATCAGTGTATCAACGCTTGTTCGCTCTTTTATCGTAGCAGACTGGACACCTTGTGGCGAAGCCCCAGGATGAGCACCTGCTTGATTCTTGTGCTGCCAGCAGTATGCTTCCGGAGTCGGGGGTGGTCTCCCAGGACTCGACTTCCTCCGCGGACTTGGACTCGGCGAGGATTGTGGTGTCTTTGCAATTGCTCTTCGACATGGTGTTCCACTCGTCGTCAGACCTCGACAGGTAGCATCTGGATTCTTCGAGTCTGATCTCTGAAGCAAGGACTCCGGCGTATGGGGAATGTACGTAGCCATTCTGGTGGTTAGTTCATAAAGAAATGTACCAACCTGGGATACAGTAATATATTACTGCTGGTATAGAAACCTTGGAACGTGGCAGTGACGAGATCCAGGACCTTGAATCCATCGTGGCCAGTGATTCATTGGAGACGCGTTGAATCTGAGGAGAGGCTGGGGGCTGCATATGTGGCTGGGGATTTAGCGCAGGCAGACTCGCTTCCATGACTCGTGCTCACGTGACCATATGTTAAGTTTGGGCTTCCGTGCTTCTTCTCCTCTTTCCTCTTGATCCAAGAGCGGCATTCGGATATCATCCCTTGGAATATACTCTTTGAGCTTAGTTGTCGGTCGTGGTGGTGTATTGCGGATAATCTGAGGCGACTGTTTTGGCAATTCCAGGCGACATGGATCAAGCCATGATGTTTTGCTAAGCTTCTGTCTCGGTGTTTGTTCAGTACAAACGGTTTTTCGCTTAAGGGGTTCCGGAATTGTGCTGTTGTGTTTACTTTCGGCTTCACTCACAACTACTCATAAAGTGGCTCTAGAGAGGGAGTGATTACTAATATGGCTGCAGACATTGAGATTGGTTGTGAATGACGTTGCAGGCAGTCAAGGTTAGAGTATGGTCTTGAATCATGACAGACGTCATGCGAAAGAAACAACATAGCTCTTGGACGCAAATTAACTATTTAGACGAGATTTAATTTCTCTTTTTCTCAGATTCATCTAGAAGGCCTCGTTCTATGGAAAGTTACTGTACGATTGTCTGTCTAGTTCACTAGGATATCCGCCGAAACCTCCCACCCTCATCCTCAGCTACCCCTGTTGCTGAAATAAGGAACGTGGTCAGGCTCTTAGAAGGCCGCCAGGAGGTGTCCCAACAAACCTCATACTCCAAGGTTTTCTGTCCATAACTGTTTAAGGACCTCCCGGGTATTCTTCCACTAGCTCTGGGTACTCGGTCTTTGATCTCAGCACTGATCCCTTTGGAGCCTCCCAGAACCAAGTGTCGTGAGACGAAGGCGTAACTCTCTACATACCTAGATTAGTGAAATCCTCGTGAAGTTAGCTATGACTCACGTCCAAAAGCCCTTGAATACCCAAAGCAGCATTGACCCCCAATACCATATCACCGTACCGTCTCAGATATCGGCGAGGCATAGCAATACAGTCATATCTGTATGAAACATGAAAATTCAGCTTTCTGATATGCTGCGCTTCTCTGGTCCACTCCAATATTTGTCTCTTAGTCTTAGTCTCTGAGGCAGGATCATCACAAATGACTCGAATCTCAACTAACCTTGACTTCTTCGGAGATAATGCTGAAAATTGGAAGGGGTGCATGGACAAGGTCCTTTTAGAAGTCAGTTCCAACAAAAGTGGGGGATTGTGATGATCCGCCTGTAAATATTTCCGAGCCTCTCGTTCATATGAATTTGATATCCAGTATTAGGTAAATGAGATACTGGGCTTATCCTACAGCCAATGTTCGAACACTGTTCTTGGCATATTCTGATATTGCTCGGATGCCAGACTCGTTCTCATCCAAAACGTAGAGTGTCGACATCTTATACATTACTTCTAACGCCTCTTTACATAGCTCTTCATCTCCGCGAAGTACCTTGATAAGAGCTGGAGTTTTAAAATCCCAAACAGCAGCATGCTCGAATATAAGAATGCGGACCTCGGGCGGGAATCGGCGAAGGGCGAGCGGAGAGAAAGTAAACTTGCAGGCATTCATGGACTGGAGAACTGCTATGTCAGTCTCGTGAAACCAGGACATATATTGAAGTAACGAGGGGATAAAGCTAGGCTACAAAGATAGAAAATCGGTAGGACAAGACCACATTGGGCGAACTCATAGTCTTGTTTAGTCTGTTAGATTGATGAAGCTTCGACTTGGCACAGTTCACATTCTGGAATTTACAGACGTTGAAATGGCTGTCTTGCACGACACCATTGTCATCGACGCCGTTGATATCCGAGTTCTCAACACCACATTGAGAGATCATTCCATCGTGAATGCAGCAGCGCTTGGCTATTGTAAGCTCAAGACTGCATCCGACGAAGGTTGATTTCCGGGCTGAGCACTATGCCAGAGTCGATATGCAGGCACTAGTATCATTGAAAACGAAGCAGTCATAAAGCTTTACATCGGTTAAATTAGACGCGGAGATAGAGCACCCAGACAGGACAGTGAGGCTTCCATTAACGACACAATCCTTTAGAGTGCTGTTCTAGATTGTGACGTTGTGAAGCTTGCAGTCCTTCAACGTGGCATTAACAACAATAGAATCGGAGCCCTCGATAGTCGTTCCTTCAATAATTACGGTGCTAGGGGATATAGGGGCGCTGGAGGCTGAGGTGCGCGTCAATGGATTTCGAAGGACCATCTGCGCCATTTCCTCCAGGTTGACAGTAGGAGAGGTAGGGACTCGAGTTGCCATGGTGTAAATCGAGGAGGCCTTGCGAGGTTGGCAATTGAGAGATTTTTCGACGCGTCTTGTGAATCGAATTAGAGCGAAGGCAGATAAAGAAGATGGAGATGGGTACCTAGGTAGGCCAAACTTTTAGCGTTGTTTACACTAGATTAAGCGAGAAGTGGTTCTTGCTTCACGCTTGTGAAGATGTCGCCTGTCGCATATACTGTGGCTACCTGCCACGTAAGTAGGTAGCAGACTATGCGTGAGTTGTTCCTCGACCTCCAATTTTAGACATTGTCTCGGCCAACTTTACCGCTGTGTGAATCTCGTTTAAGCACTTGTTGCCCTCAAAAGCCTTCACAGCTGACTGACGTGAATGGCGTGAATAGCAGCGAGGATATTTGCAGTCGTCAAAACCAGACGAAGTTTCAGCCGCGTGATAATGACACTTACACCCAAAGTAGGGAGTTGAGTCCTCTGTCATTCGGAAATCATGACAACAGTGAAATGTTTATTGATCTTGATGTTCGTTCTGAAGAAGCAGCACATGCTCATTATCAGTCCAAGTTGAAGTTGAAAATAAAAGTTGTCTGCTGAGTGAAAATAATTTCCTATCCTGATAATAACGTAGACAGATCAAGACCGAGACAGACCCATGGGGGTTTAAATAATACACAGATGTCAGAACAAGTCACATTCAATCTTATTCCTAACCCTGGTAAATCGCACTCTCCACTCCCGCCCAAAGTCCCATAACTTCCGCATCAGCAAACGGTACAATTTGACTCGCCACCATCCCACCAACCCCCTTCTCCCTATCCGCCCACCAAAACAAATTCGGCAGTCCAGCCCACCACGCCGTATTGCGGCCCCTCCCCGTCGCACCCGGATGAATAGTCAACATAAACGTCAATCCCCACCCCTGCTCCTGCTCCTTCGGCTGGGGATACAGCTCTGGAATCGGGTTCGTGAGCTCAGGAGTCGCAGCTTGGATGGGATCACGTCCGAAATTCGGCATGTCTGGGATTTGGTTGCTGAACATCTCGTCGACTGTTTCGGGTTTGAGGATTTGCTTTCCTGTATTTGGGGAGGTGCCATTGTTGAGGAGGGTGGCGATGATTTTGACGTATTCGCGGGGTTGGGCGAAGAGGCCTGCGCCAGCGGAGTTGAAGATGGTCTTTTGTTGGGAGGGGGTGTTGGCGTAGAGGGGACCGCGTAGGAGGTGTTCTCGTGTGGTGATGTGGCCGTCTGGGTAGCGTTGGTGCATGTGTGCGAGATTGTCTTTCATTGATTGTGGTGGGAAGAAGGACATATTCTTAATGCCGAGGGGAGAGAAGATATTGTTGTTGATATAGTCGGAAAGCGATTGTTCGGTTGCTCGCTCGACGAGAACACATGCCCAGTCGATTCCAGTCTGCATGTGTTAGTGATGTAAAGTTGGGGAGCGGGAAGTCCTTACGCCATAGTTGAATTTGGCACCAGGCTCGAATAGCAAAATAGGTTCCATGTCCTCAATTCGACCAGAAAACTCATCGATACCTCTTGGAAGACCAGCCTTCTTAATCTCGGGATTGAAGAAAGTGTACCCCAAGCCAGCTGCTCAAGATCAGTATTCATCACATGACACTCCTCATCCTCTCATCCCAAGCCGTCACAGAATAGACTTCAAACAGAAAAACTCACAAGTATGGCTCAGCAATTGCCTTAACGTAATACCAGTTTTCTTCTCCTTATAAATCGGCCTATCCTTCTCGTCAAACCCCTCCAAAATCTTTGCCTTCTTCAACTCCGGCGCCAATTTCCCCACCAGCTCCGCATCATCCAAACTCAATTTACCTTGATCAACAAGCTGCATGCACGCAATCCCACCTACCATCTTCGTGCATGATGCAATCCAGAAGACGGAGTCGAGAGTCATCGGCTCTTTAGTTTCCGCACCTCGTTTGCCGGAGGCGTGGGAGAAGATCTCGTCGCCATTTTTGTTGACGGCTACGAAGACGAAACCGGGGATTTTGTCTTTTGAAGAGGTTACGTCGTCGATTGCTGAGTTTGTTAGTAAGTTTGTAAAGTAAGGTGCTATAGATTTTAGAACGGGGAGGAAAGGAGGACAAACTCTTTCGGATCTTGGCGGCGCTCGCTTCATTGATCGTGTACCCTTCTATTTTGGGAACTGTGCGTGACGACATATTGTTTGTCTTTTGTAGGAACCCGGGAACAACTTTTAGCAATATTAAAGGCTTGCAAGAAGAAAACCAAGCAAGTAAAGGAAGGGGACATAAAGATGTAGAACAAAATCTCGGTAATGGCACCATCTAAGCTGGCTGGGACTGGACCGCGGGGTAAGTTGCGGGGTAGAGTCCTCGATCTAAGAACCCCTCTTCCAGTCTCAGCCCCACGAACCCACTGGTGCTAACTACTGGCTGGCTGGGTCTGAAAAGAAAATTATTGTGTGGTTTCCAAGTTTGTAGTCGTCAGAAAAGGTTATTCCCGTGGTCTAGTTCGGAGCACCGGATTCAAATCAAGGGGAGTCTTGGCATGAGGTCAGGAGGTATCCTGCGCACTTGTGCGATACTGTAAGTGAAATGAATGCCGCGGTAAAAGTAAATCAAGAAATTCTATTGTGGTATCTCTCTAGCTCTATGTCTAGTCTTTGCGCTCAAATCTATCCCATCCAGGTCTTCTTGTCACGAAGTTCTCATTTCTCGCATCTGAACTCCATCAGAGCGGAACCCATATTCAGCACCCAGCGTCGCGATGCCTTCTGCATCATTTCATCCTTCTGTTACACAAATTTGCAGAACAAAAGTACTTAGGTGGCCATTGACTCAAAGTCCATCTCTGGTATGAAGAAGCTTCCGCCTCATTTAGTCATTTCGAGGACCTCCAACTGCAGTGTCTTGAACAGGCACCGATTCGGTGCTGCCAACATTTCGATTTCTCAAAGCAGCATCACCCTTCTCATTGTCGCTACTATCACCTCCAATCTTGGTCTCTTCGTCACTGTCAATGAAGCCATATTGTCTTGACATAGCTTCTACCTCCTGGTTAGACAAGAATGGCATATCGTAACTGGCCTTGACGTAGGAGATATTCTCAAGGTATCCCTTTGCGAAGATGAGATCGATTTCCTCCAAAGAGCGCTTCTTCGTCTCTGGGTAGAAGAAGTAAATGATTGGAAGGAAGCAAGCGTTGACAATAGCGAAGAAGAGATAAGTTCCCCATTTAATGTTCGAGATCATGACGGGTGTAACCATGACAATCAAGAAGTTGAAAAGCCAATTGGTGATTGTCGAAACCGCATTGGCTTTCCCACGAGTTCGAAGAGGGTTGATCTCTGCTGGATATAGCCATGGGAGTGGTAGCCAAGTAGCTCCGAAAAATGCGATGTATGTGAAGAGACCAACACCAGCTCCCTTAGCCGAAGGACCCTTCCCATCATCTGGGATTAAACAAGCAAAGACCAATACCATACTCAGGCACTGTCCGATGGTACCCCAAAGGAACAGTTGACGACGACCAGCACGTTCAATGATGAACCAAGAAACGGTTGCGAAGATTGAGTAAACAATCATGTTGACTCCTCCGAGCAACAAGGCAAGGTTGTGGTCGACTCCAATGGCAGATTGAAACAAAATTGGGAAGTAATATATAACGGCATTGCATCCCCCTAATTGTTGAAATAGCTGGGAGCTTGATCCCAAGAGTAATCGGCGGAAATGTTGAGTCTTTCCACCAGTGAACAGAGCAGAGTAGGGGACCTGTCCTCCAGCATGTCCACTAGCCTTGATGCCATCCACAATCAGGGAATGTTGGAGAGTAACCTGAGCGTTCGTAGTCTCGAGGCCACTGAGAGCAGCGATGACATCAATGGCATCTTCATGTCGGTCTCGCATAACCAACCATCTGGGTGATTCGGGGAGGAAGAAAATGCCGACAATGAGAATTACACCGAAAATGGTCTGGAAAGCGATAGGGAATCGCCAAGTCAGGTCGTCGGGTCCATAGGACGCGCCGTAGTCGATCCAGTACGCAATCATGGTCCCGAATGCGATGATGCCTCCTTCAATGCAAATGAGAAGGCCACGGTTGGTGGTACGACTGCACTCGGCCTGATAGGTTGGGATGGTGGAAGTGTTGATACCGTTTCCGATACCGGTTATGGTCCTTCCGATGATTAACTGAACAGTTGCCTTGGACCCCTTGATAGCGGTGATCTGGATGATGACTCCCAAGATCATGATAATGCCGCCAAGCATCATCTAGGACGGTCAGACAGCTTCAACGAAAAGAAGAGTGGAGACTTACAGCTTTTCTCCGACCAGTCTTGTCTCCAAAACCGAGAATCAAGATCGCACCAAGCAAACAGCCAATTTCGTAGATAGCAGTGACGAATCCCTGGTAGACAGAGTTGTCCTTGGTCTCTGGGAAGTAGGCATTGAATGGGTCCGCTGAAATGATACCAGACATAACACCTTGATCATATCCAAAGAGAAGGAAACCAGTAGTAGCAATCGTTGAAATAACAAGACCAAGAGGTCGGCCCATGAGACCGGCATATGTCTTTACAGTAGACACACTGCCAGCTCGTTGGGGTCGTTGTTCTTCCATGTTGGCTATAGTGTACGGAGAACACAAAATAAAGATCTCTGGCTCAGCCAGGAAACAAAACTATAATTCGAAAATGTGATAAGGGTATGGAGAGCTTGGGCAGATGCAAAGAGGATGAGAGTAAGATGATGGAGTAGAGGATAAAATGTGGGAAGAGGGTGCTGTTATACTTGCCAGCCATCAAATTCCTGTCAAGTTTTTGTCCAAACATTTTGGATCTTATCCACTATTCCCAAATTCTTTTCAGGATCAGGCTGGGTATTCGTCGCATCAGCCGGAGGGTCGGGTAACTTTCTGCTCTCAACGCCTGCAAGATCCGGAGCAGAGTCATGTTAGCAGCAAGTTCATCTGTTGAAATTTGATGTTTTCACAAACGATCGACATCTGTTTACCAATATGAGGATTCCTGCCGTAAGGCGGTGTCCATTTTCATTCTCTTGCTTCACGGTGATTGGGTATAGTGTTCCTTCGCGAGAAGGATCTGATTTTGACGAGAATAACGGCGCCATGGCATTGATCCACACCATCGTCATCGAGTGGATTGCGGGGACTCCAATTGGAGAGGATAAGCAACGGCAAGAAAGCCGAGGAATAACCAGGAAGCTTTTCAGGCACAAGCGGGAAGGGCGTTTGCTTATTTATGAGCCGCACGGTACTGGAGTATGTCTCTATGCCGCTGACATGCTCTCAACACAACAGTTCTAAGCAGCATAACATCACAGGTACGCCTAATTAAGAGTACAGTGGCTCCAAAACCCTGGGACTGGAATGTTATCGCCGGTGGTGGAGTCCCCCATCTTCACCAGACTGTGCGATGTCTGCATGTCGACGTCAGATGTAGCGCTTTGGAACGTGAAGTAAATGTGACCGAGACAGTTCCGAAGCTTTCTCTTGCTCGTCCACAATTGTTTGCTGCACCATTGATCAGAGGCGTTTTATTGTGGAATCGTGGACCCAGTAGCCTTGATGTAGTATTCCGATATTTGTGGGTTCGTGGGTCCTGATAGCCTCATGTAGAAGGCTGGTGTGCAGCCTTTTCCAAGTTTTGTGGACGTTCTCAAGACATCGGCTCGTGCAAGCAGCTCTACAGTCTCTTCTTCAGCCTCCCCAATCACGGTAGAGGATACGATCGGATATGTTTCCAACAGTTGCATGTGAGATGCGGGTGGTATTTATGATGGATGAGCCAAGAGAAGAACGCGGGAAATGCCGAGGTGTTGGAGCAAGAAAAATTTGGTGTAAAGGTTGATTTAACCTTCATCACGTGTCTGAGATCAATTCTACCACTAGGAAATGACAGACATTTATTCATGAATGCTCCATTGCCCACGGATGATGGAGTCTCTTAAATATCGAATCTTCCATCGCCGTGAGTTGAAGTGGCTTGTCCGCAGCCAGTCTCTTGAGGTGGCTCTTCAAGGTGAAGACGGCTGCTAATTTCTCCTGGGCCTCACTTCTGTTGCCCAGATCCTGCTTCATATATACACTTCTTATTTGATTGAGACGTCGGTATTTCTTTCCCACTGCATCATTCTGGCCTTTGAGTTATCAAATACATCCTAAAGCCTGCCTGCCAGGACAGAGCCCGTTTCAGTGTTCTGATATCACGTGCGATCATCTCCTTCCTCGCTAGGTACCTTAGGTACCTAGGCGAGCTACCTAGTAGGTACCATCTTCTCTCCCTACGCGAAACACTTCTAATGTCTTGCTTCGCTGTCCATTACTCTACATTGCCCTGCCTTGGGAGTCTTTCCAATCTCTCTCACGCACAAAGACACGTGCAAAATTACTCGCTTTTCAATTCCCATATCTGCACGCATCCTGAATATTGCTTCAGGAGCACATTCTCCGTCAGGAGCTTCCTCCGCAAGGAGATACTCTCCGTCAGGAGGAAGCTCTCCGCTGCGATATGCAACAAGAATATAATCAAAAATCCTCTCATATCACCATGTTTCCGGGTTCGATGTAGCAAAAAAACTTCTGCGATTCAGATGTCTACAGCCAGAGTTTCCGTTTAGCGCGGTGCGAGTCACGGGAGCTTATTTCTCTTTAGAGTTCACGAGTCGTGCTAAAGTTGATCGTCGTGCAGGACCTCCGGAGTGGCAAAAGTCTACCCAGTCACGTGTAGCTCGCAAACGTGATGCTCTGTGTTATTTTCCAACATGGAAACTCAATAAGTGTGCATTACACATGGGTCATTTCATAAAAACTGTATGAAAGACAGATTATAAATGTTTAGTTTTAATATGCGGTACCTCCTCCTTCCAGAAACACCGCATTTATTTATATCAGACACACTCGCTGGACGTCGAACGTCTCTTGCTTCTTGCCAAAGAAAACCACAGGCAAGTCCACAAACCCTAAGCTAAGCAGGGCACGAAACACAACGAAATCTCCTTTATCTTCATAGCTTCCAGTCAGGATCAGTCAGTATCCACTAGCTTTCGAATCTTCAAACCCATAAATCTCGCGCAACACGGAGCGGGATGGAGTAAGTAAATATTGACACCCGATCCGGTCACGCAGAGCTCTTGGTACGCAGCCAGTATCCGGGATTTTAATGCCAGCCAGTAGCATTCCGAATCTAACAAAGCTCTGATCGGGTTGTCCGCCCAGTCAGACGGTATCTCGGATGTGCATACCGAATAAACCAAGTCATCCAGGTTCGCTTGCCGCTCTGGCAATAGTGATACACGGTGGAAATGCGAGCTGCCACAAAGTTCTCACTCAAATGTCGTGCACCAACCAAGTCACAGCTTTTCGTTAGTCATACCTCGTCTTTTCACTTGCGGTACAGCTGATATGTAATACTGTAGGCAGGTTTCCGGTAGCTGGCATACTAGGTAGCACGATCTGTTTCAGCCTAGTCCGGACCAAACAAAGGCTTCTCAGTCATTGTCGATCTCCCATTTCGTGCTACTTGAGGTCTCACTCCGACATGCAACAAAATCCCCCGACCAAGTACTAGCCAGCGCAAATATCCAATGATCTGTTTGTTAACCGTTACATTCGGGTGATTGTATTCATTCGTCTCCGTTGCGACTTGCAACAGGACAATAGGTGTCGCACAGTTGGAAGACGGAAGAGGGGTCTTGTTCACAATTATAAAGAAAGCTGAGACTGAAAACAGAGCAGATGGAGAAACTCAATATGATTCGAACATTTCCACAACCTTATCAAAGGTCGTATGGAAGGGGCATACATTGCCGATATTTGTTTAGGATTCTTTGCCCTTTGGAAACGGCCATGGGAAATGTATCCCGTCAACCATCCCGAAAAATGAACTGCAATCTCCCCCCGTATTTGTACGCCAATACGCCAACATCGCACCACTTGTCTAGTAATACAGCTTCCAAACGCCTTTTTGACAACTGCCCGTCGTAGAGGCAGCGGTCCAGAAGTATGCTCGTCCATCGTGTATCGAACATAACCTTCGACAAATATTTGTCCATGTGTGCTTTTCTCGTTCACCTCTTCGGCCTCGAAGCTCGTGGTAGAATGGATGTTGGGTGCCGCGAGGGAGTGGAGTTTATCCACAGAATGAAGAACAGACTAACCCAAGGCTATGGGTATTCGAACGCATAGAGGGCGGCGAGGTAATTGGGTCGCCATGACCGAGGAGAGAGTATTGACTCCATCGCAGCTCCAAGTGACTTAGAGGCCGACCTTGATCATGGCACCTCCGAGCTTGGTCAGGAAGTAGTTCCAGAGCTCGTACGTCTCGAACCAAATAGCAGAGAATACTCCACACATGTTGATATGGGTTGGCAGAGGCTGCAATGTATGTTTGGGAAGTGTTTTGATGAGGTATGTTTGTGGCAAATAATCGTGGTATAGAATGATTGAGAGTGATTCCTGAATTGGGAGACCGAACTCAGGCACAACATGTTGACCTACCTACCTATATACTCCTGAGAGGGCTTAGTGACCGGCAGACCCATATAACTTGGGGTATCATCCGAGAGCTCCTTGAAAAGACTCGAACTAGACACTGATGTGCTGAAAGATGTAGAACTTTCGCCAGATTCTTCTTCCTTGTATGCCATGATCGCAGGAGCTGACTTTGAACCACGCAACCATGTGGTAAAGAGAGCTTTACTCGCCGTGTTCAGGGGCTGCTTCTTGGATTTCGGCATGATGACAGTTTGGTGTGTTTCAATAATCTACCATGCCAAAAAGAAGTCAGTGATCTGATCTTAAGGTTGCCTCAATGTAGAATGTCACGAACATACCTTCAGTCTTTATAAATCCCCGGGCATTCATGCAAGAAGGATTTGACAGGCACTACAGCTGACACGATCTCAAATACTCCTGGCTCCTCCAGTGGCATCAAGAGTGTTCAGTGAAATTAAATCGACGCGTCGTAGATCTGAACCCCAAGTTAGCACTGTCAAAGTAGTAAGATGGAGAGGGGACTTACCAGTAGCGGAACTCGAGTTGGACGGAAGTAACAGCAGAACCAAGACCAAGACGCGTCAGATAGTTGCCAATGTCTCCAGTGGGACTTGAGAGATTAACTAGCTTGTTTGGACTTGGATTCAACGCGTTTTGGGTGTCCTGATGGATCTGCAGCACCGTCAGTGACCATTGACCAGCATTTCAATTTCCGCAGCCTCCCTTGAGAAACGAGAACGAAAGTTGGAGTCTAAAAGAAGGCAGTGGTGATATTGGAGTCTTTGGGACAATGGCTGGAGGCTTGCCTCACTGGAAAGTGCCTGAGGTCTGCCATAGCATGAACAAGTCTGCACGATCAAATGGCATGCCCTGGACTTACCTTAAAGGATGGGCGCGTTACTTTACCAAGATCTTCATGGAAGAATCAAAGACCTTGTATCATCAACCCTCGGACGCGTCAAGTGCAGCAAGATCTGGGACAGATTAGAAGATGCATCAACGAACTGGGGATTTCCATCTTACCTCGAGACGACGAAGCCGCAATTAGGAACACCGTCAACGTCCTTGTACTCGCAGAAGGACTGGTGACAAGGAATGAATGTTGCGTGGTTTTCAGGGAGAAGAGATGAAGGATCCGGAGTGAAGATGTACGGAGGTTCAAGAGGGCAGTCTCGACCGTTCCTTCCGTGTTCGGAACTCGCTTAACATCAACATGGAAGGCACGACCCGCGAATACCACCAACGATTCCAACCTCAACCACGAGGAAGACCAATATGATATGAGAGGAGCCGTAGGATTATAGTGACATGTTCGCAGGTGCCGAAGCAATATGTTGAATGATCTGCTGTCGAAGTGATAGAAGGGTGCGAGAAACGTCGGAGTTTGTCTTGTACGCAACCGTAAGAAAGCAGAGTTTCTGAAGTATGGATGCATTCGTTAGAATGGTATTCGTGCAGCGAACGATTTGTCGATGCAACGTTTTGAACCAGATCGTTGGATTGGTGTGTTGCATGTTCTGGACTATTAAGGTGAACATATTGGCAGAAGGCGGTCTCAGTGTTGGTAGGTATGATCATGATGTAGATTGAGGTCGTGGTCTTGTTCTGGATTCGATTCGAGAGTTCAGTTGAAGGCATTGAAGGGTGTGGAAATGTACTTTCGAGCGGAAGTTGGATTGATTTTAAAAATGCAGCATCGAACTGGCCCGCTGGCTTGCAATGTTACCAGGTAGAGTCGATTTGGGTCTAACTCGTGGGAACTGTATTTGCGAGGGCGAGTCGAGTTTGAAGAAGCTGGACGATGATTCCGACGTTTGTTGAAATGAACCCTGAATTGATTAGCATATATCTTCATCATTTCAATAGGGTACCTACCAAGGACCAGCCGCACCAGAGGCACCAGACGCGGCAGAACCTCTCGATGTGCCAGGTCGAGAGGTTGGGCAGTTTTATGTCATGCCCAGGACAATTGAGTTCCACTTCCCAGCACACCGTGAAGATGCAATTGGAATGCAGATTAGGTGTCGTTGAAGTTCCTAACTGGCCATATTTGTGTGATACGTTATAAGACAAGGAGAAAGAGCTTGGCGGATCGCATCACTAGCTGCAACTTGCAAATTTATGATCGCAGTGGTATTTCAGCTCGTATCTGGAGGGTAAGAGCGCTTGCTGTGTGGTGCTAGAAATTGTTGTCGACCGCAGTGGACACCTCGATCTTCGTCGGGAACGTAGAAGGTATGTGCTGCGTTGAAGAAGGGTTGCTATCAAGGTGAAAGAGAGACGGTGTTGTTGATATCAACAAATGAAGTCGGAATACAACGAAGGTGAAAGTGAGCCGCAACAGTTATGGCAAAAGTGGGAAGATTTAGGAACAGATGTGATGGGGGATTGTGGTGTAGTGAGGAGGGTCTATTTACCTTGGCCACTCACCTTGCGTCACTCTCCTGCGTTCAAGCTGGACTGGCCTGAGGAGAAGGAGCTTCTTCATACAGATCGAAGGCTCTGTGATCGTGGGAAAGACTGTTTTAAATATGATCGCAACGCCTCAAAGGAGCCGATGGATTAGTTGGTATGTTTTCTACTGCTTCCTGCCTCTATCAAGCTTTCGTGGAGCCCGTGGAGATCGAGGACAATGGTGGCAAAGCATCGATGGTGCTGTTTAACGAGGAGGAAATATTAGCAGTGTTCACTCTCCACCGAGAATTCGCAGAATTAATTGTGTCTTCAAAGTGAGGGAGAGGCAAGGTAATGGGATGAGTGCTGTTCAGAGATCAAGAGGATAGTCATGGGGAGGAGGGGAGACTTACCTTTCGAGATCGAGGATGTTTTTCAGTATCGAAGGCTTACGAATGATGCTTGATGCCGGAGAGCGTGACATGTGGCAGAGCTCTGTCACAAAATGGCTTTGTAAGTTGAGATTGTGTGATGGTTTAGGTTTGTTGCGATTGTAGAATTTATGTTGGTGGGAGATGACCCCTGTCAAGCTAGCTCGCTTCAATCAAACATCAACAAACCGACAGTCTCCACTTTTATCATTCTGGAAGATAGCAGAATGTGCTTTTTGACCTGCTCTCGTACAGTGTAGTCTTAAGAGGTCAATGAGGGTTCTGCCTTCGCACTCCGCACTCTTTTGAGCGGCTTTCAGTGTTCATTGGGGACCTGTGTGCACCTGACCTTAGGTACGAGGTCATTAGTATGAATTTCGGTCATCTACCTTGCTCCATATAAGCCCTTTAAGCAATAGGACTTCGTCACCCCTTCGGAGCAGCACTGTGCATGTTTCCTATTGCGTGATCAAGAAACGTCTACCTGTTTTATCAAGATACATAGATATCAGAACAAATCTACTGGCCGGAAACAGAGCTTGCTATAGTTCAGCGACATAAAGGATGCAATTTCACATCTCGCACAAGATAATCATTCCTTTTTGCAGACACAGCTTTCCCCCATTCACCTACAACCCGCTGCTTCTCACTTTAGGGGCTAAGAATGAGGGGCGAACTTTTGGAAAAACTAGAATCAAGACTCTATCGTATCAAAACGGATGCGTTACTTCATTGCATAAACTACTTGGATCGATTGATGTTGGCAGGTCTACGCCATTCTAATTGAGAACGTGCCTTAACTACCCCAGGTAGACTGAACCGTGGTCAAAATCAGTCTCCGCAAAATTCCAATACAACTCTAACGCAAAATTCACGAAATACAGCGTGATATTGAGAAGGATGATGCCTCCTCCAGGGCCAGGTTTTAGGAACTAGGTAAACAACGGATCGGTAAGCTCATTCTCATGTACAGCAGTTCGCTGACAAGCTTCTCTCGCACTGCACTAGGAATTCTTAAGTGAAATCACGGCGCATTGAGAAATTCACTTCCTTGTCGCCCCTCAGCTCACTCTTCCCACCTCATGTCATCCTCCCCCTCGCCTCCCTACCTCACCCCTCATCATCGCTAAATTTGCCCCCCAAACATCAATTAGCGAGTCACAATCCCAGCACGACAGGGGAGCGGCCGCACCAGCATGAGAATCTCACTCCCACCCTAACTACGCCTCACACTTGTGTACACTCATCTACACCTTTACAAGCAGCAATTATTCCGTATCAACCAAAGAAAGGCTTGGAATCGTGAGCGATAGAACGCTATGTTACGGAGAAAGGGCCGGACCTTCGCAATTAGCGCTTGTCCGTGGATGTGGGTGCGGTGCGGTGCGGGTACCAACAATTCGCGCCGCACGTTGGGCAAGCAAGGAGCTATCTATGTTGGAGTGGGCTAGCAGATGGTGGATATGATGGTGATGGTGTTAATAATGTGAGACATATAAATACTGGACGATGTCGCACGATTCTGATATTTTCTACAACACTCATCGATCACTTTTTCAAGAACTGTTGTTCTGCAAGAAGCAATCGATACCAGCCGAGACGTGCGAGTCGAAAGAATACACACACTTCTCATATTTATATCCTCATCTCCATCTTTCATCCTGAGTCCAAACTTCAGATTCTCTCGAAACACAAACCCAAACATCCTCAAAAATGTCCACCCCAACACCAACCCTCCTCCTCATCGGCTCCGGCCCTGGTCTCGGCATCTCCATCGCCAAATCATTCGCCACTCACTCCTTCTCCAAGATCGCCCTCATCTCCCGTAACAACACTCGTCTTCTCTCCGAAAAAGCCAGTCTCGAATCCTCCGTCCTGGAATCAGCAGGCAAGCAAATCGAAGTCGAGACCCGGAGCGTGGATATTGCCGAGAGTGAGAAGTTCAAGACTGTTTTGAAGGAGGTGGGTGAGTGGGGGACGGTGACGTGCGTGGTGTTTAATGCGGCGAGGGTGCAGCCGAGTGAGATTTTGGTGGAGGGGGAGGAGGAGATTGTGAAGGAGTTTATGGTTCGTTTCTTCTCGTTCCCCAATTTCCTATCAACATTCCTCTCCCTCGATTGGCAAATATCAAGTATGAATTCGACCGTGAGATTGTTGCTGACTGTTGTACTGAACTAGATCACAAACATCGCTCTTTACACAGCTGCTCAATGGGCGATGCCAATCTTGAGCAAGCTGCCCGTAGAACAAAAACCGAGTTTCTTGGTCACGAGTAGCTTGTTGTGGAAACATCCATATCCACCATTCTTCTCGCTGTCGATGGTGAAGGCTAGTCAGAGGACGCTGGTGCAGTGTTTGGGATTGGCGTTTCCTGGTATGTTTCTCACTACTCCTTTGTAATCTCTTTGCTCCCGAAACATTATCTACCCCACGGTGGGGTAACTATCGATTGGGAAAATAGGATACGAGTCAACGTGATATGACCATGCTGACTGAAATCAGATGTCCATTGCGCTCTGTTGAATGTAGCCGGGCAGGTGTCTGAAGATGATAAAGTCTTCAACCCCACAGCCATCTCGGAGAAGTTTTGGGAGTTGTATGATCAGGAGAAGGATGCTTGGACATTGGATTTGGATGTTCTTGCTCCACAGTAAGCCCTTTAGTTGAATGCTGCTGTGAAGAATTTATGGTCGGTCTTTTTTACTGTGAAGGCCTGACCGGGGTTGTGGTTCAATGTGGTGTGAGGAATTGAGATGGCTATTTTGTAATGCTTTCCTGCTTAGCAGAAGAATTCTGTACCGCTGTGGAGAATGCGTTCGATCTCACGAACTGCTGAGGGTGTATTGATAACGCTGGAATTTGAGATAAATGGAACGTTCTTTCGGACTTTTCGGGTCTTCGAACTCCGCGTGTCCATTTTGGCGATTTGCCGACATGTGACCTTGTGGAAACAATGAATCATTCTTCTTGGAATGAACAGAAAGTTTTCGAGACATCTAGGCTGTGAATAAGTCTGATGCTGCTGCTGGTAGCTTCGACGTCTTCTTTGATGACAGTAAATGACAGATTAAGCGACAGAAAGAGAGAGAGACGATATGAGATGCAAGAATATTGGTGTTGCATGTGACAAATGGAAGAATCTCAGAAAATGGACTCTTCTTACCAATTTCTTCAACGCTTAGTATCGGATTACTGATGCATCACACATCCCACTCTCGCTTCAACTCCTCATCTCCTATATCAGTGCTGAGCAGGTCTCGATAACTCCGTCTTTGCGTCACTACTCCTCTCATGATGTGCTGCATACAATAGCTTCTCAGCAAACAAATCACTATCCAACGTCCTCTTCACAGCAATCGTTCTCCAAGCTGGAGTTCCAATATCCTTGATCGCCTCCAAATCTAAATCCAAAATTGATCTCCACCTACTCGAGACCCTTGCCTGCCATCTCTGGGAAGTGGAAACTTCAGAGAAGTAAACTTACCAGACAATAGCCCCCGCTTGAATAGCCGTTTTCCAACACATACGGTCAAAGAAGAATCCCAAGATAAGTGCTCCGAGCCATGATCCAGCAGCCATGGAAGCAGTAATGCCACCATGCGTGCAAGATTTCGGACCCCTTCAGTTCTCCTGATCATTGAACCCTGGGTCTTGTGGTCCTTGGTTGAAAGTAGCGGAGGTATGGCTGTGTAGATGTGATAGCGCTCATGGAAGCGATATCGAATCCAATCAAGCCACTTTCGACCACGGCGATGCCTGTAAAAATGTAAATCTTGCCAGTATACCACATATTTGAAGTGATTGATGTTAAGATACTCGAAAGAGGTAGACAAAAAGGAAAAATTTTGCTTTCCTCGCCGTAGTATATGCTTCGGTAAGCAACAGGTGATGTTCGTACTTCAAATTATTCAAGCTACAGATGCCGAATACCGTGAAGCAGACAAAACAACATCCCACCCGCATCAGTCACGACGAGATCTGGAGTCCCCAAGACAACAGAGCAATCCCCCGCGAAAATAGCAGACAGAAACACATGTGACTGGACCCAGCAATCCATTGGCGCACAAGTTCGCCGTCACTGGACAGCTCACGTATTTGCACCACGCCATTATCTACAGCGAAAAATAGAGTGCTCTTTCCAGTAACTCAATGATAATACAAGTATGCAGGACTCGCAGTCAAGTATCACTGAACTGCAAAGACAATAAAAAAATATATATATATCCGCCGTTTCCCGCGGCCCATACGAAGGATCGAGTGGATGCGTTTCAGGCGCAGACGAGACGTCCCTGGATAATCTCACTCTCGTCTGCCGCGCGCGAACGACCTTCTAAATTGGTTCAGATCCCCGAGATAAAGGTCGCTTGAGGCTCTTGGATTCTCCATCTTTATTTCGTTTGTCTGGTACGCCTAATTTGGCGAGAAGAAAAGAGTCAATGATGGATGTTGAAGGTGAAAGGAGAGAGAGGGAGGAAGGATGGTGATAGGAAGTCTTGGCCTTCGGGAAGGAAAAACATCACGCCGCATCGTGACTCCCTTCATCTTCAACATCCATTGACTCTTCCATCCTCCAAAAACCGTTCATTCCGAGTCAATTAAGAACGTACGAGCATGCCTAACAAACACAAACTCCATCCCAAAATAAATCACCTTACTTCACCACAAGCCAAGCCCCACACGAAGCCAAACGAGGTCGGATCTCCACCTCAGATGACGAATCAACCGCGTCCCACTTCCCCCAGATCTGGGACGTCTGATCTCCCCCAAACCAGGTCGCGAATCAGGTGACGCGGCATTCGAAAAGGGGAGCGTTGGCATTCAAGTCCAAGTCCAAGTTCGAGGTAATCGTACCCGAGTAGTCGAAGTTCGCATCACTTCTCTTCCCGGTGTCAACCACATCGCCGCAGGTGCTTGAAACATGGACATGCCTCTTCGTACATGCATGGCATGCGTGACCGAAGCGAGCAAGAAAACCTTCAGACCAAGACCACCTCATGCGATAAAACTAGAAGGAAAGGTCGGGCTCGTCGAAATTGAGGGATTTGGGGCTGACTGAACGGCCGGCTTGAATCATAAGGTTTGTGTTGGAGGAACACAGAAGGGGATGGGGCGTGATTCAAGCTCGCTCGCGAAGGGGCCACCTTTGAGTCCTGTCAAGTCTCATAAAAAGGGAACCATCAATGCTTGCCCTCGTGCTTGTCTAACTCAGTGAGTGAGTGAGTGAGTGGTTGGCCTTTCCCATCCATCCATCCATGTTCGTTGCTGGGGATCGATACAGTAGTCGCATGGTTCGGTCCCGACGTTAAGGTTGACTTCCCGGGGATGTGGTTCCATCCAAGTGTGTAGCGAGAGTATATTTCCCTTTCTTCTCTTTCGGAAGGCTGGAAGTAAAGCTGCCGAAAGTTTATATAGTAGGGGCTATGAGTTGCGTGGATGAGGGAGGTTCCGATAGATTGTTACCTGGGAGGTTGTATTTTGATATCGTGAATGTTTCATGATGGAGGCAGCGGCTCGATGTTAATGATCAAGTGGATCATATACGTACTTACAACCAGCTGTATGAATTGCGGAGATATGTTTGTGGCGTTGTTCTTCTCCGCGGTTTCAGTCGGACAATTACGGATCGTCAGTATATGTGGCTTTTGATGTGATAGTTGCTTGAAGGATGAACTGAGATCCACTCGCTCATTTACAGTACATTCGAAGCGTGTCGGAAGAATGCTTCTTTCTTTTTTCTCTGTCCGAATTTGTTCTACCAAACCCTCGGAAGTACTTGAGGTTCGAAAGAACAATGTCCTTCTTCAAGAATCTCTCTCTCCCCCTGAAATAGTGTCCATCTCAATCCTGATTAGATCCATGGCACGGTCCACATTTAGAGACTTGCCTTGTCAAGCAGACATACGATGGTTCAGATGATACAGAGGTGGCATACATCCAGCTTCCAGTCTCTAGAGACCATTTCTACTTACCTGCTAGGACGATGGCAGGCAATTACAGTAAGGACGTTCTATTTTCCATCAAGATTGTAGTGTCAGCAGAAGATGTATCGAGGTAATAGCAGGACCTCAGCCACCAACACTGATGAAGCCGGTACGATATAAACCAACAACACTACTTTTTATTGCTGGGCCAGGAGATGATTGCATTTCCTCTAAAGCCAACAGCGCCAACATTTTGATTAGCAATCCCTTTTCATCAAAGGAGTTCGCACAGCCCTGGACTTTATCAGCCAATACAACATCGTATTCGAACGCATTGAAAACCTCACAGGCGATAATATTAATATCATCTGTAACAACACCTTGCTTACCTGCTGCTCCCTCAAAACTCCAGACCAGCCAAAAGTCGGCTATCCACCAAACAGAGGCCATTGATGGGAATGAGTCGCAACACATCTTTTCAGATTGATTGACAGTGTTTCCGAGCAGAATGAATTCCACACTTCTTGCAACTAAACCTCAAGAACGTGACCCTCCGGAAAATATCTCTGCGAAAGATCCGGACTTCACTTCACTGGTATCTGCTACCTAAGGCATAACATGGAGCAATACAACGAAGCCGGAGACTGCAAAGTCATCTCACTTTTCCAACTCAAAAGACATTCTTTACAGTATGGGGTCAGTGTACGGAGGTACCCAGCGAGGATCCATCCAATTGCCATCGTCCAGTGCAGTAGGTAGTGGCGCTCCTCCATGCAAAAACATCCGTTCTTCTCAATGCCATTAGGTCAGCGATCGAAGGGTACTGCAGCTACTGGTTGGCTGCTGTGGTCCGTGGAGTGTAGTATTATTCTGCGCTGCGCGGGAACAGGGGGCTTCAAAATCAAAATTGTATCTTACGAAGTTACTGGACGAGAGAGAACAGCCAGCGCAGGAGCACAGCACGTGTAGGAGGACTCCGGCCTGCCCCTCCCTTGTAACACCTAGATTCTTCGATTCCAGCTTGTGGGGAAGGCCCAGCACTCTGGTGGGACACGCCGAAGGGCTTGGAGCCGCCTCGCAGTCGCAGAACAAAACGGCGTTTCGGGTGGTGCCAGGCGCAGATGTCGGACATTTATTACCTAGAAAAGGGGGAAAGGGAGGGAGACAGAGCCCAGTCAGACGAACACAGACCGAACAAACACACAGTTGTTTTGGCCCAGCTGCCCAGCTGCCCAGCTGCCCAGTCAATCATCGATCAATCAATCAACCAACTCGACAAGCCTCTGGGCTGGGACAAATTATTATTTCCGGGACCAGGAGGCTCACTCACTCACTCACTCACGTCTGTCTGCTTTAGGTGTTCGTTCGTTCCTGCGGCGCCAAGCTTTCTGATCTTTCGACCCTTTCGAGGGTTAATTTGATTCTTCCGAAGCCCTCCCTTCTCCCTCCCTTTTTGTTTGGCGGTGCATGCATGCATACCTGATTTACATCGATGCCCTTAACTGCGGCAGCCAATTATATCGTCGAGATGCTTCCGGGTTTGGTTGGCCTTCCCGTATTTCACTCCCTCTCGGCCCGCCTCATTATTATTTCGGAGATCATTATTATAATGCAAGGGCGATCTCCGTACGGACTTGCGTCTTGTCATTTCTTTCGTCCTGTTTTGAAACGAGCCAATAATTACGCCAGCCCGCGGTGAAGGCTCGCCTCAAGGTAAACACGCAAGCTTGTACGCAGGTGGCAGACTGGCAGTACAGTAGTGGTGAAGTTGACTCTGATCCTCCTCTGGTCTGGTCAGTTGTCACGGCCCGGGGGTCTGCAAGAATCCTCCTCCGTGATGATGTTGTTTGTGTAGCACAATCAGTCAGTCGTACGGGGTCCACGTCTCGCCTTTCGCCTGTCTGTCTCTTCTTCCTCCCCCGCTCTATTCAATCCTGTCTGTCCGTCCCTCTTCTTGCCACGGCCAGGCCAATCCTCTCTCCTGTCTCTTCACTTACTGTCGCAGCATGTCGTGGCTGAATGCGGGCAACTGGCTGAAATAGGCTCATGTGTTTTACAGGCTTCTGTAACGGCATGGCTTACTTGGCGGGTCGTCGTCCGCCTGGAAATAGCGACTGTGTGTTTCAGGGGCTGCCTTGGCGCCGGTGCGACCCTGCAGAGCGCTGCAGGTACAGTACCCTAGCTCGCCTAAGAAAGGGAACCCGCAGGGGTCTCAGGGGGCTAGCCGAGCTTGGAATTGAGTGTGCGTGTGTGAGAGAGAGCTTGTCACTATGGAGGGGCTTGAATCACTTTCAGACTTATCCACTCACAGCCAGCGGAAGGGGGAATGGCATGGAGGCATGGAGCAACCTGCATGGAGGGCATGCAAATCTCGAGATGGATCTGATCTGACCCTCTTTTCCTTCTTCGTCGTCTTCTTCTTCTTCTCCTTCTTCTCCTCCTCTGATATACATATCCGCCTCACACCCTTCCTCTCACATTCTTTGTTACTTTTCTGTTCGTTTGGTAGTGTTGTGTGTCTAGTTTTCTATTCTCTTCTTCTTCTTCTTCTTCTTCTTCTTCGTCTGATCTCCCCGCTGGTTCGATTTCTTTCGTTGTCTTTGTTGTAGCTGTGTCTATAAGGTACTATACATATCCGATCAGTCACTATGTTTTCCAACCGACTATCCACCGTCACGGTGGTGCTCGCACTCTTTTTCACTCTTTTCGTCACACTCGCTCAATCGACACCGACACCCAGAGGAGGAGAGAGGGTGAAGGGCCTCGGAGTCCCCATCAATAATGCAGACGCTTCCGACATCATCGCCAACAAGTACATTGTGGTTTACAACAATACCGCTAGCGATGAGGAGATCGAGACCTGCAGAGCCACCATTGCTACTGCTATGAAGAAGCGTAGCGTTCAGCGTGGTTTGGATGGACGGACGCTCTCGAGCCATATCGAACCATTTTCCATGGAGGGATGGAGGGGGTCGATTCTCGAGGCCGAGGATGCTATGATGTTGGAGATTGCGGATATGTCACACGTTAGTCCTGCCCAGTCTTGTCTCAAGCTTTGGCTTGTGTGGTGGGAGAGAATAAAAGAGCAGGGGGTGTAATTGAAGAAGCGAAGCTAACAGAGCTGCCCCTCCAGGTTTCTTACATCGAGGCCGACACAAAGGTCAAAATCAACGCTCTGGTATCGCAACCAGCTGCTCCAGCTGGACTGAGGCGCATTTCGCATGCCGCGGCGGGTGAGACAGGTTATATTTTCGACAACACTTCCGGAGCTGGTATTACGGCATATATTGTCGACACAGGGATCCGCACCACACATGAGGTAGGTTCTAGATCCTTGCCATACACATACAGAGAAATTCAGGAAGGAGTTGGGGAAATCGTCAGAATGGAATGGGACTGAATTGAGATCGGGAAAATAATGCTGATTTTCTTGATAGGAATATGGAGGACGTGCTATCTGGGGAGGAAACTTTGTCAACAACGTCAACACAGATGAGAACGGACATGGGAGTCACGTCGCAGGCACAGTTGGAGGAGCCACTTTCGGCGTAGCAAAGCAAGTCGAGCTGGTAGCCGTCAAGACTCTCGATGCAGAGGGAGCTGGTTCAAACTCCGGCGTCATTGCAGGTCTTCAATTCGGTATGCTCTCTCTCCCTTCCCTCATTTCTCCTCCCAAATCACATCCGTATCCCAAACCCCAAAGTCCCAATTCCAATTCCAACCCAACACAAATTGTCAGGACACAGCTAATTTCTCCCCCACAGTCCTCAACAACGCCACCGCCCGCGGCCTCGCCGGTAAAGCCGTAATGAACATGTCCATCGGCGGCTCCAAGTCCGCCGCCCTCAACTCCGCCGTCGCAGCACTCACCCGCGCCGGCGTGACCGTCGTCGTCGCAGCCGGAAACGAGAACCAGGACGCCGCCAACGTATCACCCGCCTCGGCCCCAACCGCCATCACTGTCGGCGCCGTGGACGCCAACGACGCCAAGGCATCCTTCTCGAATTTCGGTCCTGATGTGGATATTTTTGCTTCGGGCGTCAAGGTGCAGAGTGTGGGCATTACGAGCGATACTGCTAGTGCGGTGTTGAGTGGGACGAGTATGGGTATGTTTTTCTCTTCCTTTCCTTTCCTTTCCTCTCCTTTGCTTTTCCTCTCCTCCTTCCTCTCCCTCTCGCCCTCTCCTTTTGCAAGTCCAAATGAGTTGAAATAAAAATCCCAATCTAACAATCCCAACCAGCATCCCCCCACGTCGCCGGCCTCGCAGCCTACCTCATGGCCCTCGAGGGGATCACCGTCCCCGCCGAGGTCGCCGCCCGCATGAAGGCCCTCGCCCAATCAACAGGCGCCAGCGTCACTGGCGCTAATGCGGAGACGACGAAGCTTATTGCGAATAATGGGAATGGATTCTAAGCTTCTTTATTAAGAAAATCCAGGTCTTGCTGATGCGGGATACTGTTGCGTTGTGGTGCTGTGAATTTTTGTTATGTTTTGTTACTTTTTATAGAGGAGCGAAGAAGGGGCTGCATTGATTGCATGGAAGGGCGTGGCGTGGTTGAAGAGAAGAGTAAGGCATGGGAGTGGGTGATTGGTACCTGCTGTGTGGAGGGTTGGGACGAAATTGGAGGAGAGGAGCAGAGAGGCGGCGAGTGTGTAGGGTGGGGAGGGGAAGAGAGGAAGTTATATTCTGTTGTTTATGCATGCAATATACCCTTTTAGAAAGACGTTCGCGCTCTCTTCTCTCTTTCTTTCTTTCTTTCTCTCTCTTTTTCTTTTCTGGTCAAACCTGGCAGGGTCCAATACCGGATATTCAAGATTCAAGATTCCACTTCCCAATGTTCTCTTTTACTGAAGGAAAGAGCTTGGAAGGATGGTAGTGGACAAGCCTGTCTGCTAGTCAGCAAGTGCTGAAATTTCATCTCACCCCATCATCTTGAGTTTCTCTTTCGATTTCACGCCTGCATTCCATACCATCCTACTGTATCAACGGACGTTATTCGGGCAAAGTAACAATTTTCAGTAGAACAGCTTGGAAAATCTGCAGAGAAGAGTAACAAGGTTCATCGCTGGGATCACATGTTTTGTTTTGATTTGTTCTGGGCAAAGAGAGGAAGATTCGCTTATTTCCACGAAGTTCTTCTATTTTAATCGCTACTTTTTTCCCTTGAGCTGTTTCCCGTTGTTTCTGTATTTAAGTTGAGGATTTGAGGATCTTTTCGTACCTCTGGCGATGTGTTCGTGGATATTGTGAGTGCGCAGGCTGAGGGAGGGTTCTGGTGAGATTGACAAGCTCTTTGGAGCGGCATCATGAGAAACGTTCTCCACTACTTCGTCCTATTGTGGAATGTCTAGAGTGACAACTAAATTAGTAGAATTTCGGTGTGCACAGAGTGACAGAGCAACAGTGTCTGCGCAGGGAACAAGGCTCATATATGGTTCCGCTGTAAGTGAGCGAGTCCCAAAAGAATAAGTAGGTACTGGGATAGCAGGGTAGTTAGAATGTTCCATGCAACTTCTCTTCGTCCCGGTTCTCGATTACCAGCGCGGCAATGATAGGTACTTTGTTGTTGGAAGCCGACCTGCATATCTCCTGCACCTTTGTCTATTTTTGGAGGTATGTGGTACCGATCCCTTAATCTCTTTCTTTGATGTCTGTACATTCAAACAAGGAGCACTAATAATAGCCGCACTCATCATTGTTCGTTAGCAATAACAAAGTCATAGTCAATAAGAAGTATCTGTAGCTCTGATTCACACAAAGCTTCCGAGTCGCTTCAAAACGACCTCTGCCACGCCATAAATGCCAGCCTTTCCTTCTCAAACTCATTTCCAAACCGAATACTTTTAAATTTCGAAGACACAAAGAAACGAAAAGAAAACACATGCATATCTCGAAAATGCAAATCACAAACACCCTCGTAACACTTGGGCTCCTCTCCTCCGCCCAAGCAAGCAGACTCTTCGTCTCCTCGTACTCCGGCGACGTCGCGACCGTCGAACTGACCGACAAGACAAACGGAGTAGATCTCAAAGCCACATCCCTCTCTCAAGGATGCAAGTCTAGTCCTTCCTGGCTCCAATACGACAGCAAGACATCTGTACTGTACTGCGCCGGCGAAGGAAACCAGACTCCAGACAAAGCCGCTTTCACTTCTCTCAAGGTAGCAGCAGACGGCAGCCTGACTTACTTGAGTGACGTTACCACCGCGAATGGTGGCGTGAATACGCATTCATTCATTGCTGGAAAGGATAAATATATGGCTGTTGCTCATTAGTATGTTTACCCCCCCTCTCTTCTGAAACTTCAAGACTGCGAAAGCTAGAATGACTAACTATCAATCACAGTGGCGGTTCAGCAATCAGCATCATCAAAGCCACCGATCCAAAATCTCTTCAAATCACACACGCATACAGCTTTGTCTTTAACCCTCCACGCGGCCCAGATCCCGCCAAACCCATCGTCCCATTCATCCACCAGGTCGTCGTCGACCCCACAGGAGCCTTCCTCCTTGCACCAGATCTCAGTGGCGACGAAGTTCACATCTTTGGTCTACACGATGATGGACAGCTGACTGATCCTCCTGGACAGGCCAAGCTACTGTTCCCTGCTGGCAGTGGACCTAGACATCTGGCATTTTACCAGCCCGATGGTAAGAAGGGAAAAACGTATGTGTATGTCGTGATGGAGAAGACGAATATGCTGTATGGCTTTGAGGTTACGTACGCGAGCGGAGCCATGCAGTTTAAGAATGTGTATACGAAGACGATCTTTGATGGTGAAGAGTTGCCGACTGGTTCGGCGGCTGCGGAAATTACGGTCACTGTGAGTACACTCCATCTTTTCTTTCGTTACTGAACCCTTTTGATGATTGAAAACATATGCTGACAGCTCCATACAGCCAGACAACAAATTCCTCATCATCTCCTCCCGATCCGACAACCTCAACCCACCCGGACCAAACAGCCCAACTGCAACCGATACCCTCGTCACTTTCTCTCTCGACGCAACAACCGGCATCCCAAAACTCCTCCAGAAATTCTCAGCTGGAGGTAGTGCGCCAAGATCATTTGCCATCAACCGAGCCGGTGACCGCGTCGCTATCGCTCTAGCCAAATCAAACAAACTCGTCATTCTAGCTCGGGATATTAAGACTGGGAAATTCACCACACAGCTTGGAAGCTTGGATCTCGAGGCTGGGAAGGAGCCTAATTTGGTCACAAGTGTTGTGTGGGAGGAGGAAAGCGATCCCGATATTGTTGTCGCTGGGGGTGCAGCCGGAGGAGGAGGTGCAAGTTCAAGTGTTGTTAGTGGATCAGCACAAATTACTTCGACAGGTTCGTCAACACCACTTTCTAGTAGCTCTTCAAGCGGGGAGGAAATCACCCCAACAGGTACAGCAGGATCCTTGCTTCCGAGTAGTGCCTCAAGCGAGGAGGATACCACGACAGCGCAGCTCACCTCAACTGTCACGCACTCCGTGACAAAATCTGCATGTCAAGCATCTAGCCCGCCTAAGACCTCAACTCCAACTACCCTGACGAGAGAACTCTCCTCAATGATAAGCAGCGACGAGCTCGCTCCTTCAAATGCTGGAAATTCCCCATCCATGTCAACATCTCAACTAACCGCCTCGTCACCAGTAACAATCTCCGCGCCAGGATCAGTCTCCACACCAGTAACACTCTCCACACAAACACCAACACCAACACGATTCCCAACTACTACACCAGGTTCACAATCCAGCATCGTAGCAGCTCCTTCAGCTACAGGAAGTTCGTCCATCGTTTCTCAACCCGGGTATTTCGCAACGTCAGTCTCTGGCTCCGCCTCTGGCTCTCCTCCAGCCGCAAGCCCAAGCCCAAGTGTAAGTGCCAGTGCAAGTGCCGACTCCAACACAGATATCAGCAAACAATACTCCAGCACCAGCGTCATCATAGTGTCATCACAGTGTACAGCCGTCCCATCGCCGGTTCGAACGGGAGTTCCGCAAGGATGTAAAAACTACTATCAGGTGGTGAGTGGAGATACTTGTGATGGTATCTGTGAGCGGTTGAATGTTCCGACGAAGATGTTTAGGGAGTTGAATACGGGGGTTGGTGAGGATTGTACGGATTTGGAGGTTGGTGAGTGGGTTTGTATTTCGGCTTGAGGGGCAGGGCTAGGGGTGGGTGAGGAGGTGGTGATGGATTAAGGGGAGAGGAGGGTGAGCGTTGGATAGTGGCAATATAAAAGCGATAAAGAATTGACTGTATGATCTGGCAGCTAAGTCGGTGCTTTGGACTTTTGTTGGTGGAATTAAACGTGGAGTTTGTATTAGAAATTATAACATGCCTGAGCAGTGAGTATCAACATAGAAATTATCCCCCCCCAGAAAGAAAACTCGATAAGTACATGGCTTAGAGAGGTCACTCGATTGATCACTTGCCGTTGTATATTTACCACTCGTTCGTGCTCAATAATCAACTTGTTAGTAGTTCTTAAGTGTAACCATCGCATAAGAAAACGATTGCATGTTTCCTAGATTTGAAACCTGAACCAATATATTGAACTCGCCTAAACTGACAATCAAAATCAGGCGTGAAGGGCCACGACTCTCAATACGTGATACTAATTGTAACTTGAACGATTTGATGGCAACGACTCTGCTTGTTACTCTTGAAGAAATATGTATAGGTTTATGAAGTCGCTGTTCTCTATGATTGCACAGTTGAGTGCACCTTCGAGTGGCTCCGGCACTATCACGTGATCGGAAAGGGTCCAAGCGACAGGCCACGCAATGTCTCACCCGAGCTGAGATCAGGTCACTGGCGCGAGCGATGTACCCCGCTCTAAGCAGAAGTCTTTATCTGTGCAGCGACACCATTGCTTGAGCCCCCTCTAAGGATAAAGTAACAAGTCTCAAGGTATCGTTGGCACTGCATCTCGCTGCGGAGGCTTTAAAGCCCACCTGCAAACCCGTTGAGGGCGGCATTTTGGCGCTTTTAGTGTCCGCGATTAGCGTAACGACTATCACGATCACGGGAGCCTCGGGGATTCGAATCCTTCAGCCACAAAACCTGGATGTGTACATGTCAGCATTCAAAAGACTCAATTTCGACAAAACGTCGACGTATCGTGATTCAGCCTGTCCGGCTCATGTTTAGTTCATAGGTAGCTGATGGGTTGTAACCAAGTACGATATTTCAAGCCTTGAGGACATGGCAAGTCAGGCTGCTGAAAGATGTCGGTAAGTTTAGTCCAGCCTGATGAGGTGATGCAACGCTAAACATGTTTAGAACCTGTCAGGTATGAGAAAATCCTCACTTCAGAGTGTCTGGAATAACGGTGAATGTAGAAGCGGAAGGTGAGGTGTGGGAGGGAGCAGCCCATTTGCTTCAACTGCAAGAGATTGGGCCTCACATGCGAGAAGCCATTGAAATTTCGATGGAGAGATCAGACGATGTCAAGTGAGTGTAGGTCCTCGATTTTCGAATTATTGCTGATAGTTACAGCACGAATATCGATGTCGGGAACAACGTCGGAGAAAAGCTCCGTCTGGGATCCCGAAACAGATGGTCGGTCTACTGGAGGTGACTTCCCGGAAGATTTGTTAGAGAGTGTGGAAAGCCCACAGGATACTGGTACGTCCTGTTCTGTCTGTTCCATTAATAAGCTGATCTTATAGGAAATCGCTTCGTGAATACAACTCCGGATAACTATCTTGAAATGTACCAGTCTAGCCACCATCTCAGAGCAACAAGCAGCGTTGGATCTGTGCAAACTATTCCAGCAGGGAGTGTAAAGCTGGAAAGATTCGAGGATTACGCTGTGAGCCCGAGTTCTTCTCGGAGAACGTCCATCATGAAAATCGAGCCTTCGGTTACGGCAAGGTCTGTTGCGAGTCAGAGCACAGGAATGAGTTTGGCAAAACGATTTAAACAAACTCTCGATCCCACGTGGGGAAGCACCAAAGTGGCCCGGCCGTCTATGTTTGATCAAGCTTTTGTTCATTCTCGAGATTTACAGTGAGTACTCAGCATCTGCCGTGGCTATCAGATACGTGAGAATGCTGAACTTTCCAGGTATTACAATCACTACCGGGCAGTGTTCGTATATAGGTGAGAAACATTCTGCCAACTGACTGGAATCATGCTAATTAGAGTAGTATTCAGGTCCACAGCAAATTTCCAAGTGACATACGGCCCTTTTGTCACGCGGAAGATGAAACGGAAGACCCATTTGAACGAGCGGCGGCCAGCTTCAATCCTGTAAGATATTGCCGACATCATTAGTACGAAACTGACTTTCTAGCTCTATTACGCGATTTTAGCCTTATCTGCTTTGTCAATGGCACATCGAGAACGACTTGATCGAGTTGATTCGCTCCGATACTATCAACTTGCCATTGAAGGATTACAACAGCAGAGTACTCTTGAATCCGTGAACATGATCTACACACATTATTTCCTCCTGCTGTAAGTTACCTGTACAAACAAGGAACTCTACTGACCAAACAGATACGAAGTTGCAGCCTGTGAACGGCGGACGAATCTCGAGCTTGGACATCTTGCTCAATTATCCCGGCTCATGGCCTGGTACTTTACTACGCTTGCAACGAACCCCGATTACGTATTCCGAGATCAAGCCTGTCGGCAGTGTACAGACATCGCGATGATGTGTGTGCCGATTGTCAGTTTGTACTGTGATATGCATAGCTTGACGATGCAGCGGCAGAAATTCACTATCATCCCAGATGTGATGGTCACTGGGTTTCTGAATGCCGTTGATTCAGAAACCGGGAACCCACAGCTTGAGGCGAGATTTACGGATGCTGATCTCACGCGCAAGATTATAGAACTCAATGTATTGGGAGGATGTATGTGCACAGAGCATTCGACGCTCCTCGCAAAGTCTCAGAGCTGATTTTTGTGTAGGGACACATCGAGTCGTTCGGCAGACGATCGAAAGCGTGAACAGTGGCGAAATTACACAGTTATCCGAACTGGAACCAAAATTTATAGAATTGAAAGAGAAGGTAAAAGCACTGGATGACTGGTGTTCTCGATATGCCCCGCAGGTACCAGTTGGCATTTACGACGAAGTCTATGCAAGCATGCCATTACATTGCCAGACAACATTTGATTCTGTAAGTCTTCTGCAGTTCCATCACCTTTTGAAGTAACTAAATCTCCCAGGCGCAATACATAGCTCGCGAGCTTCAGATATTCATGCATACCTCAATTTTCCCCGGGCAGAGAAAGCAGCTCACAAAACCGCGAGAGGAATACATACAATACCTCGCACGGGAGATACTTTACTTGACTAGACCGAGGTGGGGCGAGACTCGACAGATTGCTGCTAGTAACCTGGTGGCGATTTTTATTTGTGGGACTGTCGTTACGGCGAGTGGGGAGAAGGAGGAGGTGTTGAAAGTGCTGGAGACGATGGGTGCGGATGCCAGTGGAAGGAATTTCGTAAGGGCGTCTGATGCTCTGAAAGAGTTGTTTAGAGAGCAGGAGAGGGTGACAGGAAGAGGGGGAGATGAGAGGGGGGTGGATTGGTTTGTGTATTTGAGAGATAAAGGGTTGTTGGATTTTTCGTTGTTTGGGATTTAGCGAGTATCTGATGAAGCTTGTCTTAAAGTAATATTTATTGCATCTGGATGTGCGATTTGCAGCCAGTACTTAGATCCTGCCACAGTACTGAAATTCTTTTGATCACCGAGCAGTGTCCGCAACTGTAACTTTCAGCAATAATAGCACTGAGCTTGTTATCAGTCACGAGTGGTACGAGAATTACTAGACTGAAATAAAGGCGAGGTCAAGTAGTTTGATAATGTAACATTCGTAGAATATCTAATTATAAGTATGTGAAGTTGATGGCATACAAGGCTGGTGAAGTAAGCTCTGAACGCTAAAGATAGTACAGTACGCGCAGTCAACTCAGGGCTGCACAGCCGTTACTTCGTTACGTTAAGCGAGAGCAGCCATAACCTCAGTGAAGCCCAGCCCAACGGCCATCCACCTTCACCAATCCCTGCTTACCTGTAAACACGACATCTTTGATATTCATGATTTCCTCGCGTCGTATATTCTTGCGGCTAGGAACGCTGGTCTTGGATAGACCTTGCCCTATCTTATATTCCTTCTCATATCGCGCAGGTCGCGTCACGTTGCGCTCCCTATCGTCCCTAGCCACCCCTGCGTCGTTTGAAGAAGAGAGGGAGGTGGACTTCGAAAAATTCTACCCAATGACCTTGGGCGAAGTCATCAATGAGAAATACAAAGTCATGGCTAAACTTGGCTTCGGGTCAGCAAGCACGATATGGTGTTGTCGTAATCTGGTGTGAGTGAAACCCCAGCGGGGTGATGCAGAAAGATCAGAAAGATTCGACGTTAACGAGATATACCAGCACGAATAAATATGCCGCATTGAAAATCTACGCCCACGATCTGGTTTCAGAAGATGATATTGACAACGAAACTGCAATTTACAAACATCTCAGTTCCACGGGCAACCCTGACCATCCTGGCAGGACGTATGTCCGCACCATTCAGGATTCCTTCTTCGTCACGAGCAGAGCGGGGAACCCGCATCACTGCTTAGTTCACGAGGTCCTTTCGAACGATATATTGACCCTCCGGTATGCTCACCCAGATCGTAAACTGCCCGAAGCCATGTTGAAGCAATTTTTGATTCATTTACTGCTCGCTCTTGATTTCTTGCATAGCGAGTGCCACATCATTCATACAGGTCAGGTCGCCCTTCTCAGTATCTCTTGAACACCATTGACAGGGTAATAGATATTAAGGAAGAGAATATTTTGCTTGGTTTGATCGATTCATCGATCTTGGAACAGCTGGACACGAAAGAAGTCGCGACATCGAGCCTGTACAACAGTGTCAGGGGGTACAATCTCTACCGCAGCGCAAACTTCGGCATTCCAAAAAAGTTTGGCCGTCCAATCCTGTGTGACTTCTCTCTCGCTCGAAACGTACAGGTCGCGCACTCCCACGACATCCAGCCGGATCCCTACCGGGCTCCGGAAGTCATTCTAGAAATGCCGTGGGGCTATGCTGTGGATGTATGGAATGTCGGAGTTATGGTGCGAGCCCTTCTGCATGTGCTGAGAACATGAAACTAAGATGATTCCCTAGGTCTGGGATATGTTTGAGAATAGACGCATGTTCGATGGTACCGACTCCAAGACTGGCCAGTATGAGAACCGCTTTCACCTTGCCAGTATAGTTGGTCTTCTGGGGCCTCCTCCCCTCGAGTTTCTACAGCGAAGCAAGTATAGTTCCGTGTATTTCGATGACAGAGGTAAGTATTTGGTTCCGAAGATCCATATTCGCCAGTCTAATGCGTACGCGATAGGTAACTGGAAGTGTCTGAATCCTATTGTACAAGTGTCCTGGGAAGACTCTCAGAAGAATCCTAAGGTTTCTGATAAGCAAGGGTTTCTCAATTTCGTCCGTAGAATGGTCAGATGGACGCCAGAATCCAGAGCGTCGGCTGCTGAGCTGTTAGAAGACCCGTGGCTTCTTAGTGATGTGGAGGAGTAGGATTTGGTCTTGGTTTGGAAATGTAGGCAGCTACTGGTAGTGTCGATGTCCCCAAAGACAGATTATGGAACAAGGCTATAATTTATTCGTAATCAGAGTCTTGAAAGAAAGACTTAATTCTAGTTCCACTAAAATCCATGGGTCACTACCCTCGACTCATGTGCAGCGCGGAGACAGTCAATAATATGTATAAAGTAAGCACTCCATTTCTGTACCATCTACCTATCATATTGATAGCAACTATACACATAATTGGAAGCTATAATGAATTCTTCAAGTCCATTGGTGAGGAGACTTTGGTTTATGGAGAGGCAGTCATGACATCGTCGATTGGAGGAAATTTCATCAATAGTTTTGAACTGCCTTGAGCATTCCGGTACTTATGGTACCACAGTATGTGGTGTCAGCCACTCGTCAAAGAAAATCTTTCTGATCCTGGTGTAGTTTCTACGACCTTGGAGGTACAACCTTTGTTTGAGAATGCTCGACAGACAGCTCTGCCTTGCTTTATTCAAGGGCTAGTCTGACCATCTCGCCGGAATAGTTGCGCGTTAGACTTCAGATATCCAGGCGAATACCAATGAAGCCCTACACTCCGATCGGTACAGGTAGTGGGTTCTTTCCTGAAGATTCAAGTCGAACTAGTCATCTTGGGAAAATAGACGATTGAACTAATCCTTCTGCATCCCATAATCAAATCACAAATGCGATTCCTGTGCCCATGCACTGCTGCCTGACGATTTGCCTATATCACGAACTCAAAGGCAACGGCTGCGGGGATTTCCCAAACTCCATCTGAGAGCTGAGTTCTGGTAGTATCTAGACTTTGATGACCGTTCCAAGCCCCTCTCCCCTTTTCACCTAGCCATCCTAATGCTGTCTTCCTTTTCCCAACTCTAGCTCCGTTGTCGCTCCAAATGTTGGTTTTTGTTGTTTTGGTCGTGTATATGTTGGACTTCCTCTACAATTTTATTTAATAATGGGTCTACATTGAGTTCAAGTATGGATCATTTAGGTGCGCGAATGATTCTCTCGCGCCAAATCCTGTCCCATTCAACCTCTGATGGGGGACAATCTTAATCGTTGTCACGATCAACAATACAATGTACCATTCGGCGACAGCGACGAAGAGCGGAAGGCCAAGAAAAAACCCTCCGTCATCCAGACTCTCATTGAAGGCACGTGCCAGAGCCCAGGCATTAAAAAAGCCACCTCCAATCATATCTATGTAGAATATCAGGATGTAAAGGCTACTGATGTCTTCACGTTGTATATTCTTGGTCAGAGATAGTTCGCTTCGAGCTGCCATGCGAAAACCTTGACCAGCGGCACAGAACACAAACCCTGAAATGGATGTAAGCAAGTGATTCCGAAATTGGGAGCAAGCTAACTTACCAACCATTACCACCTCCCAGCTTTGAGCTATCCCCATGAGAAGCAGCCCTACCATCGAACACGAGGCACAGAAGCAGCAAACATTAAGATTATCCCAACCTGTCGGGAAAAGATATATCAGTGCTAGGGGTGGTAAGTTGACGAGATTGCTCAATGATTGTATTTTGGATGCCTATAGAAATTAGATTGTGTGATCTTCAATTGTTATCTCACACTCACATCTTTGAGGCTCATTCCGAATTTCCTTGTCAGGACTTGCAGTAAAGTGCTCCCTGACATCAGCTGTCCGAATACATTGGTGAAGGAGAAAGTCAAGATTAAGAAGAAGACTTTTGGTGATGTGAAAAGGACACGGAGAGTGCTGAACCGAGTGCGCAGAGTTCTAACGACGAAATGACCATTGTTGTGTTGTCGTGGGGCTTCAAAAGGCATCTTCCAATTGAGAGCTGCAAATGCGAGAGCCAAGGAACCGATTGCTAGAGTCAAAGGATACCAAATACATTTATCCATCAAATATGCGGAAGCCATTTTGGCCAGAAAATTGGGTATCAAGACAACCATCTGCCCAAGAGTAAGCTTCGAGAGTCTGCGTCAATTGCTTGTTAACATGGAACATTCTGGGGATTCAGTCACTGCAAAGTTCGTACCTTCGATCCTCTGGGGTAACAGAGGTGAGAAGCATGAAAAGTATTTCTATACGCATGTAAGGTCCAGAAGCAACTATAACAGTAAGTGAAGAAACCCATGTCCATTCCACCGAAAGCAGGCGGGTTCCTACTTCAGCATTGTTAGTAAGACAAAAGAATAAACTTGTATGAGATTAATCGAAGCCGCCTACATATTAAGTAAATCCATAGCTGTCCTAGGATATGGAAGAATAAATTCAGCTGGAGCATTCGAATCATGCCCCATTTTCGAAGACGTGAGGGTATGTAAACGCTTGCAACAAGAGCTAGATTGTGAGCGATGCGTACGTAGGTAGGATTCCCATGAACTTACAGAGAGCAGTGTCGAGGTTTACTTGTTTAGACGTGACGGAAGCGAGCTTTTTTTGAACGGGGATAGAATTGGTTATGCAATGCTTCCTCCCTGAAATCATGTTGGAAAGACCAGCTGGTTTGGCCAAGTCGCTACAGATGAAGTCTTCGTATAACTGTAAGAGAGGAGCTTCCGAGAACTGATATGACACGCTAACAAGTATCATAACTCCAAAGCAGCATATATTGGTGGAGAGATTATCGGGCGCTGCGGTGGTGGAAGCCGTTGGCAAATTTGACGCAAGAATGGGCTCATCAACTGTGTGATTCCTTCCTGGATCTCGCGGTCTCATGACTGGGTAAGACACAATCACCTGGATGACTTATGACATTTTTAGAGCACGCTTTCCATCATCTTCGGTGCTTGCAAAAAATAGATGCTTCATCAAAGGTACACAGCAATGTACAGAAGTATTTACAGAAATAGATTTCGGGTGTGCCAGTTCTCAAAAAGAATGAGATCCTAGGCGAGCCCTTACGCACCCTTGTCTTTTTTGGACTCTGCATTTGCCACAGGGTACTTCGGTGAGTGGTTCAATACCAGGATTTCAAGATCCATTCCCTGTCAGCTCTTCAGAAGTTCGTTGTGATTCTGACCTGTCGTCTCCTCGAAACTTATTGGCATGCGGAACTTTTCTTTTTCGGGGGCAACAGTCCTATCATAGATCGCACTAGTACAATTGCGACACTGTCACATAAATAGCGCTGCATCGTCCTCAGCCAAGTGGCGATTGTTTCATGAGTGAGAGTCCAGGCATGCTGTCACAGCCTTATCTCATCAAATGTCCAAGAAATTCCATTCAGTACGGAGCAGCCATATGCCTCGAAGGTGCTTGCTGTTGGGACACTAAAAGTAGCAACCAATGTGCTTTAGTTGTGTATGTAAGGTTTCATGTAATGAGAATCAGATACTTTTTAGATTGAAGAGAGATTATACAAGCAGATCTGTGCTCCACGACCTGAAAGACGATCGCAAGAGAGCCTACAGACTTTGAGGCTGTGACTGGACAATGCTGAACCTTGAGCTCTCTCAATTAGTCCGGTAAGATGTACAAGGCTGGTCGTTCTGCCTTGTCAAGTTGCCTTTAGGCAATATTGTTGGTCATGGGGGAATATTGGGCACCTATGATGACCCCAGATCTGGTGTGCGCTGGCTGGGGCTGCCCACTCGTCAAGAGAACGAGGCTCAAATTTATTGCCATGTTCTTTGCGGGGCTGGCAATACTTTACCAACAAAGACAGATTCTAGACCTATATTGTACCATTTCACATGTACCTAGCCTGGGTACAATCGACTTGTTTCTGGCACTACTCCCATCTCTCTGCAGTGATGTCTAGTTCTACTGGTCGAAAGAGTGATAGATCCAGAAGGAGAAACCAGGAAGAAGATGGCGAGGACGGCAGAAACAGAGACATTACGCCCCGTGGATTTGGTCACAATCCAGCAACCTGCTCCAACATGGAAGGTTTGGGAGAATGCGTTCAGCAGTGTCATCTGGATGACTGCAGAAGTGCTTCTGTGGGCGAATGGGATGATTACAGAGGCTCGACCAGCGAAAATGCTACGATATCAAGCTCATCATCTTCATGGGGGAATTGGAAATGGGCGACTGCTGAACCAAGAGGATATTGGTGGAGATCGAAAGAAAACGAACGGAATGAAGTCGAATATGAATACGACTCAGAATCTGAGGGCCCCAACACCGAGCCGGTTGCATCTTCGTCTCGCTACTTTACAATTGCTCAGGCCCAGGAATTAACCTCAAGCCAGATCTCCTGGCACTCAAATTATACTCAGAGTGCTGGGCCACACCAGATCGACCAGAACTGCGACAATGTGGCATCTAGGAAATATTATGCCGAGCGAAGTTCCAATCCCGTTTCTAAGCAAAGAGTTTCATACAACACAAGTCAACGCGGGACAAAGCCCTACCCAGCTGTCCCGTCTCAGGGATTTTACTTGGGACGGACAGTCTTTTCTGACAACGAGGAATCACCCGAGGACCATTTCAACTCCACAGGTGAGGGAAGCGAGAGCATGTCAACTAATATCTCTGGATCCGACTTTACGCAACCACCTCAATTACCCCCAATGTCCATACCCCCACCGATCATTTGCGGTTGTGACGCAAGAGACAATCTTTGTGGTGTCTTGATATTCCCCTCCCGGCCAAAACCAAAGGATGGGAAGATCAGCTCGAAGAGGAGTACAAGCAAGGCAGGATCAAGCTCAGCATTTGATTCAGGAGAATCGAGATCAGGATCTGGTAAACTTTCTGCGATGGATTTCAGGGCCCAAATGGTTCAGGATGTGGTCCGATTATCATGCCTGGGATCACTCCATCCCCAAGGCCTCGACCTCCACTCGGGAGTAATTCTAGGAGGGACTGGAGTGATTACGAGGACGATATTCGCAGATGGGAAGAAGGTTACCAGGATTGGAAGAACATCACTTGTCGCTGTCGTCGCGGGTATTTTGATGAAGATGGGCGGTGGGTATCTGGAGAAAAAGTTCGGGAAGGGACGATGCTTCCAAACCCACGTTGGGAGTCCAACGACGGCTTTGCGCCAGATGTGAGATCAATCAGGAAAAGTACCAAGTAAGATTGTTTGATAGAACCTACAGGTACTAGCAATATTATAGTTAGAATTCAATCAATAATGCTCGTGTAAACCAGGGTTTGTTAACTAATAATGGCTCAAGCCTATTGGGTTGCAAGTCACAGGCATTCCAATTTTGGTTCGTAGGAAACCAATAAGCTCAAATTCCAAGCAACCGTCTGTATAAAAATAAGACTCGACGCCGTTGATTTATTCTTCTGTATGTTTTTAATTTCCTATGGAACATACGAGTAGTAGCACAGTTAACAAAGTGCTGTCGCTGGAAGGCTGCACGTCCCACCGAAACTCTCCTGGTAGAATGGCAAAATGGCTTCATGGAATGCGGAACTGGAGAATGTGGCTGAATCACAGGTTATCCATTGGGGCCAGCGTCCTTGCTGCTGTGCAACCCACCTGTCCAGCTTTCAAAAAGTGAGGCGAACGGAACGCTGAGAATTTGCAAGCTTTCGTGCCCACGTTGGCTTCTGCCTCGTTTGCCTCGATCACCTCGAAGGTGATAGAGCCATCAATTGGAAAGTCATGGATTTTGCTGCCCAAGTTGTGCCTGATGAACATTGTATGGACGCCCAAGGCTCATTTCGTCTGATGATGGTAAAATTGCCTCATGATAAAAGGACAGGCCCTCAAACAATGGCCTTGTCGTTGAATAGGGAGAAGGAGCTGAAGATCCCGAAGTGTAAAGCAAAAATATCGATCACATGGCGTCCACTGAAGTGGGAGCCTGCATGGGCAGCGTCTCTGGTGTATCTCTCCCCACACCGATCAGCATGGGTATTGAAGTCAGAGCCCCAGCCCATATCAGATCCACGGCGGGCATTGGTCCCTGCTGTTACTGACCTCACCCAGCTGTTTAACCAACAACTCACCTCTGACCCCAGGAAGAGAATCGGAAATACGTCGACCTCGAACATCCAGCATATGCCATGTAAACTCGAGGATCTTCTGAAGACAGTTGTCAGCCTCACCGAAACTCACAAGAAAAACCGAACAGTAGCCCAATCAAGAATCGAGACAGCTTTGATAGCCATCAGTTCGCATGCTAAGGCTATTGATGTGCTCATCCAACAGCAACCTGACATTACAGCGGTTGTATGGGGAGCTTTTCGATTTCTTATCGGCGTATGTAAACAATTCAACTGGTGCCTTGTAGGATCAGGTAGTGGAGGTTTCCATGACTGATACAAGAGAAAATTAGATCGCCGCAAAAGAAATAGAGGGCTCGGAGAAGATCAACGAGGCTCTGGTATCCATCGTCGCAAACCTTGAGCGCTGGAATAAATACATCGAACTCTTTGATGAATTTGAAGGTGTACGGAAAGCCGCAGCTCGACTTTTTAGTCAGATAATAAATTTCTTGGTCCGAGCGAGGATTTACTACCAAAAATCTCGTGCTGGTGAGGCAGAACTCATTCTTTGGCCCCTATTTAGAACACTACTAAATTGGCCCCAGCACGTCATATCAAGATTGCTTTCAGCACTTGGTCTGAAAAATACAAGAACATCATGAATCTCATCAACCAGGAGTCTATTTCCCTAGAGCGCGAAACCGCCCTTGCATTTAAATTCAGCAAGTCTTTTATTGTAAGCGTCAGAATTTGAGATTGCTAATAGTCATTTGCTCAGGATATCTCCGAGATCAGAAAGGTATGCCTAGCAAGCAGTCGTTTAAGCATCGGTTAATTTTAAAAAGTCCAAGAGACTCGTTTTGCGCTGGAACAAGCCGAGGCCTCCAAGCAAGAAGCCTTTCGTGAAGGTCAAGCAAACCCATTTTAGCGTCTGCGCTCGTGTAACTGAACCTGATGTAGAAAGCTCCGCAAGGACCCGCGAGACACAACTGAACGTGGAAAAGGCCACAGCAAATCTTCGCAATTTCCAAGGAGGTAGGTATTTCTGGTAGAGGCATCTAACTTATTCGCTGAATATTGCTAGATACTGAAAAATACCGACAATCGGCCGCTTTGCAATGGTTATCTCAAACCCAACACCCACGTCCTACCACATCTGTGGAAGAAGGTACATATGTGTGGATCCTTCAACGTGAGGAATGGAAGAGTTGGAAAAATGACGTGTACTCAAAGCCACTGTGCATATTGGGCTCTCCTGGTAGCTTTACGCCATCTTAAAATGTTTCCGAGCTAATCATAATGTCGTAGGAGCTGGGAAGTCTATCTTAGCTCGACATCTCTGTAACACTTCTGAAACAGAGATTACGGTTTCATACTTCTTTTGGAGCGTCATCAGTGATGATCTCGCAAAGCCCACTCCATTTGCTGCTGCTATGCTCTATAACTTGCTACAGCACGAAATCGTCAAGTCAACTGACGACTATACAACTACCATCAAACAGATAACAGCCTTATTTTCTTCACAAAAGCGTGTGAACGATGTTCCATTTCACAAGTTATGGGACATATTTCAATCACTAGTGAGAGCTGTCCCCGAAGTAATGATTATCATTGATGGTTTGGACGAATGCGATGGAGATACCAGGGCTGAACTCGGCTCAGCTATTATTGCGCTCTCCTCACTACCAAATACCAGAGTGGTTGTTTTGTTTCGACATCACAGACAATTGGAGACTCTCTTTCAGAATGCTTTCAAGATTGAGCTTACACCAGCTTCAAGTATGAATGACATTGATCTTTATGTGAAGGCAGAGATCCGACGTCATCCCCAGAAATTGGGACCGCTGAAAAAGGAAATTCTTGAAACTGTGTCGAGATCAGCAAACGGAATGTTCTTGTGGACATCCATGCTCGTCGACGAGCTCAAAGATGCAGAAACGTTGAACATACAACGCCAGTGCCTGAAAAGCGTTCCACCGGACTTATACACCTTTTACTCAAGGATTCTCCAGAAAGCAGGATTGAAGTTACATTCAAAGTCGCTCAGAAGAGAGATTTTTCTCATCCTAGTCGGTCTTCGTCAAGCTCTGAGATGTCAAGAGATCTCATTTGTGCTAAGCTTGATGCACGAGACCGTGTCAACGGTGGACAATCACAACGCTCTGATCGAGTCAGATGAGGCATTGTCGCAGGTTTGTGGCCATCTGGTGCGTATATCAGACGGCCGAATACACCTGATGCACCAAACTGTCAAGGATTTTTTGCTTTGTCAGGGGGATCGATCGACACAAGTAACCCAAGATGAAGCCGAAGCCTACCTTGCCTTCAAGTGCCTTGCGGCGTTGTCACAAGACGAGTATCGCTCGCTAAACCACATTTCAATTCTCATCCGGCAGAACGTTTCTGCAGCTGCGGTAAAAGAGGAAGACAAATACTTCTATCAGTATGCCGCAACACATTGGTATGGGCATTTGATCGCAGTTCAAAATCCAGAGCCTCGGCTTGTACAACTTGCCGCATCTTTTCTGCGAGGCAATGAATTCGTGTCCTGGTCGGAATTTGTGTATCATCTAAGCGGATCTCAAGGAATAGCGCTAGAAGTGGCGTCGAAATTGAGAAGTTGGAAAGCCGGGCTAGATGATGAAGTGAGAAATATGCTTCCACTTGGAATCTATTTCGCAGGACCCTATCGTGCCGCAGCTGATGGTTTCGACGAAAATGCTGGCGATAAAACCTTACCATTTCTGACTCTCTATCAGCTAGGGGAGTTTTTGAATCTTTCAACTAGAATCAAGGAGGCATTCCAAGTCAAGAAAACCGTTGCTGAAGGACTGGCCAAACTGCTAGGAGAACGAAATCCACTATCATTGAAAGCGGAGTCGGCGTTTGCTCTCGAGTATCTCGGGCAGAGACGATTTCCAGAAGCGGAAGCAACCTTTGGAAGACTTGCCCAGATTCAACGTGAAGTGATTGGAACTGACTGCCCTGATTGTTTTCAGAGTTTACAACGACAAGGCATGGCTGAGCTTTGGATGACCAAGTTTACTGACGCGGATTCAAACCTTACGGAATCTCTCCAAGGGCTGCTCAGTACCACGGGGCCGCAGAGCTTTCTGTATCTCATGTCGCAACTTACTTTGGGACAAGTCTTGGAATACACCGGAGAAGTGAGACGAGCAGTGTTGGACTATGAGCACGTTTGGAGATATCGCAAATCAACTCTGGGCGCAGACAACCCCATGGCTGTATGGGCACAGTGTGCAATGGTATCAGGATTTCGGAAATTGAGGCGTTACGAGGAAGCAGAAAATGCCGTCGTTGAAGTCATCGATGCCAGAACCAGGACTCTGGGTCCAAGAACAGCGTCAACAGTAGACGCAGTCATCCAACGCCTTGTGCTTTTCCTTGACTCTGAGAGGTTCTCTGAAGCTTTAGAAATGGCAGACTTCATTCTTGATGGGAACTTGGTGGACGAATGGTTCGAGCGCACTTGCCAAGTCGAGCATGTACGGGCCATGTTAGAGCTTTTCACGGGAAATATCGACGTTGCAATCGATATCCTGGAGACTTCGGTGGACGAAGCACTGAAAAGAAACGAGGATGGAAGAGTAAGATCGATATTGTGGGTTAGGCTGGACCTTGCAACACTATTGCGTAGAAAAGGAAGGGACAACGATGCCTTGATGCTATTCGACGACATTGTCACGAGGATAGTTAGCGAGTCAAGTAACAGCGTGCCGGTTTCAACCTGGGAACTTACTCAATCTCCACATGATCTGCAGATTGCAGAGCAGGCTCTGAGACTGGTAAGAGACATCAAAATCTATGAAGCTGAGGCATTGTTGAAGCAGAACGAGTTGAAATGGGCCAGACAGGAAGACTTTTGGATTTTGGACGGAAGTCCACCAGCGGACACGGCATATATGAAGAGGCCGTAGAACGGTGCTGGATGCGTCGAGATAGTTAAGGGGTACTCTCACTGCCAGAATCGTGGCTAGAAATTGGATTTATTGGCTATTATGTTTCAAAGAGAGGGACAACAACTACCCAGACTAGCAATACAATCATGACGCAAGTCGCCGATGAATCATTGGAGTGACTTCAAAGCCAACCTGGAACTCCGGACTAAACTTTAATCAGGGAGATCCAGTAAGAGGACCACGAAAATTTGGTTCGCCGCTTTAAGATATCGCCTCGTGGCCAGTGGTCACGAGTTTTGGAAATAGGCCTTGTTGAAATTGTGAGGTGGCACACATGTAGACTGAACGAAAGGCTAGAGAGGACATTTACTTTGGCACAAGAGAGATCAAGGGAAATGATTGTTCACACGCCCAATAAGTCACAGAACATATTCATACTAGTAGAAGAAAGAATCATAATATTCGCAAACTCAAGCCTAGTTACAAACCAGAACAAGCATCCCATTCAAAAACAAATCCACGTGACGACATAAAACCCGCCCAACGCCTCAATCATCCACATCCCTCGGATCATTCTCCTCCCAAAACCTCTTATAATCCTCCGAACTCTGCGTCTCAAAATGCTCAGGACACGTCAACGGCGCCAGCGGCGTCCCCGTCTGCTCAAACTTCGCCAGCCTCTCCCTCGTAATCTGCCGACTCTTATTCATACTATACACCGCGACCCTATGCGCCGAGCTCGTAACATGCAGGCCCCAATTCCACGCGGCACGAACCGTCAACGGCTGCGTATTCAGCGAGTTGTCCCAGCACCGACACACGATCTCGATCCAGCCCTCCACGTCGCACGGCAGGTCAAACTCCCACGTCCGCCACGTCCACTTGTGTTTCTTGGAGAGCTGGTCGTTCGGCACAGAGTACCAGCTGAATCCCCCGTCGGCGGACAATTCCACGCGTTCGGGCCAGCGACCACCGCCAGAGTACGCCCAACCTTTGCATCTGATGCTGCCGTTGTGGATGACGACCTGCTTGCTCCACGGCGACATGATCGCCGAACTGACCGGCATCTCCTGGATCTGGATCCCGTCCGTGGGCCGCTGGTTGTGCTTGCCGATCTGCTGGTTGAAATACAGGTACTCCTTGCTCTGCACGGGCGCCAGGGTAGGGTGCTCGATGGCTTTGATGCGGTATAGCCACTTCACGCTGCGGGCGCCGATGTACCCCAGGACGACTACGCGCAGCGGATACCCGTGGATCTTCGGGAGCGGCTCGCCGTTCATCTCCCAGGCGAGGATCACCTCGTTGGCTTTAACTTTGGACCAGGGCACGCTGACGACGTAGTTCATGGCTTGCTCGGCTTTGAAGTACGTCTCTGCGCCGTAGAGCTCGAGGTGTTTCCCGCCTTTGATGAGTCCACCGCAGTCTTTAATGACTTTCTTGAGGGAGATGCCCTTGTAGTGAGCTGTACCGATAGCGCCTTCTGCCCAGGGTGCTTGAGGAACTTCGTCGCCCTGGCCAGCGTAAAGGGCAATTTGCTCGATTCGACGGGTACCGGAGCATTGGATTGTGACGAGTTTTTCCATGCGGGGGAACTTGGACTCGTCCATTAGGTCGTCGAGGGTGTATTTCTTTGGGTTGGCGACCAGGCCGTCGAGATCGAGACTCCATTTCTCCTTCTCGATGACGGGAATTCCGCCGTGGTTTCGCACAAAGTGCAATGGGTTCGGTGTGACGGGTTTGGATGTCACGAGACGTTTGGGGGGTTCGCCGTTGTACGGGAATTGGAGGAGGTGTAACATGTCGGGATGTTTCTCTTCCAGGACGGTGGCCCAGGAGTCGTCTGAGGCGGTGGCTAGCTCGCCGCCGATGGCTGCGTGCCAGGCTTTGTAGTCGTCGCCAGGGAGGACGGGGTTCGTGTCTGGGATGGGACCCATTTGGTATTCTGGGTTGGGAGGGAAGGTTTGCGAGGTGAGGATTTTGTGGGCTTTGGCTTTCTTCTCGGGGTACTTCTCCCATTCGACATAGCTATGTAGTTGTCAATATCAATCAATCAATATATCTCACTACAATGTCAGATGGGAAGCTAGAGAGATGCATACCCTTTCCACCCATCAAGCTCCCTCTTGAACAACTCATCTCGATTCCCCACTGCATCAATAGCAGCTTGATCTTTTGTCAATTCTCCCCACACCACAGGCTGGATCTTCACAGTCTCCGATCCAGTCTGATCCAAGAACGGCAGTTTCGCTCCATTGATACCCTGCTCGATCTTCCACTCATCAGGACGATTAACTGTTTCAATGGCAGCGGCAGCCATTATGATAATTTCCTCTCTGTCACTCAGCTCAAAATATATAGTAAGAATATAAAAACCGAGAAAAGAAGTGAGCAGAACTCAGCCCTCTTCAGAAGAGGGGTAGTCCGTACCTTATCTTATACCGCCCTACCTGGGTACCTTACCTACCTGGGTACCTTACCTACCTGGGTACCTTACCTTACCTTACCTCACTCCTCCTCATCAGCTCCTCATTACCGGTCGCTCAGACACGGTTCCACAAGCAGCACGTACGGCCGCACCCATGCAGCAGCTTTCGATGAAGCCGTCATGCTATTTGGTGACTAACGCCTCATAATGCAGTGTAAGCGTGTGGGAGGTACAGGGATCGGCACCTCTCTTCCTGGCTGGTAAGCCAGTACTACCGTTTTTGGAGCTACGGGCCCGAAGATGCATGTGGATGGCATGTGGTGTGGAGGGGTTAGTTGTAGTTTTTCCTATTTGGGGTGGGGTTGGGAGTTTACAGGATGCGTGCGAGGTGGAGATCGGTTCTATGCCGTACTTGGCTTATGGCTGGGAGGATCTGGCTGGTGGCAAACTTTCCTGGTTCTTGACTTCCATTGTAAATGTCAATGGATTGCTTATTGTGGTACCTGTACTCCAGTCCCCAATGGCAGATTTTTGTGTTCCAGACTGAGTGACGATGTTAGGAGGGGCAATTCAATTGTCGCTGACATAACCGGCAGTTCCGGCATTCATAAAAATCACCTCGCTCGCTTGCTTTGCTTGCTTGCTTGATTATGCAGGCCTGCGTGAATCCCCAACCAAAGATTCCACAATTTTCAATACAACCCACTTCGTACCGTCAGCACGTCAGCGATTGTCCCTATCCAGGTCGGCCCCGAAGCTTCTTTCCGGAAAGCCTTGCGGTTCAATCCTGACTCTGGATCAAATGAGGAGGTGGAGTCGGCTCGGTTGCTCTGTTTTGGAGCCTGGACCCTTGTGTGAGTGGGCTTGATGTGATGCCGAGATTGGAGAAGAGGAGAGGGGGATTTACGTTGAGGCTGTCAGTCAAGGACTGTTGGGTAGGAAGGAGGGAGTAGTAGAAGGGAATTGAGTTTGGCCCGGGGATGGCTCCGTGAGGTGAGTTTTGGGAGGGCTTGAGTGGTGAGAGGATGGGAGGAGGGAGGGAGGGAGGAAGGGAGGACAACCGCCCCGCACTAGTGTCATTGACAACCCCGCTTCAGGTTTGTACGAGTATTACCCCTCCTCTCTTCTACAGCACTCATTTTGTGAACTCCGATTTCTTATAAAAGTATCTGGCATTGACAGGAAGAGAACAACCTGAATGCGAAATATAGAAACCAATTGGAAATACATAACTCTACCCAAACCAAGAGCCAAGCACCACCTCCCTCCCTACTTACGTACCTTCACCGTCTCTCATCCAACCTCGAAAGTTGTCAGTCCACGCAAACTCTCCAACCCGCAGATATGAAACCCAATCGTATCTTTCATCATTATCGATAGAGTTTGATACCGTCCTGTCCATGCCGTTACCGTTAGACCAGCCTCTCTACTTATCAGAGCCGTGTAAGGCTGTTTCATCGCGGGGAATGTCTCCGGTATGGTAGGCTACTTGGGTATGACATTTAATGAATGGGATCATTGGCTGGTGGGATGCGGAGGAGGCGGGGTAAGGTAATGGGTGAGCTATAAATGTATGGACCTAGATGTTAGGTCACGTAGAGTTGTGACTTCAAAAGGTGCGGGAAGAGTGAGGGGGTGGACGGGAACGTCCTATTCGAGTGGACGAGAGTATGTCGAGTCTAGCATCTATATGGTATAAAGACGTACTTCTATGTTATCAATAAGAAAGGACTGAGAAGATATTTAGAGGGAATGTCCTTCGGAAGCTCAACGTGAAGATACTTGGTCGTACCAAAGCAAGGTACAAATCAGTTAAGCGAAGCTTACCCGTTTCCTACTTCGTGGCCGAAGCGAGGTGGTGTGTTTTTGTTGAAAAAAGCATTGTCCAGTATCAACCACTGGCCAAGTAAATGGTTATACGAATATCAAAGATTTGCATCGGTAGCTTCGTATCCATTGAACTCTTACCTATCTGGTTGGTTCCCTCTTTATGTACCTTTTCTGTACGGTGCGTTGACTCGCTGGCAGATTATTAGTCCTTGTAAATGGGAAACACGAGATATACGACATATACGAGCTTTCAGGACTCGGTCTCCTTTCTCTGTCGTCATGGTTGGTGTAGCAACTGATGAGGAATGCTGAAAAATTGCAGAAAAGACTCGAAGACTGCAGCAACCATGCACGAATTCCAGCAATCCTGTGAAGCCCATCCCGTGCATCTTAGTATCACGTGATCGACACTGTTCGTGGAAGTGCCCATGGTGTGCTTCAGCCAAACCACTCCAATTCCTCGAACATCATTATTACGGCCAAAGAATAATCTTGAAGAACAAGGTAACTCTACTTCTTTTCCTCCCCTTCAAGATTTCAATCACGAGCATCCTGCTCATCCGAACTTCCCGAATTCCACGTGAAATATTCCACCCCACCACCAGCCCCGCTACCTACCCAGCCATCACCACCAACTTTTCACTGCCTCACGATACGTCCAAGATCAGCCACCACGCCGCACCATTTCCAGCCACGCCACGCATCATCAAGACTGACTTGCATTCGCGTGCAGGACGGGCTGACAGCTTCGACCAACGGCGACGGCTGATGGCTGAAGGAGGTTTGAACTAAAAATCCTGTCTTCTTGAAGAAGTGCCATACTAAAGGTCGGAGAATGCGATAAGCTTGTTTGGAGAGGAGATAAAAACAGGAAATATTCCTGCACCACCAAGAAAGCTAAGAGCGACTCCAGCAAGCTTGGTGGGTGGAAGCGCACATGCGGACATGATGATAGGAGAGGAGAGTTGGGAGGGGAAAGTATATATTGTAGAGATGACATGACGCCAATGTTTTATGTATTGGTCAGAGCAGAGTGGGCTGGGAAGAGGAAGAGGAAGAGGAAGAGGAAGAATTGAGGTTGAGCTTTAAGTCCATCTCCAAGTCTCATGTGCATGCTCCTCCTGCCTTCGAGTTTTACGATTCGATGGAGAAAGCGAGCAGTGCAGTCCTCACCCCAATCCAGTCATTCTTTCTCCCCAGCTGTCAATTGATCATCCTTACCTTGCATGACCAGCCGTCCCGTCAAAAATATCTATCTTCCTTACATCACTCTCCTCCATCTCCATCTCAACTCCATATCTCTCTCCTCCACCTCACCCGCACTTCCACCCGCACCCCTATCCACCTTGCAAAAATACATTCTCACTATCATCATCTCACCACACCCAGGCTGAAAAGTCATCGATCCCCCGTCCCAGGGCAAATAAATTTACTTAAAGACAGCGCGGCGATTCGTCAACGGTTCCTCCGTGCCGCACTTTATCCGACCTATCAGCAGCCAATCCGGTGGTGCGACCCCCGTTTTAATCTCGAACGTGCAATCTTAGCGCAGGAATTACATTCAGGGGCAAGCACCAATACCGCCGGGCCCAGAGCGAACATCCAGGGAAGGAAGGACAGGCTCGACAGGCTCAACAGGGCAGAAAGTTGGAAGGACTACTACTGTACTGCCTGGAGGAAGAAGGATTGAAGCATCATCCCAACCCTAATCATCCTCCTCCTCCTCCTCCTTCTTCTCTTCCGTACGGACGACTTCTTTCTTGTTTTGTCACTCACTACCCGCCTACCCAATTCACATTACTTCAATCCTACCCACGTCTCTCTTTTTACATCCACGACTCGACTCTCCAGCCCATACTCTTATTCTTCGATTCGACAATACATCCCCTTTCCACGGCCTCTGCGGCATCGAACTCGAATTAATCGACTAATAGCAGTAATCAACCATCATCAATCCTTCACGGTCGTTATAATTATATTTTCTTCTTCTCCATCTTCTCTTCTCTCGACACTGCCCTCGACCGCTTGTTACAGATCCCGCGCGGCTTTGGCGACGACTTTTCCATCCCGTCAACACATCAGGGGTCGTCTCATTACCAGTTGAAACAGCAGTCCGAACCTTCTTCACCGACAGCCTGGTGACAGATACGGAAACCAGACGAGACAAGCACAATTGATCAGACCGACGAGATCACCAACCGCCAAGATAGCTACCTTACAGAGAACCCTAATCAGCCCCCCAACAACGCTCTACGAAGATGCGATGACCTTCACCGAACATGCCGGCCTCCCCTCGCCCATGCCAGGCTCACCTCCCGACCTGACCGGGTCCAAGTCCTCGAAATCCTCCTCCTTCCACTCGTCCTACCAGTCCGACAACAGCATCCTCTCCGACGTGGGCAACTTCGAAGATATCGGACTGGACGACGAATCGAGGTCCGAGGCAGAGATTGGGACATTCGAGGTCAAGACCAGCAGTAATCCGTACGATGCCTCCTTCACCACAGATCTACGGAACACAGCGAACTCGAGGAAACGTGTGCCAATGTCTGCAACTAATGGCAACCGAGTGCAGCGGGAATTGACTGCTGGGAAAGGCAGACCTTCATACCCCAGCCTGCGTGGACAGGTCCGGAGTGTGACAGATGGATTGGGTCTACAACCTTTACAAAATGGCATGCGGAGGGGACTGTCAAGTCCCAGCGCACCGTCTCTGCCAATGATGAAACGAAACCGAAGTTCGAGCCCGAATATAATGCGAAATGCTAGCTATAATCTTTCTGCAACTACCCTGAAAACGAGGAGAGGGAGTTGGCAGGCTAATAGGGAGAGGAAGACTGCTCAGCAGTTGGAATTGGAGTGTGATGAGGATGATGGGGACGATGTCCCCGACGAGTGTTTCCTGGAAAATGTACCGATCTCGCCCCGACCCCTGAAGGAGCGGACGAAGAGTACGTCAACATCTGCAGCAACGAGTCCGGAAAGGCCGCCAAAGGAAAGGGTGAGGAGTGTAGGGAATGGGACATCACCAATACCTGCTGAGCAAGGAGAGTTGCGTTCTCCGAGGACAAACATGCATCGGATAGTGACCATGGGCCAAATGCCTTTTAATCATGAATTCAAGGGCAGAGCCAAGAGCTGGACTGCTGCCCTGTTGGAATTGAGTCCGGAAGCCAAAGCTTTGACAGAAGCATTAGAAGCACATGCTGAAGATGTGGAGAATGATCCCATGCAAAGGAGGAGTTTCAATACAAAGAGCAGGCCGGTTTTGGAGAAGCAGAGGGTCAAATCTGCCATTGCGGAATTACCACCTCTAAGGAGGACAGACATCATGATTGATCCCCTGCCAATCTCGAAAGAGAAGGAGGCAGTACTATCCCGGACTCGACCGTCGTGGCTCCCACCGAAGAATCCCGCAGAAGAGAAGCGCCATCTCAAGGAATACCAGAAGATGATGGCGTCTGCTCTGGAAGCAGAACGGAAGAAAGAGGCTCAGAACAAGGCAAAGACAACATGTCGAGATGATACTGCGAGTTCTCTTCTGAGGATATGGGAAGAACACGTCTTGCCAAACTGGGATGTTGTTACTGCACAAAAGAGGACAAGAGAACTCTGGTGGCGAGGAATAGCTCCTAGGAGTCGAGGCATCGTGTGGGAAAAGGCCATTGGCAATCAACTCGGTCTGTCAGATTCCTCATATACTGCTGCTCTCCGCAGAGCACAGGCTTTGGAGAAGACGATCAATCGAGGTTCCCAATTGAGTCCTGATGAAGAGAAGAAGAAGGCTTGGTTGGATAGAATCGAGAAGGATGTAGCGACCACCTACCGCGAGCTGCGGATCTTCCAACCAGATGGACCTCTTCACAGCGCACTATTGGACGTGTTGAAGGCATATGCTATGTACAGAAGCGATGTTGGATATGTACCCGGGACAAGTGTAAGCTCTCCTCTCCCTTGCCCTCATAATCTTACCTACTGACCCAACGCAGACAATAGCAGCCCTATTACTCCTCAACCTCCCCACGCCATCAGCATCCTTCTCCGCCCTCTCTAACCTCCTCAACCGCCCCCTTCCCCTCTCCTTCCACACCTCCGACTCCGGCGCCATCTCCCGCACCTACGCCCTTTTCACTTCAACACTCAAACTCAAATCCCCACGTCTAGCCAAACATCTCACTTCTCTAGAAATTCAACCCTCATCCTACCTAGCCAATATGTTCACCTCTCTCTTCACGGAGAATTTGAATCTCGATAACGCGACGCGCCTTTGGGACGTTATGGTCTTTGAGGGCGATGCGGTGCTTGTGCGTGCTGCTGTTGCGTATATGGTTGAGCTTGAAGGGAAACTATTCGGGGCGCAGAGTGAGCGGGAGGTTTGTGAGGTTGTTGGGAAGGGAATTCTGGATTTGAAGGAGGATGCTTGGATGGATGCTGTGAGGGGAGCGGGGAAGGCTTGATGAGTGAGAGTGGGTAGTAGGATTGAGGAACGAATGAGCGAGGTGCTGACTGTAGCTTCTCGAAGCTTGGAGGAAACTAGACAGTGCAGCGCAGTGCAGTCCTGATTTCTTGTATACAGCAAGCGACGAATGGATGAGATGAGATGAGATGAGGCGGAGTAACCTCCCCCTCCTGCGCCTTCACCTCCATCTAACCGCCAGATGATTGGGTGGTGTATATGTGTATATATGTCAGCTCCCTCCAATATTTCTCAATGCATGAAAGGAGCGGGAGTCTGGAGAGGATGGAGAAGATGGAGAAGATGGAGTACCTATATATATATAAGTTTGTTTGTTTTGGAGAATCGCAGCGTCGGGAGGCCGCCATGCGATGTGATTTGGAATGCTGTTGAGAGGAGAGGAGAGAGGAGAGGAGAGGAGAGGAGAGGGAGAGGAGAGGAGAAGGAGAGGAGAGGAGAAGGAGAGGAGAGGAGAAGGAGAGGAGAGGAGAGAGGGGAGGAGTTGAGAGGGGAGGTTTATATGAGTGATTGATTGATTGATTGATATAATGTATTGTATATATTTGTGTTTGTGTATATGCCTATGCCTATGTACATGTATATATTCCGTTGTTGGTTGGTGTTTATATATTCAAGTACCTTTTGAAGAGAAGAGACTCGAAATTGTTTTGCCTGAATTTTAATTTGAAATAAGCTAAGAAGATGTTAGATGTTAGATGTTCTTTGATGTTGGTGACTCGGTGGTGAGAGATTTGATTGTGATTGTGATTGGAGAGCAAAAGTAGGTAGGTATCTATTTATTTATTGACATTTTTCTTAATTCATTTCTTATCCCATTCATTCATCCATTCATTCATTCGGCTTTTTTTTCTACAGCCGATAACTTACGAGCAGAAGAACCTCGAATTCCGTCTCTCCCTCCCTCCCTCCCTCCCTGTCGTAGGAAAAAACCAAGGGCAATCAATCAATCGGACTCGCCCGCGACGACGACGAGACGTAAAATTTCCCTCTGCCCTGGCATGGGAGTAAGTTAGAGACCTAGGTGCTGTAGGAGGTTGAGCGCGCCAGCTTAGCTTAGCTTCTTCTCCAGTTCATGTTCTAGGAGGGGGAAGGCGATGAGGGGGGGTAGTTGGTGCAGGCGGGCGGGCGGGTGGTTGTCTGGGGAGCAAACACCAGCGCGCGCGGTGGCCCGGCCCGCCTGTACTAGGGATTTTGTTATTGAATGGTTTTTTAGATTGGGTTGGTTTTCTCTGATCTAGACTGGACTGGAGTGGAGTGGACCATGGTGCAGTGCAATCAATGCTTCATTTTGTGTAAGATACGTACGTCCCTGTTGTAGGTATTCTGTGTAACTTACCTATCTCGTCTCGCTTGGCCTTGGCCTGGGTAAGTATAGGTAGTCTTCCTCCCTTCTCTTCTCTTCCTCCCTTTGTTTTTTTTTTCTTCCGTTCTGTCTTCCACTCAATCAATGGAATAGGAGCAGGAGCAGGAATATCATGAAATACACAGCAGTTACTATTGGCAGTGACATTTTCCTTTTCACGTATAAAGAAACGAACAAACGAACGAACAGTACTGTACCGTACTGTTAGCTACCTAGTATATATACCAATACTTGTTCTGCATCTTCCTCTCAATTGCCGTACAGGGAGTCTAACTAATCTTATCTTATATCATTCCATATTATCTCATTTCATGCTATCTGTAATAAATAGTTTTGTTCTTGTTTTGTTTTTGTTCTGTTCTGTTTTGTATATTGTTATCTGCATGATATTGTATCGTATGGTTTGGATGGGGGTATATCCCAGTATATCCCATCTGTCGGCAACCTCAACCTGAAGCGATGGGAGGCGAGGCGAGGAGAGGAGGGTCTTTGTTGAAGAAAGAGAATATATGAACTGAGATAGGGGTTGGTGGTGGTGGAGGATGGTGGAAGATGGATTGGTGCGTGCGTAAGGTTAGGTGAGGTAAGGGCGTTCCTTAAGTATATGGAAGTGGAAGGGGAAGTTGTTGCTGACTGGGTTGCTTGCTATGTAAGAACGTTCTGGAATTGATACTGATACGAGTGTGCGGGTGTGTATCTGGCTGAGTGGAAGGGAATCAGTACGGTTGGGTAAGAACCGCAGGTGAGGGGAGGGTATGTGATTACGAAAGTAAGGAAGGATAGGAAATAAAAAGATCTTTGGAATGGAATTGTTCGTTTCTTTGTTTGTTTGGACTGCTTGATACATATGCTTCACTTTGTTTTGGCGAGCAGATCTTCCCTCCACATCAATTAAGCGAGGAGCACCAACTGCCCATGAACTTCTCCCCCTCCCGATACTAGTTCGTCCAATGTTGGGTTTAGCTAATGATTGATCACCATGTTTCAAGTTCTAATCTTCTAATTTCGGGGTTATATGTATATTTTTCTGGAAATCGGAGGAAGATGTTGATTTGTGGCACCCACGAATGTTGAGATTGGGATCCTAGGTCTGCAACAGCAGGAAATAAGTCAGTGAGTCGGTCAGTGATTTACAGGCGGATTCCTTCGTAGATTCTTCGACATATAAAACTTGAATGCAGTTTTCCATCATTTCCACCTTGGGAGATGCTTGGAGAACATACAGGTGCGGTACGGACCGTATGGTATGTCTTTATTCCGCTGATGTTGAGCAGTGGGTCGGCGGTATATCAATTCATAAGGCACAAACCTCACTATGAATACTGGTATTAAATGAGATCCGCCGAAGATAAACATTACTATTAGATTCCAATTTCTAAAGTATCACAACCACCAGCTCAATTCTGAACACAAGACTAGGCGACATATGTACAAAACTCGGAAGCTAGAGCCAAGATACCGTCTCAAACTGCAAGCTCAACCCGCAAATGACAGACATAGTACCCCTCTTCATTCTCCCTGCCTTCCCCAATCTATTCTCCTCTCACATCAGATCGAAACATAAAGCGAATAAACACACTCCTCACATCACAAAATCCACACAACTCATATACGTCTGCTTCGCCTCCTCAGAATCCCACCACCACTGCACCACACACTTCCCCGCCTCTCCACACTGCGCCCCAACATCCGGCATCGTAACATCAAACTCCGTCTGATTCTTCGGGACCTCCGTCGCCGTACTAGCATACACATCGAACCTAACCAGCATATCCCCCAGCACCTCATTGCTCGCCGTACCAACCACGCTCACGTTCGCCTTGCCCGTGTGCTTGGCCTGGATCTCGACCTTGAACGGGACGACCTGCCCGGCGGTGAACTGCTGGACATTGTTGGAGTTGTCTTCGAATTTGAGGCCTTTGCAGAGGGAGAGCTCGCAGGCGGTGGCGTCGAAGTCTTTTTGGGAGGTGCCGATTTGTTGGAGTTGTTCGATGGGGCCGAGGGCGTTGGAGTTGAGGTTGTTGAAGACTTGTTCGCCGCAGGCGGCTTTCATGGCGGGGCCGACGGTGCGGGCTTGGGGTGAGGTGACGCCTCCGTGGGAGTGGGCGAGGGTGAAGAGAAGGGAGAGGGTGATGATGGTGGTGAGGAGGTGGTTGCGCATTGTGAGATTTTCGAGTTGTGGAAAGTTGGGTTTGAAAGGTGGATGGATTGGCAAAGTTTGTGTGGAAAATTGAGTAAAGGAAGGGACTGTCTGAACTTTGAATTTTGAATGGATGGGAAACTCCGTACTGAAATAAAAGAGCGACTTGAAAATAATATCAAGCAGGAAGGGAAGACCGTCCCCGATGAGAGGGATAGGGACGAAACTATATACTCTCACATATGACCACACACGCACACACATCAAACCAAACTCTCCTTGCATGAAAGGTACAGTGGAACAGAAAATTAACACCGGATGGACGACCATGCGCTCGTCTCACCTTGCGTCACCACCTTCAACTGAAAAGAATTGTAAAGTACAGTGAGATGGTATTTGAGTTTCTTCACAACTTCTCGCACTCCCCTTATTTGATGGTTTTACTCGCTTATCGAAGCGGACCGAAAAAAATACAACGGAAGCCGAACTCAAAAGACAAGACATGCCAAGGACAGATCTGACGCAGATATCGCTGGAGATCTGGGGCATCGGGCGCCGCGATTGCGTCTGTGCATAGATGAACGTGAGGCGTGATTCGGGGTTGAAGCCTTTTCCTGAGCTGTGAATTGTTTCATGCTGGACTTTGGACGAAAGATTGGACTAGGCTGGATCGGGTGATTATGCGCGAAACATTTTGTGGGTTTTTGGGAGACTGCCTGCGAGAAACGTCGGCGGGAAAGCGATTGGTGGTATGGCCAGTCGCATCATTGGCTTGCGGTGTGTCTTTTGTGATGATAGGTATCGTCTTAATGCCAGGAGGTTGGATAATCCACGTACTGTTCATAATCGATTTGGTTTTGACATTGGTAATGCATCTGCGTCTGGTGTATTCGAGACACGAGAGTATCGGATCACCTGAAGGCCGAGTCTTCAATCGGTCATATCCAGGAGTGGATTGAGTATCTGCATAACATCCATCAATGTGAACTCGAAGCATCCAGTATATTTCGGTCTCAAGAATATCGGGTCACATGAAGCCAAATGTCTTCGGCCCAGCTTCTACCGTTTATGCATTTCAAGTCGCATGCATGTTCATTGTATTCCACCAATTCGCGTTTCCGTTTCCATTCCCATCAAAGTCATTTCTCTGATGAAAGAAACTCTCCGCCAACACGGCCAGCTCATCATCTGAGTACGTCAACGGCACCGCAGCAGCAGTCATCGGTATTGTCCCACTCTCTGTACCAGTACCAGTAATCGAACTATCCAACGGGTCAATCACATGCGTCATATTCGGTGTCAAGTTCCCGAATTCTTGCCTCTCAACACGAGTTGGCTGAGGTAGAACGGAAGTCTGAGCCATTTCTGTTCTGGAGGTTCCAGAGCCGGTGTGCAAGGAGGGACCGAAGAGTTGACGCGCTGAGCCGTGGATTTCGGACGATGAGGAGTATTCGAGTACCTCGAAGAACTGGCCGAGGTCGATTAACAACTTCCGGTTCTGACGAGTGGGTTCTTCGCTGGCGACGTAGGTCGATGAGACTGTTTCGGCTAGTCGTTGAAGCTTGTTTGCCTGCATTGTGTTAGTCGAGAAAGGAATAGGTTTGCCAACATACGATTCGGCCTAGATGAGGCCACTGTTCGCCAAATCCTCGGATGAATTTCAGGCATTTGTCGAAATTGTCTTGTTTATCTCTTCTGGTTCCTGGATCGTCGACAAAGCTCTCCTGTAAATAGATGGTGGCGATAATAGCTACACAGTGACCAAGAAACGGATCTGTGACTTTGAACGGTTTGCCTTCCAGCATATCGATGAAGTTGATAATCCAAGTTGCATGTGACGATATAAGATCTGACGTATGTTGTAGGAAGATCTCCGGAATGACACATTTGAAGTTCCGTAGACGCAGCGACAATAGTAAAGGGTGATTGAGCAGACATAGATTGGTGTGATAGAGAAACTGGATGAACAGCCAAGGCCCCCAGTAATCCCTATTCGAGTCCAGATGCTCCACTGATCTTTGTGAAAATTTCGCAGGCTCAAATCGATGCATGAAAGGCATCCGAGTCTCGAAATCCATCTGATGGGCTAATATCAAAGCATACTCAGACTGCGATGACCAAGGTGGCAAACTGTTCGGCTTGCCTCGTCGACGAGCATATCGAGTGATTTTGAACCAGACTTCGCTCAGTTGAATCGCATAAGCTACAATGCCTTTATCCGGACCTTGCTCATCCGTTCGGGCAGAACTAGATTCCTGGCCTGGAGAGAGCGGCTCGCCTGTCGTCTCGGGATACCATGGAAAGTTGTCCTCGGCAGAGAAATCGAGGATCATGAAATCGGCGCCGTGCAGTCTCTTCAGGAGAAACAGACTCCAGAAACACCTCCGTCGTTCTTCTTTTTCTTGGTCTGGCAGTTTCAGATTCGATTCTGATGTCAAGCCGGCGTTGTGGGCTAGACTCATCGCAAGGCTGCAGTTGATGCTAGCTCGTCTTGTGTGTCCATCTTTTCATGTTAGATAGGTAGTGTTTAAATGTGGAGTAGCTTGCCTGTAAAGTCAACGATGGTCAATAGACACAAGGCTTGGATAGTGGAAAGTTCGACGGCCCCCTCGAAAACTTGCTTTGAAACCATTGTCCTTGCAGCTTCAGCATATCCCGTGATGAGCTTTGCAACATTTCGAGACAAGGGATTGTCTGCAAACCTCAAAGCTATAGCAAGCATTGAGAACAACACCTCCGGCTTCCTGTTTTTCAGTGTTTGAATGAAGCTTGAGCGCTGGAACAGGGGCAGCGGCTGGCAGTCGCAATATTGAAGATAGCTCTCCGCAGCATTGATAATGACATCCCAAGAGGGAAGATATCTATACATCTTAGATTCATAGTCTCCATACGTCTGTTAAATCTTACATCTCGGATGATCTTGAGCTTGCCAAAGGATGTTGAATGGCTGTCCGTGGGGTATCCGACACTTGAACCGATGCACTCCTACTCATGGACGCCTGGTTCGCAAGAACTTCAGAGAGTTGATTCTCCAAATATCTCAGTCGGTCTTCCTATACTCGTCTCTGAGTAAAATCTTCAACCAAATTATACAAGAAGACCCACCACTCTCCCATCTCCGGCCGACGAGCTCGTAGGTCGAACTCGTCCAACCTGAGGAGAAGGCGTGACGCTCGCCCGCTCATGCTCCGCACGCTCATCTGCGTAGTAGCAATTCTGCTGCAAGCGGGCGCAGTGCGAGCAGATGGGTTTCTCGCCTGGGCACCGTGACTTCTTGCGCCTGTACTGTCGCGGTCAGCTTGTGTCCCTGTAACACGGAATGATGCGGAGCGCGGATGTACGTACCGGCACGGTTCACAGGCTTGCCGGATGCGTTTTGCTGGTCGCTCTGATGACATGATCTCCACTGCTTAGTATATATGGGCTATTTTATGCATTTTGAGGACATTGTTGTGTTCCATTAGGTTTTTGAAGTAGAATCTTTTGTTAAAGTTGGGATGTCGTTGTCGGATTAGATCCGGCCTAGCCTGTATCGGGTCAAGTTCGGGACATTTTGAGTTGACATTGACGTTGCACTGGAATATATCTAGCTATCAAAACTGTTGAAAGTACGTCTCTTAGATGAAGCCAATGGGCTTACAAGTTATATCATAACGTTTGGTGTACTTTCAATTTTGGGTTTGAAGTCTTATAAAGTTAAATGTGCCTAGGCACTGTATGCTCACAAATTCTGCGGAACAACTTTCACAGAATTTCGATCCTCCCAAGTTCTCCGCCATGATGGGTCACTTCTGCTATAAAATGACCTGTAATAGTAGAGGGATAGTAGGAACAGGCGGATAAGACCAGCTAGGATAACTTTTGGAGGGAGAAGTTAAACAACTAAGCTGCATGCCTACTACACCGCACGCCATTGACGTAGCGTCACAGAGAGCAGCAAGAAAATCAAAAGATAAGCCAGTTTTGTTTTATTATACAGACAGCATTTCCATCCTCGTCTACACATTTTTTCCGCATCCGTATGTGGACCTTCATAAGGTGCCAGTCTGGGTGTCATAGTTGTCAAAGTACGGAATTTGGCGCGGAGAAAATTCACACGCCAAGAATTTGATTTTCTTCCGCATCCGCATCCGTCTCCACTCCGTCTTCTGACCCCGCCTGCCCGCCATCTGGACAACAATCGGGATGAAACAGCGAGTCAGCCTTTACGAGTACGCAATAGCAATGCATTAACAGGATCCGAGATTCCCGATGGCTGTGTGGATGCCGCATTCTCATAACCTAATCGAACTTCAATCATTGTTTCGAGATATAGAGGTCGAATGCTTGGCAATTAATCAAGTGATATCTCTTCGTAACGACCTCCCGAATCCACCAGATCTCATTCAGCGCGAAGCGAACACCTCAAGCTGAAACGTCAACAATCAATCACGTGTACCGAGATGTCTTCCAGTGAACCAGTCGAGGAGGAGAAAGTGATTGTCAAGCAGGACTTCAGCTATGGTGATCACGAGCTCCAGAAATTGAGTGTATATCATCACTTTGGGACAGAATCAAAACAAGAAAATGGGCTGTGGATCATGTAAACATCCTCTTCTCTCACTCCTCCACTTACATCTTGACACAACTGTAATCCGATCTAACAACCTCCCAGCTACATCCACGGCGGCGCCTGGCGCGACCCAACCGTGACCGACACCTCATTTCTCCCCACCATCCGCCATCTTTACTCCCCTTCAAATCCATCATCATTCCTCAATCTCATAACTTCCCACATCACCGCCTTCGCCTCCCTCTCCTACCGCCTCTCCCCCCACCCCTCACACCCCCAATCCCCAACCACACCAGCCACCTCCCTCCGCTCCGCAACCCACCCAGACCACCTCCTCGACATCCTAACCGGCATCTTCTTCCTCCAATCCAAATACAGCTTCGGCAGCAAGTACCTCCTCATCGGCCACTCCTGTGGCGCCACATTGGCATACCAATCTCTCATTCGAGATCAACTGCTTGAGTCAATCCTGTCAAGTATCAAATTCCAGCCCCCAGAAATCGTCGTTGGTGTAGCTGGTATCTACGATATGCGGCTCCTTAGAGACAACAACTCGCACCCTGCGTATCAAGAGTTTCTAGTCAGTGCGTTTGGCGAGGATGAGAAAGAGTGGGATAGAGCGTCGCCGGCGGATGGGAGGTATGATTTTTTGAGGGGGTGGAAGGAGGGGAGGATGGCGGTGCTGGTTAGTTCTAGTGGGGATGAGTTGGTGGATGAGGCGCAGATTGAGTGTATGGGGGAAAAGTTGGAGGGTTTGAGAGGGAGTGGGAGTGGTGATGGTGTGAAGGTTAGGATTTTGAAGGGTTTTCTTGCGCAGACTCATAATGGGATTTGGGAAGGTGGTGAAGGGTTGGCGGATGTGATAATTGAGGTATTGAGGGTCTGGGTGGGTGGTGATAAGTGAATACTCGTAGAATTCGAAGATTATTAGCAGTGAGCAAAGAATCAATGGAAGTCTTCATTGGTTGATCTTATTTGGGTGTCTAATGCTGCTATTTACTTCTGCTACCAGTCATGGAGATTATCCGACCTTCTTCTCCTCGCTCGCTAAGTCTAAACCCTCGCCACCATCTACCCGAGAATGCTCAATGTTCCCAAGACACAACACCATACTCCAGAAAATGCATGTCCAAAACTCTCAGCACATCAGTCTTCCTCATCTCAAAAGTTATCATGCACTCGTCAGCGTTGCATCCTTCGTCTCATCCCGACTCTGCTTCAAGAACGGAAGCAACTGTGTTCCTCCAGTGCCATGCAATTCCTTCGAATCAGTATTCGATGAAGCAACAGCAAGATTCAATCCAGGGTGTACATTTGGAATCTTCTGTCTCGACGGCGTGATGATGAATCGAGTGACGACTTGGATATGTACACTTCTGAAAAGCTCGAGTTCCTTGACAGCGAGATTATACGCGTCTATGACTTCGGAACTCGTGGTGCTCTCTGCGTATTCTCGAATATTCACGATGGATTCCATTTTCTCCAGAAAAGCACGGTGACCTCCAGGCATGTAGTTTCTCATTTCCTGGTTCTGTTAGTCATGAATTTGGATTGGGGTGTTAAAGATGCTTACCGAGAGAAACCCATTCCTCGCTTTCGAGCCTTTCGTCAAATGATGCTCAACACCCAAAACGATGTCAAAGAATTGGATGAGAGAGCTCTGAGCATTACTGCCCCCACTATACTGTCTCCACTCTCCCTTCCCCTCACCCTCCTCATAAAACACACCCTTCGGCAGCCCCGCCAGAACCATATTCTTACTCCCCGCCAAAAACGGTCTAATGTCATCATAAAACACCTTCGGCGAGCAATGCTCATCCATCCTATTCAGAATCCTCGCAATCTCCTTGATATTCCTCGCGAACGTCTCAAGTGCAGCAGCCACTACACTGGATTCATTCGCCCGGACAGCATCCATGGCTTTCATCATGGCGGGGATGATCTTTGCGCCGTAGGCTTCGATGGCGACCGAGATCAGGTAGAACCATTCTTCGTCTTTGGTGCCGGTGAAGGTGTGGAGACTTCGGAGGTCTTCGAGTTGAGTGAAGTCGTTGGCGCCGGAGATGGACTCGAAGTTCCAGAGGTTGAGGCCGGCGTAGGTTGCTGTGGGTGGGAGGCCGAGATGTTTTGCGATTGAGAGGAAGGGGACGGATATTGATGCGGGGAGGCGCTGGTGGGGTCAGATTTGGAATGAGGATTAGAGATCTTGTGCTTACCTGTGATGGTCCGCCGGCTTCCCAGATGTATGAGTGTGTGAAGAAGGAGAGGATCATGTATGCTCTTTGCCATTCGCTTTCAGAGATGAGATGTTCTGTTGAGAGTACAGGTAATTGATCGACATGGCTTCTTAGAGATGCAGATTTGAGAAGTGCTGGTAGTTGCGAAAGTACGATTTCCCAACTTTCGTAGTATGGGTTGCTCAGTTCTCGGAGGGGCGGCTGGTCTGGTAGGAAACCATTTCGAGTTGATACACCGAACTCCGCTAAATTGATATTCAAGGGGCCTAACATGATGAAGATTATGATATGAGAGACTACAAGATTCGAAGTTTGGGAGTGATGATATGGATGAGAAGGAGGTTTGTTGGTGTTGTGTTTGGTAAGAAGAGAGTTTCCCGAAAGTCCACAAGCAGTTCTAAAGTACCAAACGCGCAAAGGAACCGGACAATCAACATAGGAAATGACACCATGCCGACAAGAAGCGGGCAATAATATCCAAGCATGACAAGCCCTTCTTTCAGACCGCAAAATCCTGATCTGAAGAGGGTCCGGATGAGGGCGGAAGCGACTCACGGATACGGGTACGGATGCACCCGGCCAAGACGCGGATCACGTAAAGCTTTTCAACAGACCTTGAGCCGACAGAACGCGATAAGATACTGACGTTGACGTCAAGAAGCCCGGCGCGGGGTACAAAGTGAATTGCGAAGGACACGATCAGGTCATTTTCCCATCTTCATTCAATTCCACCATCTCATCACCAAGCCTTCTTGCCAATATCAACATCAAGGTCTCAATATCCGCTCCACCTCGCTTCGCTAAAAGTCAAAATGGGGTCTATCATGCCTGAAGAACAGCAGCCGCAGCAGCAGCAGCAAACAGTCAAGCCTACCTTTGCTGATGAGGCAAACACTCTCGAATATGCGCAATCCCTTGACGCGAAAGACCATTTGCGATCATTCAGAGAAAAGTTCATTATCCCCTCCAAAACAAACATCAGAACAAAGAAAGTCGTAAAGCCAGGTCCGTCCATTTTATTCTACCCCTTACTATCATGTGACATCGTCACTGACACTCAACCAGAATCCGAAGACCCATGTATATACTTCTGTGGTAACTCTCTCGGTCTCCAGCCGCGTGCTACGAGAGAACACCTCAGTACTTACCTAGATACATGGGCAACAATCGGCGTCCACGGCCACTTCAGACCCCTCGAGAACTCGCCTATGATCCAATGGCAACTCCTCGCCGACGACGTCTCCCGACAATTCGCTCCCATCGTAGGAGCTTCTCCTTCTGAAGTCGGCATCATGGCTAGTCTAACCGTGAACTTGCACTTGTTGATGGCGAGTTTCTATACCCCCACTGCAACCAAGAACAAGATCATCCTGGACTGGAAAGCCTTCCCAAGTGATCACTTCGCCATTGAATCTCAAATCAGACAACACGGATATAACCCCGAAGAGTCTATGATTCTAATAGGACCTGAAGAGGGAACTTTTGAAATCACAACCGAGAAAATCTTAGCTGTGATCGATGAACATGCCTCCACCACTGCACTCCTCCTCCTCCCAGGAATCCAATATTACACTGGCCAGTTCTTCGACATTAAGACCATTACCGCCTACGCTCAGGCCAAGGGTCTCATAGTTGGATGGGATCTCGCTCACGCAGTTGGAAACGTTCCACTTGAATTGCATGACTGGAACGTGGATTTCGCTGTTTGGTGTACTTACAAGTACCTGAACTCCGGACCTGGTGGCGTTGGAGGATTTTACGTCCACGAGAGACACGGTACAGTTGATTATTCTCAAGGCGAGAACAAGCCAGTGTACAGACATCGTCTTGCTGGTTGGTATGGTGGTGATCAAGTCGGACGCATGAACATGCAAAACAGTAAGTTTCTCCCCCCGCTTTCTCTCCAATATCAGGAAAAAGAACGAAGAGCTAACCAAACAACCAGCCTTCCGCCCCAGCCCCGGCGCAAGCGGCTTCCAAGTCTCCACCAGCTCCACCGTAGAACTCGCCTCCCTCCTCGGCTCCCTCTCCGTCTTCTCCCAAACAACCATGTCCTCCATCCGCCTCAAATCCGTCAAACTAACCGCCTACCTGGAAACCCTCCTCCACTCCAGCCCACACTACAAGCGCAGCTTCAGCATCATCACGCCATTCAACCCCGACGCGAGAGGGACCCAATTGAGCGTTTTGCTGGCTGATGGGAGACTGGATACCGTCTCGGAGATGCTGGAAGAAGCGGGCATTGTGGCGGATAAGAGGAAGCCTGGGGTGATTAGGATTGCGCCTGTGCCGCTTTATAATACGTATGAGGAGGTGTGGAGGTTTGTGGGGATTTTTAATGAGGCTTTGGGGAAGTTTGAGTAGGGAGGGAGGGTGGATTTGGTCTTGAAGCGGCATTGGCAAAATATGATGATATGATATGACATAGCATAGCATAGGTATGGAGTTTGGGAAATTTTAGGAAACAGTTATCTGATTTGGTTTCATTCATTTTTCCCCTTCTTGTTATGGCTTCGTCAGTCACTCCATCGTGATATGTCCCAATCCCTCAATTGGTGTGTACATCTCCGCTTCTCCTGTGAATTATCAGTCTTTTCCAGAACCAATATTCAGAGTAGTTGGATAGACTTACTCGGCTTGATAAACAACGGCTCCGTAGCCTTCAAATATGGCCCATAATAGGGCTTTGTGATTTGATTCTGTTTCCCCGTTCGGTTAGCCATGTCATCTCTTTTCTCACCCCAAACCCCCCTCGCCATCTTTCCCTCTCCTCTCTTCTACCTCATAACCACGAACACAACGACCCTGTCGTATAAATCAAGCCAAACAAAAACAATTATCAATAACAGAAAATTGACCAACCTCCATAAACCACCCCACATCCCTCGTCCACCCCTCCGTCCATCTAAACACCCCCGGCTCTTGCGCATTCTCCCCAATAAAGAAATACGCACATTCCGGCTCATTGATCACAGCTTCGTAGACTGGCTTGAAGTGTTGGAGGAAGGTGGATTGGTCTTTGGGGTCGATAGTTATTTTGACTTGTAGGATGAAAGATACTTTTGGTGCGAGGACGGGTAGTGGAGGAGACATCTTGATATGAATGAGAGAGTAATGATTGGGAGTGGGAGTTCGGAAGTGGAATTGTGAAGAGGAGTTCTGGAGAAGTGTATGAGATTGATTGTGAAGTGACGGTTTCTAGAGGAGATATATGTACTTACTCTCACTCTCTTGCGATGTCTATCCTACTTTGAAATTATCTCCTTGGGGATAAACACTCATTCCACCCCATCCCACCTCCAAAACTCTTAAATTCCCATTCACCCCGCCCATTGGTCAGTTCGCACTCCGCTCTCTCCCTCTCCCATCAAAACCTCCCCTCGATTCACGCACATGCATCGCCAAGCTGTCAGCATCACCATCGCCATTTTCCGCGAATCCGTTTCCGCACTAATCAGGAGTGAGTTGTGGTACCTCGGTTGGCTGGCGCTGTCAGCCTGTCGCCCTCTTTCAGGGCAGATCTGCCGCCTAGGACTCAGGGGTTTTAGGGTTAAGCGAGGCCAGCTATGAGCGCGGTGGCTTGCATCAGCCTCCACTGCCAGAACAGTGAAAGTGAGACAAAGACCACTGGAAGCTGGATCATGAGATTGGGGTGTGGCTTTGCTGTGCGCGCTGGGCGTTAGGCAGACAGGAAACTTTATTGTTGTGCGGTTCTGTGTAGACCGAGGTAGGGCTGAGTATGGAATGGAAAGACAGTGTTGTTGTGGCAGTTGAAACAATTATAAGGTTGGTGATGCCTTCGCGTTTGGCTGTGAATCACGATCTGTTGTAAGCTTGCCAGTTTGTCGGTGTCGTTGCAGACTTACATCATCAGAACTTCTGGCGGTTTGACTCATCGAGTCTCTACTATTCCAACTCATATATCCTCACGCAACCTCAGACCGTCAAGATGGGTAATAAGAAGCAGCCTCCACTACAACCAGCGATGGACGACCCCGCTCCACCAAGCTATTCCAACGAACACCTCACGGGGGCAGGATCAGACTCTATCGAACCCCTTCCCCCAACATACACTCAAAACGACATCTCCACTCCCAGTCCCAGATATTCACAAAACAACAGCCACCGAAATGGAGCACCCATAACAGCAGAATCCCTATTCTTCGCGGCTATCAATGAAGGAAATCATGAATTAGTCGCCAGGTACCTAAGCGAAGGACTTGTGACGGCTAGTACGAGATATCATGATGAGACGCCGCTGTTGAGGGCTGTCAAGGCGAGGAATGTGGAGATCGTGAAGCAGCTGCTCGAGGCTGGCGCGGAGATTGATGAGTTTGGAGTAGTGGTGAGTGGATTTCATCCCTTCTTCAGTCCCGATCGCTTTGGAATATAGAACTTTTGGAGATGCAACCGATGAGCTTCTGAGAAATGTATCTTTAAAGAATGAGTTGAATCTGGGTCTAACATACACCCAGTCAACACAATACGACCCCACCACCTCATCCAACACCACCACCCTCCGCAACCCCCTCCAACTCGCCTCCTCCCTCGGGCACCTCATCCTCGTCAAGCTCCTCATAGAAACCTACCACGCCTCCGACTCCCTCGTCGCCCCCGACGGGCAAATCGCGCTCCGCCTCGCAGCAGAAAACAACCACCTCGAAATTGTCGAATATCTCCCTTCCCGCCGCACAGGCGGCTTCAAACGCTGGCAATTCAAGAACCGGAAATCGCTAAACCGAATCAAGCAGATCTGTAAGAGGATTGCTGGCTTTATTAAGTTCTTTCTCTGGGATGTAGAGAAGTTCTTCTTGTGGACGGTGCCGAAACATGTGCTTGTGAAACCGATTGTTAAGGGGTGTAAATGGTGCTGGGAGAGGAGGGGGAGATTGGGACCGTGGTGTAAACATCAGATGTTGGAGATGCCGGGGAGGGTGAAGAGGGCGGGGATTTGCGCTGGGAGACAGGCTGTGAAAGTTCCCAGGGGGATGGTGAAAGTTGCGAAGGGAGCGTGGAAGTTTGGAATGGAAACGCTTCCGAGGTGGGTTAGAAAGTTGAGTGTTTGGGCGTGGAAGTTTGTGACTGAGATCTTGCCTAGGTTGATCAAGGACTGTTCGAAGTGGTTGTGGAAACTACTCACTGTGAAGCTACCAAAGGCGTTGCAGATCTTGGGAGATTGGATTGTCTCTGGTATTACGTCTCTGGGGAGAACGATCTGGAATGCGGTCTTGAAAGTCATATCTTTCTTCTCAACTGTTATCGAAGCCATCGTCTCATTCTTCAAATCTCTCACACTACAAGATATCTGGAACGGTTTCGTCGAAATTCTGAGAGCAATTTTCGTCACGTTTCCGAAACTGATAGTATCCTGGGTCAAGGAGTTCGGAGACATGTCTTACAAGATGATGAAAGCGCTATTCGGCACGCTTGGGAAGGTTCTGTGGGTTTTGGGGTATGCAATTCTCTGGGTCATCACATTCCTGCCGAAGCAGCTGTGGAGGATTTTGGAGAGTATCGGTGCATCGCTGGCGAAGGCGGGATATGAAGTTAAGGTTTGGGTGAATCCGAAGGCGAGATGATGGACTTTTGGTTTTGGAGGGTTGTTTCTGGAGTTTTGGGTTAGTGGGATGATACCTGGAGTTTCAGTGGCCGGAAGCCTGAACTTTTTCATATTTGGCGATGTAACTTCACACATTTTATTGAGTGACGTGCTATTAGCCTGTTCCCTTTCTGTCTCCGCTTACAGTTTCCGACCCAGGAAGACAGAAATGCTCAAATGCTATTAAATTTCTTAAGTATGAAACGCTATATCTTATGAATCAGCGGACACCTCATCCGGCGTCTCCGTGGAATTAGAAGCCTTCGGTGGATCAGGTCCAACAATACTCTGAATATCATCTACCCTCCTATCCTCAATCCACTTGATCGCCTCCTCTCTATTCCGACACATATGTGCCTGTCCATTGCCCGTGGCATCGAGTACTGATTCCGATCCTTCAAGTGTCATGTCTGACATACACATAATTTGGTTTCTCAGATACTCGAAACAATGGGCTGCGTGGTAGTCATTTCGTTCCCCGTCGAACCCGAACTTGTTGTTTACGACAAGCTGGTGGTAGGTGTCTACGGTGTAGTATAGCTATTTTCATTAGCATTGGCTCTTCAATGAAGGGTAATAAACTTACGCAGTGTAATGCGTGTGTCCAGGAAGCTTCGAAGATAGGTCCGGAGCGTAGGGGGTCGGTGGCGATGGGTTTCCCGAGCATAGGGTGTTGCTCCCAGTCTGGAATTGAGACGCTTCCGCTTCCGACTACAGCTGTCAGCAATGACTTCATGTCGTGTGGGAACAGTACGTACGAGGCATCAGCATGTCCCAGTTCTTTCTCACTTCCATCCGGTTGTCGTTGCTTGTCATATTCGGTACGAACATCTCCTCATCCGGTGTGAGTAAAGTCCACTTGTGGCTCGCTGTTCTCGTCAGTCTTCTGATCGTACCTGCACCACTACTGACTTACTCGGAATATACAAGCCATTAACATCACCACCAGTCTCGGTTTTGTCTTGCGTCCAGCCAGTCCCCGTTCCTAGACCAGCCCAGCCATCACTCAGAACTCCACTGGTGGGTAGCAACAACATAATGATGATCCCCTGGAAGAACACAACAACACCCCATCGTATCCACGTCAACACCGTCGATAATCTTGAATTGTGTTCGTATCTTGACTCCCGAAACGTGGGCTGTTTGCTGCTGAGAAATCCATCCGAGGCGAGTGTAGTGTCGGAGTCGTGATCATTATCGTTCTCAAGGTCAATGGACATGACCTCATCATCCTCCAGTGTAGCGTATCTGCTCTCCTTTTCGTGATGTAAAAGCGCCATAGTGAAAGTAAGAAACAAACGAATGTGATGTTCAATTCAACGAAACAAAATGAGCAGAAAATAACGTAATTAGAGAAACCAGTTCTAGAAAGTAAAGAATCCAGTTCTTGCAGTACGAAAAACAAAATCAGTCCCAGACCGTTGATAATATCAAACACACCTGTCAACCTGAGAAGTGAAGAGACGAACTGACTGACAGCTTTCAGACGATAGTTCTTGGGGCGCTGTCCAGAGAGAGGCGGAAGCTTTCTTCCTGCTGGCAGCGGTTATCATACACTAAGGTAGTGTCATGTCAATCCACAGTGAACCTAAAAGGGAAGTTACAACTTACAACAGGTTTCATCCCTTCTCCCAAAAAAGTCGCGTGGGCTTGCTCCCAAGCAAGTGTCAAGTGATTTCAGACGATCCCTCGATCGATGCCATCCAAAACTCGTCTCGACCTTCTGGCCCAGCCTTTTCAGGAGCTTTAAGCTTTTCGGCAGGGTTGGCGCTTGTCCATACCTAGGCTCAAACGCGGTACCGAATCATTAATATTAGACTGGTCTGTCGTCTTGACTTTTGACGTCCATGCGAGAGATTGATTTGACCCGTAAACTTCCCGCTGTCTCTCCTTTTCTGGCCCGCTACTGCAAGTAGCTCGGGCCGCCCCTTGGTGCAGCGAAATTGTCCGTCGTGAATTATGGATGGCATGCTTATTGAATAGTTTAACTTTAAGATTTCGAGTGAATCAACCCTATGGATATAATTGATTTCGCCCTCGATTCTTTCGAGCTCTTGATGTTCGACTTGGCGATGGGCAATCCTTTCTTGGCTAACCGACAACCTGGTCCCGCTACATCAGACATTCCATTCCCCTTTTGTTGGTTGATCGGTTTCACCCAATTTCAGGCGTGTGAAATCCAGAACGTTCGAACGGGCAACTGAAGCCTGTATCCTGGAGTCGATCATGTCTGAGTTGGCTGTTGGGTACAGCGGCAAGCTGAGACGAGATTTGTGCCAAGTTGCAGGTGACCTTAGACAGGGGATGTGAAGCCGATGTTGTGGGGAAGAAGCGGTGATTGGACTCCCTTTGACGACGCCTCTTGGCTGCTTTTATCGATCTGTTGGATTGACCTTGCGGTGAAGGGGCTCTTGTGCCTTGCATGTTGACAGCACGGTGATGATGTCGTGCGAACATTCGAGTGTCTTCTCCTAGAAAAGCTGTATACTCTAGAAAGTAATATTCCACAATGGTGAAAAACTCCACACTTAAATCTTCTTAACTACAAACATCGCAAGATGTCACAAATAATCACCAAGCGGCCTAGGCTATTCAAGTGAAAAGTAAGTAAATGTTGCAACCGCCCGCTCCAGTAAACCCCACCAAGCACATCCATAGCAGCCGCTTTAGCCATCCGGAAAAACCAAGCTTCAACTCCAAGATCTCAGGCCGTTCCTCTTCCCCGTCCCCTCCAACCAACACTAACATCCACAACGGTCTCACAATCCCCAAACATACTAGCGTCCTCTTCGTTCCCCGTAGGAAGAATAACAACGACCTCCACAAGGCGACCCACTGCTCGGACATGGAAGAGCTCACGGGAGGAAAGAAAAATAAATCATGATCCCAGGCAGGATCGTCCGAACGAGATTGCATTGCGAGCCCGTGCCTTCCTAAATGTCAGTGGATATGAATCGATGCAAGGTAGGGACGATTTAGTTGGATATGCGCTGGGATCGCCGCGGATCAATGGACGGATATCAAGTGAGAAGTGTGATTCGGATGGTGCGGGTAGAATCACACTGTGGTTTTCATTTGCACCGATTTGAACACAAGTCTCCTAAAAATCACTGGAAGTCAGGGTGGTGGTAATCTGGTAGAGCGAGTATAGATGGGTGGGGTGCGCAGAAATGTATTAGGTTGATTGGTATCTATGGGTTCACGTCTCCCCTCTCCATATTTCCCACTGAATTGTCTATCGCCCACTCTTTCACTCTATCGAAGTTTCGGCACTGGTGAAAAGAATTGAGTTCTGGCCATGGAAGTGGATCTCCATCCATCATATAGAATGTAAATACACCGACATCTGCGTTACATTCGACATTCATTCTGAGGATTTCGAGACAGTGATCTGATCCGTGTTAGTGAGAGGTCATTCAGGTGTAATCCAGGCCTACCCGTATGCATCTGGAGATCTTCTTGGGTACCAGCAAAGTTGCCGTTACCAACCTCCATGTAATGTTCTTTGTAGGTGACTTGACGGAGGAGATTGATGCAGTGGAGTTGATGGAAGACTTCCAAACCAACTCTGTAGCCTTCAACTCCAGTCTTGGGGTTTGTGGCTCTCAGGTGTGACTTGGGCATTCCGATGATTTCGAGTTCTGCATCCGTGATAACTTGATCTCCGACTAGAAGTTGTTAATACTAGAGTCGAGAGCTTTGTTGAGAGGAACCTACTATCATACGAAATCGCATGCCATGCCTTGTCAACTTCTGGACCTTTCCCGACATACGGCGAACCCTCTCCCATAGTCGCATTAAATTTCACTCTCTGATACTCAACGGCCTCAGCAGCAGGTGCTGTTCAACCATTAGTCCCGCTCTCCAAAACAGCTCGAATAACTCACAATATGCAGAGAACTTCCTCACGTGCTCCAATGTTGACGCTCGAGTGAAGAATGCACCAACAAACATCGAGAAGGATAGCGAAAGTAGCGCAGCGTGAACCAACCACATCCATCTCATAGTTAACTTCTGACGGGGCTGAGTGAGTCTGACATCCTCCTCATCCTCCATCAACGTCGAATCCGAGGTCGATGTTGACGATCGTCTCGGAAATGGCTCCTGGAATTTCTCATCGTCCCGGACGGCCTCGTACTTGGAAGACATGACTGCGCAACAAAAATACTACTCCTGGTAGTTGGAAAAGAAACGAATGATTAGTTTGAACGAATGTACTTGACCAGAAGCAATTGCTGAAAGGAGGAAAAAGAGTAAGAGACGATGGGAAATCAGCAAAGAGAGGATATCGACTACCCAACCATAATACACCCATCATGTCACAGTGCCCCATCATGTCATAAGGGGTAGCAGTGCAAGTGTACGCGATACGCTCGTCTGATCGCTGTGTTGGAGTCTTGTACGATCGAGGTCACGGATCTTTGAAACACATGCCAGGTTCCACCATGTACGGCACTAGTGCCAAACAGAAACAAATCCCAACCTTGAGAAACCCCACAATGAAACCGCGACAGGCGAGGTTAAGTTAAATGGAATTCGGGCGCGCCCCAATGGAGTAATGAGGAGCCAAAAAAGGAATAAAGTTCGTAGCTGTCATTTTCCAATTATCCACTGTGGTGCAATCGAGCTGCTCGACCACAGGTAACTTTAGGCGGGGGACTCAGACATCTCCAATAATCTGGATGAAATCAACGTGTTCCGATCATGCATTGGCAAAATGCACGATTTCGTCCCAAAGATGAGATGGAACCCTGCCTGTCAAAATCAAGCTTCGGGTCCAAGCAAGAACCAAGACTTGAGTTTCGGTTCTGCGGTTCGACTTCCACTTCAAGGCGTTCTTCCAGGGAAGCCATCGCGCCATTAATGCCTCAAGATATCTTGAGACTGCAAATCTAAACCATACTTAGACTAATCCTTCCACATGCTCTTAACTGGGTCGCCTCCATCCGTTAATCCCTGAATGTCACACTAACCGGGAGCCGCAATGGAGAAGGGCGGGAAGTTTCTGACGGGGACTAGTGTTTGAATACAGACTAGCCAATTAAGCTTGTCCTCGTTGTTAACGGCCAGGATATCTGACAGCCAATTGTACCGGGCTGGCTAGGTCAGGAGGAGTCTGCAATCCAAATGCAAGGCAGCCAACTTCGAGTGTCAAAGGCAGAACCTCGCGGCTCATCAAGCAACATCCGTCTCGGACTCTTGATGGATTGTGCTAAGACCTTCCCAGCCAACTGTCGTCCGAACTGGATTAAGCTCGCCTGATTTTATGCTCCACCATATTCCCAACTGACATGATGTATAAAGGAACTTGGCTCCCACATACCTTCTCAAATCCACTCATCAGCCCACTCACCATTCTTTCCTTCAATCCCTACCTGTTCCATTCGTTTCACTGCCGGCCAGTCTTTATTGTATTCCTTCATCATGTATACTTCCGTTTCAAAGCTTTTTGCTCTTGGCCTCTTGGCCGCCGCTCCGCTGGCATCGGCTTACGCTATACCAGCTCAATCTCAAGACTTGGCCAGGTCTGTTGAACCGGTCGAGGCTAGACATCACACTGAGGCGCAAATCCAGGTATGTTTCTCACTGATTCAAACTGTACCCTTACTGACATTAACCAGGCCAAGAAGAACAAAGCTTCAAAAAGCGCTCGAGACATTGAGATCCTCGACAGTCGGGCGCCTCATCATACTGAGGCGCAAATTCAGGTATATTTCTCACTGATTCAAACTGTACCCTTACTAACATTAACCAGGCCAAGAAGAACAAAGCTTCAAAAAGCGCTCGAGACATTAAGATCCTCGACAGTCGGGCGCCTCATCATACTGAGTCTCAAATTGCCGTGTGTACTTTTCCGATACGAAGAGTACTCTCACTGACATTCAACAGGCCAAAAAGGCTAAGGGCGGTAAGAATGCCCGTGATTTAGTTGCTGAAGAGGCTCTTGAGACTCGCTCTCCTCATCACACTGAGTCTCAGATCGCAGTAAGTAATCCTATTCCCCTGTCGGATCACTAAATTAACAGTCTTGTAGGCCAAGAAGGCAAAAGCTTCAAAAAATGCTCGCGACATTGAGCTCGAATCTCGTACCCCTCATCATACTGAGTCTCAGATCGCTGTAGGGAACACCTTCTTTTGTCATTGTAAGCCGCGCTAACACGTTTACAGGCTAAGAAAGCAAAATCTGGAAAAAATGCTCGTGATCTAGCAGCTGATGAGGCCCTTGAAGACGAGGAGGATGCCGCTCTCGAGAACCGCGCCCCTCATCATACCGAGTCTCAAATTGCAGTAAGTATTTCCAGCACATTCACCTTTTCAGAAACTCACATCAACTCAGGCGAAGAAGGCCAAAGCTGGAAAAGATGCTCGATCTCTATAGGTACTAACGACCTTGTTGAAATCTAAATCGTCAAGGAGAAAGCCTAGAATATGGTCCTCTCCCGAGTCCACTAGTGTTCCTTGCAGTTTAGGTCTTTACTTCTGTGGATCGTCTTATAGTCACTATCCGGGTGCTTTCCCTAGGACAAATGTCTGGCTTAGCTTGTACTACTTTGTATAAAATTCATAGATTCTGGCAGTCTAATAAAAGCTTTCCTATTTCAATATATACTAACATGGTGGAGTATTCAATTCCAGGTATCACAGCAATACCAATAAGACTTCCATTCTTTTGTAAGCCCGGAAAATGTTCTCAACTGGCTCATTTCGCTCTAATGTGCAAAGGAAACCCCTAAAAATCAAGACAGCCGTGCCGTAGTTTCCACTGACTCTTGCTTACCTCGTTTAATTTATGGCTCGCTACAGGTGTTAATAGCGTTTGGGGCAAGCCGTAGCGGCCCATCTGGCAACCCTGTAGGGAATAGTAGTCTCTCTTACAGGCTTTACCTACAGGGCTTTCATCTTGTTGCATGAAACCGCAGTTAAGGGTATGGTAGCCTGGAAAGAGTTTGCGTGTCGCAATTCACAGGATGATGATGAAGTCAGGAGCAGGCAGACATACCCTTCTCATCCCACCCAGATCTCGAGCTGTTTGCCAGGTTACTCCATTGAGATCCGTGGTTGTTATACTTGTTTATCAACGAAGGGTCTTCTCTTTTTCTCTTAAGGTAGAGTCTCTGCAAAGGTCAGGTCTTCCTCTCGTATTTCTCCTAGGGCGAAGCCTTTTCCTAGGTGAGTCTCCAAGCTAATGTTTTCTCTCACTTAAAAGTCTCTCTTAATGACTAATCTTTTCTTTCTTTGTCCTTCGAGGCGAAGACTTCTCCCGGGTAAGGCCTCCAAGGTAAGGTTTTCTCTCACTCGAAATCCTCCTTCAAGGTAAGGTTTGTCTCTCACTTCCCTCAAGGTGAAGTCTTCTCCCAGGTAAGTTCTCTAAGATAGGGTTACTCTCTCATTTCTCAAGGCAAGTCTTTTCCCAGGTAAGGTCTCCAAGGTGAGGTTAGTCTATTCTTTCCCTCAAGGTAAGGTCTTCTCCTAGGTAAGGTCCCCAAGGTAAGGTTTTCTCTCGCTAGAAAGTCTCCTTAAAGATAAAGCCTTTCTCTCTCTTCCCCCAAGGCGAAGTCTTCTCCCAGGTAAGGTCTCCAAGGTAAGGTTTCCTCTCCCGCTTTATCTGTGAGGTGGAACAGGATAACTTGAGTCATTCCTATGGGGGGTTCTTACTAATACCGACTGTGAATATCCTGTAATTGTTTTACAGCAGAAACTATCGATAAAATTCAGACAGTACTGCAGTGATTTATTCATAAAACTACAAAGAGATCAGCGTGGCAAAGATACTTGGCTTGCACCTTGTTTCGGGTGAATCACAGTAAAACGAGATTCCACACGACTTAATCTTGGAGACTTTAAGTGGGAGACTGTACCTTGGAGGCCTTACCTGGGAAAAGTCTTCTCCTTGAGGCGAAAAAGAGAAAACAGACTAGGCCTTGGAGGAGACTTTGAAACCCGGGTCTTTCGATGTGTGTATGAGATGTTATTTGTTCTTCAGTAAGTTTACACCTGCTTTCATCAACGGCCAAGAGCCATAAACTAAGAATGAACATCAAGGTTGCCATTTTGTCAAGGCCCAAAATTACCAAGCTACCTTTCACCTCGTCTAGAACAGCTATCTTCCGTGGTCAATTATAACATTTTACATCCTCCAACCTGCTATCAGAGGTATCTCGGAATGAATCAGCCTAGAGGTCCACAAACAACATCCATCCTCGGCGCTGGGCCAGCAAAGTATGATCTCCTCCAGCAATACGCTCCTCGATATCCTTCAGGTCGTTATGAATTTTCTGCAACGTGACAATCCAGAAAAGACCGATTTCGAATCCGCGCATGACCTCGTTCCACATCCTACATCGCAGTCAGAAAGCACCTTGGTCTAGAAAGGGAAATACATACCCATCCCTGGGGCCAAGTACCAAGTGCAAGAATTCATCTTCCTTGACCTGGAGTAGCTCCTCAAGCCTAGCCAGGCGAGCCTCAATATCCTTGCCACGCAGCTCCTCATCAACCTGGTCACGACTGATGATCATGGGCCAAAGGCCAACTGCCCTCAAGGTGGCTTCTTGGGTATTCATTGTAGTGGTGGTGTGCAATTGTTGGGTTACCTCCGGTCGTGTGCGGAAAGGCGAGAGGATGATTCGCAATAACTACCGGGTTGAAGTATGGTGGAGGGCTCGTGGGATGGAGGCTTAAGGATCCAGACAGAAGATGGAGGAATCGTAAGAGGAGAGGAATTATGAGGCAGAAAGGAGACAGGGTATACAGTCCATAAGAAGGAGGGACCCGACGAGAGGCGTAGAAGGAAGACAGCCGGGAAGGAGCAACATGGCGGTAGGCTTGAGAATTGGAAAACATTCTGGCACAACATATAAAAGGGACCATCTAAATGTTCCCTCTTGTACTGATGTACTTGCACCAGGTAAGTTCTGAAGCCTAAACTCATTTTGAAGTAAGAACGTGCAAATGACGGCGTAGGTGTTTGCTTGCTGAATTGGACTCCTGGCTTGGGAGTGCTAGCTACCCCACCGAGATCTGCGAGCTCACCACTTTGCCCCGGTAATTGGAGACTGGAAGCTGCCCACTTACGATGTTCCCTAGTCCGAGAGAGTGATATATGGGCATTTTTCAGGTCAAATCTCAAGTCAGCGATGCCTTCCAGATGTGTACACCCTAGGGTTGAGTCACCACAGGCTGGTGTTAGTGTGAACAGGTCTGTCGGATTATGCAATCAAGCCAAGCGTGGTGGCACTTCCAGGTATCTATTTTATTCTTGTGACTATAATAAATTTTACAAGCGATAAAGACCATTCGAAGCAGGTAAATATTCAGCCGGCAGCGCGGCGTACAAAAACTCCAAGGTGACATGCCAAGACAGCGCAACAATAACTGATAACCTCCCCGATCCGACCTAGCATCTAGTATCAACAACAAAGAGAAAGAAGGCGCAAAAAATATCAAACAAAAAGACATTACTACGATAACCCATCCACGACAGGGTAAGAATTCCGCTGCTCCACCAGTGGCGGTCGTCAGGGCAAACTCACTTGACATTGGCTCTTTTCTTTGAGCCTAGCAATACGCTACAAGAATGAAGGTGATTAGCCATTGAAGCAGTAGAGACGTAACTCTCATCGCACCAGTCGCAGACAAGCGGTCTGAACGACTCCTTGAACCGTCCCATGGATATCTTATGAACGTAATCGAAGTGAGCAAGGAACGGCGTGACTGCTGGCCAACCTCTTAGATGAGGACAATCAAAGCATGTGAAGAAACTGGCGCCCCTGGAGTACAGGCCCTGGGTAGACCTGAAACGATGTTGCTGGAGCCTAGATGCAATCTGTTCGACGACGTCGACGTGTTCAGCAGACCCGGGTCCGATATACGACCAGTCTTGTGGCTCATGTCTGCGTTGCATTAGTTGTAGATAAGCTTAGCTCGACGTGGTAACATACTTGAGATCATCGTTCACTAGGCCGGTCTTCCTCGTCCTCTTGTCGGTAACCGAAAGCGGTCCGCCATCCTCGTCGTCACTATCGCTCTCGTCTTCTTGATCTTGCTGCTTTGCTCCGCTGACCTCCGAGACAATATCATCACTTGTATCGGCATTCTCATCCGCTTGCCCAGGCTCTGCCGACAGCTCCACCCCCGTTTGAGGGGGGCGGTCTTGCTGGGCGAGGCCGGTCCGAGATGTGTGAGATGTGTGAAATGCAATGCGAAGGGCCCCCCGGATCCAATCGGCGTATTTGCCGAGATCGTTCTTGTCGAGAGACGTGAGATTGAACTTGTGGTGGCGTGAATGGCCTTCTTGCCCGCCACGGCCCTGGGTATAGGTGACGATGTTCTTCGGCCGGAAGCATTTCCTCTCTTCATCGCAAGGCGGGTCTTGGCGACCGTCGATCATAGCGTGGTGTTTCTTGCGGTGGTTGTTCTGACAGGAAGTTTCTGCCTCAACGCAGCACGGATCGATACAGGACTCGGCGCCAGATATATGACTGCACCAGGTGACGTACCGCAAAAGTGCTAAGGTATCGCGATAGGATGTAAAGTCACCGGAGCAGAGAGTTAGGAATCGAGCAAGTCCATATACCTTGGCGAATTGTGAGGTTGTGCTCTGAGTGATGGAAACAACGTCATCGTGCTTGTTGCAATCCCAAACGAGCACGACTTGCAAGTCGAAGCTGAAGCATGTATCCGGGTACTCCAATAGAATAGTCTGTGTGATGATAGCAATGTGACGCAAGAAGAGCAGGACCATTGGATTTTTCAACACTTCAATGAGACACTCGACTGTGGGACGAACTTTGGAAGCATCTTGCCTCACCTGGTATGGTTTGATATTGGAGAGGTCCTGCGAAACGCCTTTCGCCTTAATCTTCTTCCACAATTCGATGCATTGATTTGTTTTACGGAGATCCTCTTCATTCAACTTCCAAGGTAGATCCTTGAGGGGCAGCGAGCCCAGTGAGCACTACACATATATGAGCCACGGATCGAGTAAGCCTACGTGGAATGAACATACCATGAAGTCAGAGTCTGAGGAAAGAGAACCAGGTTCCAAACTATCCACCTTGAGGCGGTCTGAGGAGGCACCAGGCTGTTGATGATCGAGGTTTCTACCGTTAGGCGAAGTATCCGCTACAAGGCTAGTGGTGGCGACAGCGGGTGTTTGTGGCTGGACGACACGTTTATCCTTGGTTGGAGTATCTGGATCGAAAGCATGGCCGTTGACACTGATCTTGTCCAGTTGCGAGAGCTGTAATCAGATGTGAGCGTTGACCAGTCCTTTCGAGAGAGCAGACTTACAATCTTCTCTTGCTCAAGGGGATTTCCAGAGACACCGAAGGCATTCTTCTGAATTGTAGAATGTGTCGAGGTTCTAGTCGATGGTGGCGGAGATACGAGCTGCTTATCGACCGTAACAGCAGCATTGACCTCTGAGTCGGGCGTTGCAGGAATCGATGAGGGAAAAGCACCAGGGACAGACATAGTAGTACTTGTTGAAGGTGATAATTCAATCTGATTTATCAAGGTTAGTAGATTCTAGGAAGCCAGGGTGATGACAGCCTACCGAGAAAGATTGATTCGTGGTCTGTACCTTCTGGATCAAAGCAAGTGTCAAGAGGTCTCGCCCACATATGTCATCTTGAAAGTATTTGTGCATGCCAGAGATCATCGTGTCCGCAGATACCTGGGTACCAACACCTGGAAAGTAGTTGAGGACGAAATCGACGAACATCTCGAGCTGATCGATACCGATGGTGTCTTTGAATGCTATGCTAGTATCTTGCATCACTCTATCACGGACGTCAAACTCATCCCTAAGATTCCGTCCCTCCACCTTGCGGCGGTCTTGGGAGGCACCTGGTGTGGAGGACTTCGGCTTCTTGGCTACCGAAAGATCAGTCATAGTATTACAACACTTTAAGAATTGACTCACCGGCAGGCTCTTGGTCCAGGTCGATTGGCAGATGATCATTTGATCGGCCATTCTTTCTGTTGTGTTCTGCTACTCTTCTCATAGAAGATGGTGACATCTTCTTCGCCGGCCTGCAACCTGGTCAGCATGTTCGTTGATAGGTCCCAAATGACCACGAAAGCATCAGGGCGAACGACAACGAGCCTGGAAGATGATTTCAACTTCGGGTGTTAATGCAACAAAGCAGCTGGAGGTGTGATGTCGACGACTTGATGATAAGGCCAACCCAAGCTTCTGTGATAGGCAACGGAAGAGAGAGTGATCTGCCACAGTCAAGTGATGGCGGTTCCAACATTCATCCGCTGTTCGTGGTAGTGGCAACCTTGGGAAGTGATATGGCAACCTTGAAGAACTGTTGTGAACAGTGCAAGTGAAAATCTACTTACCTGCTAGGAGATTCTGATATAGGTGCGTAGCCCAAGGCTCCCATAAGTGAACGAAACATTCCGGACATGGTCGGCGTATTTAAGGAAGAAGCAAGCCTGGTAGGAAAAGAAGCGAACCAGGACAGTGTGACAAAGCAAACCAGAACGGCCGAGAGACGCGACCAAAATGCCAACGAAAGGCCAAAAAAGACCGAGGGGGGTTACGAAATGAGAGATTGTTGGGGATGGAAGACAACAGAAGAGAAGAGGTAAGAAGACATGGAAAGGAAGCAATGGAAAAGACATGCTAGCGCCAAGGATGGTGGGCGTTGCTCAACGGAAGGAACAACCACACCACACCACCACACAAACACACTATACTGAGGTATTCCACGTACCAAATGTACTTCAGAGAGATAGGGTGGCATCTCTCTCACAGCGAGGTTCATTATATTTTTATTTCTCTTATCATGAGACAGACATATAAAGTTATGACGGGGTTTGATGCTGGTCATCTGTCAGGACAGCCCCCTAGGCAGGAGCAAACCCCGTACACCAAGGCCAGTACTTGTCGCTACGAAGTCACTTTAACGGTTGCTGAGTAAGTAGCGTGAAGCTAGAAACAATCAAAGGATATTATTGTTGGGGTCTTTCAGAGTCTCTTCCTTCCTCAAGCTCCAGTGAAAGAGAGCATCTGACCTCGCCTACTACTGTACCTAGGTAGATTTATAAATCCCCCCTTTTTTTTCTTTTCTTCCTTCTAATCTCTTTAGCCATCAATCACGCTTCATACCTGCAAAGGTACGTGGTCCTCGTTTCTACCCAAGCCGACAGCCTTGAACATAGAATGTCTGGTATCGTAATCTGCATTCTGTCAGATCTGTCATAATGCTACTCGAACATGTGTGCTAATTCTTTCCTTCTTTTAGATGGGGAAGGGCAAGCGTGGAAAGAGAAAGCGGGTAAGTTTCTTCAGCTCTCCTTGGTTTGCATGCTGTCCACTAGTCCAGCGCCTCAAAGATCCGGCGCTTGAATTCCAATACCTGGTCATTGCTCTATTCCAACACTCGCGATATCGCGTTGTGTCCCCCCGCTCCACTCAATCTCCTTAAGGTGCGAGAATACCTCACATGTACCCTGCTAGGGAGCTTGCAACCTTTAACGTACTCGCTGCTTGTGCCTTCACTATACCTGGATAAACTATCGACCTCGACACCCTTTCAGTTTTCCTTACAGTCATCTGTCTTCATCTGCAATCACAGTATATCGTCAAGATACCAGGGCAGTGCTATAGCAGGTACAGCTTGGTGTTCTGGAACTTCAAACGCGAGCAGCCACCGTCTTACGACTTCTCCACAAGCTGGTTGGCTACAGTACTGTTCACTCACGGACTATCTTGTTCCACTTATCTGCAATCGCACACTCGCATGTATATTCTGCATATTGACTAACACACACAATAGGCGGATGGTACGATACGAGGTCAAGCTTTTGCAGATGGGTCAATGCCAGCCGCGAGAACACCACGTAACGCATTTTGCGCCCCTGATCCCGACTACGTCAAGCCCTCGAAGCGGCAGAGAAAGACCCAGAATGAGATGCGACGGAGTGAGGAACAAATTGCTGCACGAGAAACACTACGACATAATCCCTTGGACCCGGCTGCTATGAGGATATTTCAAAAACAGAATATATATCACAACAAGACCTCGTTGGTTGGTGCTGGAGCTGTAGCTCCTGGGGAGGCCCGGTTGCCCGCCTCCGTGGTGGATCCGTTGGACTCCTCAGGAGTAAGAACTCCTGACGTGGAGACAGAAGACTTCGCTATGGACATGGAGGACACTTCTATGGAGTATCCTCTCCCAGATGGTATGGAACTTGGGGATGAATCCGACGGATTTTCAGCCTACAATGGTAAGGCTTCCTAATAAACTTTGACCTCGATCAAATAGCTCATGTGAAAACCCAGAGATGAGTATTGCCAGTTCTGACGATGAACCCGAACCCATTCAGGTCAATATCACTGGTCAGCCTGCCATTTCAACCTCGAGTATCACATCTCCTTCTACAATGCTTACGATCTCTCAAGACGTCACGTCAGCGTGGAGTCTCGCTTCTTCTCAACATAGTTTTATACCAGATATTGTCCGTGCGGCTCGTCCTTTATCTTGGTGGTGCAAGCCACGTACTTACATATCCTGCGACTTCGAGACATCCAGGAACGGAAAAATCTCCCAGGTCGGTTTTGCCTCTGTCTATATTTCACAAGAAATCTTGGATCGTTTACATCGAGGAGCTTTCTTACCTATGGAAACCGACTACTACCATTTGATGACCAGGGATCAGCTCTTTGAGAAGCCAGCGCATTGGGATAAGCAGTGGAAGTATCGAAATGACAGACGGAACTTGTTTGGCAATGGTGTAAGTTGTATCCTCATCTCCTCTTAGATTGTATCTCTAATCTTGTTAGACATCAAAAGTTATTCCTGACGAGGAGTTGAATGAGTACATGAGACAAGAAATTTGTTTCTGGTCACTTGGTCGAAATCAAGATGATGTCTGCTTGGTCCTTCATGATGCACGAGCAGAGCCATTAAGTTGCCAAAAGGTATATTCTAAGCACCTGGGAAAACCAATCGGTACTAATAAGATAGCACAACATCACCGCTCTTGATGACTTCTGCGGATTTGTTGATACAGCTCGACCTGGTTACGGCTACTTCAGAACCCTCGATACACAATCTATCTTTGCTGGTCATCCTTGTGTCTGTCGACGTCAGCCAAGTTTAGAATTCCTGGTGGACACACTATTGAAGGTAGATCCAAGGCATTGTCATAATGCATTGAACGACGCTGCATTTACGCTGTGGTTATTATGCCTGTATATTCACGAGCAGTTTCAACAGTAGATAGCTGATGGATAATCGCCCACTAGACCGCTTTTCAGTGGATGTGTGGCATTATATCTATAAGCTTTCAAGAATCAATCAGTCCTCTACATATGTTTCTCTGTATTCAAGCTGACTCGTGAACCTTTTGAAACCTTGCTAGGTAGAGGCACTCTTAGAGCCTAGCCTACTTACCTATTTCGACTATCTTAGTGAGCTATGGAAGGTGGCGCATACAAGGAAGAGTTCCACCATCTACCACAGCAGCTGTACTACTGATATAGGTCCTAGCCTGTGTAACTGATAGACCTGGAAGGCTAATATTACTAGTATTTTCTTAGTGACTAAGACTGACATTTTACCTGGTTAACAATTTCTCGAATTACTACGTAGGGCCTCTCCAATGTGTTGCTACCAAGCTTGGCTTCTCGCTCACCAGGTACCGATTCAGCAGTTGCCCTAGATATCTACTCAGAGGGTTAATGTATTATATTAACCAGGGAGCAGCACGTAGTATAGGCACACCTAGTTAATCTCAATATTATCTACAAATACTAGAATATTGTTATCAAAGGCAAGAACAGAATACTGATTGTTGTTCTCTTTAGATATTTGTCTACTCAGATTAAAAGACCTATACCAGGTAGAGGATGCTGCCATTTTGTACAAGGACAAACAGAAAGCTGTTTACTTACTACCTAGAAGGCGGGCGTTATTTGGATAATTATTAGGACAACACTATTTCGTTGTTTGAATAGACATGGAACCTAGGGCCAGGCGAAGGGGACGTATAGAACGTCGTAAATGACTAGACAACTTTCGAGAAGCGACTACCTGGGTAGGCTTCCTAGGACAAACATTTATACTTGACATTTGTTTAATATGGAATACTATAGGAGACCTGTGCTAATTCAAGAGCAAGACTTATAGCATAAACAAGTAGCTCTTCTCCTCGTTTACAAAAGAATGAAAGGCGAGTCACCTGGGACAAAGAGAGAAAGGCTCATCTATGATAAATAACGTAGGTGATCTAAAACCGCCATAGTAATCAGTATCTAGAATATTAATGTACTAGGTGATCCTGGTCTGGTATTTCGTAAGAACTCAGAAAACCTCATAGACCCTTCAAGCTATACTTCAAAAGCGCATTGACGTACTAGGTGTAATATAGAGCCAGGCGGCAGTGGATAGTCGAGCACCAACTAAGATTGTACTCAGAAAGGATTTTGTTAAGTGAAAAACTGGTTGTAGGAACCAGGTCGTTCACAGGTACCATAGGACGATCGCTAATCAGTAAAGGACCTAGGTAGGTAGGTACCTGCCCAATAAATGTGTAGATTCATCACGTGGAAGTGCACATAGGCGCGCTGCGCGTATAGCTGACCAATTAAAATAGCTTCGCTTAAGAGCTTCCCGCGATATGACACTAGACAGGGGTAGCTGGCCGGCAAGACCTCGGCATCACCAGATTCACCTGAATAGCTTCACAACAGCCGCCACTAGCGTCAAAAAGCGAAGCGAGAAAATTACATATTCTCTACCCCTTTGACCACAAAAAGTCCTTTCTGAAACTCAATTCAAACTTTTTGTGGCCACCAAGCCGGGTGGAAATTCAACACCATAACCTGGTAACGATTCAGGCTGACCTCGGCCAGGTCCTGATACACACTCAAATCTGTGAATGGTTACAACTACCAGACAATCATAGTCGCCAGGTACCATATGAGTTCCTACGTACCTGGTAGAGACAGATTGCACCTCAGCGCTAGCAAGACGAAAATCACCGGGATCGTAAAGAATCGAGCGAATTCCTGGAACAATCTCATCGCTGCGCACCAAGCGGACCGAGAACGTAGCCACGTCGCCAAAGCCTTCCTCAGCGACCAGGTAAAAACAGCCATAGATCGAGAAAGAAGACAACAAGCTGACGATCTCAAAAGACTGGGTCCGATTCCAAAAGACCCCTTCCCTGATATCCTCCCAGCCTTCGCAGACCCCAAGCGCACCTCCGCCTTCACTAGGTTATTTCGCAAGATGCCTGCTCCACCACCCACCTTTTTTGACCGGTTCGCTCAGGACTGGTCCCCGGCCCCTAGACACACCACCTTTGAGAAAGAGGCTGTTCTACCATTTCCATCCTACTTCCAGGTTCTTATACCGGCAATGGAGTGTGGACGATATGACTTGGACACTTTAGAATGGGATCTGAATTATGACGCCGCAGTCGACCGGGTCACAAAATTCATTGCTTTCCACGAGAAGCTAGCCGAGAAGGCCACTGATGATCACTGCAGAACCTGGCACAAAGGTATGGTTCGAGCTTCCACTGGAGTACAAAAGCAATGGCTAGAAACCAAGGAGGACTATGCCGGAATCGAGGGATACGCAAGCTGCATCCTGAGCTTGGTATACCTCAAGATGGAATGGGAATGCCTCCAGGGTACCGAATACCGGGTTGGGTCATACAATCTTCGGGGATGCCCATCCGATGAATGTGGTGGCCATTTCAGAGATAAGAACGACCAGGAGTACCCGGCCGAGCCTGAGAGACGCCAACACAAACTGTCGGACCTTTTTTCCGTACCGAATAACAAGCTCCACATTCGAGATCTGAGCCTCCTGCAAACAACCTTTCCAGAATTTAAGAATCGGCACTTGCGCTCTCCAAAAGCCTTGACCGCTTTGACCAAGTACTTCAGCGTCCTCCTGAGCCAGGACCCAAACGGATGGATCACAAAGGGCCGAACCTGGGGGGTCCAAGCTGGCACCTACGAAGCTGACAAGAACAAGTATTTCAAAAGAGTGGTCACACTTCAGCTTAACAAATCTGAAGCGCACAAGGTAGTATTGTCGAAATACGTTACCGCCTTTGATAAGAACGGAGTCTACTTGACAGGCTTTGAATACAAGACAGGATCCGATTCAACTACCTGGGCAAAAGTCAGAGATTGCGTTAATTCGTACCAGCCTTACGACAAATTCAACTTCCCTAAGAATGATCGGAAGGGAGAGAAGCTCGCATTCTACCAGGGACTTGCTGACCGCGGTTGGTGGGCCCCAGTCGCGGAGGCCCGAGTTCGCTTGAAGTTCCCAACTTGGAGATATTCGAGAAATGCTGTCTTAACCAACCACCATCTCTGATTGTCCCAACTGGTAAACCTCACCCCGACCATGCATTTGGTACAGACCTCCTCGAGGCGGTAGGGAGACTGGGTAGGAAAGGAAGATCGAGTTCTACACCAAGTAGTGGTGGGGCCCGGAAGAGATCAGGGGGCAGTTTGTTATCTGCGGAAAAGGCCGAAGACGATCCCATCGACACTATTGAGAAGCCAGAACCACCTTCGGACTACGAGGGTCCTCCTCGGCCCCGCCGAAGAAAGATGCCGGACCTAGGTTGGGTCAAAGATTTCGAGTTGAATGCTAGAGAGAATTATTCTGGAGCTAGTGCACAGAAGGCTCGCGATTTCTTTGGTATAAAGCTGGGTGACAAGAAGATGACACTACTTCCAAATCTCCACCAAGATGATTTCCCCGAACCAAGTGACCAAGAAATGCAGGTCTGGTCAACGAAGTTCGACCCGGACTCGGTTGACACGGCAAGGAAGGCTTACGAAATTGCCCTCGAGTACCAAGACCTGTATAACAAAGCCCAGTACCTGAGACGAAAAGTGCCAACCTTGGACTTGAAAAAGATGACTGACTACGGAGGACCGGCGCCCCTCGAACGCGAAATGGACGAGATCTGGGAAAATGGCATTGAAGAGGGACATCCAACCCCGGAAGCCTTTTTCCGAGATAGCACCAAGTGTGCTCGGATTGCTAAAAGCCCTGTCATGTTAGTTGACGGAATCCCGTCGATCCTCTTGGCTTCAATTACCCTCGTACGAATCCCAGCGATGACCTACCTGGCAAACGTTATCGGTCGTTCAAAATGCCATAAGCAGAATTTCCTTGATGCTAAGGCTAGGATCATCGAGCTCGAGGACCAAGAGGACCGGGGACGCCATCGCAAGGCTAAAATAAAGCAGCTGCTAGAGCAAGAAAAAGCCAACAAGAAGATCCAACCCGCTGACTCTGTTCAGTCTACTAGGTCGCCAAGTCCAGCGTACCTGGAGATTCCAGAATATTCCGATGCCCTTAAACCTGCTACGTTGGAAGAAATGGAAGCGTACAGACTTAAACACTACCCTGAGGTAGGTAAGAGAATCTGGCGAAAGTTTTGCAAAGGAAGTCTAGTGGTGGAAGCCTTCCAAAAGCCAGCTATGATTCGCAAAAAGAAGGTCAAAGACTTCCTCGCCAAATATCTGATCGAAAACCCAGTCGATAAGGCCCGGGAAGACGAGACTCCGAAGAGACCGACTCTCCCAGAAGGAGTAAGATGGCACACCGACCTCACGAAGGAGGAGTCACAGCACTACCACGATAGCCAACGTTACTGGTATGTCAACACTATGTCCCGGTCCTTGGAGCAGTACATCAAAATCTGCGAGGGATTCATGGCATACCCACAGAAGGCCGACCCAGACCTGGATGTGGAGTCATACGCAGTTATTGCAGCCAATACTATTCTAGCATTCCGACCAGCGTGCTTCAACGCCACGTCGGCCCAGGCCGTGGAAGAAGAAGTTACTCGTGTTCTCGCGCAGATCCATACCGAGATGGAAGCTGAGAACCCACTGACTTGGGAGAGCCCTACCCCGACTTGGTTGACGGAGCGCATTATGCAACTCGATGCTCAACCTTCTCCATATCCACCTACCCCAGATCTTGCACAAATCTCTAATATTGGAGATCTTGTAAGCTGGACCACGGAAGACCTCCCCCGACTTGGATACTTCTTCGATGACTACCTGACTCCTGCGGAAGATACCCAAGAATCTGAGCATCAAACCCAGGATGTGGTACAAATACCTAGTCCCCGGCTCCAGAAAACTCGACCATACTCAAGTAGACTAGGTGACATCTCGGACTACGAATATGACATGACTGCCGACTGTGTCTCGTCGGATGACACAGATGAGCGAGAAGATTCGGACTTCAAATCGCACCGGGGTGGGTTGGTTGATATAGCAGTCACCGGGTCATCCCAGCACAGCACCGATGATGACACCGAACAATACCGATCCGCCCTACGTAACCTCGACCTACAAGTGGAGGACATCCAGGTCGTTCTTGAGGATCCCTCATACATCTTGTTCCACAAAAACCTGGCTGTTGTCTACAATTCCTTGAAAAATGGCAATATTCCTACCTTTGCAAAGAAGATGGACAAATACGCCCTTCGTATCCCTCTGCGCAAGTTACTTACCATCCTAAAGTTCAAAACTGAGACATTATATAGAGAAGAAGAGTCGGTCCAAACCCAGGTCAGTCGTATCCTTAAGTCCACGTGGAAGGATTTGCATGTTACCGTGAAGGACATGACCCAGGGTGTTTGGATGTACACGTTTTACCTCTGGGTACAAAGCCTGGTAATTCGAAAGCACTCCCGCTTGCCATCCCACCATGGTAACCACATCGAGCCTGCTATGTGGAGATGTCAAATTTTCGCCGCCGTATACCAGCAGTACGCAGCCTCGGTTACTAAGCTCCTGGGAAAAGATGCACTTATATCTAACCCCTCAGAAAATGATGGGGATCCACGACGTTCAGACTACGAGGTAGTAAAGGCAAAACTCCCAGAGCCAACTATCGTACACCTCTCCGACGAAGACGAGGTAGCTGACGGTCCTGTGAAAAAGGTCGACCAAAAGCGCCCACGTGAAAAGGAGAGCCAGGCTGGGGGAGCCGGAGGCACGGAGCAGGGTCAACCACCTTTAAAGAAACAGAAAGTCCAGTCCGAGAAGACAGAGTTGACCCAGGCAATCAAAAACGGCACACCACCCAAGCCCAACCCGCCAGGTACAAAAGTCTCGTCAGTGATCCCGTCACAAACAGCCCTCAAGCCTCACACGCCTAAGCACAAGGCAGACGTGGTTGCGGACTCCGACCTGGACCTGGGTGATGTTGATGCCCTCATGGCAAACATGACCGAATTGCACTCTGGCCATGGTGAGGATGACTAAGTCGCAGAGGTGTCTAGCAGTGCGACTATACCACCTGCTTAATCACTCCAGGGACAGGTTGACTATGGGAGGACCTAGTGGCGGATAGATACATTTGAGAGGATGAGTCAAAAATGGGGTGAAGTGGCGTTTGATTTGAGAACCAGGGTTGTAAATTAGAAACAAGGTTTTTCCAAGCTTTTACGGTTGATTAATATGATTATACACGACAAGTAGGCACCTGGAGGAGCGTCGGAGGAAGAATACTATGCCCACCGTGGTCGGAGTAGGACTTGGTATTTGGACGAAGCTGTGCCAGGTAGCTAGCACCAAAACGGACTTGGTTTCAGATTAGAGGTCTATATGATCTCTTTTGAGTTCTATAAGCTTTCAAAAATTAAGCAGTCCTTTAAAAAAACTTTCATTCGTACCTGGTCTGAATCGTGAACCTTGTATAACCTGTACCAGGTAGAAGCACTCTTAGAATCAATATTAAGGCGAGGCTGGGGCACAAGACAGATTGCTGCTAAGAAGGCCAAGGCCGGAAAGTCGGCGTAAAGAGTGGTAATTCGGAATGTATATTATTTTGTTGGACTTTTGGGTGTTGATGGAGTCGAGTGGATGAAAATCATAGTCGAGAATGCATAGTAATCTTCGTCTGTGGTACATGTCCTCTTTGATACTTGTGACATTTGCAGTGAGTTCCTCTGCCGTGCGTGACTGCAAGACTGACACAAGACGCTAAAATTCGGGAACATCCCTCCCGCCCGCAAGCGAAGCCCCTGGTCGCTCTCCACTAGGCTGCAGCGTCATCCCACCGCAAGTTCTGAACCTCTTTTTATCAACATCAAGAAAACATACATTCTCGTCTTAAAATCTTGGATAATTGCCTCAAAATGCCAATGTCCAACTTTCTTACATTTCCGAAGCCAGTGCTTGCCAGCAAAGGAGCCATTTGCACGACATGTCTCCAGCAGTTTCCCAAGCTGAATAAATGCGGCGGCTGTAAACGTACCAGGTGAATATTGGCATCCTGCACGTGAAAACTTTAGTGTCTGATTCGTTACTACAGCTATTGCTCTCAGAAATGTCAGAAGAAAGATTGGTCAGAAGGCCACAGGAAGTTCTGTAGGGTCTTCGTGGAAATGAATGAGCATTTCTCAGACAATACAGGATCTCGAACCTGGAAGGAGTACCGATTGCAAGTTGTGGGTTGAATTTCTTTTATGATAAGATTACAACAATAAATTAATTGATAATTTCATAGTGGAGTATAGTAGATGCTTTCCGGTCCCGCTGCGAAGAGAATCAGATATTGGCGTCTAACGAAGCACGCATGCTGCTGTACGCCAGATACATCCATTCTCTCGCCCTGAATATTCAACTAAATACATGAAACCCAGGTATCAACCATACTGTGCAAATTGCTATCGGTCTCAAAATCAACTCCCAAAAGAAGACAAGCTGAAGCTCTGTTCCACTTGCAACATAGCAGCATACTGCAGAAGCTGCACACTACACGATCACTCCTGCCTCAAACTCACCTCAATCTCCAAAGCCGAGCTGTTTTCCATCCACCACTACCTGCAAACCGGCGAAACCTCCCTCGGCATGCCTACCGAAATCCCACGCTCGATCTACAGACCTCTATCGACCGCCAACTCTTGGTACGACTACTTCACGTCCATCTCCGACAAGAGACCCCTACTATCCGGAAAAATCACCTCGGATCTCAACCCTCTGAGTGGCTCTGAGCAGGTCTCCAACGTTCTAATTGCAGCCACAGATAAAAACACCATGATCCTCACAATCATCGCTGCCCTCGAAGCTGTGTTCTCCGATCTCGCCAACAAGAAATCCATCACGCTCCACATCATCGGCGCCACTGCCAAGGAACTCGACGCCCTCATGCTCTTCGAAGAGATACTACATCTCCTCCCGAACCTAAAATCTCTCCACTGCTCATTCATCGGCCCACAACTCCCCATGCCCATAGACGGAGGCCGAAAAACAGATCTCGACTGCTGCCCACCCTGCACGAACGCCGCACGCACACGCTCCATGTCGATGTTCAAAGGTCCCTACCATGACTACACTCAAGACCCTACCTTCTCCCTCCCTGATCTTGGCGTGGTTTTCCATTCAGGACATTCTCAGGAAGCGCAGGAGGAGTGGAGACCGTCAATTGAGTATTTGGTTACTGCGGAGTTCCCGACTGTGTTTACGACGTTTAATGAGAAGGAGATGAGGGAGGAGACGGAGGGGTTGAGGGGTAAGGGCGCGGGGTTTGTGAAGGAAGGAGAGAGGAATAGGTGGATGGGGGAGAGGCCGTTATTGGATCCGTTGGAAGAGGTGGAGGGGAGTGTGTATAATAATAATCAGTATTGGTACATCATTTCTGGGAAGAAGGATTGAGACCAGCAATCAGAGTTGCCTGAAATATATCTTAGATTTAGGGCCTGGCAATCAGATCCAATATCACATTTCCGAATCCACAAAAGAACATTGTTCAAGACGGCAAAAAGAGTGAAAAGTAGACTTGCTTTTGAGAATACCATGATTGGTTGATCGAGGCTGATACTCTATAGCGAACCGTTTGCTCTCGATCCATCACATTACTGGACATTTCTTATATTTTGTTTTCTCAAACAGCGAATAACTCGCTATCTAGAGCTCGACCTGGTGTCGTCCAGCTACTTGTTGAACTAGCGAGGAAGGCTACCATGGAAGTGTTCTTAAGTCCGGTACCATTTAGCCTAACATGAAAAGTCAACAAAACTCTCAAGTCAAAAAAAGAAAAGTCCATCGGGATGTTTATCTCTCGTAGCCGAGAAACCTTCATCCTCTGTCACAAGCGAAACTTTCTCATTCTTTAGTGCTGACGTCATCACCAAACCACTTCCAGCTTCCACCAAAACAAATTTCCTGTTCTGGCGGCGGCTCACCTGCAGTCAGGCCACAGCCTCGTCCCACCACAGTACGGAAGGTACCGCACCTCATGGAGGACTTCGTTCAATTTCTGTCTCCTTCTCTCCTTCTCGCCTCCTCCCGATTTCAACCTCACCATCTCCAAATCCCACAACAGAATGGAGACTCTCTTCCCCCACCTCACCTCCACCGGCCCTGCTCCCTCCCACCGCGTCGTATCCTCCACCTACCTCGCCTCCTTTAACGCCCTCGTCCAAGAAGGCAAGCTCCGGCCCCTCGTCCTCCCCTATCACCTCTACGGCTGTCTTATCCTCCTCCTCTGCCTGTGTATACCGCACACGCAGAGCCCGGTGATATATGCTGCGCGATGGCCTGTCCTGGCGGTGATTCTGGCGTTTCAATGGAAGACGCTGTGGGAGGCGACGAGTATGAGTATGGCGACGGGATTTGCGGCGGGACTGATTGCGGCTTGGAGCGCGGTGTGGAGTATTACGTGGTTGGTCTTGTATAGGCCGCAGTTTGATGCGAGGAGGGTTGAAAGGAGGGTTAAGTCTGGACCTGGAGGTGGACTGGGGAGGAAAGGCGAAAGCAATGGGAATGCGAGGCGGGGAAATGGGATGGCGACGGGACATACAAATGGATCTGCGGAACTGAAATACAGAGGGAAGGAGGTCACAAAGATTAATGGGAAATTAGAAAAAGATACTGCTGAATGGGAGTACTACTGGCAGCCATACCCATCCACCTTCATCGACCGGTTTAACTGGACCTCCGATCTCCTCATCAACTTCCGCGGTCCCGGCTGGTCCTGGGCCATTCCCCCTCTCCCTCCCTTCCCACCATTCATCCAAACCCAACTAGGCGAACAGGTCACCGCTCAGTCAATATCAGGGACATCCTCCATCGGCCTCCAACGATACGATACCCGGCGCGAACTCGCACGTGCGCAACTCCCGCGCTTCATAGCAGGCTACCTCCTCCTCGATATCCTCAAAATACTCATGATGAAAGACCCCTACTACATCTTCGGACCCAACAGCTACGCGCTGCCCTCACACCTCTCCTACTTTCAAGACTCCCCCACAACACTCCGCTTCATCCGACAAGCCCTTAGCTCACTATCCATCATCGTCTCCCTAGAAATGGTCTTCCTCCTCGTCCCCCTCCTCCTCTGCCTCCTCTCCGGCCCATCAATCTTCGGCCTCCGCGCCGAACCCTGGTACTACCCCACCACATGGGGCTCCTGGTCGAACATCACCTCCAAGGGACTGAACGGCCTCTGGGGAGGCTGGTGGCATCAAACCTTCCGGTTCATCTTCTCCGCGCCGTCAAACTTCCTCATTGCGAACGGCTACATAAAAGCCGGCTCTCCCACAGCCAAAGTCCTAGCTTTTGTCTTCGCATTTGGCATTTCGGGAATCCTACATGCTGGTGGGAGCGTGAGCCAGTTCCCCTCCACGTATCCCACTCACGCGCCTATCTTCTTCATGCTACAAGCCCTGGGTATAGTGGTACAGGTGAGCTTCTGCTCTGTATTCCACGATATTATTAAAACGTTTCCGGGGTGGCTGAGAAAAGGTGGGAATTTGGCATTTGTGGTTGTGTGGTTGTTTGGGACGGGAGGCTGGCTTACGGATGATTTTGCAAGGGGAGGCATTTGGTTGTATGAGCCGATTCCGGTTAGTTTTCTGAGGGGACTGGGGTTTGGTGATGAGGGGGATGGGTGGTGGTGTTGGGAGCATGTTGGGGTGGGGTGGTATAGGGGGAGGAGGTGGTGGGAGAGTGGGATTGCGATTTAGAGAGAGTACTCAGAGGTTTTGGTTGTGTGGTGCGGTGCATTTGGGGAGCGTTGCGGTTTGATGATTTAGGATTTTACGAGGATATGAGGATATGAGGATAGAAGGAAGGACACAGCATGGCATAGATCATAGATCTGAATCTGGGTCTGAACTAGCGTGGCGTTCATTAGACGGCAGACCATACATGAGCAATACATCTTTGTATTGAGGACCACTCCTCCTGAATATCAAATCTCTATTCACTTGAGCTGAATAGCTGTATGGCTTTAGCCAGGAATAGTCGCAGGCAGGCAATATACATACATGCATTTTCAAGGTAAGAGTACATTCAATGGGTAAGTCAGTATCGTATCGATCTTGTACCCCCGCTACACTAATCTATCTTACAACAGTTCCAAAAGCTTGCAAAACAAACCCATGATACTTCTCTTCTAATAATAGAGTTAATCAAATTGAAGATTATAGTTTACTACCTAAAGTACGGCTCATATTCCCCTTCTTCATTTCACTCTACTTGGACAGAGTAACCTAGCCTCGGCTGTATGGTTATGAACCTTGGAGGTAAAGGCAGGTACAAGTGGACTGTCCCCTAACGATTTGAGGACGAGAACAGTCCTGGATTAAGGAAAATGTTACTTGGACCACCTCAGAACGGTTTCTTTGTTTCAGAACGGTCCTGGACGATACACATGTCCCCTTAACTGCCATTCCATGCACACCCCTGAAGGCGCTGAAGGCTGTAACGGCTACCCCCCTGAAGGAGATGTGCATGTGGCAGTTAAGGGGATAACTTGCCTTGGATGCCTCATCTTAAGCTGAAAACTCGTAATCTGATTATTGCCCTTTAAATGACCTCTATCCTAGCTCACACATTACCTTTACAGACTGAATTTTTCTTGAATTAATTGATTGGACGCTCTTAAGAACTCGAAGTGGGGGTTGATTTTACTCAAAAGGTACTTAAGTATTTAATGACGTGGACAGAAATCGAGTTTAAATCCCTTGTTTAGAAGGAACCTAGAGCTCTTATTTAAAGAATATCTAGAGATCCATCTCCTCTGCAACCGTCTCATGAGAAAATAACCGTTCCCAGACAGTCTAAAGAACGTTCTTGAAAAGAACACTTTTTTACAGAACAACGTATCCGCAGATAATCCCGAGACCATTATTTGATCCCTACCCTTGCCTCTAAGGTAGGTAGCTGGTATCAGAACATAACATCAGCAGATAAGAATACGACATAACACATAATAAACAATATAGCGAGATTGCACATAAGCTAACTCCCATAGTCAGGAGCAGTCAGAGTTCAGGTTGCCTTCGGTAGGGCCTCGTTGTATACAATGGACCGCTCTTTTGAAATCCTTTTAGTTTTCATCTTGTTGTTTCCTTTATACCAGACCTGTTGGGCACTCGATATTGAATCATTGTCTTTCCATATAACTCTAACTGCGTTCTTGTGCCAGTGTCGTGACGGTGTATGTCTCTTCAGGTTCAGCGACCACCGCATCCGGCAAGGCGCCCGCCTGCATGCGCTCGGCGCCGCTTTAGCGAGGCACAAGAAAGAGACCTCGCCCATCTCACCACAACCATCTTCCCTTTCATCTTTCTCTCACCCGGACCCACTCTCGTAACCCTACCATCGAAACATACGAATTCAAAGCTGACTCCACCACCATAGATGCTCAAGAATGTCGGCTCCTCAGCCTCAGTGTGGTCCTTTACTTTTACCCGATGAACTACCTTCCGCTGACAACATAACTTTCCCGGAGACATCTTTCTTCAAGAAGGATGGAGCGCTCCTCCCAACGCCAGCTGAGGTTCGGGAGGCTGCTGGTCCGCAGGGGGGGATCAGACTTCCTCCGGTTTCATTCCCTACAATGAATCTCATTGTCAAATACGGCAGATACATCACGAAAGCCGAGGGCCAGTGCTTATGGGCAGTACGTCGCCTCTGTCCCAAAATCCCCGTTCCAGAGGTGTATGGCTGGTGTCAAGATGGTAAAGAAACCTTCATCTACATGCAGCTGATTGAAGGAGCTACATTGGAGCAAGAATGGCCGCGGATGATTGTGGATGAGAAGTATGAGGTGTGTGTGCAGTTGCGTGGCATGCTGGATGAACTGCGTCAACTTCGACAAGATCCCTCGGATCGATTTATTGGTACGTATGAGTTCGACGACCATCCTCTTCGAGTCGGCCGAATAACTTGTTTAATCGTGTTTACTCACTCTCCTAGGAACTATCAATCGACAGTCTGTCCAGGATGTTATCTTCGATTTTGATCATCCTTGCAAAGTTTTCTCCGATGTTACCTCATTCCACGACTGGTTCTCACGCGAGGTCATCTCTCAAATGGACCCATCAGATCCTCATGCATGGCGGCGTGGTTTATGCGACAATGTTCCAATTGTCTTCACACACGCTGATTTACATCGCAGCAACATCATGATGGCTTGGAAGAATGGCAAGCCCCGCGTCACAGCAATCCTTGATTGGCATCAGTCTGGCTGGTATCCTGCGTGCTGGGAATTTTACAAAACAAAATTCACAGCCAGGGAACGTGAACAGTGGGAGATAGATTTCATACTGGAGTTCATGCAGTCGTATACAGGATATGTCCCATGGGATTATTTCGTGCTTGCGAGAGGTAGGTGAAGGCTGAATGAAGAAACAAAGCCCATCCCTTTAACTGCCAGAAACACACTTTTACAGAGCACAGCGCTGAAGCGAGGCGTTAAGAGTCTGGTATTCACCTGTATGTAGTACAGGGCACGTAGACTAACTTTGGGCCTAGGTACCTAAAAAGTGTATTCTGAATGGCAGTAAGGGGATAACTCATGCTGTGTACGCAGTAAGTATCAAATTTTTACCTTGGCACATAGGACTAGGGCTCTTTATTTCCTCGGTCCAAGGTTGATATCTATCCTACAGCCCATTCTACGCAGAGAAAGTTAAACGCGATGGAATCTCAATGAATACAATTCCAGCCGCTCCATGGTCAGATGTATTTTTTGTTCTTAGGAACAGCATTAACCTAGACAAGAACATCGGGCGTTAATATTCGCATTTCCCCCAGCTTGGCTACCAATGAAAATGCGAGTTCAGACGTTAAATCTTTGGATTTGAACTCTGGTGCGAGGACCCATGGTTCCTTCCGGCGCTCATAAAAGCAGCGACTAAATTAGCCGAATAGAGTATTTGAAGATCTGGATTTAAAAATACTCCTTGAGAGGATACCATCTGCCGCACGATCATTAACCATTGATCATTCGTTTGCACCTACAATCGCCAAAGTATAAGCACCAGCCTCGATATGCTACATACATATCTCACCATCTAGGTATCTACCTACCCATCTACCCTGTTAAGAGGAGAGTAAACCGTAGAGCGGAGAGAAAAACCACAGCCGATCAGGCATGCATGCAATTCATTATTCAATTACTCAGTACAGATTCAACTACAAATCCAAATCCAAGCCCTTGCAATAAAATAAACCGCAACCGCAACCGCCGCCGCAGCAGATATAATATAAACGATACAGTACGAAGACATCGACATCAACATCGAAATATCCATATACCTCTCTGTGAGGTAGGTAAAGCTTGAAGCTGCCTCAAAAACAGTGGTGTTTAGGTTCTTTTACATACCTAGATGTGGATTGAAATATACCTTGGTGACTCTGTATGCTTCATCAATTGTTTTTTTTTTTCTGGTTCTCATCTCTTGAGGTGACTTGATTGGGTATGTAAATAAATAAATAAATCTCCGCTTCAAGAGGGAGGGTACTTGACGGCCTTTTGTTGGATGTATATATCTCATTATCCGTTCTCTTTGGTACAGAGGTAAGTACGTGTAAGTGATTCGATTTGATTCGATTCAATCCAATCCATGTCCATTTAATCCAAGTCCATTCAATACAATACCTGTTACTTCGTTTGTTCTGCAGGTGTACCTAGTAATTACTGATTCAACTCCACATAACACAACGTACTGTGTCTACCTAACCCGCCTGTATTACAACGAGTCTTCTCACATAGGAACAGAAACAAAAACACAAACAGAAATAGAAACATAGGATGAAAGTGGATCCAATATTCAATTATGCCATCTACCAGCAGTACATACATACAACCACTCTTCCCTCCTCCCTCCTCCCTCGTCCTATTCTCATTCCCCTTATCCCATCCTTCCATTCTCCCCTCAAGCCCGCCTTCCAATGCCTTCCATTCTCTTCTCACCTCTCCTTCCAATCTTTTCCATTCTCTTCTCACCTCTCCTCTCCAATCTATCCGATCGTCACCCCTCCCTCCCCAAACCAATATTTTGCAACCACAACCAATCAACCCCTCCACCCACCCATCCTTCCAGCAATTTATTCTAATCGCAAGCAACACTAACCCATTGCCATATTCACCATTCACCATTTCACCCAAACCATCCATTCCATTCAAATCCGATCCATTCCATTCCAATTACGTTTCCAGCAAAGACAGACAGACAAACATACAGACAGACGACCACCACCACAACACCAACACCAACTAGCAAATAGAAAAAAAAATTACAGAATGAAATGAAATGAAATGAAACGCCGTTCCTCCCCCAAGGGGAAAAAATATGATAGTACCGCCCAAACCTGGTTGATGAAGTAGAGTATATATCCATTGACCATTACCGAGCCGAGCCGAGCCGAGACGAGACGAGAAAAGGATGGAAAAACAGGAACGTCAAACTTCAGTGTGGTCGTCTACAGTCAGCCCAATGTCACCATGTGAAGGTCGAGTTTGGGGCTGTGAAAAAGCATCTTCAGAGAATAATCTGCGTTGCTTATCTCTTCCCCCCCCTGCCCCCCTCAGCAATACCGACACTTCTCTACATGGCGCAGCTCCGGAATCGATCCACCCCCAGCATCTCTATGTTCTCCTCCGTCAAACAGCTTCTGATTCGGCAAGGACTTGGTCAATCTGCCCATAGAAGAGAAGCGTCAGTCACGTATCTAATCGTCATCATAGTCCTTGTCCTTGTCACCCTTACCCGCGCCATCCTTGCGAATCGGGATCTTGATGCCCTGCGTAGCAAAGCACTTGCTGAGAGGGGTGCTCTCAACAACACCCGGGAATCGCTTGGCCGAGTAGACGGTGAACACCTCACTGAAGCAGGAGGCTAGGACAGGTGCTGAGGTCTTGTTGGGGCTCAATCCAGCTGCGGCTGATGGGTTGTTGGGTGAGACAGGGACGCCGACATTGACGAAGGAGAACCGGAGTCTGTAGCGCATGTCAGATAGTGGTTCAAGACTTTGGGAATAGAAGAGCTTACCTGAAGTTGCCTTCGGTACGGATAGAAAGATCCTGAAGGACAAACCAGATGCCAATTCGGTCATTGGGATCTGTGAGACGGAAAGCGCTGGCTGCAAGGCTTCCGATCAAATTCCGGGTGAACATACCCTGTGGTGTTGAGTTGTTGATAGGCCCTCTTCCAACTGGCATCTCATTTGGAGTGAAGGGGCGAGAGCCACCTGGACCATATTGGTGAGAGGAGACTTGTTGGCCTTGCGGATAATCCATGGATCCTGGACCCGCAGCTGGTGGATAGTAGGATGACGATGAGCTAGGCTGCGAATAGCCATTTTGTTGGGAATAACTCGTCCCATTGTTGGACGGCGGGTAGTTGTTTTGGTAGTATGATTGGGATCCAGCTTGCGAAGCAGAGTAGGGGTTTACTGACGGTCCCGCAGGAAATGGATTGTATGATGTGCCGGGAGGACCTTGTCCAGGCTCGACTTTGAAAACACTCGATTGTGGCATAATATTCGAATAGGCTGGAGTGACGGCTGGCATGACTTCTTGGTAGGAAACCGGAGTGCCCGAAGATATTGATGGGGATGTATTAGTATGCCGAACCAAGTTCACTTCATGCTGACCACTTGCAGACCAGAGGTCCGCACTAATGACGAACATGCCATGATCAATATCACTTTTGCCGTTAGCTTCGTCATAGTATGCGCGTGCTGTAACTTACTTGCAATCCACCTCCTTGCCGCTTGCGACATCGGTTATAACCAGCTGGACACATGGAGGAGGGGTAATAGGTCGCCGGTCCTGTTGCTATCAGCACCATCGAATAACCACTGAATTCCCAATACATACCTTGTCTCCAAATCCACACATGCGAGCTCTCTTGGGTTGTTGCATGACAAAAAGCCTACAATTGTAAGTCATTGACATCCAGCCTTTTCGGGACACTTACTCGTATTTCCTCCCGTCCAGAATCATGGATCGAGGTTTCGGCTCTTGAGCAGCAGGCTGGGTACCCGGAACCAATTTTGCCAACTCGGCACCATGTATCTCTTCTTGTGGGCCGGATGTAGGTGGACCTGGGGCGTAGTAGTTCCCTTGTGGTGGTTCTTGTGGAGGGCCAGAACTGGGAGGAGGTTGGGAGTAGTAATTGCTTGGTGGTCCGCTCATCTGCGATGGCATTGGAGGATACTGCGCTCCATTACCATTGGGCGCATGTCGGTATGGGTTGTTGGGGCTCGACATTGGGGGTCGAGTATCGTAGTGGGAGGGGGGTGGAGAATAATGCGGAGTGTATGAAGAGTTCATGGCGATATCCGGGCTCTACGAGCTGTGTCGAAGTTTCGAAGAAGAGACGAAATGCCCGAAGCTGTAGACAGTCTAGGCAAAAGTTGGAAGCGGCGAGTTTCTATTGTGCAGGGTAAAGCTCTCGAGTTGTGACTTAATCGCGACTGCCGCGGTCGCAACCAGGCGCAACAATTCTGGCGGAGGAACCAGACAGCGACAGAGGCTTGTCTTGTACCACGTTGCGCAGAAGTCTCGACTGGAATCTTTCGATTGTCTACGAAACGACGTTTGCGATTGATGCAATGCGATGCTCTAGGTGTCTTCCTAGAAGAAGGAAGTAGACTTTCGTCGGGAGACGAGGAGGTCTGGAGGGGCGGGCGGCGATGAGGGGGAGGTCGCGGCCAGCCGAAGCTTTATGTGATCCCGGATCAGTGTGCCAGACTGTGGGCTGTCCTTGTAGGAATTAGGAAGTGATGCGACGTGATGCTGGAGTTGTTGTAATAGTGACCAGTAAGTGAAGGTGAAGATGAAGACGAGACGAGTGGAAGTCAGGACGGAAGCTTGCTCTCGCCAGAAGTGGAGGAGAGGGAGAGGGAGTCTGTGTGGCCCGTGGCAGTCTAGCTGATAGGAGACTGGGCTGGCCTGATCTAGTGTAGTGTTCGGGGCGGAGGATTAAGTTTAGGTTAAGTTACAGCACGCCCGCACCCACGCCACGCCCACAGCCTAGGGTCCAGGTAGGTTTGGCGGTGGGTTGGGAAGCTGGAAGCTGGGAGCAGCCCGCTCGAGTCTCGACGCACAAAAGACAGAAGGATGACGATCTCCCGGAGCTTGGAGCCCGGCGTGAGCGAAGCGTGAGCGGACAGGCAGTGGTGCAGACTGTGCGTAAAGTAAGGGGGTACAACGATGCGACTAGGAGGAGTCGAGGAGGGGGTTGAGAGATCTATCTACAGTATATCTCCGTGTGCATCTGTACAGTACTGTATCAGTGTACAAACAGGGAAGAATTCGCAACAAGCCGGAGCACAAGAAAGGGGCTGCAACAGCAAATGTGCAGTGATGAAGTAAGTGAAGTGATGCGATGCGAGGAGAGGAGCAGGATATGGGGCAGTTCTTGTAGTCAGTCCTAATACCCCATGTGGATACAGCACTATACTTACTTACACTACAGTACCAGCACTAGGTATCTATCCTGGCGACCCTCTACCTTACTTATCCCCAAGGTGTCCCTAATATGTTGTCAGGTAAAGCGCGGGTCGGTCCAGAGCATCAACATGCAGAAGTATGTGCGTGCGTGCAGCAACCCTTCTGCCAGCCAGCCATACACAGGTGCCTCTTCATTAATTCCCCTCGACCCTCCGTACCCGCGAACAGGTCTGCGGGAAAGTCAAAAGGCGATCCAACAGCTCCCGTGGCTTTGGATTGGGTATTTTTACCCGTGTTTGGGTCGGCATGTCAAGGCAGCCTTACCGTGCCGTCTCCTGTTGGTTGTTGGGCGTTGGCATTTTTAATATTCTCGAAGGTGCCTGCTATTCGATCCCTCACCTCAGCTGCAGAACCGTTGCCAGGGCTGGGACTGGGGCTGGGGATGGTGCTGGGGACGGTGCTGGGACTCGGACTCGGACTCGGCCTCGGGATACCCTATTGGTGTGGGTGCTCTGCTGTGCTCTGCTGTCCTGTGCTGTGCTGTGGTGTGGTTGCATTTTCTATTTTCTTTTCAGCGACAATTGACTTGACACCTGCCAGCCATGCCCTGAATATGCTCTCCAGTAATAATGGACATGGGAGTGGTTGGAATCGCTGTGGTATGTCCTCCCGCAACCTGAACTGTTGGTTCCATTAACTTACCTTGGGTTTTGCAGGGTCTGGGGACGGACGGCCGCCATGCAGATTGTCAGAGGCGAACAGGGCAGTTGGATAACTGAAGGATTTTATCCTGGTATTAATCAAGAAATTGTTGCGATTATAGACGAAATACGCGCAAATATACCGTCTCTTACTAGTACGCGAATATGTTTAGATCAAGAGATGTTGTTGTCCCAAGAAATGTTGGCACTTGCTACCTCTTTTGTTGTGCTTGGAAGAGCCTGAACCGAGATGTCGTCGGTGGCTCAGGGGTAGAAACGTGCGAGCAGAACACAGCATACAAACGTCCCTAGCAAGCTGCAATTCTCCAAAACAACAATACCTCAAATCTGCGCAATGAATCATCTAAGGGAGCCACGCTACACGTAGGACCAGAACCAAAAAGAAGAAGAAGAGAAGAAAAAATAACGTCGTCCTTGCTTCTCGTCCTCCAGTTTTCCAGACCTGGTCGTTCTTGCAGAAATCCGGAATGGGAAAGTCCTTCGCTACACTACACAGCGACTTCCTATTGGTACCACATTTATGCCTTTGCGGAACGCACAGTCTCTCCCTGCACATCTTTCTCTTCTTCCCTCGTTCTCCTGCAAATCAAATCAACGACATCTTCTTCATTTACCCCTCATCCAAGTCCTGGAAAATCATCCTGATCGTCGTCCCATCTCTGCTCTCCTCGTCATTTTCGCCTCCCTACTCGAGATCCCAACGACCACCTGCCAAACCAGAAGTCTGCCGCAGTAAACTCCATCAATCTATCACGACAAGAACAGTCCAATCGACCCTCCAAGAGGCTTGTACCACCACGTCTCACCTCCCTGTCTCCAAGCTGCACAACACGATTTCATACATGAGCTGTGCCGCTTTTCTTACAGCCTTTTGCTCCCCTCGTTGGCCACGGAGCAGCCGTGTGCATTCCCGAGTCTACCCACTTTCGATGCCCTGGGCCGATGCGAGCATACCGCTGGCCATTAAATCTCCTGCTAAGATATTTTGTGACCGATCCTTCAGCAGCCTTGCATCCAAGAGAAGAGCGTTGCTGAAGATCGGAGTCCGGAACAGATCAAATCAATCCTCCAAGGTCCCCCTCAACTCGCTAAGAGCATCCTCCACATAACACCATTCTCTTCTCGGCACCGTTTGGCTCCTTCAAGCTCCACTTCGAAATACCAACAGCTCAGCGATCAGCTTTAATCGCTCTTTCTAACCTGAGGATTCAATCTGCCGGTCACATTTTGCCGTGTATCCAAGGCCCTCCCGAAGTGGCGACGGTGTTTGTCGAACGAACATGGCGGCTAGATACAACCAACAAAGCGGCTCAAGAATTTGGAATGCCAACAGGTTAACGTCGCTTCTATCCTCTGGTCTCTGAACGGGAAACCTTGCGAAGCTGATTAGGTATCGATCTGGGCATCCTGACCTCTCAATGGCAATCGAATTACCTCCTTGGAGGATGCATGTTTGTATGTGTCCTGTTCTGCTCTAGTGTCAGGTTCGTGCCCGTGCTTTTACGTCGTCTTGTATTGTTTTCTCAGTTCTTTCCAGTCACGTTTCTGCATCAATAAAGCTTTTCTTTACGGCCGTACGTGTGCGAGGAATCTACATGACTCTTCAATATCGGCCTTTGAATTTCCAAACATGGAGCCAGGGACGACAGATTAACCCCAGACTTGCCTCGGATATTTCAAGTGGCTAAAGTACACGTCCCTTGGAATATCACGGCCAGAATAGACACAAAAACACTGATGTCAGAACGAGGCGGTAAACGACGATATTCACAGGTGGGAATATATCAGTCCGCGAATCCCAGTTTATGAAAGCCGTCTAGGAATCCTTCGAAGGTCATATTTGTGCATCATCACCCCATGATCACGGATCCATGAGAGTGGCGGCCTATCAAGTCCAGTGTATTAGGAGTTTGTTCCCAACAACTGCATGTTGTGCATAAAGAAACACACTTTCCAGGATTTGTTCGGGAACCCTATCCCCTCTGGTATGACCACAACCTGTGGATGCTTGTTGATCTTAAACTGGCGATGTATGTTGGGATTCAGACGGTAGGCCGAGTTCCGGATCACAGTTATGGCTTCCATTCTAGGATTATCGCACATCGCAGGGCTATCATTCCTTCCTCGAAGAGTACAAGTCCCAGAAAGACGATCCCCCACGAACAGCGCCAAAGCATGGTAGCCTATACCTGTCAAGTCAGCGCCTGTCCGTTGGCAGTCGTGGGGTATCAGTTTCATTTCTGGACGACCAGCGGTGTATTCAGCTATGATATGACACAGGCTGGTCAGTCTACTACCAAGACTTTGATATTTTGACAGCATTATCCCCAGGACTGAACAGCCCCATCTTCCCCTCAAAGGCCCAAATCACCAAGAGAGGAAATGGGTCCGATATGCACGAATCTCGAATACCATCTCTTGTCCTTCCAGGCTTTCAGTGGCCGGATTAATAGTTTCGACTGGGAAAATTACCAAACGAGAAGGTGCAGGAACCCCCCAATCTTCGACGATCCTCCATTTTCAGTTTGAACCCCAGATGATGACTTGATTACTCGAGTCATTCCGGTATCCTACCCCAGAGGAAGGTACACATGACTGCTGAGAGTACGAAATACTTTCTACTGGTACCTCGACTGTTTCCAAGCTGTCCTTACTTGCTCTGCTCTCCACGGCACCTCTCAAATCTATCCTCACGCAAGGAAATAGCACATCCACAAAACTGAAGTTGATAACATTCAACTTTCAGCATACCAGCATCTTCTAAGCCCGATGTCGTCGAGGCATAGATCATATCCAATACAGCAAATCGCGCAGTGGTTTGCAAACCCCTCAGTACATTGTGGTCGAAATATCTCAGCAGGAAGATTGTCCACAAGTACCTCGTCCCCACGGTTTTCACAAGTCATGCGACGTGGCGCAAAGGTCAAAATCGAATCGAGGCACGACTCCGAACGAATGAGACTGCTCTAAATACCTGACCCGAGCGGATGGTAACAGTTCTCACTCGCTGTCTAGAACTGAACCCCTACTAGGGCAGCCGGAAGGTATCACACACCTCAATTTCTGCACACTGCATCAAAGTCATGCATGAGGAGCAGCATGAGGAGCAGCATGAGGAGCACCTGGATCCAATCATGTACCAGTCAGTACCTGGTAATAACATATTGCGCTGTTCTTCTCCCCTCTCATATCGAACAACATGACACCACATCAGACCACATCCAAAAAGTGGGAATCCTGCTATGTGATCTAGACGCAGGATTTCGTGTAACATGAAAGAGGAGGAGAAGGTCAAAGCAAAAACGCCAAATTATGCATCCAACAGCAGTTTTTCCAAATGCTCAATACCCTAGAGGAGTGAATGGGCCAAGCCAGTGATTGGTCATCGCTTAAACAGCAAGGCGGGGGACTATATTTGAAGAGAGAGGCAGATGCAGGAGGCCAGGAGTTATTTGTGTTTTGGTCTCGGTTGAGCCATGCCATGCCGGTGGTAGGCGCTTAAAGGTACATCCCTTGCAGAGAAAAGCCGCACTAAAGCCGCCTTTTCAATCATAGGACCGCCCAGTAATGCAAGGATACGAACATGGGTAGGAGAGGAGTGTTTTAAGAACTGGATGTTGGGTTGGGTTGGATTGGATTGGATTGGATTGGAAATCCCATGCCTGAAAGCTTGGAGGAGATGATTGCTCGAAAGATACTCCTATATTGGGTGTGTTGATCGCTGGCTCGCTCGCTCGCTCGCTCCGGCTGAGTGTAGAATCTCATTTCGCCCCTCCCCCCTCCCTTCTTACTTACTGAGCTTACCCTAGCTGAAACTAGATCCGCTCAGGGCTGGGCATGCGGACTCGGGCTCGGGGTCCCTTTCCGAATCAATCAAGGGAGTGAAGCTCGCGCGATGCGAGTAGATACTCTAAGGAGAACAAAAATATGGTTCCCGGGACCAGAGGGAATCCAGACCAGATCAGCCCAGACTTCCCCACTAATCATTCTATTACTTCATTGATATCTTTGTACTCGAGGTAGGTAAAGAGGAGAGCAGTGAGTGAGGACTGAGGGAGGAATGCTTGCGACTCGTCCGTGTCCCCGGGCTTGCTTACTTATACTTGCCTGGTGATTGAGAGTGCGGGGTGTGGGGTATGTATGTGGGTGAGGTGGCGAGTTGGCGAGTGGGGAAGTTGAGAATTTGGAAGTTGGGAAGTTGGAAAGTTGGGAAGTTGGAAAGTTGGGAAGTTGGAAGCTGGCAAGTGGGAGTAAACAAGGGAAGTTGCGATGCGAAAGAGGAACTTAGGGAGTGAGTGAATGGACGGATAATTAAGTGAGTGGGTAAATAAATGAGTGGATGAGTGAGTGAATCAATGAATGAATGACCGAATGAATGAATAAAAACATGGAAGAGGGAGGAGGAGGGAGGGGAAAAACACACAGAGAGAGAGACAGAGGATATACCATGAATTCCATATACATATGTCACACTACATCATGCTAACTGTTTCGATGGTAAGTCTCTACAGTAAAGCAGAAGCCCGGATATATTTGTATCAATCACAGCTGTTGAGCCAGCATTGCGAGGCTGGATACAGCACGTAGCGAAGTTTGTTTGGGGGACTTTGAGAAGAGTATCGATGTAAATATCAGTATTCAATAACAACAATTGTGGAGGAGAATCACGATAGCGAGCTAGCACAGACAGAATGACTGGTTCTGTTGGGTGACAAATGACGAATGACGAATGACGAATGACGATACTGAAATTTGAGAAGAGGTGCTGCGCTTTGAGATTACGCAGCGAAGATTCGGACTTTGAGTTCAAAATTTGGAGATTTGGAGGTTTTCTTGCTTCGCTCTCCTTTTTTTTTTTTTTTTTTTTCTCTTTCTCCGAACTTAGTCCTGTTTCGTTTTGATGAGAGACGGATATTGTTTTGATGTTGAAATTGATGGGATTGGTATCGATATCGGTATCGCTGCCGTTGGTGAGTTGGTAAGTAAGTAAGTGGGTGAGTGAGTTAGTGAGTGAGTGAGTGAGTGAGTGAGTGAGTGGGTGAGTGAGTGGGTGAGTGAGTGGGTGAGTGAGTGTGGGAGTAGTTGGCCATCATACCGATATGTCGTAGAGTTGTAGCTTAACTCAAGAGTCGCTTTTCAACACCTACGCAAGGTGAGGTGAGGTAAGGTAGGGTGAGGGTGAGGGTGAGGTGAGGAAAAGGAGGGTAGTAGACCGGATGTGAAATGCGAAGGTGAGTGTGAGTAGACGTGAGATTTGTATCGACAAATTTTATCTTTGGGGCGAAGGATTAGCTGGTAATGAATGAATGGGCTTGGTCCTGGTCTGTTTTGGCCTGGCCTATTTTGGTCTGCTTATTGGACTGGTGATTTAGCGAGGATAGCTGATTGAACTGGCTGTGAGAGGGAGAGGGAGAGGGAGAAGGTGAGGGATGAGGGATCGCGTAGATGAGGGCCGGCGGGCTGGCTTGGAAAGGGGTGAAGGGAAACGGAAGGAAAGATCTCTTCTTTATCTGAATTTACTTCCTTCCTCAGCTGTGATCTAAGTCGAGCCATTCTTATTCTTTTCTATTGTATCCCATCGAAAATCTCAACTCTCTGTCTATTCAAAGTTTTCCATCTATCCATCCTTCCATCCATCTCCACACTTCTCCCCACCCCCCAATATCTCAAGCCTTTCGTCACAAGACCAGTATTCCATCCGCTCGCCTGTCCATTTCTGTATTCTCACCCACTTCCACTTCCACTTCCACTTCCACGAGATTTAGACTTAGATCTGGAATGAGTAGCAAGTAGTAATAAAAACAAGGAGTAATAAGTATACAAATACAGATCCGGATCCAGGTACAAGCAGAGGAATTGAAATCAGCTCTGGAACTTTAGAGTTTGTACTTTAGAATATGAGAGTAAGAGTTGGAGGTCTAGGGTGGATGTGAAAAGGGGGGGATAGTGATTGGGCATGATATAACATAGGCTGTAAGTAGATGTAGTCATAGCATCGTCGATTTGGCTGGGAGGCGAGGTGAAGGACAGAGCTTGTTTGCTTGTTTACTTGGCTTGTAAGTATATATTGCATAGGAAACATATGGAATGGAATGGAATGGAATGAATATTAAGTAGCGTTTCTTTCGATTACGCCTATGCGTGTACCTGCTGGAATTAGGCGAAGAGGTGATTGATATGTTTGAGACTAGCATTGAACAAGAAAACATCTCCAAAGTTGCTCCTCAGGAAGCTTGATTCTGTCGCGGAGCATGTTGTACATATATGGGCAAGGAGAGGAGCAAAGGGGGAAATGTAAGAGAGATCGCCAACGTTTGGTGGTAGAGACTGGTAGATTATGTGTATATGTATGTGTATATCTGTGCATAGATGACCGAGGAGGTCGAAATAACCTTGAGGGGAATAGTACAGGCGAATGATTGGAGGTGATTGAATGGACACAGGCAGAGGTGAGAGGAGATGAGTTGGACTGGATTGGAATACAGTAGACTGAGACTGAGACTCAAGAGAGAATTGTGGAAAATCGGTAAGGTGAGGATTAGGATACATGTATGGAGAACGAAAAGCTGTAGATCGGTTGGAACATGGCTTTGCTCGTAGAGATTGGAAATTTCGAATAGTGACTAGAACAGAAAATGAATGGGCATTTAAGATGAAGATTGATTAAGGCGAGGTAATGCACTGAAACACAAAATACAAAACGCCGGGTATCTGACCCTTCCAAAGGAAATCCATTTCCTTTCCCTCTCGGTCCAAAAACATGCAAGTAAACCTCCCCCAACGAAATTACTCTCCTCAATCTCCCATATCCACCCAAACCTTTCCTTTCCTCTCCCCTCTCCACTCTCCCCTCCCTTCTCCACTCTCCCCCGCCCAGCTTATTTCCCAATCTTCCCCATCAACCACTCCTTCCCCCTATCCGCAAGCCCCTTACTCTTCTCCGCATCACCAGCTGCATTCTTTCCCCCCGCCTTATTCGCACTCGCGGCCCCTCCTCCCCCGGGAACCAGCACCTCCCTCTCCCGCCCATCCTCACTCCTGTCATCGCCCACGGCACTCTCCCACTTGGCGTTGTCCTTCTTTGCGTTCTCGACGTCGGCTGCCGACGGCTTGAATACGTTTGCTGCGCCGCCGCGCCCGACGTGTGTGTTGTTGTTGGATTCGCGGCGGGGGTGGCTGTTGGGGGGTGTTAGTTTTGGTGGTGGGGGTTTTGGTAGGTGGAATTGGAATGGGAGAGGGGGAGGGGAGGGAAGGGGGGTGGGGGGGATGTGCTTTTGAGGGGGTCCGAGGAGAATTGAAGAGAACTGAGGAGGGGAAAGGAATGGGAAGGGGGGGGGGGGGGGGGAATAAGAACAACATACGCAACAACATCCTGTGCGCGTCTTGCTTCCTGCGCATCGGTGTTCTTGGCCATGTTTCCACTTCCTCCGCGGCCGGTGGTGTACATTTCGCTTTTAAGGGTGGGAGTCTCGAGGTTGAGAGGTTCATTGTCTGTGGCTGAGATGCCGATGTTGCCTGTTTGTTTACATTTTATTAGTTATCTGTTTCTTTCCTTCTCTCGTCTCTCTTCTCTCTTTCATAATCGTGTGAATTTTGCGCTCGGTTGAGTTTCCTTCGCTTCTGCGCCTGCTCAAGCATAGGACCGGAAGCGATGATTTGCGCCTTGTTGAGTTGCGCTTGAGCACTAGGGTTCTTGGCTTGGGCACCCTAGAGCTCTGTTTGGAATGAGGAATGGAGAGAATCGGAGAGAGGTGGAAATGAGACATGTAGTGACGTACCCGCTCCGCCGCGACCGTGGGAGAGTTGTGCTCTCTTCTGAGAGTTGTTGCTATCTCTGCGACCGGTCTCGCTGAGTGATTTGGGGACTGCAGCCATGTTTTGCGATTTCTGGCTGGCTTGATTCTTTGTTTCTTGTGGGGGTTTCCGTCGCAATGCGATTGTGATCAAGATCAGGATGGAGCTACTGTAGCTGTTGGCGCAAAGGGATTCGACTTGGTTGAGACTTGTGGCGGGGTAGTGTAAGATATCGACAATGAGGGTATCGTGAATCTTTGCTGTGAGTCGAGGTTGAAGTGATGGCGCAGTGAAGGCTTCCACTTGAAAATGAATATCCGTCCGTGAATAGAGAAAGGAAGAGAGAAGCAAGGAAGGAAGAAGAAAAGTGCAACAGGGCAGATGGCCCAAAGCTATATAGCTTCCCAACTACTTGGTCAGTCACACCTCACAAAAGTGCAAGGCTACGGAAAGGCTTCCCTTCCCCCCTCAAGCCAAGGTACTAACCTTAACCCTCTCGCAGGCCAGCAGAAAAAACCATGGTACACTACGGAGTACTGGCACGGAGTTGTAGTAGCACAGCATTGGCATCCATCCTAGCCTCAATCTCCCCCCTCCAGCCTCTCCCAGGAATCCATTACTTAACGAGTACAGTATGCTCTCCGCCCCGTCAACCACAACGAACAACACGCCAAAAAAAAATTCCAAACGGAATACAAGTTTGGAAAATTGCACTTTGTAAATCTTCAATACTGCCCAGGCGGTGAGACCGTGAAACCCTAGAGACTAAATTAAATTTACCTTGCCTTGAGAGCCCCAAGAGACTAAACTCGTGGTCGGGTCGAGAGGGAGGGCCAGAATAATAATGCGGGGAGGGCGACGCAGAGAATGACGAGCTAAACGTAATGGAAATCGCGAGACCCAGCTACGCACTAAACAGCCTGAAGGATGGCGCCATCGCTCTGGGAGGTGTCATGTGCGACCTTGTCAATAATCTCTTCTTCAGCCTCTTCTTGGGCCTTTCTGGAATAATAGTGGCCTGCGTTCTGTTGCTTGCGCGATGTCTTGTTGATGCTTGAGGAGCAAGCCAACACAGATAGCTTGATAAAGTGAGGACCGACGTCAAAGACACCTCAACACTACGGTGGGTAGGGCTGCGGTTGCATTGCATGAGCCGGCTCCGGCTCCAGATCTGGATCTGGATCTAAGGACTTGACAGCGGGCGGGCCTACCTATCTGCCTGCCCTGCATGGTGAGTTATTCCTGGATATCTGGGGTTACGTATACCCGTGGGATGCAAAATTTTCGAATTGATGGGGACGAAGACATGTCGTTGAGTCGCATGAGCTGCAGAGCTTTCTTTTCTTTTTTTTTTTGCTGGGCTTGTGCACTGCTGTGGAGCTGCTGGAAATCTGGGGAACTGGAGCTTGAAGCGAGCATTTTACAGGGGCGGTCGGGAGTGTTCAGGGGCTTTCGGGCGGGTTAGCGAGGAACTGTCTGTCCAGGGACGGCGGGGAGAGGTTTGTGGAGTAACTGACTAGCATGAGATGGCGAGAGCAACATGGTCTCTTGTTTAGTCCCATTCGAAATTTGTCTTTGGTAATTCGTAGAAATGCCTCATCTATAGCTATATTCCCATCTATTCAAACAAACTCCATAGACCTTCTCCGAGGAGATATCATACTCTGATATCACATCGTACTGTTACAACAAGACGAGCTCCCATACCAGTTCCCATCGTACAAGATTCTCTTGTCCCGACATTCTCTTCGCTTAAGTCGCTTCGAGTGGCTTCCAATCAAACAATCAAGCAACCATTTCAATCATCATCATCCTTTCCACTGCTGTAGCCAAAATCCCCGAGGTCATCGCTGTACTCACCCAGCAAGACATCATCCTGACCAGGTCCACCAAGAACACCTTTATCCGTATTCCGGACCCATTCCGTCTCGACCCGGAAGAATATCCATATCCATCTCCTACCCACCTCCAAGAATTCCATCAGGAAGATCCCGCTCTCGAAATCTGCAAAGTGGTCTAGATGAGGCGAGAGTTTCAGGGACCATGTACAGCGGAGCAGGAGGTCGAGAACAATGACGATATAGTAGAGTTCCTTGGTGTGGAAAAACAGGCGTTGTCGTAGACCAAAAGGTATATTGTGTGGTGCCTTTGATGGAGACCGGAGTGCTGAGAACAGCGTGAGATCCCAATCTTTAGCTACGTCCCAGTAGAAGCTGTATAGAGAGTTGACGATGACTGCCAGGAGCCACGCGCGATATAGTGACTTCTCAGTCAACCCGACTGCGTCATGGTTGAGGGTCATGTTCCGCTGTAGAGCGGAAAGTATGATCACTGGAAAAGCCGACGAATATTTCAGCGCATTGGCTAGATGTTGTCCTCCCCAACCTTGCGATCCAATTCCACCATTCCTACGATTCGCAGCTCTCACACGGACGTATTCGATCAGACATTGTCGAAGTCGGATCAGGGACGGGATTGCGATTATGATTGGGACCAGGTACTGCCCTCCGCACGCACGATCGGGGCGCTTTGTTGCAGAACCATTGTGCGAGAAGAACATGCAGAGTGATACGAATAGGTCTGCAATTATCTTTGCGTAGGACGTGAGGACATCTGCGAGGAGAATGTCGCCGAATTTCCCATCATGAGCTTGGGCGAGGCCGCCAATTGACACTCGCCGTAATGTTTGCAGGAACCGGCTTCGTCCGGTCGAGGAGAATCGTCGCGGGAGGAAGAATATGATGAGAAGTAGGAGGAGGAGCGAGACCGGGAGGAAGTCGTAGTATATAACTAGTGTGGGGTTGCGATGTGAGAGAGCCCAGAAGAGGAGGATCGAGAGGGAGAAGGGGAGCGTGAGTAAGAGGGCTAGGCGGTATGTTGAGAGATGGTGCGGGAGGTCTGTTCGAGGAGATGCTCGTTGTGGATAGTGAATGAGAGATGGGACATCCTGTGGAATACATCAGTGACTGCTGGGATAGCAAGGGAGGCAGAGTGAAGACAGGAAAGGGGGACCAACGATTTTGACGAGAGAGAGATAATGTAGATTTGCTCCCCAAGCCCAAACACCTGAGTTATTGTCAGCCATACTTTCGTGGTTCTACAGCAGATCCTGTACCTAAAACTACAACCAATGCCACGCGATATGGCAGAGGGAGTGTCAGACTGAAGGAGTCGAGCTCTGGCTCGACGGCCGGGTCTCCATCCATTGTTACCGCTGTAAATAACGCCGCATCGAAGGATACCTTAATCCCGAAGCGAACGAAAGAGTGACTGCAGCGAGAAGAAGCGTAGGGTTGTGTTGAGAATAGGTGATAGCTGAGAGATAGGGAGGATTGGAGAGAAGGCTACGTACACGTACACACGACCAGCAGCCTCGAATCGGGAAATAAATTCTGGCCAAGCCACAACAATTGCACGGCCACATGTGGCACCAGCGGGCCGATCACATTGACAGGCGTGCCGAGGTCAACTTGAGACAGTATCTCGCGCAACATCATGTCCAGAACCAACAACACGACTCAGCACTGGATAGAATACCCTCAACATGTCAGATCACGTATAAGATAATGCGTCAGAGACGCCAACATTCAATTATCCATTCGCGGCGGCTCCCGATATTATTCGCGCGCATCAAAAAGATTCCTACTTTGAGGGCATCCTTCTGAACCATCTCTCGAACCTTCTGCACCGACTCTACGGTGCACGATTCCTACACAAATACACCACCGACAAACCAAATTATACGAAGCCAGAACCCGAGTTGCGAAAGCTGCAGGGTGTTCCCTCTAAAGCCGAATCTATAAGTCAAGTCCCAAATCGGTCTATCAAACATCATCTCCGTCACAATCCTGTGTATCTTGAGTGTCTTGCTGCGGTCCATCGTTCGATGAAATCGGCGACATGAGCTGCGATTCTCCATTCGGCCGACTCTGTGATGACTTGTTTGGCGGCTGCTGTGCAAGTGCATTCTCAATCACCCCTTTCAAAGACTCCGTAGTCTGGAGGAGGGATCTCATTGTCTGCTGCATGTTCTCGGTATACTCTGAGTACTCAGATATCTCTTGACGAAGCTCCTCAACTAGCTCCTTGTTTCGAGCTCGCCAAGCGGCTTGTGACACTCTGTTCTGCTTCCGCCTTCTAGCTACAGCTTCTGCTGATGGGCGTCGGGGGCCGCGTGAGCTCCCCTCGGTGATTTTGTCTGATTTGGTAGTGGTTGGTGAAAAGTCGCCGGTTGAGATTGAGTCACCTTGAATGCTACCACCCCATTCCGAATACGCCACGCTGGGGGGCTCTCCGATGAGATTGCCAGTAAATTGAGGAGCTGTAGTGTTTATCTGCAAATATTAGTCTATTGGCCATGAAAAGGTTTCATGAGTTTTACCGTCAATGGATTCGCCGACGACTCAAAGAAGCCACCGGCTTCTAGAGGGACAGTGTCCAGATTTTGTTGATAGAATGTAGCACCGTTCCAGTAGCTGTCTTGATTGTATTCAAATGCCATTGCGAGTTCCGATATTTCAATTGTGGAGTCGAGTTCTGGATGCCTAGAGCTACCTAAGTTGAGTGTTCAGTTTATCTATATATCAATTAGCTATCGATGCCAGCCTTGTATAGATGCAGCCACCGCTGGCGTAGTATCGTACGATCGACGATCGACAGAACAGGATGTGGACTTCCCTTTGCGGCCATAGCTCGGCCGGACTCCTACCGATAGGTTAGGACATTGTTCATAAATTATGCTCAAATCCTCAAGCTTCAAGACGATTTCACTCATTAAGCTTCTCCAATGGCTGTTGTAGCTTTGTTGCCCGCAAATACACTTACCGCCTAGCTGCCGAGAGGGGGCGTTCCAATCGCACCGAGCTGACAGTGCGTTGCGGAGTTAGTCAGCCTTTACAGTTGGATCTAGGCCCGCCAGCTATCCTCCCACGAATCACTCAATCCCGGTCTTGCATATGAAATGTAATCAAAAAGTCCAAAACGAACGGTGCAGCCAGAAGCTACACTTTATTGACGTTGGACCCCGTGATGTGACTGTGCACGGTGCAATCGGGGCGGCTTCAACCTTGCAACTTATCGGCTCCTGGCGGTGAAGCTATTCCCAACAGTCCGGGTGAGCCTCAATCCTTCATTGGCAATGCTTATATTGATGGACATTGCTTGCTTTACGAAGAAGTTTTGTTGACATCATAAACACAATATCTGTCCTGGTTACTACCATGCTGGGAAAGGGGGATATTCGCTTTTTGGCAGATTGGTGGCTGACGTTAACGTGAATCCTTCCGTACAGCGCGCCTATCACGAAAGCTAGTTCGAACTAGGCGCCCGTCATATATTGCGGTAAGGATACTGCTCCCCTCCTTTGTGCTAGCAGGCTGCGTTATCTCCAAATCTGTGGCCCATTTCATTGGACAACAAAGCTTGTCTCTCGTGCGCTTAGAGGAGTGTACATGCAGTCGACGTCTAAGCTCCGATCCCTGGGTTGTTCGTGGCACAGCTCTCATCAGGCTAAATGCCCAGCTGCGGAAACGTTACCGAGGACTCCACTACACTTCAAACAGCTATCTCCATCTCGGATGGGGCTCCACTTTGGACATAGCTGGCCTCACTTGTTAATGGTTCTCCTTTGGGTCAACTTCTTGGAGGCTCCCATTCAATAGATATGAGCGACTCTTCAAGCCCACAGTCGGGGAGCAGTGGGGGAGAGGGAGGGACAAGCCTCGCGGCTACACAGCTGGAATGGATGCAGGTTGAAGCCGTACCAAACATACACGGTCGGTACCACCAGAGCTTGAATCCGTTTCATAACGAAACTTAACTAATATATCCTGATCCAGTCAACTCGCCTGGCTCTCAACGGGAAGTGGTACGATACCCAGTCACTAAGCGACACAAGCACTGCGTTTTTGAATACAGTGCATGCTAACACATCAATCAAATCACAGGACCTTCACTTTGTGACAGAGACAGGAGTTGCAAGGCCCAGGGGTACTTTCCGAAATTTGAGTATGTGGAAGCTTTCTCTGGTTGATCCACTTACAACGCGGTATCAACCATTTCAGTCAGAACCATTGTCACACTCCTCACCAACCGCATTCGCCACCCACCTCACCGTCTCCGAACACGATATATGCTGATACCATAGTCATGCAGTTCGATCCCAAGCACGACGCAAGCTGCGTCATCGAGCCAGCCCGTCTAAAAGAGCAAGATTGAAATCGACTGGAGACGACGAACATACCGGGACAGAGCAGCAACTCCCACCTGCAAAACTGACCAATATTATTGCTCCGCTCGTTCGGTGTCCCGAGGACAATTCGCACGACCCTTTTGACTCGATGGTCATTGGGAAACGAGGCAGGACGCACTTCTACATCAAGCATTGTGAGTTCACTATCGTGCCATTATGATATCACATCTGCCATTAAACTGCTATGAAAGTGCTGACTGTTGAATGTAGACTACATCACATTCAAACACACGTACCCAAGCGATGTCATGACTAATAAGGCAAAGAAGGATATTGCCATGCGGCATGCCATGGTTGATCCATCTTTCTTTCATGCCACTCTTTTCCATTCCGCCTTGAACCTTTGCAGGATACGAGGTACATCATTTAGTCGAGATGTTTACTACCACCATGGAGAGTCGATCCGAATCATCAATAGAAAGTTAAGCGATCCGAAGTTCTGGAAGGTCTCGGACATTACTCTCCTGACTGTTGCATGTCTGCTTCATTTTGAGGTATATTCTCTGGCCAACCACTTTCCGCGTCGTGAAACTGATTGTTTAGATCCTTGCAGACTTTGGCTTCAATGGCGTCCGAGCTGGTCTTGAGACACATGAAGCTAAGATTCACTTTGATGGCTTGCAAGCCATGGTGAACGGGAGAGGCGGCTTGGAGAAGATATCAAAGGAATTCGTTAGTGGCAAAAGTGCTAACACTTTTGTTGCATGGTAAGCCCTTCCTACATGAGATTGGACGCCATCTAATTCCCTCAGGACTGACACGTGTGTATCGATTGCGCTGAACATTCGGCCACGATTCGAGCTTGTTCAAGGCGAGGAGGAAAAGGGTGACGATGACTGGACTCCATACAGTGCCCTCGCACGTCGATATCAATCCAAACTGAACAACCTTACTGGCAATGAAGAACTGGCTGGGGAATGTGTACACATCTACTCGACTTTACGAAACGTCCCTCCCATTCAAGAAGATGATGCACTCGCCATGATCGAGAAGGGTAATCCGACACCAGTGTTCCAGTACAAAGGTCAACTCGAACGCCACGAACGCCGAAGTCTAGCTCTCATCCTTTCAGCCTCAGAGTCCTCCAATCACGAAAAAAGCCTCCTAATTTACCAACTCTTCGGCAATGCTTCCCTAATCCACACCCTCCTATTCATGCGCAATTCCCCCGCCAGTGTCCCCCTCTCCCGCCTCCTTTCATATCGCATCCACAAACTCCTCACCACCATCGACCTCCACGCGTACCTCCTGCAGTACCCTGAAATGCTCCTCTGGATCTTAATCATGGGCGGTCTTGGCGCGGCAAACACACCGACCCAACAGAATTTCGCCGCTACCCTCGCTGAATCCTGCCTTGCGCTAGGACTCGTGGGAATCAGTGAAATAGCACTCATGCTAGAGGACTTCCTCTGGTACGAACTCTATTGCACTCCTCTAACAATGGCGTTCTGGAGCGCTGTCGCGGCTGAGCAGGGTGTGGGGGAGAGGAATGTGGTTGTTAGTACTAACGACAGGTCTCCTAAAGTCACGAAACTGGGTTGAGATTTGGACAGAAACAGGAAAACGAAAAATGTGTCAATGGGAAATAAGGTTACAAAATTTCAAGGCGTTTGGACGATTGCAGGCGCCGCTGGTGTCATTGTGCTTAGGTAGCGTATATGGAAATACCCCACATTCAAAGATCATGTCCAATATCAAAAATGCTTCTATGCCACGGATGTAGAGGTAAAGTCAAATGGAAACACACCACAAAATGCCATTTCGGATATAGAGACTGTCAATTGCGCCGATGTACAATTTGAACTTAATTTTAGCTTACCCCACTATCAAATGCCATATTGCATGCAGAAAGACAGCTATCTATCATTGCACCGATGTACGAGAGAGTTCACACCTTTCAAGTTAAAGTTTCGCCTAATCTCTATCCAACACAAGCCCTCTCCCTCTCCCTCGCTACTCACCGAACGGACCAAACCTCTCGTGCTTAACTCAGGGGTCTCGGTGCCACTGATGAAATGATACCTGCCTAGTCGCGGCACGGTACATAAGGCTTCTCACTAGACGATAAGCACCACTGTTTGAGAGCTTGTTAAGACAGACAGGCAGAGAGACAAACAGAAATAGCGCAGGGCTACTATTTCGCTACACTGCAGCCACGATAGTACTTGCGTGTACTGTACTGTAGGTCGGCGAAGTTACAGTACATGACAAGGCTTAGCTCTGTACGACTTCGCCGACCCTTGTCTTGTTTTGTGTATTTATGGGGAGATGGAGGCGCCCTAGTTGCATACACGACATCTGCATCTCGCTTAGCTACGCTCCTTCGAGTCGAGTCCTCGAGTAGAGCAGAGTCAGGTCGATGGTGACAAGACTGAAGCTTGAAGCTTGAAGCTTGAACACTGGAGCCTCCTTCTTAGCCTCAAAGCTTTACTGTGCAGTAGATAGCTGGTATATCCAACCACTCCTGTTGCAATGATACCGCTGTCACTTGGAGCTCGAGGATTGGGGACCGTTGTTCCCACCTGCAACTCTACGTCATGATTGTGTGGGACGGAGAATATCCCGCCTGGATGGATATCTGGTAGGGCTTTGACAGCCGAGCATGTGGATGGGGGTGGGAGCTTGCGAAGCTAGTGTTTCAGGTTAGGTAGGCGGGGGTTTCTATTCTCGGTAGGGTCGTGCAGCTTGCAGGTTGCAACGAGGGGTAAGAGTAGGGTGGCTTTTTACGTGAAGCTGCAGAGATAAGGTGGGAGATAAGGCTGCAGGCTGGATGCAACGCCGAATAGGTCTAGGTCATATTATGTTTGTTGATCAATCTTGTAATTGTATGGAAGATGTGTGGTATGTCAGTTACCAGCTCGAAGCCAATCGCTTGAGGACTGCAGTGCCAAGGCTCCTCTTCTGATTGAATGCCTCCTGTAGATAGATGGTGTTCTGTAGATGGATGGTGTTTTTGTACGAACGCCAGTAGTATAGCTACATCTTGAGATACTAGATCGTGAGGTAGCATCGAAATTAGCTACCTGACGGAAAGCTGTTGTGAAAGGTTTATCAAGTTTGAGCATGTTCGTGCAGTTAATGGGCGTGAAGGCAAACACTCCATCGTTTCTCAAAGTCGCAGAGAGATGTGTAATCGCTGACAACAACCATCATACAGCGGCGACGACGATGTTTGATTATTATGTTATGAAGCTGATGTATCACCCCATAAGAGAAACGCATCGATATGTTCAGGTGACAATGCAGTCTCCTTGACGGACAGTGAGGCCTGAAAATGTCAACAATCGCTCGCTAATTTTCAAGGGTCGGGCCTCAGCCTGCCCCTCAATTGCTTGCCCCACTTGTATTTCTGACCATCTCTTCCAAAATAAGAAATAGGTAGTTAAACTGGAATATTGGAGGAGCCTAGGAGATCTAAGAGTCTCAGTGTCCTTAGAATAAGGAGTAGGTATAATACCTCTAGGGTTAATAGCTGAGGACAGAAAGCTATAAATGACAGCAGAAACAAGAATATCGGATACCAAGTGGCTTTGGGGACGCTGACATAATTCGTGCGATAATAATGGAACCGAGGATTGTTCTGTTGGGGTGGGGAATTACTCACGAGAGACCCCGCCTCCAAGCTCCACCATTTTAGGTGGCGTCACGTGAGGAACCTGTCTTCACTGAACTTCACTCGATCTCGTCGGCATCCTACGAATAATGCCAGTATTCTGCCAATGCCTCCCAACGTCGTGTCACCCACTCCAATGTCCCGTGCTCAGTCAATGACATCCGTATCGAGATGATTAGATACTCCACGTTCTCAGGATCCTCAAAATGGAAGATAGACCATTGAGATCACCAAGCAGCTCGAATACTGCCGAAAAGGATGGACCTGGGTCTCAAAAGCAAGCAGCCTGCTTGAATTGCAGGAAAAGCAAGACTCGCTGCTTGCGTAATGCTGCTGAAGACATACGCTGCAAGAAATGTGCGCAGACTGGGGCGGAATGCATTGTTCCGGATTACCGTGTCGGACGAAAGAAAGGCATCAAAAAGTATTGCCATTCAACAACGTCAATCCGTTGAATATCCACTAACGAGAAATCCAGTAAGAGAGATGGACTCGAGAAGGCAGTATACCGCATCGAGCAAGCCATCAAAAGATCCAGGACCCAAGGCCCAGATGAAGAGCAGAACACACAGCATCTTCAAGCACTCCTAACTGAAGCCCAGGGGTTGCTCCCAGCGAGCACTTCACAAACTCTGGACCTGAGCCCGCGTACAGACCAATCTCAGGGTCATCAGAGAGACCAAAATATGAGCCCTCCACAGCCATCTCAGGGTCATGCTCATGGTCTGCCCAACATGTCTCCGGGCCAAAGGAGCCTTCAGAGTGCCCACCATATAACAGGAAGTCTGAACGGTTCTCAAGCCCTGCGATCAGGAATCCCAAATAACTCATTCAGGGGATCAGCCACCGAGACGGAAAGTCCGGACGACAACTTCTCGGTCCATGATGCCGAAAATCCTCTGCAATTGCTCGCGCGAGCATCAGATCTATCAGCTCCCAACAAGCAGACCTCCTATCTTAGCCCACCACGATTTCCGGGTGCTGTTGGAGACCAGCAATTACGGGATTTCTTCGGGCCCTTTCGTCCGAGTTTGGACGTCGGCGAGGATATCGACCCGATAGAATTGGGACTTGTAACAGAAGAAGAGGCATCCATTCTGTTCGCCTAGTGAGAAGAAGTCATAACTTTTATCTGAGCAACTCACTGATACTTGTAGCTTTCATGACAATCTTGCACATACTAGGTGGGGCTTGGACCCGCTCCTCCATACCCCGCAATTCGTACGCAAGCAGTCAGCTTTCCTGTTTACGTCGATTATGGCAGCATCAGCGTTGTTTATGCCAACTGCATCTGCTGTATCCAGAAGACTTTCAGCTCATTGCAAACTTCTGGCCCGGGAGCTCATGACGAAACGGAATCGGTCTCCCGAAATTGTCTTGGGATTCATGGTCAATATCCCATGGATGGCACCTGGTGAGCACTGGTCAGACGACGGGACTTGCGCATATATGGCTTCTGCTCTGACTATCGCTATGGACATCTCACTGAATAAACTCATTGTTCCATCTCCGAGTGACTCTCTGACCGGAATCCATGAGGGTAAGCCACCCTCTGACTGGATCACTGCCAAGAAAGCATTGGAGCTTGATGGCTTCTCGGACGTAGATCCAAACTCGGATTTCGGGAAGAGACTCCTCCGTCGACGCGAAAGAATTTGGCTTGCGTTGTTTGTGCTCGATCGAGGGGTTTGTCTGGCAAGAGGCAGGAGTTTCACAGTGCCCGTGACCACCATTATTGAGCGTTGTGACAACTGGCACAAGTCGGCAATCGCAGATACATGGGATGGCTCAATAATTTCATCTACTGTGCTTCGAAGAGATCTTGTATGTTTCCAGCTTGCCATGGAATATAATTGCTGACATTTGCAGGCGACTTTGATATCCGAAGTAAAGAAAACCTGTGACAGCCAAATCGTTAGTGGTAACTCGATTGCTCAATCACTCCAGGGAATGATTGATGGGTTCTTCAACAACTGGTACGCGACATGGGCATTTGCCATAGGAGGGATGAAAGACAACTCGATCCCACCATACGTCGAAATCTTGGTCACGCATGGTCGGCTATCAATATACAGCAGCGTCATCAACCATCCTACAGCACCAGTCGAGGTTAAAAGCTTCCTGCGCGCTGCAGGACTCTCGTCGGCTCTGAATGTCCTTCGCGCAGCCGTCCAAGGGGAAAATCGACTTAAATCAATGCCGAATAACACTTCAATCATGATATCATTTGCTGCATGCTTTGCATTCTATCTCAGCACCACCGGTTCAATGGGTAGTATGAGCTTGGCACCCAGTATTCGCCGGCTCATCGAGGAGTCTGCGGATGTTCTGGAGAGGCTTGGATCCAATCCACCTCATCGGAACGGGACCGCTGCACTGTACGGCAGGCACCTTCGCGAAGTTATAGGAACATCCGTTCCGGGATCAGAGTACGGCCAAAGCCAAGTTCAGGCCACTTATCCTGTACCTCAGAATGTCCAGCAGCCGATGCAAGCTTACCAAAACCAGCCAAATATTCCTCAACTGGAAATGTCAGAACTCCTCAACTTCTCTTCCATGTCGGATGACCAGATCAATGAAGCAATTAATAATGCTGGAAAAGAGCTGGATATGTACATACCGAATTTACAGATGGAGGATCAGGGTGCTTTGGACTGGCTCGTAAGTTTTCTTACCTATCCACATCGCTCGAAGCAATTAGGCTCAAGCAGCCATGAAAGTTATGTTACAAAAACCATTCTTACTAATCTATTCACGTAGGATTGGTTCAACATGGATATTAATGTTAATGGATAGGGTCATAGCGTAGACATGTGCAAGCGGTGATTGGAGACAAGCATTTGCCAACTACTTGGTTCAGTACATCAAGTACCATCGGGCCGACGGAATTGACATCACGCATCTTAGTTTACTGATCAAGTCAGAGTTTGCGTGAGTGCGTTCTTCACTTCAAACTTCTGTCTGATTGTCCGCAGCGCCTGCTACGCTGGGCTCCTGCTGTGTCGAACCCAAGCAGCATCATTCACCAAGACGCTGTCCCCGCCCTCGCAGCCGCCTTTCTCTATCACTGTCAATCGCTGTTACTTGGGAAGGCTGTGGCAATGAAGGGCCAAGAAATTCCAGCTCAAATCCGCCGGAGTCAAATCACCCATGTCAACCATCATTTTCTCACGCATACAACAGTGGAATTAACCCTCCTCTCAGCACCTCCAAACGACTTGGGAGACCGAGAATACAGATCTCAATGGCGCATGGCAGACAAATTGAAACAGCAACGGTGGAGCGGCGAGGGAATGCACTGGGTGTCCCTCATCCATTCTGCAACGGTGCATGCAAATTATGGCGCTCACTTCTACTGGGTCGGTGGTTAATATGGGGATCCGAGCCTCGAATTTGATATCGGTGTCAGGGACTACATCCTTGGTGTCCAAACGCCTGTGGGCACTCGCACATTTCGCAATAGGTGCGGCCTAGGTGCAGTGAGAGTGGGGAGGTTAGGCGGCAGCATTCCTACCAACGCGTGTCCGAACGTGGATGGGGAGCTCGAGTTTTTTGGCTCTCAATACTGGGACGAGTACTTCTGCATTTAGCATCGGGACGACAGACACGGCGTTGGTGGCAAATACCACAAGGGTTTAGGTATGTTGCAATGGATGTAGGATAGGTAGGAGGAGTGGTAATGGAACTGTGCCTTCTCGAGCGATGGTTAGGTTCATTCTGTCTCAGTAGTCGAAGCTGGACCCCCAATTACGTTGCTTGAAGCCAGCGAATGTTATGTTCTTGCACGAAAGTTTGCTCGGTTAATGAATCTATCTCTTGCTCCTTCTGTCGCTTCCGTCAGCGAAGATATCTTCCGCTTCCCAACATCGAGGCTGAGTGGGTGTAAACAATTGCAAGCTTGCACAACCAACAGTTTGGGGCTAGATCGAACGAATTATTCTCAACGCGCGCAAGCCATTCCAACAAGAGCCAAACCAGGCAATCATCCGATAAGCAATTCATTCAAGGATACAAGTCGAGTTCTCATCTCAGCGATATCAACAAGCGACAAGACCTTCAATTTCACCCTCGCGCGTCTCGTACCGAATTCCTTCCAGGCGACTGTAAAAGGTGGTCCGCATCACCACCCAACTTGCCGGCCCACCAACCACCAACCACCATCCCCTTCCCTCCCCCTCGAACTCCTCCTCACCCTAATCTTCACCCCCCTCCCCTCCCCCTCCCCCTCCCCCTCCCCCGCACCGACCTCCTCGCCCTCGCCCTGAGCCTCACACCCCCCACCCCCCGCTCCGCTCCACATCCTGCACCAACCCCCACTCCTCTCCAAAGCCATCCACGATTCCACCTAAAAACTAAACCTCAAAAGCTTCGCCCGCCTGCAAAACACCATACCACATTTCAACTCATCTCAACTCAGCACACGTCTTTCTTCAAAATCCTCGTCCTCCGCACTATCTCCCCCCATGGCCGGCCGCAGACTCTTCGATCGATTTCGGCAGGGCAGGGCATGGTAGTAAAGTCTTTGAAGAAGAGGATTTCGAGGGCTGGGTGGTGGGTTAAGAGATATATATTTGCGTTTACGGGTCTCTTGGGATTGGGATTGGGAGTGGGAGTGGGAGTGGGAGTGGGAGTGGGAGTGGGAGTGGGAGTGGGAGCGTGTCTTTGGTGAGGAACTTTTTGCTTTGCTGGTGTCGTGAGGTGAGGTGAGGTGGTGATGAGGGGGGTTTTATGGGTCATGGGTGGTTTTTTTTGGGGTATGTGAGGGGTCAGAGGGTTATTGAGATGGGCGGTAATGAGAGGGTGATGCTTGGGGAGGTGGTGAGCAGATTGGAGGGGTTGGTTGGGGTGGTGTATGTATCATACGAAGGGGAGGGAGGTGAGGAGGGAGCGCCTAGTACGGAGTTTGAGTTGAGTGAGATGAATGAGGAGGTTGTGAGGGAGACGCCGGCTTGAGCCGTTTTGAGAGGGCGCTTGTTGATGAGTAGTCATATTTGGAGCTTGTTTGATGCCGTTACTTTGCTTAAGAGGGATGGTTTCCGGACGCTAGAGGGGTCGAGTTTGGGTTTTAATGCGTGGGCGAGAGGTGCGGGGAGGTATGAGGAGCGGTTTGAGGTGTTGAGCGTGTTGGATTGTGTTTGTGTTTCAGCGGATGGCCGGGAGGGAGAATGATGTGGTTTTGCTGTCTCGGCTTTTGGCTAAGTGCTGTTCTCTGCGGGCACTCAGGATTTCGTTCCATACTTTGATCCTCAATCAAATGGGTGTCGTTGATGCCACCTCGGCGAATGAAGTAAGGGATATCATTCCGAAAGACTACTGCTGGAAATTCTTCGCTCATCTCTCACTCCAAGCGAACTTAACAACAGAAGCCGATCTCCAGGATATGCTCCTCAGACACGCTCCAACTCTCCGCTCCCTAGAGCTGAGAGATGTCTTTCTCCACGCCGAGTCACCATCATCCTGGATATCAATCTTCCAATTCCTGCGCCGAAATATGGATCTCAAAACCGTCATGTTCAGCGACTCGCTATATAATGGTAGATATGAGGACTGGCGAATATCAGATCACCACAAGGACGACGACCAATCGGTATTCCCTAAGTCGTGCATCGGGTCACAGGTTGAGCAGAACGTTACCAATCAGATCACGATCTTTCCATTCTCGCTTTTCCCTGGTGGTACGGGTACAGGTGCGAGTGTGACATTCGGGTTGGAAGGGCAGAGAAGAAGTTGGGCTGATACGGATGAAAGTTGGATGACTGTAATTAGACATTGATGAGCTGATTGATGTCGGAATATGATATGCGGGATAGTATTGTATGGATAAATGAGTATTTCAAAGGTCAGCTGTCGGGTTTCGAGGAGGCATTATCGGACTCCGTGGTTTTGCGTTCCAATGAATTAAGGTTAGCGTTTGGAAGAAGCTGGGTTTCTGAGGCAGGTTGGTAAGCAAAGTCTGCATCGGCATTTACGAGCAAAGTTCTAATCAATTATTTGCAACTCAAACCAGCCTGTCTTGTTACAAATTGCTTTCCAGCGCTGTACTGTATGTAGACACAGGTGTCTTGATATCTTGACTATGACCACAACAGTGTTATTTCTGTTGTTCCTGAACGAGACCAGGGTTGCCGGGCAGCCACATGGACGACCAGCCTTACACCCCACTTCCCGTCCAAGGCGACGAATCAATGCCGTCAATTCGCCGCGAACCCCTTAGCCCCTTTCCATTCCTTTAGCACTCATCTCGGGAGCCGTTACTAACTTCGTAAGTTTACTTCGTATGCTTCAAGGTAAGACCTGGCGATACAGGTGCTTTTCAGACGAGCCCGAGAATTAGTTTCAACCTTATTGATAGTACTGTGCCTGTCATATTTACTCGACAAAGAAGACATTCGGGCGACTATGAACTGCGAAGATATCATCAAGCAGCCAAGTGCCTTGTTTACTCCCCTCTACTCGTGTTATCGATACGGAAGAAAGACTGGGTCTAGTAATTTACTGCCCAGACCTCGTATTAGCCCCCCAGCTTAGCTTAAAGCATGCTAGCCCCCGTCTCAGGCGCGTTAAATTTCTTGCCCCTTTTGGCTAACGACCGATAAACTTTAATCTTAATTTCGAAGAGGGCATCCCCCTGGCTCCCTTTATATACTGAAGATGGCCGGCCGTCTTCGTGCTGGTTTCTTACCTTATGGATCTCGCATCCCCAAGTGACGGTTGACGATTGACGCCTGACGACCCCGTGATCCGGTTCCTCGATCATCGCGATACTACGCGCCAGACTGCTAGTCTACTAACACGAGGGACACAGCCGCAGGACTATCCAAGACAGGATCCACGATACTACCTTGGACGCTGTACCTCTTTTTGCGACGCGACAGCTCACTCGAGCGGTCCCGCAAATTCTCCCTCGAATCGTTAGAGGAAGTTTCATCTGGTATATATATGGAGGCGTGAAAGACAGGGCAACGATCAGCTGAAAAGAAACCTTGAGAGTTCATAACACAGGCAAGAGTCCGCCACGAAGGACACAAGATGAGAATGTATCGCGTCGAAAACACCGATAGCACGGAGAAGCTACATGAGATGACGGTGGTGGGAGCAGGAGAGGGAAATGAAGACATTTATCCAAAAAAGCAAGAGAGGAAGATAAAACCGCTTTGTGAGTCGGATATGGTTCCCCCAAGTCGTACAGATTTTAACAGGCAATAGGGCTTTGGATCGCGGGTATCATAGGGATCCTCGCTATTGCAGGAGCGATCGTGGGAGCTCTCATCGCGAAGGATGTTATTCATGTTCAATCGAAATCAACTTCTGGTGCCGTCGCTGCGGCAGAAGGCTCATCTTCTACGAGTTCCGCCTCTGTATCTTCGAGCAGTTCGCCAATCAAATCTGTAAAGTCAACCTCAACTGTGACTTCTAGCGCCTCTAGAACTTCATCCACAGCCACCAGTACACCGACAGAATGCACAACCTCAGACGACATCCCTTCGGAAGCGAAAGGCACATGGATGGACCCAACATCATGGCTGGATATGACGGGCTTCAACTGCACGTTTACGAGTGAGACAGTAGGCGGTCTTCCTCTCGTGGGCCTGAACTCCACCTGGGATAACTCGAAGCAAGCGAACTCAAACGTCCCCCCTCTCAGCGAACCATGGGGCTCTTACAGTAACAAGCCGTTCCGTGGAGTCAGTATAGGAGGTTGGCTCGCCCTTGAACCGTTCATTACTCCTTCACTATTCACCGATTCGAGCCTGATAGACGAATACGCTTTGTCCAAGAAGCTTGGTCCAAAGGCCGCCGAGACACTGGAGAAGCACTACTCGACTTTCATCAAGGAAGAGGACTTCAAGGCCATTGCTGCCGCAGGCCTCGACCACATCCGGATCCCATTCTCGTACTGGGCAGTGAAGAGATTCGATGAAGATCCATATGTCTTCGGTATCTCATGGCGCTATCTCCTTCGCGGTATCGAGTGGGCCCGCAAGTACGGTCTTCGCGTCAAGCTCGATCTTCACGGTGTGCCTGGTAGCCAGAACGGTTGGAATCACAGTGGCCGGATGGGAAAAGTCAATTGGATAACCGGCCCAGAGGGCCCTACCAACGCCCAACGTACGCTCGATATCCATAATCAGCTGTCCAAGTTCTTCGCCCAGGATCGCTACAAGAATATCATCGCTTTCTATGGCCTTGTCAACGAGCCTGCGATGACTATCCCAATGGATGAGCTCAATGCCTGGACACGGAAGGCATACCAGATTGTCCATGACAATGGCTTCAACGCTACTCAAGTCTTCAGCGAGTCGATGCGAGGTTTGGGGCCCTGGACTGGACAACTACAAGGTTACGGGGATTCTCTTGCCCTCGACGTCCACGAATACACCATTTTCGACAGCGGCCTGCTCGCTCTCCCCCACAAGGACCGCATCTCCTTCGCATGCAAAACCTGGGCCGCCCAAATCACCGCTGGCATCAGCCCCTCAACCGGCTTCGGTCCCCTCATGGTAGGAGAATGGTCCCAAGCAGACACCGACTGCGCAGTCTACCTGAACGGCGTCGGCGCAGGAGCCCGCTGGACCGGACACTTCTTCGGCTCAAAACAGCCCGCTTGTCCGACGCAAAACAACCAATGTAACTGCGACATGGCCAATGCCGACTCGTCGACCTTCACCCCGGAGTTCAAGCTGTTCCTGCAGACGTGGGCGGAGGCGCAGATGTCGACATTTGAGAAGACCTTGGGCTGGTTCTACTGGACCTGGAAGACGGAGAATGCGCCGCTGTGGAGCTACCAGGCTGGTCTGCAGGGTGGATTCATGCCTGCTCTTGCGTATGAGAGGGGTTGGGATTGTACCAAGCCGATCCCTGATCTGGGGAGTTTACCGGAGTTTTACTGAGGGGACGGCTATTCTGAAAAAATATCGAAAATATCAACACTCTCTTGGGATGATCTTGGAGCCATATATGCATTTGATCAAGCGGTGGTATCATGCTATCTAATGTCTAGATCTGAATCTGAATCTGAATAGAATTTCCTTTCATCATTGTACCTATAGTATAATATGTAATCACATAGATTTCGGGAAGCTTTTGGGATATGTACGGAGGACGGCAGGCAACTTTTGAGGGGAAAGGAAAGGAAAAGGGTAAATCTAGCCCGGGGATGGCTTTGGGGTTGGTGGGGAGGCGGCAGAGATATATCGGACATAGGAAAGGACGGAGCTGGGGACGAAGATGGGGATGGGGATGGGATGGCAGCTCATGTGTTCTTTAGCTGCTCTCATTGGGGAAATGAATAGATCACGATCGATGATATTACATTCCCTTGTCGTCTATAGAAATCCTTTCTTCTTCCCCTCCATCTTCTGACTACAAACACGATAAGACTACAGGAGTGCTAAATGTCTGTTGTGTCTTTGATAGGGATTTGCCAGATTTGTAAATCTTTGAACCGGAAGCTCGATGCAGATAAATGCCGGTAGGACTGAAGAAAACAATGTTGTCGTCAGCACAGTTTGAAGCTCCACCCATTCTTCTTTCTTTTGCTGTGGTGCGAACAATTCATCAAAATCACCTAATCCCAAGCCTAAGGACACCGACACCACATAAAGAAGTCGAGAACATTGGACGTGCAAATGGAAAGCCACAAACCCCAACAACAGATGTAGCCCTTCGGATCTTACTTCGTCCTTTGTGCGTTTCTCATATCAGACTCTAGACTCAAGCAGTAACAATGAAATTCAAGTATTCAACATCTTTCGCATCCGCATATCCGAAGCCAATTGACGATCCCAACAGCTGCAGAGATGATGTCCCAAGCTCCACATTTCCCCTTAAGTTCATACATTTACTGGAAAGAGATAGATAGTATGGAGCAAGACAAGGCAAGGCCACTGAAACTTGAAATAATGAATGACAGGAAAAATGGAGTGGAGGAATGGACTTGACTTGGCTTGGCGTGGAGGATGCATTGGCCAACCAGTCTCGACCTGACGATTACACTGCCTGGACTGCATATAAGTACCTACTGCATACCTTCCTCCCATGTCATGACTCGGCTCACCTCACATGTCCAAATCCAAGAAACCCCAACGCACAACACTTGGGACCTCGCTCAACCAATCAAACCCACGCCTCCCCTGTTCGCCCAGCTAGACGCCACGTTTGTTTTAAGCATAATCGCCTGATTCTCCTCATTCCTCGATTTCTCTTCATGGCCGTTTTAAAATATCCGATGGCGGGAAAGCCACCGGTATCATTTTTGGGGCCCGAATCGCCACCGGGTTATCAAAGGATGGCCGAGGTGGGCTGGGCGCCAAGGCTGGGCAAGCCACGTTTTTTTTGTCGTTCAAGGCTCAAGGGTCCTGCATGTGGGTTGGAATACAATAATGTCAACACCATAAGTGGGAGTTGGGGTGGTTGTTGTGTGGGAGTATCGTGAGTGTGCTGTGGGAATTGTGGATTGGTGAGTATTGGGACCTTTTTGCAGTTTCTGAGGATAGAAGTTTTTGCAAGTGACTTAACGCAATGTGAGGCATAGAAAGGCCCATTTCATGAAGATGCATTCTTGTTCTTTTTTGAAGATAAGACATTTTTCCTGACCGCAGACAAGCAACAACTCGGTCAAAAGAATGCCTGTCTTCCAAGAAAATAGGCTTGCATGAATCGCAGTGGTGATATCTTGGCGACTCGCCTTCCCCGCTCCTCCTCCCCCCACTAACTGGTCTGCTTCACGCCTCGACTCCCCACGGGACTCTACTTGCCTACCCCATGGGGTCAATTAGCCCGGGCGAGTTGGTAGGACCAGACAGACATAAAGAGAGATGATCCCATCCGTCGAAGTTGGGGTTGGGATCATCATTGAGATCGTCTTCTTTCCTTTTATTCTCATTCTCATTCTCAATCTTCAGAATCAGCTCTCAGAACATACAAGGAACGAAAGAGAGAGAGAAAGGAATTGTCAATATGGCGGACGAAAAATCTCACACTACCACTACGGCTGCAGCAGACGCTTCTATGAACAAGATGAAGATCGAGCAGGTTGAACAACAACAGGTCGTCTATGATGACCTCAAAAGAGAAGGAGAGAAGAATAGAGATTATGCCGGTGCGGCTGCGAAGACCGATCCTGCTGAGATCGCGCTGGTGAGGAAGTTGGATGCCAGGATCTTGCCTACGCTCTTTGTTATGTATTTCCTCAACTATGTCGACAGTGAGTTACTCACCACCTCTCAAGATTGAGAAGAAAGTTAGCTGACACGCAAACCAAGGAAACGCAATCGCCCAAGCCCGCCTCAACGGCCTCGAGGAAGACCTCAACATGGACCCCAAATCCAGCCAGTTTAACACCACCGTCTCCATCCTCTTTGTCGGCTACGTCCTCATGCAGGTCCCCAGCAACATGCTCATCACAAAGCTCCGCCCCTCCCTCTACATGAGTGCCTGGATGGCCGTCTGGGCTGTTGTGTCAGCTTGCACGGCTCTCGTGCAGAATTATGCTGGTTTGGTGGTCTGTAGATTCCTCTTGGGTATTACGGAGGCGCCGTTCTATCCTGGCGCCACGTACATGCTTTCCATTTTCTATACGCGCAAGGAGATTGCGTCGGGGATTGCGTGTCTGTATCTTGCTCAGATTACGGCGACTGGGTTTTCGTCGCTTATTGCCGCGGGTGTGTTTGAGGGATTGGATGGTGTGAGAGGATTGGCGGGCTGGAGATGGTGAGTTGACACAATCTAATCCTTTGGGAATTATGGAGGGGATAAGCTGACTCTACCTTCCTAGGCTCTTCATCCTCGAGGGAGTAATCACGTTCGCTGTTGCACTCGCTGGATTCGTCCTCCTCCCTGATACACCCAGCACGACCCGCTGGCTCAAACCAGAAGAACGAGAACTCGCTCACAGCAGAATGGTCCGTGATAACATCAACCACAGCGATGAGATCGTACCTGCTATGGAGGGACTGAAGCAAGCTTGCAAGGACTACAAGACTTGGATCTTCGTTCTCATGCAATGCTTCCATCTCTCTGCTTGCTCCTTCAACAGTTTCTTCCCAACGTAAGTCGTCTCTCCACATAGCTTTACTCTACCACAGGAACATTGTCTGACTCCTCTTCTACCACAGCGTCGTCAAAACCCTCGGCTTCAGCACAACCATCACCCTCGTCATGACCTGCCCTCCCTTCCTCCTCGCCGGCGCAGGAGGCCTCGCAATGGGCTGGTCATCCGGAAAACTGCACGAGCGGACCTGGCATATCACAGCCGGTCTCGCCCTCGCAGTCGTCGGGTTCGCCATCGCGGCAGGAACGCTGAATACCGCCGGCAGATATACGGCCTGCTTCATCTTCCCGCTGGGTGCCTACTCGGTCAACTCGGTTATTATTGGCTGGGCGTCGTCGACGCTGTCGCAGACCAAGGAGAAAAAGGCTGTAAGTTATCATTGAGAGTCCTGAGATTGTGACATGTGGATGGTTTGACTGACTGTTGATATATAGGTCGTTCTCGCGATGACGAATGTAGGCGGTCAAATTGGATATATCTATGGTGCCTATCTCTGGCCCGGAAGTGATTCTCCCAGATACGTCACCGGATTCAGCGCGTCTGCTGCGTTTGCTCTCGGTTCGATCGCTTGTGCTTGGTGGATGAAGGTCTGCTTGAAGAGGGAGAATAAGAAGATCATGTCTTCGGCTGTGGATGAGGGTATCAACTTGTATGCCTATTGATCGAGTCATGGCATCGAGATGTTTAGAGTAGAAGGGGAGGTCTTACGACTCTGGATCCAGGTAGATAGATACTGGGAAGGGGATTGATTATAGCAATTATTTGATGCTTTTTTTCATCGACATCATTGGTATATTCTACGATACCCCATTGTATCCGTCCCAAGCTCAGACGGCATCAGCCTCAACCTCCCAATCATCCACTGCTTCTTCAACAGCCTTCTTCTTCTCTTGCTCCTTCATCTTCTTGGTCCCAAGTACCGTAAAACTGCTCTTGGCACCAACAGTAGCCTGGGGCACAACTTTCAAGGCAGATCCACCCTTGGCGACCTGACTCCATCCTCCACTCGCCTTGTTCTCATCTTCTCTTCTCAGAACATTGAGATTGCTGTCCACTGCACAAAGAGTCGTCGATGACGCGAGGCCAAGGCTCGACACCTTTTTACTGACGGAAGTCTTGATAGCTGCCAGCTCTTTGTCGATCTTGACCAGCCAGGATGTGCTGGTTAGAGCTTTGAGCACGACGTCCCCAGATGGAAGGAAAGATATCTCAAAGTCGATGCCAGCCGCTGCAAATTCAGGCTTCAGATCTGCATACAGCTCGTCGATAGTGATTCCGAACTTGGGATTGCATAGAAGGAATGCGTTCCACGGCTCGGCACTCGAGACAAGTGGCTTGGAGACACTAGGCTCTGGAACTGGAGCTGCACGTATCTTGACGCACTGGCTCAGTGTTTTCAGAGGGCTTGATACAAATCGCGGAGTCTTGAAGATGCAAACGTGTCGATGTGGCTCTGGATCTTGGCTCTCACTATCGAGACCGAAATCCTCGGCCAAGGCATGGATGAAGGCTCGTTGATGTGGTTGCATCGGCTTGAAGCGAAGGCGTTTCTCTTTGTCATCTGCGGCGAAGACTCTGAATTCCCGTTCGTACTGCTGGCCAAACTTCTGGTTGTCTGCGAAGAAAGAGAGGGTTGTCGTAGAGTATGGAATGTGGTCATCGGTGTGAGTTGCTGGGTCGATATTGAGCGCTGCTGCGAGTTTCGCGTTCCGTTGAAGTCTCAAGCATTCATCGTTGCACTCCAAAGTCTTCTCAGAGTTACCGGGCGAAGTCTTCGAGGCCAGGCATCTGTTAGCCTGCTTCTGATTTTGACATTCACAAGTGATGAAGGTCTTTGCCTGACATGGTGTGGCTTCTTTGCAAGGATACGGAGCATGACATGGATCCAGGCAGGTATGTTCGCAGACTGTCTTCTTTCTAGCACATGCCTGAGTGCACGGATCTTCACATTGCCCTGTACGATGGCACATCTTCTGGCAAAAGTGGTTGCCACATCGGAGCTTCTTATTGCAAGGCAAACCGCACCGAACCTCTGTGAACCAACATGGCTGATTCTTTAGAGTCTTCTTCCCGCAGATGCAAGCTTTCTCGACTAAGAACGGACACTTGGGACAATCCTCAGTAGCTTCATGGCATTGATGCTTAACTTGAGGATGTCCGCAAGTTCGTTGTCGGGTACACTCAAATCGGCACTCGGGTGGCTTTGTACCGCATGGTTGAGGTGGTTGAAGCACAGTCCGGCCACATGCACAGCTAATATCATGGAAGATGGCCTCCAGGCAGCTTGTACAAGGTCCCTTGTGACATAGCGAAGCACAAGTATGGTTTCCACACTTCAATGGTCGGCCACAGACTTTTAAGCAGATGTGCTCGGGTTCATATTCCTCTCCATTAGCTGGTGCGTTAAGGGCTCGATGCTTCCGTTTTGAAGCTTGTCGTTCATTGGCCTTTTTCTCTCCAGGACAGCAACGTTCACCGCATTCATGTCGTCCACAATTAAGGGTAGAGCGGCAGACCCGAGGGCATTGAGGTGGTTCATCAAGACCTTGATGACAGACTGAGTTGGAAGTTGTCCTACAACATCGACAAGTGATTTGAACTGTTTGAAGACAGGGTCTACAGCTTCCACCGTGGCATTTCTGTTCGCAAAGATGGCCACAAGCAAGTAACTTCTGACATTTCTCCGGGCAATGTGGTATTGGTGCTGAACAATCTAAGCGAGGTTCCGAAAGTAGGACTTCCATTGGCGTCTTGCCACATGGGCAATGCGTAACGACATCCGGTGAAAGCGGGCAGTGGGCTGGCTCCAGATCTTGAACATGACATGGTTGTTCGCAGAAATGGTTTGGATTCCCACAATCGAATGGCTTTCGGCATTCCACTCCGCAATTGAATGATCCCATCCAAGTCTCATCCTTCGACTGGCTTTCCATCTGATCTTCTCGTTCTGAGCATTTCAGGGTCTTCTGTTCACGTCCACAGTAGCACCTCGATTTCACTTCCACGTCACAGCTTCCGCATAAACCTTCATGGCACTCTCGATCACAAGTATGTTCTCCACATGGTAGATCTTCTCCGCAAACCTGGCCGCATGTCCAACCATCCTCATACTTCGTATCAATGCATTTCCTAGTACTCGTCTCCTTCCCACAATAACAAGATAACGAAGGACCCATATGACCACAAGGTGGACAAGGACCAGCATGGCAGATCAATTCGCAAGGATGTGGGCAACCACCTCTCCGTTTCGAGCATGATTGTCCACAAGAATGTGGTGGCAAGCCCGGGAGCCACTGAGGCTCAATCTCCTTTTCACACCAGCAAGAATAATTATTCGGGAGGTCCGCTCTCGGAACGTTGCAACCGGGGCAGCGCCACTGTCTTGGTGGGGGGAGTTCATCGTTGTGCATGGCAGCAGACTCCTGCTTGGAAACATCGTTCATGGACCATCTCTTCACACAGGATAGATGTAGAACCGACCAACAGATCTTGCAACTCCAGACTTTCGAGTTCGATTGAACCTCGTTTGTGCAGATCACGCATTCGTATTGTCCGTTTGCGATATCCTCGTGTACTCTTGTAGCAATATCCGGGGCTTGGGATTTCGACATTCGGCGGCGAGGTGGGTTTCGTGGTTGGTGAGTTCGAGCTCGTGGTGCGACTGGCTGGCCAGGTATAAATTCAGGAGCATCTCCTGCCAGAGATCCTTCACTTGGTGTTGCTGCAGTCAATTGCCCTCCGAATGTTCTCTGTCCATTGACCAACAGTTGCCCGCCACCTCTCCCTCTGCCTCTGTATCCACCCCGTCTGCCATTCCCTCTAGATGATGTAGATGTCTGAGTTGATTGGGGTGTGACCGAAGCTGGGCGAATAGCCAGTGAGGGATCAGCTGGTTGTGGTGTGCTCGTAGCTCCTCCTCGACCTCTTCTTGGACCTCGACGTTGACGAGGTCTGCCGGAACTAGAAGCTGTGACAGGTGGAGGACCAGTGGCAGACATGATTGTGAATTGAGGGTATTCGGTGGCTGTCTGTGTGGCCGTCGTGGTGGTTCGTTTAGGTTGGCCAGCATGTGGCGGGGTGTTTTCAGCGAGAGTCGTCAATTGAACTTGAGATATTTTCGATTTCTGCTGGGGTGTGACTTTCTTTATTGTGAACGCGGCTTTAGTATTTGAGAGTTTTGATTAGAAAGAAATTCGCAAGAAGTCGTCAATGATCGTCAATTAAATGGCCTGTTGATCGTGACAACTGGACCAGACGAGGCTGAACCAACTTTATGTGGCAACGAGTCGGGCTCTGGAAAAATAATGTACGCTAAGCTCTTTCAGGTCGAAGCGTTGAAGAGTCACAATTGAGTCACTTCAATGGGGTTGCTGCAGACTTCTGACGGCATATTCAGGGCTGTGCAGATGCGAGGAGCTGTAAATGATAAGATCAATTGATTTTCACCGGGATATATGCGATATTATTGTGGCTACGAGTGGATTTTGCAATTATGATTGAGCTGGGGAAATCAGCCTTGGTTCGCGAGGCTGCGGGAGATCTGCTAGAGTGCGGGATGAGCGATAATGACGCAGAGAGGAGGACTCCATACGAGGTAGGAAGAAACGGTGCTACAACTTACACTTGGGCGTGGGGATATCCAGTAGAAATTCATATACGTAAAGTCATCTGGCCAAGTCTACTCAACAAGCTCTCTGCGGCTGCTCACGAGGGACTGGCTGGAGGAGTATTAAGGCATCTTCTGCCTTTTTCGGAGTGGTGATTAGCAGGGAGTAGGCTTGTGATTATCACACTTCGTAAGTTACCGAACAAAACACCCCCAATTCAATAGTCGGACCGGAATTACGGAAAGCAACTACAATACCTTAGGTTCTTTCATCCGCAACACGCCATCGCCCTCGGGTGTGTTTTGTTTCGACAATCAGTAAATTTACCTTCATCTTCCGGGATGCAAGGGCCGCCTCATCGTTGGAGGGGTAGCAGCGCAGCGTCCAAGTCAACATGTCCTCGACGGCCATTTCAAGAGACACGTACATTACAATACTGGACGCGAACTATCTCTCCAACCTGAGGAAACTCTCACTTCATCACGTGGTTCCCATAGATCGAACATTTGCTGACAACAAACTTTTTATCTGTGACATCTTCAAATCCGCTTACGGTAAATACGACCCCCTATATTGTTTGGGGAGCTATCGATTTTGGCCCGCGCATGAACACTATTCTTTTACCGAATATCCACACTGTACATCACTTTACCACATTCATGCAACCCACGTCCCTCCCGTTCCTGATTCTCTCCGACTGCTTTGCTCCCAAGGCATAGCATAAGCTTCTCCTCGTCCTAATGGGCCAACGCCGTTGAGACAAGTCTACGAATAGCAGCAGCCTGACCTGGGATTGGGGCCACGAGACGAACCTCAAGCAAAGCAACAGGCAACCGAATTCGAAACACGACTTTCTTTTATCCTCACCTGCTGCACCGCAGCACCATGTCTTCTCAAGAAAACTCGGGCAGCTACCTGCAGCAGGCGTCTGGGGTCGCAGGCAGTTTTTATAGCTACATGCGTCTTCCAGTCCTGGTGTCCTCGGTATTTGAATGCTCCTGATGTTGTCCGCCACGTCGTACTTACATTGGCCCCAGGGCATCGCTGCTGCGCTCAGCTCCTTGTTGTATTTCAAGCAGAAGTACGTCTGGACTCTTCTTGTCCACTCTGTCGGGCGCATGCTAACAGATGCTGCACAGAGCTCTCATCTACCCTTCCCACGTTCCGAACGATGCTCGAACAGAAGTCCCTCGACCGTCTCAGTTCGGCATCACCGACTTCGAAGATCTCATGATACCTACTCCCGACGGCGAGAACCTCTCTGCATTCTATATTCGACCCCCAAAGACTGGTATGCGCAAGGGAGTCACGGTCTTGATGTTTCACGGCAATGCAGGCAATATTGGACACAGAGTACCTATCGCGCGAATGTTCGTACACAGGATGGGATGCAGCGTCTTGATGCTAGAATACCGAGGCTATGGTCTATCTACTGGATCTCCAGACGAAACAGGACTCATGATCGATGCGCAAACGGCTTTCGATTACCTGCGGAATCGATCAGAGACGAGGGATAACGATATTGTGGTATTTGGACAAAGTCTAGGAGGGGCGGTGAGCATACAGCTCGTGGCCAAGAACCAGAACGACAGTAGATTAGTGGGGTTGGTCCTAGAGAACACGTTCCTGAGCATGAGAAAGTTGATCCCATCGTACGTATCCCTGCCCTGGTTCGTGGTGGAAAACCCTAAAAGTGGATAGTATCATCCCACCTGCAAAATATCTTACCCTGCTCTGCCATCAAGTCTGGGCATCCGATACTTACCTCCCTTCCATCACGGAAGTCCCAATTCTCTTCCTTTCTGGTCTACAGGACGAAATAGTTCCGTACGTTTACACCCTCTCTCCTTCTTCTTCCTCCTCCCCACCTTGAATGATGACATAATTTCCATCCACAAAACCTGATCCCTTCTGGGACTCGATTATACACCTTGAGAATTTCTGACACTTCTCCATTACACTGCTATCTCTGGCTTTTGTTACCTGCACCAGCTAACAGCAACCAGACCAAGCCATATGCGCCGCCTCTTCGAGATTTGTCAATCCCCAACAAAGGTATGGAAACCTCTACCGGGAGGAGACCACAACTCCAGTGTCGTTGAGGAAGGATACTTCGAAGCCATAGACGACTTCGTTTCGAACTTGGATACAAAGTGTGCGTGATTCCCTGGACTGCCCTTGCTATACCCGGTGCTAGCTGCTTTCTACTGCATATTGGCGTGGCGTTTGGGTGGGATTCCTGGATGCATTGCATTGCATTTTGGACGGTGGATTTTTGAGCTATGGAGATTGGATTGAGTGTGGTCATGACTGATGACGGAGGCGGGCTTGTATTATTAGGCGTACAGAGGATGATATACCACAATGAATCGAATGGTTGACTTGCCTTGCTGCTCCTCTATGATTTTCGGTATTGTGTTTCTTCTTGTGAATACCCATGTAACTTCTACCACCTATCCATCCAGCACAGGTACCCAAGATTCTGGTCCAGGTCTTCCCTCACACGCGTCTGCTTCCTGCCTCTGCTGCCTCCACTTGCACTCGTCTTCGTCTGCAAATGGCCAGAGAATAAACAAGTTGAGCTCCTGACAGTCGTGAAACCTGGATGGTTAAGCTGAGCTCCTGGCCAACTTTGTCATTCCCTTCCATTCAATCTGGCCGAGACTGAAGCTGAGTATATACCATTTATTACCTGCACTGAAACCAAATCTGATCTGACGACAGCCCAGCAAAAAATCGCTTCTTGCCTGGCATGACAATCGCAAAGTACTTCAAGTGCCTGTGAAAACTCAAGACTGTCCACTCGATTCCTTCCTTTCTTTTCCGACCCGTCGAGTCTAACCATGCAGACTGACTGATCCAGAGAAGGGGATTTGTCCCGTGTGGTGAGTAAGCTAGAGAGCTGGCAACTGTCGAAGAAAGCAGGTATGCATTTTATAGTAGTGAAGTCACCGTGGACTGCCATACTCTATCGCTTCATGCATGTAGGACAAGGATACCTTCACCGGTACGGTGGGAAATTTTACTGTACTTGTCATACTTATTGGAACTGGTCAAGTACAAAACAGGTCAAAGATCAGGGCAGGGTCATAGTTGGGTGGCGCTGTGGTGCATGAACGAAGGGAAACCGGAAGAGTCACTCGCGATTGTAAGCCATAAGTCTGCGTAAGAAACAAGAAAAACGGCAACGGGGGGTTAGGAGGAGAATACACGACTGAGCAGATGTCACAAGGCACAAGGCAAAAGGCAACTTGCCTCCTGCTCCATGTGCACAAATTACACGAAGAGGGAAAAGACTTTGTGACAAAGAGACAGTGATTTAAACCTGTTGAACTCATATCTACACGGCCGCATAATCGCACCAATATGCCCTCAGCCCACAACGCCCGCCAACTCGCAATCGTGCCCTCAACCCAGGATAATATACGCAATCGTATCACCTTGATCCTCAAACCCACCCTCATCTTACGAATACAAGGCTTCTTAGAAAGCCAACTCCTTCTTGATCTCCGCGATCGCCAGACCAGGGTTCAAGCCCTTGGGGCACGTCCTCGAGCAGTTCAAAATCGTGTGGCAGCGGTACACGCTCATGCTGTTGTCCAAAGCAGCCTTTCTCTCCTCCTTCTTCTGATCTCGGGAATCTGCCAACCAGCGGTAGCTCTGCATCAGGACAGCAGGGCCAAGGTATTCCTCCGAGTTCCACCAGTACGAGGGGCAAGATGTTGAGCAGCAGGCACAGAGAATGCATTCGTAGAGACCATCGAGCTTCTTGCGCTCCTCCTTGCTCTGCAGGTATTCCTTGTTGTTTGGGCCGGGGCCGTCGTGTTGCAGGTAGGGCTTGATGGACTTGTACTGCTTGTAGAAGAGTGTGAGATCCGGGACGATATCTTTCACAACGTAGGTATGGGGGAGGGGGTAGATCTTCGTCTCTTGCTTGGTATCCGTTGGAATTCGGCCTGTAAATAATTAGACGACCTGTATCTCCCCAATTAAGTCTGGAGACGTACACAAGCAAGCCAGAGTGTTGACACCATCAATGTTCATTGCACAACTCCCGCAAATTCCCTCTCTGCAACTCCGTCTGAAGGTCAAGGTAGGATCAACTTCGTTCTTGATACGAATGAGAGCATCCAGCATCATAGGACCCGTCTTATTCAAGTCCAGAGTGTAGCTTTGCATGCGAGGCTTCGAGCTCGGCTCATCGGGATTCCAGCGGTAGATGTGGAAGGTCTTGACTTTGGCATCTGGATCACTGGTGGGCTCCTTGATTGTAGCACCAGTCGCAACAGAAGCCATGCCCCGAATTGAAGATCTGCTGAAAGCTGGTCGGCTCGCCGCCGCGAACAGGCGGGAGGTTGTGCGTAGGGAGGCCATCGTGGAGTGGAGTGTAGTCGGGCGGACGTTCAGTCGCAAAGGACGAGGTTGTTCGATCCAATCTCTTGTGCGACAATTGAATTGGGTTGTTGAGAGGGATGTGGCAGCCGTTGCAGGCGTCAATATGAAGCTCAAGAAGTGTAGACGTCGTCGATCGATGGCAATTGTTTGACCTCGGGAATAAAGCTACACCAAAGCGCAGTGGGGTGCGGGTCCACCAATGAGAATCGGGGTGTTCGCAATCAACGAATGACCAGGGAAGTTCTCGGGACATCACGTGAATACTTCGGCAAGCTTGTTTATTAGGTAGGTATAAAATCATTCCGATCAATTGCAGTAACATTGTCTGAGAGGTACTTGTCTGTTGGATAGACGTAAGAACGGATAGGAACTAAGAGCGACAATAGCAAAGGTGATCCAGAGATCCTATCCATAGCATGAGTTGTAACAGCAACAAAGAGGATACGTAGAAGAGTACAGTGGTTGAACGTTTGGTACTTCGAAAAGTACGTTTTCAATTGCAATATCAAAGGCTAGTCCAGCAAGCTTTGAACAGATCCCTGGGTATCCAAAGTGCCGCGCCCGCTTCCAAAGCATCGACCCTTCATCCCATCAGACTTTACTCCTTCCAACCTGAATCTCTTCGCTTGGAAAACCGACACCCAAAATAACCTAACAGGAAGAAAATACCAGATTATACCGATTGTACCGCATAGATTTACTCTTACCCTTAACGTTACTCCACACCACCAACCACACCTCTCACAGAATCATAAGCACACTGCATGACATGCTTCGATTCCCCGGTGATGGGATCATAAACATGGCAGCCGTATGTAGCTGCGTTGGGCGGTGTGTAGACTTTTGTGTTTTCATTAGTCCGTGAATCTCATCTTCGAATCGAGTCGAAATCCAATTCCAATGCATAGGTTAAAAGGAAACAGGGAAAGAATAAATGAATGCAGAAACAAAAAAAAATACTGGAGAGAAGGAGTAAGAGGAACAAACTCACGTTGCAGGGAAACCGCATACTCCCTCTCACTTGGGTTCATAATCTCATGCAATCCAATCTTGTCCGAAATATACGCGACTTTATTCTCTGCGAAATCCAATCTGGCAATCTCTTTCAATCCCTCCTCCCTCCCACCCACCACCCCACCACCCCCCTCCCCCACAGGAAACTCAAACCTCCTCTCCCTTAAAGTCCCTCTTAGCACCTTCATCAGACAATGTGAGTCAGCATGATCGTGGATCGGGCTGCGCATGCCTGGCGTCCAGACTAGGAGGAGTAGGTTGAAGATGCCGGGGACGGAGGTGATGAGGTTACGGGTGTATTGTTTTGAGGGGTTGGCGTGTGCGTATTGGGACCAAGATGGGGGGTGGCGGGAGGCGTTTGAGGAGGAGGAAGATGGAGAGGTGTAGGATCGGAGGAGAGACTGGAGGGTTGGGAGGTGGGGTTTGGGTGTTGTGGTTAGGTGGCCTGTTAGGGCATTGAGGAGGGTGTCGAAGTCTGAGTGGGATGGAGAGGTTGGTGGCGCATTTGGTGGGCGAGATTGAGTGTGTGCTGCTGAAGTGTTAGACTTGTTTCTGCAGAAGCCAATCTTGGGAAAGTAGACGAACATGCTTGTGGTAGGATTAATGGAGATGTATGGGTGGGCTGTTGTCTGCGTTCGATGGATGTTGCATTCTTGGCTGTGGCAGTGAGAGAACGGTGTACGGTTGGGATGCGGGGATTTCGAGCTTGTAGCTTTGAGCGGGGGATGCGGATGGTGCTGGATTTCATGGAAGGCATGGTTGAGTTATACTGTCTGGTAGCAAAAGAATGCTTTTGAGATGCCCGAAAAGAAGAAGAAAATGTAGATACTTCAAACGTAGCAAGACTTGGAGCAGAGAAGATGTTTTGGATGATCAGATAGTTTGAATTCAATAAATGAACGGAACGCTACTATATAGTAAAGCATGCATCAAAAACACGTAATACTAAGACCCTTGCCCGAAACCGCTGACTGGCATGTAGTATCATCAAGGATGATACCCACTAGAAAAGTCATTTCTAGTACAGCCTAGATACGAGTCAACTTGGACATATCGTACTCCGCTGGCCATGTGAATCCTGACACGTCTTTTGCAGCAAAGAAGTCCTCTATCCACATCAGCCGTTTCGATGCCAACCCTAAATTCGACGAATCTCCCCTGCTCTGTTATCCATTGTATGTCTCCTCGATTCCTTCCAAATGTCCCTACTCGCTCCGATTCCTCGTTCTGTTCGTATCGCACATCCATGCAAACGCAAACTAGTTCCAACCAATTGTTTGTCTCCACTCGATTTGTGGCCCCTTTCTGCGTAGATATCAGGGAAATCTGCTCATCAAGGTCACCGCCATTCGGCGAATTTCGAGGTTTCGAGCCAATAGCGAAAGTGGTTGGCGGGGTCATAGGATCAGCGATTGGGGATCGATAGTGGGGTGAGACGATACCATGTGCGGTCCTGTTATCTTGGCTTGGCCAGTATCGGTGTAAAGTTGGCCAGTCGGCGTCGCAACAGAAGAGGTCAAACTCAGAATCGAGTCTGTTGACAACAAGTGAAACCACGACTGGAAAATCCGAGCTTCGGACAAGAAAAAAGAGATAGGTAGAGAAATGAGTGAGGGAATGTGGGCAAGAGAGCAAGCAAACAACCAAATGCAACAGGACTGTTGGGAACAGGTCAAATGGACAAGTTCCCCTCCAAGCAGTCGTACCATCTAAATGAGCACTTGCTTGTCTTTCCATATGCCGTCGCTGGTCCTCGATCACAGCTTGCGTCATCGGAAGTATAATCTCTGCATCTGCGACCCGTCTGCCAGCCTGCAACTCCGTCCCCTTGGTCTTCCATACACCCAGAGAAACCCAAAATTTGAGAACAAACCCACTCGAGTCTCCCATTGGTTCCCGCCTCCTCGAATGTGTCATAGCACACACACTTTGTTGCCCCTGTCCTCACTGAAGACATCTCCAAAAACAGCGCAAAAAACGAGGAAAAATTTGACAAACAGAAGGTGAATTGGTGATGTATAGATGAGGATATATTGTTCAATGGAGAGGAAGAGGGGACGGAGAATAGAGAGTGGTTGAGGTGCTGAAGTAGGCTGTCTGGAGAGGAGGGTGCTGATTCGCTGAGGGGTGGGGTTTAGCGTGACAGGGGCGATTGCGTGCGATTTGGCCTTTTCTCGTGACTTGGAGGAAGAGTCTTGCTGAGTCAGCTCTGTTGTCGCTTGCAACAGCTTGGACTGGAGATGACTTCCTATCCTGATTCATACAAGAGGATGTGATGTTGAATTGATACAACTTCTTAAATCTGTGGCATTATATAACCTCCGTGGAAGCTTCCTCCACGGTCTTACAATGTTCTTGCCTGGGCCATTTCGCAGCCTCGTCTTCAAACTCTTCGCATCATCCATTTTGATCAGAAATCAATTTGTCCAATCTTTCTAATATCAATGTCAACTCCCTAAAATCCCGCTCCTTCCCCAATTTCAGAAAATCTTCCCAAGCGGCCCATCACTCAACCTGTCCATGACCTCTTCAAAAGATGGCCTAATCAGGCAGTCTAACACGACACGCTGCATTCGCATAGTGCTGGACCGAGATGTTGTAGTACGCTTTGAGGATATCGTGGATCTCTACTAGTACTATTATGAGGTTACTGTATTACGTGTATACGGTAAGGACCAGATGTCACAGTGATTGACAATCTCCACCTCATTCAGCTGCTTCAGAACTCTCTTAGTCGAAGACATATTTACCCTCCATCAGCTGCTGTGCCTGACTAGGAAACCTTATATTTTTGTCGTTCTATCCGAGTTAGAGGAGAGGCCTCGTACGATACCTAGGCTTTCAACTAGGGCTGGAGGTACCCTGCCTAGGTAGTCGTTATTTAGGTAACATTAGCTGTATGCGGCGAATAGCTCTCCTGTTTTACGAAGCCACTGGAGAGTGAGGAATCGATTCCTATCGTCGACATTTGTTTCCGGAACCCCTTAGATTCTGAGTATTATTGCCACTTCTACAAAACTTCAGGCAATTGATAGTTCAGTCTCGCAATGTATCCATAGAACGGCGTCATTCCAAACCTGTTCATGGGCATGGGCCAATGCCGTCTAGGTTTTGCCGAGACCACTGGCACCCTACAAGGCAATGCTTCTGAAACCGTCTTGCGTTTCGGGCTTCGATAGTCGACTATGAAGTATCTTCAGTTCAGACTGCCTGGAGAAGAAGTGTGGGTTTCTCGGATAGAGTATATTGTGTACAGGGAACTGCTATTCCTGTCCTCTACACTGGCAGCAGCAAGTAGCTGGTCTGTAACGCTGAAGAAAAAACGGCCTTCAGCCTGTCCTTCATTCTATCTATTTCCATTAAAGACACCGCAGATTGTGCTGTCTGCTCGGGCTGCCAGGATCTGAACATTTGCTTCCAGCTGTGCGATTTGAGAGCTTTAAATGTCTCTTTCATCTCAGCTGATTGTGTTCTGATTTTGCGCCTCGCGTCTTCGAATTCTTTCTTTATATTTGGTCAGTGTAGTAAGACAGATGATTTTTGAGAAAGAGGAATGAGTAGGGATTCAGTGCTCACGGTGTTCCGTACCCTTGAAATTCGGAGAAAGTGCAGAAGCTGTGTCTACAAAAGATGATGTCTACGAATATGTTGATCAGATCTCCTCTCATCTCCAAATTATTGATTGCGGATCCTCCATATATTTGCTAAGTTTGGAGGTCGTGACCCAGACTGGTCATCATAGCCATTGTTTTCGGCATGATTGTTTTGAAGTCTACAGTCGCCTAAAATCACGTTAATGCCAATGGAGAAAGATGAATTCGAAAACGCTTTTTGCTTTGCCTATCCCGCGCTCTGTTCCTTTCGCCAATCTGTGTTCCGGATAGCCAGCAAATTCTTCTCCTTCTTTATGATCATCTTGAATAATACCAAACCAGTTCGTCGAAATCTTGATCTGTGAGTTGGTCCACAGTCCGGTGGTCATCTGGCACGATTTCTCAGCGGAGCTCCATTGCACGTTTCAACTGCGCGTCTCCTTCCATAATGTTCCCCATGGCTACGAGCAATCTTCCCTTCATGAAAGAAGAGCGTGCCGCTTGAGGCTTATACCACTTGATATCGCGGTAGACCTTGATACTTTGCTCCAGCAATTGACTTTGGTGGTCAGCCCACTCAACACAGAAGGGCATCTACTGGCTGGGAAAACTAACTCACTTTGCTTCTTGACTTTGACCTGTCCTGATGAACTGTTCTGCTAGACGGTAGCAAGTATCTGCGGTGATGAAATGGTTATCCCCGATCGTGGCTCTGAAAATCACCAGAGCTCGTTGGAAGAGGTTGACGGCATCGTCCAGCAATCCTTGGGCACGTCGAGCATCCCCCAGTGCATGAAGAGCTTTTCCGGTTCTAAGTATTATGTGATTGACTGATCACGATAGGCCAGGTCACGTGGGCAAGGCTGACTTCGCAAGGCTGCGAGGCTAGAGTCATACGGCGAACTTAGGACTAGCCTAGTTCGCTAGCGGCCGCACCTCACTTACTTATTCTCGAGGCTCCTTAAGAACCTCTTCCTCTCGCTGTCTTTTCTACTTTGTATTGTAGCTACCAATGAACATTCCCCAGCGCACTTCCTCAGGGCTGACACGCCACCCACCGAGCCTATACACGGCAAGGAAGGGATATGTCACCACCGACCTGCCCTGGAAATCCCTTTCTCACAATCGAGCTACCCTGAGATCACCCCTCACAACCCACCTACCCTGAGAATCCTACAAGCTTATCTTTCAGCGCGTACACCCTGTAGCTACAGCGCCTCACATCTCACCTACCCTGTGATCACCCCTCACATCTCACCTACCCTGAGATCGCCTCGCCTCACATTCGAGTTACCCTCGGAATCTTACAGGCTACCTTACAGCGTGTTAGCCCTATAATTACAGCGCCTCACATCTCACCTACCCTGCAAATACCCTCATCACAACTCGCCTACCCTGAGAGTCCCGCACCTTGGGACTTCCAGACTCCTCTCACACCTCGCCTACCCTGCATCTTCTTAGACTTCCAGGGCATCAGAGCCCAGAGAAGCACCTTAAAAGAGGGACAAGGAGAGAAAAAGGAGAGAAAGAGGGGAAAAAGGGAAAAAATTCCTACAAGGCAGAAAAATTCCCCGACCCAGGGACATTTCACAACCGGCCTACCCTTTAACACGTTATAGGCTCACCCTAAGGCTCTCCCCTGACCTTCTGCCTTAGCAGGGGCGGTCTAACCCCAAACCCTCCGACTAGTATCACCCCTCACGAGGTCTCCGCTAGTCGGAGAGTGCCCCCAGCTCCCACGCACCGAGGTAGAACACCTCGGTTCTGATCCAGGGCAGACAGCCCAGGACCTTGACCCTGATCTTACACACGGACTGAAGATCAGGGTAGTTCACAGCCCACTAAGCCTCGAGAGTCCCCGATTACCCACTTACAGCTGCTCTAGCTGGGCCTCTAAGATACCTATTCGTCCTTGCTCACGTACAACCTTTAAGGTTACCCACCTATCGACTTTCTTAGTCGCATCTGCCCCTCAATGTACCGCAATTATAGGGCCTGCATCCCCAGAACTCCCTCAAGCCACGCCCTTATACACCTTATAACACTTGTAATAGTACCTGCTATCACCCCTGAAAGTCTTACCCTGTCACTGTAGACTTCTTTTCTAAGGTACCCAGCTCTGTTGATACCTTCCCTTATATACCCACCGACTTCCTCTGGCCTTGAAAATCGTGTGCAAATGCCTTTGTGCAGAAACATGTTTTCCGATAAATTCTTTGTGTGCAAAAAGATTTAGACCCCCCCCCCCCCCCCTCACCAAAATTTTTCGGGCAAATCCGCAACACCATACTGATGGTAAGGATCGCTTCTAGGTAAGAAGACAGCTTGATGGTAGCGAGTAGAGTGTTACAGTACTGGTAAAGATACCCTAAAGAGAGTCCTGTCCCTAGTACAAGCCTCAGGACTACTAAGGAGGTTTTAAGGGACTTACAAGTAATAGCTCTAAATCTACAAGCACGTAACAGTAGATAGGGGCGTCCCCGACTAGGTTCACACTTCACCTACCCTGAGAGCTGGGTCTGCTCTCACAATCGAGCTACCCTGTGACAATTTTCGGAGGGTAAGTCGGATGTGAAAATCCATCTTTCTCCGTAGCTACCTATAGTAACCAGGGCTAAGAAAGTATGGATAGTACGTTACTTGAGACGCTCTATCACGCTAGTTAAAAATATTTTTCTATGGGGAAGTTTTTTTTTTCCACCAAGTCTAAACTTCAAGATGTAAAATCTTTGCCCCCCCCTCGTTCAAACACCGCCAAATTTATATTCTAGACACTATCGATAGTAAAGAATAGGATACAAGCGTCAAAACATTAACAGAGGTAGGATTAATTAAAATAATGATATTTGACTTTTCCTCCAAGTCAGTTGTAGAAATTGATTTTTCTCCACAGTCACATCTAGTAACCGGGGCCAAGAAAGTGTGGATAGTACGTTGTTTGAGGCGCTCTATCACGCCAGCAAAAAATATTTTTCCATGGGGAATTTTTTTTTTTTTTTCACCAAGTACCCTCTCTCACATCTTACCTACCCTTCTGTCACATCCCACCTACCCTGCGGATCAGACCTACAGCGGCTACAGGCCATCTCCACAGGGCCAATAGCCTGTACTGAGAGCCTAGAAGCTCCTACAGCGTGCTCCTACAGGGTGGAACACGCTGAGACACCTTCCTATTGCCGGTGTTTTCAACTTCAGACAGTGATTGCGGGCGCTATAAGCACGCTAGCAGTATATGCTCTTCAGTCATATAGTCCCTATATTGAGGTCTATAAGCCCTGTAAGTGGTTTAGTCACATGACTTCTTATAAGGAAATTTTACACCACACATCTCAGCTACCCTGAGAGGCACTTAGGTCCTGATCACACTTCACCTACCCTTTGTTTCTCACATGTCACCTACCCTGAAACCCCTTACAGGCTGCTACAGCGGACAACTCCCTGAACCCAGCCCTGAAGGATCACTCTCAGGGTAACCCGATCGTGAGGCATGAAATTTCACCAAGTCCCCCTCACATCTGGGTTACCCTGAGAATATTTCAGCGTCTGGCTTCAGTGTATGTGCCCTGAAGGTAGGCCCTATAATTGTCGAGGGTAACTGAGATGTAAGGCTAGAAAGTTTCCCAATGTCCCTTCACAGGGTAACCCGGATGTGAGACTTCCTCCAGCGTGTTCCTTCAGGGTGTCATGCCCTGAACCTGCACCCTGGAGTCGCACGCAGCGCCCATCTTCAGCGTATGAGACCCTGAAACGCTCCCTGAAGCAGGTTCTCAGGGTAGCCCAGGTGTGAGAATCCCATCCAGTGTATCTCCACAGCGTTCCATGCCCTGGACTTGCCTACTACTGTTCTCTACAGCGTATCTCTTCAGCGTATGAAGCCCTGTAGCCCACCTGTACTATACCCTGGATTTCCACCAGGTACTTTTCGAGGGTATCGTAAGTGTGACACCTCTGTCCAGCGTACGTCCACAGCGTATCGTGCCCTGTAGCTGCCCACTGTAGTATCGCTCAGCGCATCCCTTCAGTGTATAACACCCTGAAGGACTCCCTGGAGGGAACTCCGAGGGTAGCCCAGATGTGAACCTTCAATTCTCACCAAGTCCCTCCCAGGGTAACTCA